GATTGCACACATCAACAGGTTCGGAGGGACGAGGTCTCCGGAACTAATGAGACTAGCGGACACGTTATGGCGTCACTGCCTAGCAACGGGGACTCGACTTCGGACGACATACATCCCATCTGCATTCAACCCAGCGGATGCACCGTCACGGCGAATGATATCGCAATTGGAATGGAGGATCAGTCGCCCATTCTTTCAACAACTGGAACACCAATGGGGGCCACATCAGGTGGACCTATTTGCGTCGGCACAGAACAAACAGCTACCGACATTTGTCTCATGGAAATTCCATCCAGCTGCTCTGAAGATAGACGCCCTTCAACACAACTGGACAGAGATGGGCAACCTTTACATTTGCCCCCCATGGAATCTTCTATCAATCATCTTGGAGAGGATACAGACCCAGAAACTGACAGCAACAGTAATAACCCCATGGTGGCCGAGTGCAATATGGTTCCCAACCATCAAGGAGATGGCAGTAGCACCACCAATCCCGATCCCTCGGGAAGCAGTCCTACCAGCCGTCGGAAGCGCAAGCGATCTCCTCAGCAAGAATCCACTCTGGTCATTGACAGCATGGAGAATAAGAGGCGACGTAAAGATCTAGATGCAGGACTCTCACCATCCGCTATCACTCTACTAGATTCAGCAGGTGCCAACAGCAAAACACGTCGACAATATCTGCCAACTCAAGAGGCTTTCGCAGTATGGGCTCAACAAGAAGGCTTCGACCCTAGTACGCCAAATGCAATTGCTGTAGTTAACTATTTATGCCATGCGCGGATTATCTATTCTTGGAGTAGGAATACCACTCTTAACAAAAAATCAGCCATCTTAAAGCTTTACGACGACACATCCGTGATCACAGGCAATATCTACTTTCAGCGGTTCATGGCAGCAATGAAAAGTACTGGCGTATTTCAAATGGAGCACGTATCCGCACTCGACATTTCACCCATCCTTTCATACTTCCGCATGGAGGACAATGTGGATCTTGATATGCCTAAGCTCTCTCGCAAGCTCTGCTGGCTCTTAGGCGTTTGTGCGTTTCTCCGGCCAGATGATATCGGTTGCATCGATGTGTCAAAGTCAGAGACCAATGAAAAGGGTCTTCTCCTTACCATAGTCTTCCCTAAGGAGCGACGCGATGGGCAGCGCATCATAAAGTCGATCTTCGTAGGTAGACACCCTAACGACAAGAAAATTTGCCCAGTCGAGGCCTATACAGAATACACCAGACGGATAGCGGACACACCTCTCGAAATCGAGCACCACAAAGATCAGGATTATAAATTCAATCCTCTTATGCGCTTTGTGAAAGACAAGTCTAAAGTCCTTAGGGTCAGTACCATAGGCACTTTTATGAATGAAATCACACGTCGAATTCCAAATCTTCCGTCGAAACGGCCTCCTCCAAAGCCACGCGCTATAGGATCAACCTTGGCAGCCATCGCTGGCGTATCAACCCAAGATATCATGGTTCAAGGGAATTGGTCGTCTGACAAGGTTTTCAACAAACACTACCGTGTTTCCCGCAAAACCAATTCAAATTTGACGACGTCTGTTTTTGGTTCGCTCTGAAGTCACATATGGACCATGGCTACGAGGATAATGATCTGGAAGTGCTACAAAGGACGCACTATCCTCATTATCAGAGTAGCCATGGGACATATGTCCCTCCCACACCTCCCTTTTCTTTTCACTCGTTACTAGATAGAGAGTAGATCAGAGCGAACGCTAGATTTTATTTATTTTATTTTTAGTTTTTTCTCGGTCAGAAGGAATAAAAAGAGGTCACACATATGTCCCATGGCTACTCTGATAATGAGGATAGTGCGTCCTTTGTAGCACTTCCAGATCATAATGCGAGAACTTTGTCAACGACCCTCTTATTGCTTAGTGATCATCATTAATTGTTTCATCTCGCATCCGAGAAAAAAACCAAACAAGTTTTTGGAGTTCTTATTTTCTTCACGCTCATGGCTCGTGGTTTTCATGGTTTTTATTATTAGGTCCCCATAATAGCTCCCGTAGTAGCTCCATTTGAAACGTTTTTGACTTTAATAGCGATAGCAATAACAAAATTAAAAAAAAAAAAAAAAGTGTTTTAAGTAATAGAGTATCTTTGCTTAAGGGGCAAAAGATACAGGACAAAGAGTAGTAGGGCTCTTTTTATTTTATTATATTTTATTTTTTTTTGTAAATCAGCTCCAGAATGTTGACGGAGGGGATAAGAATTGTGCGGGTGACGGGGGGGGGGTAAGAATTCCGAAAAGAGGGATGTTGACGGGGGGACTTTTGGGAATTCTCAGCCGGAGGTTAAAATTTTATTCTGAGGGGGGTTGCATTTTTCCTTAGTCCGTTTCTTTGGCTTTTATAACCTAGCCTACAGGCCTGACTGTGGTGCTATCTAAGTGAGGTGGACTTGCGCAAAGATTCTTATAGCTGTAGTTCGACAGGATGTCCCGATTAGTAGATACAAAATAACCTGAAATTAAAATAACTATTAATGACCAGCCACAACACCATTACCGCCTTTTTATCATTTCTATTTCACTTAAACATCATTATTTGTACCCGTGATATATATGCCCTCTCCTCACCATAGTGGGTGCCTCAATCTTCTGCATCTTCTAATGAATGAAAGTCCTTGTCATTGTCGCACAATTTGTTCCCGGCAGTCTCTACAGCGCTTTCAAAAGGCACGATTTTTATATAAAAGGAAGATTCCAAAAAAGTAAAAAATACTTTTATCAAACAGGTGACATAGGGGGTAATAAAAACGGGTGACATTTAGATTTATTGATTTTTGTTTTGTTGTTTCAAAATAAAAAAAAGACATTTGCATGCAAATAGCCCTCGATCACTTCTCGGTTCCTCTTTTCAATTCCATCTCCACATTGTAAACGCCCTATTTCCTCTGTTCGAGGCTATAGATTACGAGCCTCTTAATCAAAGTTACCAGTTATTTTTGTCTTTCCTTCCCATGCTGGCCTTTTGAAAAATTCATGTGCTGAGTCCTCCCAATGACTTTCAGTATTTTTTAGAATCCAGCTGAATTGAGCCACCCAGGCAGTTTAAAAAAACTAAACTAAACAATTTTAGAACCACATCCTTCAATCTTCATTTCTTAAATCGAGGTAAAAACATGAAGTCTACAACTGTAATTGAATAGGAAATCCTATCCAGACAGTCATTGGAAGGCCACTGAACATGAATAAAGTTTCTTCAGTTCTGGACGGTAGAAAAAAAAGTTCCCCTTGATCAATTTATTTTTGTCCGCGGAACCACTAATTTCTGCTGCTTGTCCTCTTGTGTAACAGTGGTGATCTTCACGCGCACACAGCCCAAAATGAAGAAATCACATCCTTTTGTTTAACTTGTCCCCTCCCCCTATGCCGTCATCCATGACCTTGCTTTGTTGATATCCAGCTCCCGAAGTAGCCATCTCTCTTTATCCTAATCTCCAGACATTAAACCACTAAGGCTATTACCGATTGTGTTCCCGATATTGACGGGATATCTTGAACCTCTATCGACCTTGGTTCTACCTCAGAAAGCAACTCACGGCATGATGAGAGCTCGCGTTTCCATGGTCGCAAGTCATCAGTTGCATATACCAACGAGGAATGGACAAGGCAGCCAGGGATGAGTGTAACCATAACATGCTCACAAAATATTGGATCACCCTTCTTGTTGCTTATGGTTGTAGATCTAATGTTCCCCATAGATCTTTCCAGCATAGATACCTTCTCCTCCACCTCCACCTCCTTTTCCTTTTCATCTCCATGTTCCTGTGCTTCCAAAGCCTTGCCATTTTTTCTGATGACTGACGCAATGGGTTCAATCAGCATGATCCGGCGGGGTCTCGTTGTTCAGTGTCCACTCAAAAGCCTCAGTATCCGGTGTGATTTTTATATTTTTAAAAAAAAAGAAGGTATGAAAGGACTTTAGGAAAAGCCTATGATAGGATTGTGGAAATATCGTAAAAAAAAAAAAGGGGGAGGGGAAAGGACATGCCATGGGCTTTATATTCCAGCTGGGGGGTGTGCAAACAAGGTGGGAAATTGTGCTGAGCCAAGCTGTCATTACCATCTAATCTGCCAAATTGACAGCAATGGTATATGCGGAACAAACTGATCGTCGGATCGTAATATATCTCTACTCTCAATTGTTTCAAAAAAAAAAAGTTTACATCCTTTTCTCTCTGAAAACTAATTGCTTTTTCTCGATCGTGTCATGGGTAAAGCCCATGAATCCTGTTAGCCTTTTTGCTCTTTCTAACTATTGCCTTCATGACGTTTTGTTTCCCAGTAATATTCAGTGCTATCTCAAAATATTGGATCATCAATTCGATTGCTGAAAGCTTCCTCGAGGTTGATGAGGCATCTTAGGCACCCACCCTCTCTTACTGCCTCAAAAACAAGCAAGGCTTTAAAAATAGTTCTGCTTTCAATAATCACGGCTCATCAAGCGTTTGACTCGACAGCGTTCATATACAGTCATTGCAACTTACCAAAGCACAAGGAAATATCGAGCTTTCATTTGCATGACTATGACTAATACCAATTTATCTTGTATAGACAGGTCTATCATTATAGTCCTCATCTTATACCACCATTACCAGGATTGCTACTGCTCCATCAACGCTCTTTCGGTTATGGCCATTTATATGATTATTACCCATTGACCATTAACACTCTCGAGTACATTGTCCTCCTATACGGCAGTCTTCCATTACTTTTGCATCAAAGGCCATACGGACCACAATTGCATGTGCCTTGGTGAACATGATGCCTATAAGCTACTCAATCTCGTTGGTTCTTAGCTTAAAAAGGAAATGAGAAAAAAAAATGAGGGGGTTGAGGGACTTTTAACAGATGGAGCCATTGATTGTTTATTCAAAGACGGTTCACAGACACGTGGTGTCAAACTCTTTTCTATTAGTATTATAGTCAGTAGAACATACCATACCGTAAGAATACCCTATTTTATATTCATTAAAACAGGTCATCGGCTTGATCCAAGAAGCTCGCTAGTTGGCTTGGCTCTGTTTGCTCTGCCAGCCAATAGGACGCTTGACTAGTGTAAGCGTCCCATGGGTTGTCATCTTCCCCCGCGATGGATTTAAAGTACCTTATCACGACAGCTGTTGCAGCAACTGTGGCTGAGAGCGATTTAGTATCTTGGATTTCCATCGTAGCTGCGACCGCCGTAGGGATAAGACCCATACACGAGAATAGCTCATCCTTCCACGGCCAAGACCCTTCAGGTCCCTGCATTGACAAGACAGACTCGCTTCCACCTTGGTAAACCCGAGAGGTATCATTGGCTTCCTGAGCATTATTCACACCTATGGTTCTGACGTCATGGCTGTTATTATGACCGTTGTCAGGTTGCGGGTAGATGTGCTGCTGCGATATCGCATTACCTTTTGGAGTATTGCCCATAAGTGTGCCCCCCTTCCCTACTTGAGGGCGATAAACATCAGTGTCTCTAGGACTAATGTATACTTTCACTCCTTGAGTGCTGTGGTTGCTGTGGTTGCTGTGGTTGCTGTGGTTGCTGTGGTTGCTGTGGTCAAACTGAGAACTGAGATGTTGCCTCAATATCACATCATCTTCTTTAATACTGTTATTATTTTTAATACTCGAGCCAGGTAGCCTTCGCACGATCTTTTTCGCGTCGGTGTTGCTTATATCCGAGGCACCCGTCTTTGGTATGGGCCGGCTAAAATTCGGATTTCCTCTCAGCCTACTTTTCCGTGTCATGAAGGGATAACTGGTTTGATTTTTTTTTTTTTTTTTTTTGAAGAGTAGGAAATTAAATAGATGACCAGCTAGTATATGTGTGTACAATAATCGATCGGTATTTGCCTGGGGGACGAAATGACAAAAAGAGCAGAATGAAGAGAAGAGAAGAGTAAACGGAAACAGAGAGTTCAGGGCCGTGATTTTCTTTCCCCCCTTTTTTTTTTTTTTTTTTTTTTTGCTTACTCAACGGCTGGTATACTATAGATGGTCTAGATTCCATCAGACGCAAATAGTCAGGGCATTAGCTGCAGCCCTCAGCTGTTTGCATTGGCTACAGCCCTTAGTTGTTTGCATTGACAAGTTGATGGATCGAATTAGGCACAAATCATTATTGTCGCATATAGCCGTATAGCTCCTTTTTTCTTTTTGATCAAATGGGTCCAAAAAAAAAAAAAAAAAAAAAAAAAAAACAGATCGAGGTGGGAAATAAAGTCATAAAGATGGCAACATGAAAGGAAGGACGGAACGTATTTTGTGCCAATGTTTAAACACAGGAATAAAAATGTATTTATCGTTCACACGATCCGCTTAACAACTTTATGGAAGAACTTGTTAATCATTTTAAACATGCGGCATTTCTCTCTTCAAATAAATTCACTTTCTTCCAAGTTTATACTTTCTTGACTCTATATCCTCGCCTGATTTTTGATCACTTACTCGAATGTCTCTCTGACTGGCTCACTCTGGTCATGATATAAACACATAGTGATACTAACAAGGGTTCTGGGATGGGTTCTTGCTTTGTGTGCACGTGGGGAAAGCAGACGCACGTTCCTTTAAAATCGGAAAAAAATTCGTCGTCAATAAAAGAATACACCGGCTTGGCTCAAGAGGTCCGCAAGCTGATTTGACTGTGTTTACCCTCTTAGCCAGCGGGATGCACTTTACTAAAAGCATTCTGGTTGCCATCTCCCTTCATACTATATTCAGCTTACCCTACCGCTACTGCAGTTGCTTCAATCATTTCCGAGAGTGATTTTCTATCTTGGACTTCGATTGTAGCTGCAACTCTCGAAGGAATGAGGTCCATACACGCCAGTAGTTCATCTTTCCATAAATAAGGCCTCACAAGCGTCTGCATTAATAGTAGGGCTAACATACTTTCATCAAACTGGCCAATGTGCTGTCGCAACATCGAACGCACTGTCTTCTTTAACTCTGTTTGCATTAGCCACGGCTGACTGAGATATTTCTTTGTATTTGATTGTCGAGTCTTACTCGAGTAGAGAAATGTGGCCGTATAGCAACACCAATAATATTTCAATCCATCCTACATCATCTGAAGTTCCTGTGTTTACCGGAGCTCTATTGATAGCTGCGTTTCGACGGCTATTCTGTGCCGCCATATTTTGGCTGCTGTCATAACTGGAGCCAAATCGGGGGCTCAGGTATTGTTGCAATGTCGGGCTTTTTTTCCCTCACACTGTCACGAAAAAAGACATCGTTTATTTCTTTCTTAAGCAATTAGCTCCTCAGCTTGGCTCAAAAGTTCTGCTAGTCTAACTTGCCCTACTTGTCTATCTATCCAAGCTCTCGCCTTTTCGACTTCCAACTTCCAAACATCCATGTCTGCCTTCAAATATATATTAAAATACTTTATAGTCAATGCAGTTGCTGCAAGTGTTCCTGACAACGACTTTGTGTCCTGAACCTCCATCGTTTGTGCTACGATGTCACAGATGAGACCAAGGGACGAGAGTAATTCGTCTTCCCATAGCCAAGACCCTTCAAATGTTTGCATCGACAACAACGTTTTGATCTGCTCAGTACTGTCACCTTGAATACTGGTATGCTGTTGGAGTACCACGGTGTGTTCCATGATATTGCTCATTCTGAATATTTCTGCCATCGGCACTTCCGAATGTTCAACATTTCGGACTTTTTGGTCTTTTTCGGTAACCGACTCAACACAAAGTGTTTGATCTCCAGTTGTTGCCTTCATTTTTTTTTTTTTTTTTTTTTTTTTTTTTTGAAAGATGAGATAAAACAAGAAAGTAGTAATCTTGGGTGATGGCGCGCAATAAAAACATATTTAAATAACAAATTGAAAATGACGCTAGAGCGTTTTTTGAGACATCAATACCAATAGAAGCACAGGCCTTTTGGTCAAGGAAAATGCATTGCCACATGGCACCAAATAGTTTTTTTTAGCTACCGCTATTAGCAAACCTAACAATTGCCAAAAAGGTCATTCAGACCTTCTCGGTCGATAAACTTTTAATTCCTATCATTGAAAAAGGTCACCAGCTTGATTCAAGAGCCTCACAAGTTGACTTGGCTCCATTTGCCCTGCCAACCAATATAACATTCGACTTGCGTAGAAGCTCCGAGAATTGCCGTCCTCCTCTGCAATAGATCCAGAGTATCTTATCACTACTACGGTCGCAGCAACTGTCGTCGAGAGTGATTTTGTGTCTTGGACCTCTATTGTAGCTGCAACTATCGTAAGAACGAGACCCATACACGAGAATAGTTCATCTTTCCATAGTTAAGAGCCTTCTCTTCATATGTTTGCATTAATAATAATACTGGCGCGCTTCCGCCCTGATAAACTTGAAGGATGACATGCTGCCGCAATATTCGAGTTCGTAACCACCGTTTGGGGCAGGCACTGAGTTGGATAATTTCATGCTATTACACTTTGAGCTTTGTAATGGTGGTTATTAAAATGTTAATTGATGCGGTCGCTGCTATTGGCGCTGAGAAACCTGTGACCTTATGAATTTGCTCATCCCATTTACATATTTATTTCTACTAAAGGAAGAAAAAAAATGAAAAGTAAAAGTGTTGAATAGCAATAATAAAGAGATGAAAAGCCGATACCCTAAAGTGCGCGTTCTCGATAAATATCAAAATGATCTGAGGTAAGAATGCAGATAAAACACGTCCTCTTGCTTAAATAACCGCAGAATCATCCTGTTTTACTTTGTAACATGGGTCTTTCATTTTTATTGGACATCCTTATCATTGCATGTTGCTTTTGTTTATTATTTATTACTAATTATTAATTATTTATTATTGCTGACCTCTTTTCCCTTATCCCATCGTTAAACCAGGTCACCGGCTTGGTCCAAGAGACTTGCAAGTTGGCTTGGCTTTGTTTGTCCTGCCAACCAGCTGGACGCTCGACTCGTGTAAACGTCCCATGGGCCGCCATCTTTCCTCGGAATAGATTTAGAGCGCCTTATTGCTACCGTAGCAACCGTCACCGAGATCGATTCAGTATCTTGGTCACTATTGTAGCTGTAACTACCGTAGAGATGAGATCCATAAAGAATGAGGCCTGAATTAGGCAATTACATATCATTATATTTCAAATGCTGTAACGGTGGTTGTTAAAATGTGGACTGCTGTGCTGCCATAATTTAGCGTTGTTCCCGCGAATACTGTTCGAGTCTATGGTGATTCATTGGAGTGCGTGATTGCGCTGAGAACCTGTCAACAACTTAAGCTATACTTTTTGTGAGTTGAATTGTTGATCCTCATTTTTTTTTTTTTCTTTTTTTTGGAAAGGTAAGAGTACATATATATAAAAAAGGTGTCAGTTCGAAGGAGTGTATAGCGACGACTAGAAGAATGTGGAAAGATGATAGCCTAAGGAACTATAGCTACACTCTTTTTTGGTGCTAATTATCACAGGTGATGAGATCTCCTTTGGCAATCAATAAACATTTTATTTTATATTTCATGTTTAATATCGTCAAAACAGACCATCAGCTTGGTCCAAAAGACTTGCAAATTGGCTTGGTTCTATTTGTCCTGCCAACCAGCTGGATGCTCGGCTCGTGCAATCTTCCCATGAGAAGCCATCCTTCCCTTCAATAGATTTAAAGTATCTTATCACCACAATGGTCGCCGCAACTGTCGCCGAGAGTGACTTTGTGTCTTGGACCTCCATTGTAGCCGCTGCTATTGTAGGAATGAGACCCATATACAAGAACACCTCATCTTTCCATGGCCAAAACCCTTCAGATGTCTGCGCTGACCACAAGTCTAGCGTGTTTCCACTGTCCCAATCTTGAGTAATGACATGCTGTCGCAATACCGCATTGTCTTCTTGAACACTGTTCAAATTCGGAAGAAACACTTTGTGGTGTTCAGGGGCGAGCTTCAGTGCCATTACTACATCCTCTGGCAATTCTAACTCTGATGATTCTAGATCCCTTGGCGACACTGTGTTTTCTCTTTCGACACTGTCTTCCTTCATGCTGGATATTTGTTGCTCCATAACATCTGAGTCCCAAGAATCATTCAATTCCGCTTCTTGGTCACTGTAGCAATCGGAGTTGCTATCATCGGGGGCGAGAAGCCTGTCGGCGGCTTTAGTTATGTTTGCTTCTTGTGGGGTAGTTTCCATTTTGTATTTTTATTTTGTATTTTTTGGAGATAGAAAAGATAAATGGAGACATTAAAGGAAAAATGGATAAAGAAAGAAATGAAAAAGGGGATGATATACATAAATTCTTTTTTGTTTATATTCTAGATTAGGTCAATGCTTAAATTATGGCGAAGCAATATCCAAGATTGTTTTTAGTCCCCCAGAATGCAAGTTGATTAACAATTTTCCAGGGGCTTCTCAATTCTGGAGATTGTAGATTGTAGATTGTCGAAAATGTGATACGAATAGCACAGCCAAATACAATTTTTGAATACAATTAAGGTTTTTCTCATCTTCGAATTTCTTTTTTCTTTTCCCCCGCTCCCACGCCCCATTCCACTACAACAATGTGCTCCCACTGTTATTCTCACTTCTTCATTGAAACCCGCCTCAATCGAATGAAAAGCAACACCTCCTGTTGAATTGCGAGGGAGAGTGCCGAGATACATTGCAATCTGACATCCTTTCTCCAAAGAAAAAACTCGAGGCTATTGAGAAATATAATCAACCCCATGATAAAATAAGAAACAGTTGATATTTTAGATCACGTCTCCCTATCTCATTTTCAATCGACATTCGTGATAGAGTGCTCGGCCAATACACGTCCAACCACTTTGACATTTTGCATGTCTCTCGGGTCCAATTCGACCTTTTGTTGGAGCTCGTCCAGGGAAGCAACTACCTTACAAATTGCAAAGTGCTTGCAGATATGATTTTTAAAGCTCCTTGGCTCTTCTGGCGTGTCAATTGCTATGGTGGTACTGCTTTCCAGTGTTGGCCGCGGTAGTTTCCATAACTATACATCGAGGGGTGTCAAAGCCATTGCATGCAGAGTTAGCATCTCGGTTTGTCGTCTGACCCAATTCCGAGCAGAAGGAAGTGATACGCCGCTATTCCAGAGAGGAAAAAGGCTTTCCGAAGATGCTCGGCGGAATGGACGGCGTTCTTTTCCCTGTTTTTCGTGCGCCAAGCTATGATACCAAGACATGGATAACAAGGAAATATAACTTTACCATGAGTGCATTTCTAATGAAATAAAATTTTGTAATGGAAATGGAAAGCTTGCATATTGAGGTGTAAAAACAACAATAACAGATTAAGGAAAAAAAAAAAAAAAAAAAAAAAAATAGCCCGAACGGCGTGTACTTGATAGAGATCAACCAACTGTGGTAGTCTAGTCAGGCAGAGAGATGAAAAGAGGGCAGAGAATATTCGTAACCAACGCTTCCACTTAGAAAAATACGGTTCTTTGCTCTTTGGGGATATACATATATCAACCAATTCATTTGCTTTCTTCATAATGTTAAACCGAGTACAATACCAAGCGCGTATCTGACAACAACAAAAGAACGCATAGCTACAATGCGCTGTCTAACTCTTTGCTCTTTTCTGTAGTCAATATTGAGAAGATCATTGAGCCAGGAAGTATGGGATTGCCTGCTTGCTTTGACCATTTTATTTTATTATACAATCTTTAAAACAGATCACCAGCTTGGTTCAAGAGGCCTGCAAGTTGGCTTGGCTCTGTTTGTTCTGCCAACCAGCTGGACGCTCGACTCGTGTAAGCGTCCCATAGATTGCCATCTTCTCCTGTGAAATATTCAGAGTATCTTATCACTACTACGGTTGCAGCAACTATCGCCGAGAGTGATTCTGTATCTTGGACCTCCATTGTAGCTGCAACCATCGTAGGGATGAGACCCATACACGAGAACAGTTCTTCTTTCCATGGCCAAGACCCTTCAGAGGTCTGCATTGACAGCAAGTCTAACGTGCCTCTTTCTTGACAAATTTCAATGACACACCGTCGTAATATCTTAGTCCCTTCCTGGATACTGTTCATAGACTTAATTATCGGTTTAGTTTCTTCGTATTGGATCTGGTCCATTGGCAATACCGATTTGCCTTCTCTGGCGTTGTCGTTCTTCATGCTGAGTGTTTGCGGTCCCATGAGGCCTGAACCCCAAGAAGTATTTCGTTCTGCTGTTTTTTGGTCATTATGGTTATTGGGGTCGCTTTCGCCAGTCCCAAGAATGTTGTTCATATTTGTGGTCTCCTCATCTACTTGAGGGTCGAAGACATTAGAGTCCCAAGGATTGTCGTGTCCTTCCGAAGCTTGACTGCTGAGTTTGATTTGAGAACTGAGAAATCTCTTCAGTATTACACTAACTCTTACGGTGGTCCCATTCTCTATATACGCCAGTGTTTCCTTTATTTCTCGTACTTCTTGTGAGTGTGTCTCCATTTTTTTTAGACTTGAAGGGACAGGAATAATAAGCGGAGATATGTAGATATGAAGACCAGGAAAAAAATAAACAAAGAAAGGAAAGAAATGAAGGAGGGCTTATGAAATACCTCTTTTATAAATGAAAATTCTATCAGATCATGGCAGCTGTTGCTGTTGACTGTTTCGATTAAACATTGGTCCTTGCCAAGAGACATATTTTAATATTTACATGCACAATAGACGGTGAGAACCATTGTCTCTGAAAAAGGAAAAAGGAAAAAAAAAAAAAAAAAAAAGAAAATATTACTTTATGAGACGAGGCTCTCATTCTAATCTTGTCCACTGTTTGCAAATGTTATTAATTGATCCCCTGCCTCTTTTCCTTTATTGGCTTCATCTCCTTCGATTTCTTTCCTTCTCTTTTCCTTCCAAAGCTTATGTAGTGTTGACAAGATAGATGGGCCTGTAGTTTTGGACTAAACAGCAGAGGGTGGCAGGACGAGATGGAAAATAAACAGAATAGGGTGAGCTGCGCCTTGGAAAAAAAGATTAGAGCATTTGATTGGATGGTAGAGTTGAAGAGATACTTTTGATTTTGTGAAGGGGAATTAAATTAATGTGAAACATGCTGCGCTGCAGCACTCGATAAAAACAAACATTAGCGTGTTCTCAATACTTATCAAATTGAAAGCGAAAATAAGGATGTGGCGTATTTGCTTGCTTAAATAGCAGGCTTTTAGTGAAGGAGATTCATTATCGTATGTATTTTACTGTTTATAGCATTGCTATTACTCAGTTCATTTTGGACCTTCCTTGTCAATTTAATGCAGATCTTTATTGCTTTTTATCTTTCATCATTAAAATAGATCACCGGCTTGATCCAAGAGGGTTGCAAGTTGGCTTGGCTCTATTTGTTCTGCCAGCCAGCTGGACGCTCGATACGTGTAAACCCATAGGCCGCCATTTTCCCCTTCAATAGATTTAAAGTACCTTATCACTACAACTGTCGCTGCAATTGTCGCCGAGAGTGATTCTGTGTCTTGGATCTCCATTGTAGCTGCAACAATCGCAGGAATGAGGCCCATATACGAGAACAATTCATCTTTCCATGGCCAAGACCCTTCAGGTGTCTGCATTGACGACAAGTCTGGCGCACTTCTATCCTGATAAACCTGAGAGATGACATAGTCTCGTAATCTCACAATGCTTTCCCCAATTCTTTTCTTGTCAAACTGTGAGTTGATGAACTGCCTCAATACCACATTGTCTTCCAGGATACTATTCCTATTTGGCCTTGCCCCAGCATGCCAGGAGATATTGTGATGGGTGCGTAAATCTATTTCCCTTTCCACGAGTCTTCCGTGCTCATGGCTGCTCCGACGAATTTGCGATACTGAATTGTCTTCTTTTGATGCTGTCCTCCTCCCCGGTAGATGTTTGTTGTCCCATCAAAGCGAGATCGCCAGAATTATCGCGTGCTACTGCCCTTGGGCCATTTTGACGATCAGGATCGCTATCGCCTGTGCCAAGGAACCTATTAATAAGTACCTTGATGAAATCGCCGTTTCCATTATTTTTTTCTTGATGCATGGAAAAGTTACTAAAGATTGGTGAGTGAACATTTGTATGCGAACCAATTGATAGACTTGGGGAGACAGAGGTATGGGGAGATGAGAGTGGAGCATTTGTTTATTTATATTTATCTTCAACCTTTCAATTTTTATAAATTATGATTACCCTCGACTCCTGTCAGGTCGTGGCGATTGGTGTTGGCGTTGGAGTAGGCTTGGTGCCACCCAATCACAAAGCCCAGACCACATTTACATGCATATCACGGGCTCTTTAATTGTTAGACAGGCTGTGCCTTGATCTTCTTCATACCTTAGCAAACACCACAGCCAACGCTTAGTACTCTCAGCTGATGCTATCACTCCAAAAGGAGAATGCACCCCCTTTCCTCATTCTCTGATTACATGTCTAACGGCTAAATTCAATGCCATTGAAGCCCTCTCTTTTTTCTAGTCATCAAAACTTGCGGCAGTAGACAACTTGCTGAATGGTCCCTCTCCATAGCTTGTGTTCAGAATCTTTAGCACCTTTACATGCACCCCATGAGTCCTACATTGTCATAAAAAAAATAAAATTTATAAAATTTATAAATTATCCAGCGTTAACACTTGATGATTTCAAAAATCATCTTCAGAATGTTAATGAGGGAAAGGATTGAGCTTCTGGTAGAGGTTGGCAGGTGGTGCATTTTCCTTCGTTCAGCCAACGAAAGGGCGCTCTTTTTGTCTCTATCCCTCTTTCTATCTATCTCTATTCCAGCTCATCTCTCTTCTTTCCCTCAATTTCTCTCATTTCTCTCATTTCTCTCATTTCTCTCTTTCTCTCTTTCTCCACGTCTTTCTTTGCTTCTTCATCTCTTTCTCGGCCTTCTCTCCTTCTGTCTCATTCTTTTCCCTCTGTTTCTCCGTCTCTTTGTGTGAGTAAAGTTCATATGCAGATTATTCATGTTTTCATGCTCGTCTTTTTTTTTTTTTTTTTTTTTTTTTTCCTTGTGCCATTACAAAACTACAAATGTCTCAAGATGCAGGAGCTTCCAGTGAATTGAATTGGGCTAAGTTTTTTTCTGTTCATATGATCGGTTTAAATTAAGAAATTCTTTTTTAGATCACCTAAACGGTATCTCAAATTCGTATTTTAAAAAAGTAAAAGAGGGACTTCCAAACGTACACAGCCACAGAGCACTGCCCGACATATTTTATTTTATTTTACATGTATTTTATTTTGTTTTATTTTATTTTATTTTCGGTGACTTCTTTGCTGTCAAGAGTTGGGCCTTTTATGTAGAAGAACAATTTGGGTGTGTGTGGCCATTTTAACGAAACGAAGCCAGCGAGAATTTGTCTTTGGGGATAGAGATAGTCACCAGTCATTTTTTATACATTTCGGTCTTGATTAATTGCTGGATAGCTTGATTCTTCTGTCTGTTGGTTGGTTATAAATATATATATATATATATATATATATTTATGATAATATGTAGTTAGGGATCTATGCTAAAGCTCAAAACTACAAAGGAGGAAAAAAAAAAAAAACGCCACCAAATATGGGCATATCACGTGCAAATTTCAGAATTGCAGTTTTTTGAGCAATGTGTCATCAGTAAATTCATTCATCAAGTTCAATCCTCTTGCACATTTAATATAAACTTTCAAAGGCAAGAATAAAAAAAAAAAAAAAAAAATACAGCAGAGCTACGGATCAGGGCTCTTTGAAAGGCTTTCCAACAACTTTGTAATAAGAAGGAAAGGACCTTTTTGTTTGTTTGTTTGTTTGTTTGTTTTTCCACCTCCTGACCATTAGCTGATCTCATCTAAACAGGAATTCTCATGGACGTGGATCAACCCAAGGCCAAGTCTGGTGCACCCTTCGTGCTCGATAGTAACGTGTTTTGGTCTTTTGAGTTATAGGGAAAAGCAATTATGATATCGGTTCGTGATCCCGTAACTAACTAATTTTTTTTTTTTTTCTTTCAAATGTGTATCCAAAATCAGTCTTGTCGCTCACAAACGAAGCTAGAAACGCGTATGGATTGCGTCGTCAGGAGTATGGCCGGTACAGACACCATTGTACGCAAAGACTTCACAGAATCAGGAAGACCCTCGGATTCACCCATGGGAAAGATAAAAGCTTTGTTGCTCGTCCTATCACTGCTGAAACTGTGACTGATGAAAAGTATGGCTTACATGACAATGTCATTGCAAAAGCCCCTTTGAATAGAATGGAGGGGAGAAGGGGAAGGCAGAGAAAAGGATAAGTCAATATTCATCTAATGCTCTACTCATTAATGGATTTTTTTTTCGATCTACAGGTATTTACATCTGTTACTCTTCCAGGCGGAGCGTGCCTGGGGCTATGCCATGGAGATCAAGGGACTTTCAGTCGCATTGGATGACAGTCGCAAGCAGAGCCACTACATGAACCGGCTAAAGAAGGCTGCAAAGTTCGCTCAACAATTGGAAGAAATCTGTTCAGCCAAGACAGGGATGGTGGATATTAGGACTGCATTGGATGCCCAAGCATATGCTGCACTCATGTCTGGATATGTGCTCTTTCAGGCTCAACAATGGCAGGGTGCACTTGAGAAGTTCTCTGCTGCACGGGCCATCTATGACAAACTCTCTCTCGCAGGGACATCTCATCAGGAAGCACTTTGTCATGCTGCGATGGACGAGATTGATCCGAATATCAAATTCTGTGGATACCGTCTTCGTCTTTCCAAGGATGGTGTTGTGGACGTGGAGGAGCTTGTCAAGATGTCAGCGGTGAATAAAGGATCCGGATCAGATGTGTTGATGCGTGAGATTGAACATCTTATTGGCCAGACACGACAGGCGAGAGCCCAGGATTTGCATTCGATCACCTGGAGATCAAAACAGTTACCGTTGAAGGATCCTAAGCTGGCGACTGCTATCCTTAAAGCGCAGGAGACTGCTGCAGAGCTCAGTCATGTGGAGGGAGCGTCCAAGGAGGCGAAGTTGGAGAAATTTGACAAGGTTTTGCAGGCGTATGCTGAAGCAGAGAAACATATCAAGAAGGCGCTCAAAGAGGATGCTGTAAGTTGGCTGCTGACTCCAATCGATGGCTTTTTTTTTTATTTTTTTTTTTTTAAAAAAAAAAAAAAAAAAAAAAAAAAAAAAAAATTGGATAGCAACAGATCATATTCAGCTTGTTTACTGATACAAAAGGAAAAAATGTTTATGATTTTGGGTATTTTAATAGGTTGCAGCAGCTAGGGTCAGGTCTTCAAAATCAGAGCAGAATACAGCGGAACTGAACATGATTGCGAGTTACATCAGCTACTCGAGTCTCAGACATACGATCGAGCGAAACTTGTTCCTTGCTAAGGATATCTATAACAGGCTTGAAGGAAAGGAGACAACGGCGGATCGGAACGAGGATGTTCAATATCAAAACCTTGTGAAGGCATATGATAACGTGGTGCAGGTAAAATTCATGCTAGACTGATCGTTTAAAGATTTTTTTTTTTATTGCAAGCAGGACACTAACGTATAACCTTTTTTTTTTTTTTTTTTTTTTTTTTTATAATGAAATTTCAGAATCTGGCAGCTATTCAAGAGCTTCCAGGAGTTGCAGCGGATGTGGAATTGTCGAGGAAGGTGGAGAGGGCGTTATTGTATTACAAGGGCTGGCGATGCTTTTTCACAGCGACTGCGTACTTTAAGCTGTCACGTCATGTTGAGGCCATTGCATTGTTTGATCGTGCACAGAGCTATGCCACACAGATCCGTAGCGAACTCGGAAGGACGATTGGGAAACATGAGGCTGATTCGTTTTATGTGACCGAGGAAGAGTTGAAGGAAATGGAGAGCAAGATCCGGGGCAGGAAATGTCAGGTGCATGCGGCATGGTATTTGGAACATGGACAAGAAGAAAGTCTTGAGGAGAAGCTGTCGTCTATGGACTTGAATGACAAGTCGTTGGATGAGGTATACATCATGTGTTTTTGTATAATTTCATTGCTTTGGTTTGTTTGTAAAAAAGGATATAGACGTTATTGACTAATGACCGGTTCGAATCAACTGGAATTGGATCACGTTTTTTTTTTTTTTTTTTTTTTTTTTTAGCCTGCATTGATCAAGCATTTGGATACGTATCCAACATCGATTACATCGAAGAGTAACCCATTGGTACCCCATCTAGTTGATTTCCCGCCGACACTGCAGGCGATCCCGGCTAAACCACTGTTCTTTGATATTGCCTTCAATCACATGGATTATAACCATGATGCACTGGCAGAAAGAGCAGGCCATCCTCGTCAACAGAGTGAATCCTCTAGTGGATGGTTTGGAACGATCTGGGGTCGTAAATAGATGAACACAGTGATGCTTAGTAAGGATGATCTTATTAAAAAAAGAAAAGAAGGGAAAAAAAATGTATTAGCCTAATGCAGACTAGTATTTAATGGAAGTTTAAAAGAATGAAAGATATCGGTAGTCCAGACACAAAAAAAAAAAAAAAAAAAAAAAAGCTTATCGTCCATCGAAAGTTGAGAAATGAGGAATGCCAGGCAAGATATTCACACAGATGGCAACATTCCACACATTCCTATTCACCATATGCAAGCATGCAGACAAGCAAACAAATAAGTAAGGCAAAGCAAAGCAAAGCAAACAAGCAAAGCAAAAGCGCTTTTGGTTTGAAGTTGATTTGAATATAAAATGATGTGTGATTTGATTTTTTATCCACAAGACGCGTGCAACCACCAAAGGACAAAGGACAAAGGACAAAGAACAAGGAATAAAAAATAAAAATAAAAATAAAAATAAAAATAAAAAGGGAAAATAAAAAAGGAAAAAAGAAGAAAATAAAAAAGGTTAAAAAGGAAGGAAGAAGAGCATGTCTTTTGAATTTACCTTCATTCACTCTACTCATTCTATCCCCATCAGTTGAACGTTAAAAAATAAAAAATAAAAACGATAAAAAATAAAAACTATAAAAAATAAACAAACAAACAAAAAGAAAAAAAAAAGAAAGTGTGTGTGTTTACGCTGTCGTCTTTTCATTCCCTTTTTTGCTTCCTACTTTTATACTCTTGCACTCTTTTCTCTTTCTCTTTCTTTTTCCTTTTTTCTTTTTCCTGCTTCTCTCTTGCCTCTCCTGTCTCTCTTATTCTTCCTTTCCTTCTTCTCTCTATTTCTGCTCATTCACACCTCATTCCTTTTTTTATTTTTATTTTCACTTCATTTTTTATAATTCACAATGTCTGCATCAGATCTGAATGCATTCCTTGCTTGGGCTGAAGAGAATGAGATTCATTGGGACCGTGATGCCATCGAGATCCGTGAAGGCAAACACGGTCTCGGGATCTATGCCAAAAAGGATCTCCAGGCTGGTTATGAAGGTAAAACATCTTGTCCACCCCTTTCTATCGACTGTGTAGAAAGCACTTTTTTTTTTTTTTTTGTCTTTCAATATTCCAGTTTACTCAATCCAATTTTTTTTTTTTTCTCCTCGGCATAAAAAAAAATATATACATAAAAAACAGCGATCCAGGTACCAAAGACAATTGTCCTGTCTGTTCGGTCCACCGGCATCGCCAACTTGTTGGAAGAGGAGGATATTGAGGGCTATGTTGGCCTGACCCTCGCATGCATGTATGAGCATTCCAAAGGAAAGGACTCTCTCTGGTCTGTCTACCTCTCATTGTTGGACAGTCGTCGTCCCTTCATCGCCTCCGATCTTTCTGAAGATGTTCGTGAGATCATGAAGAAATCTGAAGTCTATGGCGAAATCGAGACTGACCTTGTAAGTCGTTTTTTTCTTTTCTCTTTAAAAAAAAAAAAAAAAAAGGATATGTTGTATGTGTTTGTTTGTTTGCTATTGTATTTGTTTTTGTTTTTTATTTTTTTTATTCGCCACACACAAAAGTATGATCGTTTGCCTCAGTTGTGAACCAGAAGCAGTTGAACAAGACCATGTGTTCTTCCTATTTTTGTCTAACAATGACGATACACGGCAATCACACAACGCCCTTTACGTTGTTGTCTTTGCCAAAAAAAAAAAAATAATAATAATAATACTGACTTGATTTTCTTTTTTTTTTCCTCATTGATTCATCTTCTACAGAAGGACATGCGTGAGGACTATGACTCGATTGTAATCCCTTTTCTCGCCAAGCACCCCGACATCTTTACAGAGGAAGTCAAGGAACGTTTCTTCTCCTTTGAGCACTTCAGGCTCATGACCGCCCATGTTTCTTCTCGTGCTATGGATGTCGATAACTTCCATGTCTCTGCCCTTGTCCCTTTTGCTGACCTGTAAGTTGTACATGAACCTACCATCTTGTCTTTACATCCAATCTTTAATGATGACAAAACTAAATGTTTGTTTTTATTTTTGTGTCTATAGAGTGAACCACGAAGCCGAGCCCAACTCTGACTATTTGACCCATGAGGATGTCTGTGATATCTGTGGTGCCCTCTCGTGCGAGCACTTGGATGAGCTTGATTCAGATGAGGAGGAGGATGATGAAGAGGCACCCGAGTTATCTGGTGCAAGCAAGAAGCGCGCTGCTGCCAAAAAGGCCCAGAGCGGTAGTGACGACGATGAGGAGGACAGCGATGATGAAGACTGGGAGGACGAGATCAATGACACATGCGACATCATCTTGGATGAGGATGTTAAAAAGGGTGAAGAGATTACTCGTCACTACGGCCCCTTCCCCAACAAGATCTTCCTGTCCAAGTATGGCTTTGCAGAGATCGACAATGCCCATGACACTGCCACCATTCAGATTGACATGGTCAAGAAGACCGCCCTTGCAATCGTTGGTGACGAGGCTCTTGTGGAGGAACGTCTCAACTGGTTCTTGGAAAATGAGGATACCTTCATTAGCGAAGATGATCCTGAGGAGGATGGTTGCTGCGGCGGTGACCATGATCATGATCATGATCACGATCACGAGCATGGGCACAGCCACGCTCATACACATGAGAAGAAGGAGGCTGAGGATGATGACTCTGATGAAGAGGAAGAGGAAGAGGAAGAGGACGAGGATGACTTCCCTCGTGATATCATGTATATGATGCACGACGGAACAATCGATGACCGTCTGTTGATGTTGCTGAACGTCATTTTCATGGAGAAGGATCAGTTTGTAAAGATTCAGGATAGCTTGGAGGTTGCCACAGAGTACTTCAACGACATCTTCCTCCGTCGCGCTCTTGAGGAGGAGGATGGCCTTGAGGAGGATGAGGAGGAACCCAAGCCCGAGGTGAAGCCTCTGGACGAGACTGGCCGCAGGATTCGCAAGGCTGTGTTGGAGGCTATTCTCAAGGTGATCCACCTTCGTGCAGATGCCTACAAGGTCTCAGATCAGACCTCGGCCGAGGATGATCTGGAAGCATTGAAGAAGTCGGGTCTTACCGGCCCTGCATACTATGGCGAAGTCTGCGCCGTGGGAGAGAAGCAGATTATCCAGAGCGGTCTCAAGCTTTATAGCAAGCTTTTGTCTGAATTGTAAAAAAAAAAAAAATCAATTTGCTTATTATACATTACTTTAGCTTTTTTCCTCCATACCTGCCCTCTCCCCTCTTCTCCACTCTCCACTCGCATACCTGCACATTCATACTCTCACTCACCATACTCAAGCATTGAAAATAATAAATAAACTAGGAGTTGGCGTTTGAAAGAGCCATCAGGATATATATGTAATTGACAAATAATTGAGAGATGACCAAGAGCAAGGAGGCTTTATTTGGTGGCACACACTCATTGTCGTAAAAAAAAGGAGAGAGACCGTTGAAGTATGTGTTCTGAAGTATCACAGAGCTCTTGCCAATCATAATAATTCTACTGTCATTGACACATTGACAAATCTTAATAGAACGTTAATTGTCTGAAATGGTCAATGCTTTTATTTTTGATGTTTTTTCTCAGGAATGGGATATAAAAGAGATCATTTACAATTGGGTCCAAATGGGAATCCCTTTAAATATGGTAAAAGCTCTCTCTCTCTCTCTCTTCTCTTTTCTTTTACTTTTCAAAATATTCTTTTACCCATCCTCAGTCCTTGAGTAGCCATTTTACACACAAGGAAAAAAAAAAAAAAAAAAAAAAGAGGCAAAAGACATACGATCGTAGATACAGATAGACATGCAAACTATCCGCTCCAACCTCATTTTCATCTCTGTTCTAATGGTGCTTGGCCTACTCTCTGTTGGTGAGACGAATGTAGACACTATACCTATGCCTATGCCCCTTTCTGTGGATGCGATTCATCAAAGCCCTGCCAGAATAGTCACCAGGAGTGAGGAAAGGAGTCTCAGGAATACCAGGGACATCAGGAACAGAGAGTCCTACAAGAGATGTAAAATAGAGGCGGAGGCGAAGTTTGCGTCATGCGACAATGGTACACCAGACAGCAAAGAGATTTGTTCTTCAATGTTGAAGAACATGGCCCAATCCTGTGCAGCAAGAAGCCAATAACAAAAATAGAAACGAAATAAATATATATCTATAAAAGACACTATATACACGCACTCGGTTATTATACCCTTTGTATGTGGATACTCAGTGGAAGGGAAAGATGGATTTTTTTTAAAAAAAAAAAAAAAAAAAGACCACAATTTCTTTCTTTAAGAAGCGACCATCGGATATTATTATTATTATTATTATTTGCTGATGATACTGTTGCGTTGCTCTGAACGAATGTGCAAAATGTCCTCTCTCAACACACTTGTAATATCATTTTTTATATACACAGTGCACATGTACACTGTATACCACAGCGAGTTCTCTTCCGTCTTTTTAATTCCCCGCGCATGTCAGGATTCAATATATAATTAATTAGTCTTGGGAAAAAGAGAAAGAAAAAAAAAAAAAAAAAAAAAAAAAACGTATCCACAGTGATGCTTCGAAGATGTTCTCCAGTAAATATCAAAAGTAAAAAAAGCCATCATCTGATGTCTGCTGTCTGATGTCTGATGTCTGATATAAACATTGGTTCCTTTCCTTTTAAGACCCTTTTCTCTTTTTCTAATAAATGCAAAGGAAGAAATAAAAACATAAAAAAAAAAAAAAAGAATCAGCTTTCACCTAATCAGTGTAACAACCTTGAAACCATCTTTTTTTAAAAAAAAAAAATAAAATAAAAATTAAAAAATAAAAAAAATAAAATAAAATAAAAGTCTTCCAACATTCCTTCACATTACTTTACCGCTTGCCATCAAATCATGGGCAACTGCGCCAAATCTCGCGCGGATCTAGATCTTGGATCCGAGCCTTTGGAAATTACAACTCCGCAGGACGCCACCATCAACGATCCGTCGTACGACGTGTCCTCTTCTACCCAAGACAGTAAGTGTAATAATTTCAAAATACTTTTTTTTTTTTTTTTTTTTTTTTTTTTTTGTTGTAAGAATAATTTACTAAGAAAACTTGTCTCCGTTAACCTCAATTTTCATATTTGCTTTTGTCTTGCTTTACTTTTTTTTTTTTTTTTTTTTTTTCTATACAAGTAGTCGTTACTGCCAAAACACCTTTACTCTCGCAAGGGCCAGGGGAAATAGAGAGTCTCGAGGATGTAATCGAAGGCCTCGAACGGGCTTTAATACGCGTGAAGAGCCATCCCAATTACGATGGCCGGTATTCGGACCAAATGACGGCAAGTGGCAGCAGTTCAAGCAAAATGAAGATGACAGCACAGCTTGGTCCAAGGGCTCCACAGACTGAGGAAGAAGCAGACACTGAAGCCGAGACAGAGAAGTTGAATCCAAGCCTAGAAGACTATCTCTTTAGCCGAGAAACAACTGTGGTTCCCTTTGATGATGACAACAATAACAACGCTCATCAAATCCCAGATCCCAAACCCAAGCCTAAACCCAAACCCAAACCCAAGTCTAGATCAAAGTCAAAGTCAAAGTCCAAAGCTACGCACAGCTCAGCTGTTGATCAGGAGGCGCTCAAAACCGAGAATAATGAAGAGGAGTATGGAGGAGCAGGTAACGATGGCGATGAAGGTAGAAAAGTAGCAAGTGAAGAGGATGGAGCTGAAGAAGAAGGGGCGGATGCCAATGATGGTAAGGATGGCAATAATGGCCAAGACCAAAGAGATGAAGGGCAGGCCGAAGAAAATGAAGATGATGAGGAGTACAAAGACGAAGGAGGGGACGATGACGAAGAGGAAGAGGTGGAAGAAGGAAAAGAAGAGGAGGAAGAAGAAGAAGTAGAGGAAGAGGATGAAGAGGAAGAGGAAGAGCAGGGCGAAAATGAACAAGAAGATGATAATGCCGAGGAAGCCGAGGATGAAGATGACCAAGATGGTGAGGATGCAGAAGATGGCGAAGAACAGACCAAAGCGAATGAAGCCAAAGCTACGAATCCTGCTCCTCCTTCAAAGCCAACTTCATCTAAAGCCAAGAGCAAGGGCACCGCAGTAGCCACGCGCATCACTAGGGCTCGTGCTGCTCAAAATGCGGCCCAAGCCGACAGCGACATTGTGTCGAACTATATTAACATGATCAGCGTAAGTAACTTGCTCTGACCGATGTAAGAAAAGTGTATGGTCTATATGAAACCCAAGGCCCTCATTAACACCTTGGGTTCCCTATTTCAATTTGTTTGTTTATGCAGCGCGGCATCAGAACGGAAAATAAAAAGGAGGGATCTACACGAGCGTTTCTCAAGCGCTACATCGAATGCTCGTTCGACATCCCTCAGGCTTCTCAAGAGCCACATTTCAAACAGGCTGTTCGACAAGGAATGGACTCCGGGATCTTCGGTTACAGGAACAGCAATTATGCTCGTATTGCGTTTGTCTCCCCGATTTCTGAAGGAGCTGCGCCTCCATCCACATCCCCATCCGCGCCTTCGGGGACTAAGAAAACGACGAAGAAAGCTGCGGAGCCAAAGAGCTCGGCCACTACAGCGGCCGTCGGACGCGGTAACAAGGGCGGCCAAAGCGCCAAGGCTGCACCTAGCACCAAGGGCAAAGGCAAAGGCAAAGGCAAAGGCAAAGATAAGGCGCTGTCATCAACCTCAGAACAGGCACCTGCTACTTCAGCCCCAACCAAGGCTTCTGCCGCTGCCAAACCAACACCAAAGGGTAAGGGCAAGGGCAAGTCTGAAGCATCTGATGCCATTACCCCTTCCGACCCGACAATAAAGGCAGCTGTAAGAAGAAAAGCACCTGCCAGGAAGCCAAAGCCTTCTGGGAAGGCTTCGCAATCTTCAAATAGTGTTGCTACAGCCGGCACTACTCCAAGCTCCTCTTCTCGTCCTAGGCCTACTCGGTCATCCATAAAAGACGAAAAACCTTCTGGCTCTATCCAGAACACAAAAGCACCTACAAGAGGTACGAAGCGAAATGCTCGAACCGCATTTGCAGATGATACAGAGGAAGAAACCATAGAGGGGGGCCGAGGACTGGGCGATGACAATGAGGATCAAGGCTACCAAACCGACGAAGAATACGCTGGTAATAGCAAGGGTAACGCTTCCTCTGCTTCTGCCCAAACCGCTCGTCCTACTCGTTCAAGTGGCAGAGGGCGTGGGGCCTCAGCAAATTCCTCGAGGCAGCCTCCGAGATCGTTGGTCAAAATCCCAAGGATTGAGAACAAGTCTGCGGTGACCGGAGGAAGAAAATCGAAAAAATAATTGAAAAGTGTAAAAATGAAATGAAAGAGCAAAACAAAAATAAAGGAAATACTTCTGGAGAGCAATAAGGTCATTATTTTGTTTTTATTCTTCTGACACTATGGACATTGTATGGCCAACAATAGCTATAAATGCTTGTTCCAGTACACAGCTATACACGTAAAGATAGCTATTTCGCCATACCAAGGGATTTCTTCCTTAACTCAGCTGACATTCTGAGCGCGGTAACCTGATCCGCACCAGCTGCTATGGTCTTACAGAGTTCTTTCATCTGTATTGCCATGCCTTTTGCGGTCTTGTATTGTTCTCTCCGGTTTCCCTCTGGATACTTGCCAAAAGCGATCAGTATACTCTGGTCCTTCATCTGTTCTAGTGAATCCTTACAGTCATTGAACTCCCCCTTAATTTTAACAATGGGTCCGATGAGGTTCTCGCAACAATTGACCAGATCCAGCATATGGGTGGCTCCCAAGAAATAGGCCTTAGCCTTGTTAGAGTTATGAGCGGCTACCGACAAAGAGCAAATACCCCCAGCGCCAGTGGCCACCGCTGAAACGGCAGCAGCTTTAACCCCTGTAAGGAGAGTAGCATTGGTCGCCCCTGCAAGGACAGCAGCATTGGTCGCTCCTGTGAGGGCAGCAGCATTGGTCATCATTGTAAGTAAAGCAGCTTGGGTCGTGCCTGCAGTGGCAGCAGCTTGGGTCGCACCTGCAAGGAAAAAAGCTTGGGTCGCCCCTGTAACGAGGGCCAAAGGCGGAAAGGATATAGTTGCAAGGGTATAGGCGGCCCAACCAGCGAAAGTAATTCCTAGGCTAGCGGCAGTAATTCCCAGCCCGGTAACTCCGACATCTTCGCATTTCTCGGCAATCTTAGTGTGGTCATCGAAGGCTCTCGTCCATTTTTCAGCATGTTGTTCTGCCTTGAGAGAAATGCCTACAAAGCCCTTAATGGCAGCTTCATGAGCTTCCTGTAAAGGCAGGACCTCGTTGAGCAGGCGTTCTAAGGCCAAAATAATTTTATCGGCTTCACCAATGAAGATTTTGAAGATGTACTCATAGTAATTCATCAAAACTCGGATTTGATCAATGATTCCGTAAAGGGCTGGGAGTGTTTTATCGCAATATTGCTCCACCAAATCCAAGAACTCATTTATCAGGGCCTTCTTTTCACGAGTGGCGGCTGCATAAAGAGAAGTGAGGTTGTTAAGATAGTCACCAACCCATTTAAGGAAATCGTCCAAAAAGGCCTTGATTCTCTCCAAGTCTTGTTTGATATCTGGAATGGGTATTGTGCTAAGGTCTTTTCCCTTCATTCCGTGAAGGAGGGAGAGAGGAGTGGGAGGAGGGGAAAGAGCCATTTTTTTTTTTTTTAAATGGATTGCTTATTTGTGAGAGACAAGAATCAAAGTGACAAAGAGGCAGTTCTTATATTGTCAGTAAAAACGGTATTTTTTGTAGTATATATAGCTACATTAGCTCATTGTCTTCCCTATTGCTATGTTGTAACACGACCATCCAAGGGAGGGAGCATGAAGTAGCTACATACAAAAGGATGCCAAGACAGGTCAGTTTGTTTCTTTCCGGGAAAGATAGAGATTTGTAGCGCTCGATTTTTTTCATTGGTCAAATTTAGAATGTGCTGTCCATTCATGTATCATTACTTCCTAACTTTCAAAAAAAAAAAAAAAAACTTCTGGAGGGCAATAGGGCCATCATTTGCTTTTTATTCTTCCGACACTATTAACACTATTTGGCCAACAATAGATAGCGATAAACGCTTATTCCTATAGACGGCTATACGCAAGTAAAGATAGTTATTTCGCCACACCAAGCAACTTCTCCTTAACTCGGCTGTCATTCTGAGCTCAATAATCTGATGCGCACAATACATTATGCTACTACAGAGTTCTTTCATCTCCACTGCCTTGCCTTTTGCGACCTTGTATTCTTCTTTCTGGATATCCTCGGAATACATACCGGCAGTGCTCAGCTTGCTGTGGTTCTTCACTCCTTCTAGTAATTCCCTACAAGCATCGAGTTTGATCCCAATTTCAAAAATGGACTCTTCGATCTCCTTGCTACACCTGTCCAGCTCCTGCATGTTGATGGCTCCCAGGTTATAGATCCTATCCATGGTTTCGTCATTATATGCCAACAAACAGCAATTACCTCCAATACCTCCGACACCAGCTGCTGCCGCTGTAAGGACAGCAACTTTGATCGTCCATGTAGCGATGGCCAGTGGACGGTTTGTAACAACAAAGGCAAGGGTACCCACCGCAGCGGCAGCAATTCTGTATTCCTTAGCGCTCTCAGTGTGGTCGTGAAGGGCATCCTTGTATTTTTCAATAAGACTTCGTGCCTTGAGAGAAATGATTTGAAAGTCCCTTACGGATTTGTATGCTCTTGCCGTAAAAATGGAACCAAATCGATCAAGCCATGTAAGGGTGAAATGGTGTTTTCGGCCTCATCGATGAAGACTACGAAGGTGTCCTTATGACGAGTCATCAAAGCTTGGATTCGATCAAGGACCCTGTAAAGATCTGGGACTGTTTCCGTGGGGTATTTTACCAGAAAACCCAAGAAATCATTCATTAAGACTTTTACTTCACTAGTGGTGGTTGCATAAAGAGAAACTACCGGCTCGTTAAGATGGCCATCGACCTATCTAAGGAATCCATCAAGGAAGATCTTGATTTCCTCCAAGTTCCCTTGGATACCTGGAATGAATGTAGTGCTAAAGTCTCTTTCCTTCATTCCGTGAAGAAGGGGGAGAGGAATGGAAGGAAGCGGAAGAACCTTTTTATTTAATAAAAAATGGATTGCTTATTTGTGAGAAACAAGAATCAAAATAAAAAAGAGGTAATTCTTTTATTGTCAGCAAAAAAATGGTGCTGTTTGTAGTATATATAACTACATGGACTCTTTGCCTTATTGGCATGCAACACAGTCATCCAAGGAAGGGGAGCATGAAGCAGGTAGCGTCCATTGTGAAAGCCAATGGTATATACAAATGATTGCCATGAAATGCGCTCAGTGGCAAGGGCAAAGCACGATTTTTTTATTGTCCAGCCCTATTTAGAATTTGCAACAAAAAGTAAAGTCCATGTAGGTTCCTACAGTTTATACAGAGGATTGTGAAATATAATAATAATAATAACTATAATAAACAAAAATCCTCTGGAAAGCAATAGGGTCGTCATTTGCTTTTATTCTTCCGACACTATTAACATTATTTGGCCAACAATAGATAGCGATAACCGCTTGTTTCTGTACATTACAATACAAAAATAAACATAGCTATTTCGTTACATCAACAACTTCATCTTAAACTCAATTGTCATCCCGAGCTCGGTAATCTGGTGCGCGCTGTACATTACGCTATCACAGAGCTCTTTCATCTCCACTGTCTTGCCTTTCGCAAGCCTGTATTCTTCTCTCTGGGTATCCTCCGAATACATGCCGGCGGTGATCGGCTTGCTTTGGCTTTTCACCCCTTCTAGTAAGTTCTTACAAGCAGAGAGTTTGTTCCCGATTTCAAAAATGGACTCTTTGATCTCCTTGCTACACCTGTCCAGCTCTTGCATATTGGTGGCTCCCAGGCTATAAACCCTAGCCTCGTCCCGGTTGTGCGCGGATACCGATAAAGAGCAGATACTCCCGGCACCAGCGAACACCGCTGCAAGGACAGCAGCTTGGGTTGTCCCTGTAAGGGCAGCATGGATCGCCCCTGTAAGGGTAGTATGGGTCGTCCCTGTAAGGACAGGACGGGTCGCGCCTAAAACGATGGCCAAAGGCGAGTAGGGCATAGTCACAAAGGCAAAGGCGCCCAGCCCAGCGCTAGCAATCCCCAGCCCAGTAGCGCCAGCAATTCCATATTTCTTAGTGCTCTGAGTGTGATCATGAGAGGCCGCCTTGTATTTGTCAATAAGCCTTTGTGCCCTCAGAGAAATGTTAAGAAACACCTTCGCCGTTTCTATATGTTCTTGCCGAAAAAACGAAACCAAATCGATTAGGACTTGTAAGGATGAAATAGTATCATTAGCTCCACTGATGAAGACCTCCAAGGTGTGCTCGTAACGAATCATCAAAGCCCGGATTTGATCAACGACCATGTAAAAATCTGGGAGCGTTTCCGTGGAATATCGTACCAGACAACCCAAGAATTCAATTGTTAAGGTCTTTGCTTCATTAATAGAGGTACCGTGAGGAGAAATGACGAGCTTGCTAAGATAGTCATCGATCCATCTATGAAATTCGTCAAGGAAGACCTTGATTTTCTCCAACTCTTCTTTGATATCTGGAATGGGTATTGTGCTAAGGCCTTTTCCCTTCATTTCGTGAAGAAGGGGAGAGGAATTGAAGGAAGGGGAAGAGCCTTATTTTTTTTTTAAAAAAAAAAAAAAAAAAAAAAAAAAAAAAAAAAGGATTGCTTATTTGCGAGAGACAAGAATCAAAATAACAAAGCAGTTCTTATATTGTCAGTAAAAATGGTGTTATTTGTAGCATATATACAGCTACATTAACTCATTGCCTTCCTTATTGTCATGTTGTAACACAATCATCCAAGGGGGAGAGCATGAAGTAGCTACGTACAAAAGGATGCCAAGACAGGTCAGTTTGTTTCTTTCCGGGAAAGATAGAGATTTGTAGCGCTCGGTAGCAAGGCGAAGCACGATTTTATTTCATTGGTCAACTCTATTTGGGATATGCAACAAAGTGCAGTCCACACATGTATTACAGCTTCCTACACTTTCACGCCTGATATGAGGATAAAAATAAAAAATACAAAACAAACCCCAGTTTATCGTTCGCGCAGGATCGATCCGTGAAAGGGTTTGTTATACAAAGGTACAGTGAAGAAAAAGAAAAAAAAAAAAAAAGTTCTGGAGAGCAATAGGATCGTCATGTTGTTTTTTATTCTTCTGAAACTATGGACACTATATGGCCAACAAAACCTATAAACGCTTGTTCCTGTACACAGCTATATACAAGTGAGAACAGCTGATTCAGCACATCAGATAGCAACAGAGGCTGCTTCGATTATTTGCTTCATCTTTCAAATTTTCTTTTCTATTCATTTCAATTCAATAAATATATCAAACTCCATTTTTACTACCTCATTCATACTGGTGAAAAAAAAAGTAAAAAATGGAGTTTGATATATTTATTGAATTGAAATGAATAGGAATGAAAACTTGATATAATGTCGATTTTCGACACTATGTCAAGGGCGCACTGTACACTACTTTTACCCCTGATTGAGGGAAATAACAAAAAAGAAACCATCCCAGTCTATTGTTCATGCAGAGATCCGCGAAAGGTTTGTAATACAAAGGGATAGTGAAAAAAAAAAAAAAAAAAAAAAAAAATCTTCTGGAGAGCAATAGGGCCATCATTTTGTTTTTTATTCTTCTGACACTCTGGACACTATGGACACTACATGGTCAACAAAACCTATCAGCACTTGTTCCTGTACACAACTATACACAAATAAAGATAGTTAATTCGTCACTTAAGCAGGCTCATCTTGAACTCAGCTGTCATTCCGAGCTGGGTAATCTGATTCGCACTATACATTATGATATCACAGAGTTTCTTCATCTCCTCTGCCTTGCCTTTCGCGAGCCTATATTCTTCTTCCTGGATATCAGCTGTATACATGCCGGCAGTGGTCGGCTTGCTGTGGTCCTTCACCCCTTTTAGTAAATTCTTACAATCGTAGAGTTTGTCCCCAATATTAAAAGCGGACTCTTTCATTACATTGCTACACCTATCCAGCTCCCCCATGTTGGTAGCTCCCAGGCTATAGACCCTAGCCTTGCCCGAGTTATGGGTGGCTGCCGTATAACAGCAAGCGACCCCGGCACCAGCGACCACGGTTGTAAGGGCAGCAGCATGGCCCACCCTCGTAATGATGGCCAAAGGCGGACAGGGTATAGCCACAAGGGCAAGGACGCCTAGCCCAGCGCTAGCAACCCTCAACGCAGTACCCTCAGCAGCGGTGTATTTCTTAGCGCTCTTATTGTGACTACTAGAGGCCTCGTTGTATTCGCCAATAAGCTTTTGTGCCCTGAGAGAAATGCTAAAAAACATCTTCGCCGTTTCTATATGCTCTTGTCGAAAATTTGGAACCGACTCGATCAGGTCTTCTAAAAACAAAATTGTGTCTTTGGCTTCACTGGCGAAGACTCTGAAGACGTGGTCGTAACGAGTCATCAAAGTCCGGATTCGATCAACGACCATGTAAAGATCTGGGAGTGTTCCCGTGCAATATCGTACTAGACAAACCAAGAATTCAATTGTCAAGGTCTTTGCTTCACCAATGGGGGTACCACAAAGAGAAATCTCGAGCTTGCTAAGATAGCCATCGACCCAACTACGGAATTCGTCAAGGGAGACCTTAATTTTCATCAAGTCCTCTTTGATATCTGGAATGAGTGTTGTGCTGAGATCTTTTCCCTTCATTTCGTGAAGAAGGGGGAGAGGGATGGAGGGAAGGCAAAGAGCCATTTTTTTTCTTTTTTTAAAAGGATTGCTTATTTAAAAAACAAGAATCAAATTGACAAAGAAGCAGTTCTTATATTGTCAGCAAAAATAGTGCTGCTGTTAGTATAAATAAAGCCACATTGGCCCATTGCCTTCCGTATTGGCATGTTGTAACACCACCATCCAGGGGAGTGGGCATAGAGTGGCTACGCACAAGAATATGCCAAGGCAGGTCAGTTTGTTTCTTTTCGGGAAAGATAGAGGTTTGTAGTACCCATTGTGAAAGCCAATGGTATATGCAAATGATTACCATGAAATGCGCTCGGTAGCAAGGCGAAGCATGGTTTTTTTCATTGGTTAACTCTATTTAGATTATACAACAAAGTACATGTACAGTCCATGTAGTTTCCTACACTTCCGCCCCTGATCTGAGAGAAAAAAAAATAAAAAATAAACCCCCAGTTTATTGTTCGCGCAGGGATCCGTGAAAGACTTTGTTATTCAAAGGATAGTTAAGAAAAAAAAAAAAAAAAAAAAAAAAAAACTTCTGGAGAGCAATGGAGCCATCAATTACTTTTATTCTTCTGACACTATGGGTACTATATGGCCAATAAAGCCTATAAACGCTTGTTTCTGTACAGATAACTCATCACATCAAATAGCAACAGAGGCTGCTTCGGCTATTTGCTTCATCTTAAACTCAGCTGTCATTTTAAGCTTGGAAATCTGATACGGATGACACCTTATGCTATCACAGAGTTGTTTTATCGCCTTTGCCTTGCTTTTCGCAGCCTCGTATTCTTCTTTCTTGTCACCCTCTTCATACTTTTCGCCAATTAGCGGTTTACTGAGGTGCCTCAACTCCGCTAGCGACACCATACAAGCATCGGACTCCTCGCTAATTGCACTAATAGGTTTTTCGAACTCCTTGTTGTTGTCTATCAGTTTCTGCAATTTGGTGACTTCCTGGTCATAGGCCGTAGCCTTGGTCTGGCAAACCTCGGCTTTCAACTCACAGAATTGCCTCCCGACGCCAGCGGATAGCACTACAGTAGAACCAATAAGCATGTTAGCCGCACGTTCGGGCAAAGCCAAACGAAGTACGGTCGCACAGGAACAGATGGTTAGCCCAAAAGAAGCAAGTTTGAATAGTTTATGGGTGGCAGTATACCCACGAGAGGCCGCCTCGTACTTGTCCATAAGCTCTTTTGCCTTGTGGCAAATGGCAGTATAGCCGTTCGCGGCTTCTTCATGGGCTCTTTGTAAAGATTGGGCCATGTTGGTCAAACCTTGCAAGGACAAAATGGTTTCAGCCTCACCGACGAAGACTTCAAAGGTATGCTCGTAACAAGTCATCAAATCCCGAATTTGATCAACGACCTTGTAAAGGCCTGGGAGCTCTTCCTTGAAAAAGTGTGCTACAATGCCCAAGAAATCTGTTGTTGGGGCCTTTAGTTCACTAGTGGTGATTGCATAATGAGAAACGACGGACTTGTTGAGATAGTCATCGACCCATTTAAGGGATTGGTCAAGAAAGACCTTGATTCTTTCCAACCCTTCTTTGATATCTTGGATGAGTTTAATGGTAGGCTCTTTTTCCTTCATTTCGTGAAGAGAGGCGGAGGGGGGAGTGGAAGAGAGGAAAGAATTTTTTTTAAATGGAGCAAGAATCAAAATACAAAGAAGCAGTTTTATATTGCCAATAAGTATGGGTGTTGTTTAGCATAAATATAGCTTTACTTTGACTCTTTGCCTTCCTTTAGCATGTTGTAGCACAGTCATCCAAGGGGGGACATGAAGGCGCTCGGTAGCAAGGCGAAGCACGATTTTTTCATTGGTCAACTCTATTTACATTATGCAACAGAGTACTGTACATGCACATGAAGTTTCCTAATTTTTACCCATGATATGGGAGAAAAATATAATTCTGGAGAGCAATAGGATCATCATTTGCTTTTATTATTCTGCCACTATGAACACTATTTGGTTATAAACGAATAGCTATATCTCAGTGATTTGCTTCATCTTAAACTCAATTGTGATTTTAAGCTTGGAAATCCGATACGGATGACGTTTCATGCTATCACAGAGATTTCTTATCGCCTTCGCCTTGGCTTGTATTTCCACATACTGTTCTTTCTTCTCATCCTCTTCATATATTTTGGCCATCGGCTTGCTGAGGGTCATCAGATATCCTAGTGTTTCCATACAATCAGCAAACTTGCCGCCAATAACGTCAATAGGTTTTCTAAACTTATCGTTGGTGCTCAGCAGGTCCTTCAACTTGATGACTTTCTGGTCATACTCGGTAGCCACGGTCTGGTGATTCTTGGCTTTTCCCCAAAGGAAATAACTCGCGTAACCAGTGGGTATCGTTACAGTAGCAGTGGCAAGCATCTTTATCACGCCTGAAACGGGGAGCACAGCCGGACTAGGTATGGCCAGACAGGCAAAGATGGCTAATCCAAAAGAAGCAGCTTCGAATAGTTTACGGCTCCTAGTATGCTTATCAAAGTCCTCTTTGTATTTTTGAGTCAGATCGCCTGCCTTGAGCAAAATTTCATAAAGGTCTGTCGCGGCTTCTTCATGAACTTTTTGTAAAGGCCCAGCTCTATCGATCAGGCCTTGTAAGGATGAAATGGTGCCTTCGATCTCACCGACAAATATCCCAAAGGTGTGCTCGTAACAAGTCATCAAACCCCGGATGTCATTAACGAAGTTGCAAAGTTTTGGGAGCGTATCATTGAGATATTTTCTCATAGTACTCAGGGATTTTTTTATCAAAGACTTTAGTTCGCAATCGGGGGCTTCATAATGCGAATTGGGGAGCTTGCCAAGATAGATCTCGTAATAGTCAGGAGCTTCGACAATAAAGAACTCGATTATCTTCAACTCTATTTCGACATCTGGAATGAAATTAGGGGTAGGCTGTTTTTCCATCTTTTTGTGAAGAGGGAAGAGAGAGGTGGAAGAAGGGACAAGGGTTATTTTTTTGATTTTTTTTAATGGATTGCTGGTTTATGAGATAAGAAAAGTACAAAGAAGCAGTTTTTATATTGTCAGTAAAAAAGGTGTTGTTATATATACAGCTACAAACTCCTTACCCTCCTTATTGGCATGCTATAACACATTGATCCAGGAAAGGGGCATGAAGCACCTGCGCACAAAAAAATAAAAATAAAAAAATGCCAAAGCAGTTACTTTCTGCGAAAGATAGATATGAAGTGCCCATTATGAGATTCTATGGTAGACACAAATGATTACCATGAAAAGCACTCGGTGGTAAGGCGAAGCACGGTTTTTTTTCATTGGTCAACTCTATTTAGATTATGCAATAAAGTACACTCCAGTCTCACTGTTTTGCAAAATGTGCAAAAAAGTGGATTTTATATACGTTCTGCGATGCTCATTGGCTAGATTCACATTTAATTCAAAAATTTTTATTTTAAATTGGCTGGCAAAGGGTAAGAGGAGAAAGACAAGCAAAAAATCAGCCAATTGAATTGTGGTTTTAGAATAAATATTTTGAATTAAATGTGAATTTAGCCAATGAGCATCGCAGAACGTATATAAAATCCACTTTTTTGCACATTTTGCAAAACAGTGAGACTGGAGTGTATAAACATGTGGTTTTCAACATTCACCCCTGATATGAAGGAAAAATAAACAATAAAACCCCAGTTTGTATAAAAAAAAAAAGACTTCTGGAGAGCAATAGGGCCAACAAAACCGATAAACGCTTGTTCCTTTACACAGCTTACACAAATAAAGATAGTTATTTTGTCACATCAAACAACTTCTGAGCTCGGTAATCTGATGCGCACAATACATTATGCTATCACAGAGTTCCCTCACATTCAGTGCCTCACCTTTCGCGAGCCTGTATTCTACTTTCTGCCTATCTTCCAAATGCTTGCCGGCAGTGATCGACTTGTTGTATCTCTTCATCTCTTCTAGTAATTCCCTACAAGCATCGAGTTTGATCCCAATTTCAACAGTAGGCCTTTCGACCTCAATGCTACATCTTACCAGCTCCTGCACGTTGGTGGCTTCCAGGTTATAGATCCTATCCATGGCTTCGTCATTATCGGATGCCAATAAACATTAAATACCACCAATACCTCTGACACCAGCGACCGTCGCTGTAAGCAGCAACTTTGACCGTCCGTGTAGCGATGGCAAGCGGACGCGTTGTAACTCCAATGGTAAGGGCGCCCAGCGCAGCGGCAGTAATTCCGTATTCCTTAGCGCTCCAAGTGTGACCGTGAGAGGCCGTCTTGTATTTGTAAATAAGCCTTTGTGCCCTGAGAGAAATGTTAAAAAAGTGCCCCACGGCTTTATTATGACCTTGCCGTAAAAATAAACCAAATCGATTAGATCTTGTAAGGGCGAAATGGTGTCATTGACGTTACCAATGAAGACTTCGAAGGGGTGCTCATAACGCGTCGTCAAAGCCTGGATTTGATAAACGGCCCTGTAGAGATCTGGAAGCGTTTCCGTGGAATATTGTACTAGACAATCCAAGAACCCAATCGTCAAGGCCTTTGCTTCACTAATGGAGGCACCATGGAGAGAAACAACGGGCTCGTTAAGATGGTCACCAACCGATCTACGGATTTCGCCAAGGGAAACCTTGATTACCTCTAACTCTTCTTTGATAGCCAGAATAGATGTAGAGCTAAAGTCTCTTTCCTTCATCTCGTGAAGAAGGGGGAGAGGAATGGAAGCAGGGAGAAGAACTTTTTTTTTTTTTAAAAAAAAAAATGGATTGCTTATTTGTGAGGGACAAGAATCAAAATGACAAAGAAGGAATAGGTAAAAATGATGTTGTTTGTAGTATAAATAAAGCTACATTGACACATTGCCTTCCATGTAACACTACCATTCAAGGAAGCAGATAGTGAAAGCCAATGGTATATGCAAATGATTTTTTTCATTGCTCAACTCTATTTGGGAGATGCTGCAAAATGCAGTCCATACATGTATTGCAACTTCCTACATTTTACCCATGATATGAGGGAAAAAAATAAAAATGAAGCCCCAGTTTATTGTTCGCACAGGAATTCGTGAAAGGGTTTGTTATACAAAGGTGCATTGAAAAAAAAAAAAAAAAAAAAAAAAAAAAAAAAAGCTTCTGGAGAGCAATAGGGCCATCATTTGCTTTTTATTCCCTCGACACATTGGACACTATATGGGCAACAAACCTATAAACGCTTGTCCCTGTACACAACTATATACAAAGAAGAATAGCTAATTCACCATATCAGATAGCAGCAGAGGCTGCTTCGGTGATTTGCTTCCTCTTAAACTCAGCTGTCATTCCAAGCTTGGAAATCTGATACGTATGGCACATTATGCTATTACAGAGTTCCTTCATCGCCACTGCCTTCCATTTCGCGCATTCGTATTCTTTTTTCCGAACATCCACTGCATACTTGTCGACCATGATTAGGTTGCTGTGGCTCTTCACCTCTTCTAATAAATTCTTGCAAGCATAGAGCTTGTTCCCAATTTCAGCAATGGGTTCTTTGATCCCTCTATTACAGTCTTCCAGCTTCAGCAAGTAGGCAACGCCCTGGCTATAGATCTCAGTCTTGGTCATACTTGGCTACCAACCCAGAGACACCACTTCCGCTACTTGCGGCCATCACTGCAATGGTACCAGCCAATTTGATCGTCCCTGCGACGGGGGCCAAGGGTAAACAGGGTACGGCCACAAAAGCAAGAGTACCTAACCCAAATGAAACAATTTTATGTCGGGTGGAGTCTCAGTATGACCGCGAGAGGCCTCGTTGTATTTGTCAATCAGATCTTGCGCCCTGAAAGAAATGATTTGAAAGCCGTTCGCGGCTTCTTCGTGGGCTCTCTGTAAAGGTGGGACCATATTGATCAGGTCTTGTAAGGACGAAATGGTGTCTTTGGCTTCATCGACGAAGACTTCGAAAGCGTGCTCGTACCGGGTCATCAAAGCTCGGATCTGATCAACGATTTTGCAAAGATCTGGGAGTGTACGGTTGTAATATCGTTCCACAATATCCAAGAGGTCTTTTGTCAAGACCTGTAACTCACAAGTGGTGCTTCTATAAAGAGAAACGGTGAGCTTGTTAAGATAGTCCTCAACCTCTTTAAGTGATTCGACTAGGAAGACCTTGATTTCCTCCAGCTCTTTTTCGACATCTGGAATGAATTTAGTGGTGGATTCTTTTTCCATCATTTCGTGAAGAGGGGAGAGAGGAATGGGAGAAGAAAGGGCCATTTTTTTTCTTTTTCTTTTTTTAATGGATTGCTTATTTGTGAGAGACAAGATTCAAAAACACAAAGAAGCAGTTCTTATATTCTCAGTAAAAATGATGTTGTTTGTAGTATATAAATGCATATAGCTACATTGACTCTTTACCTTCCTTATTGGTATGTTGTAGCACATTTATCCAGGGGAGGGGGTATGAAAATGCCAAGACAGGTCAGTTTGTTACTTTTCAGGAAAGTTAAAGATGTAGCGCCTAGAGCTCTATTGCCTATGTTGCAATAGTTCTACGAAAGGCGAATTCGGCACAGCAAGGCGAAGCACGGTTATTTTCCATTGGCCAACTCTAGCTTCCTACATTTCCACCCCTTACTTGAAGGAAAAAAAGAAAAGCTTTGCCAAAATCCTGTTATTGTGCGTGTAATGGTCCATGCTTCTCTGCACAAAGAATGTGATAAGATTTGTTACACAAAGGATAGTGGAAAGGAAAAAAAAAAAAAAAAAAGCACCACCTCATGAGCATACCAGCATGGATAACGCATGGCAATAATCATTGGTTTTTTTTTTTTTTTTTTTTTTTTTTTTTTTTTTTTTTTTCAAACAAACTTTCTACGCGTAGGTCTTGCATGAATCACTAGAAAAAAGAAAAAAAGGAAGCTACGGGGCATGCGGTAGATTACATTGGTTGTTTTGCTATTTGGCGAAGTAACATTAAGTCCATTGTGAGTGGTTAAAAGGATATGAAAAATAAGATAATAATAAAGATAATAAAAAATAATCGATCCATATCATTTCCCCTGATTTTTTTCCCTTCATTTTTGAGAAAGACAAGGGGATGAAAAAACACAGCGTATCTACTAGCTTGACAGCTAAGGTTACGAAGGCAAATAAAGTAAGTATATAACTTCGATCATTGTTCAGAGGAGTAAGTGCAATAGTTATTTTGCGATCAGAACATGCCTCAGTTAAACCATGATAAAATTATACTACTGTTTCTTTGATTGGTTGAAATGGCTTGACACTCACACTCTCTGTTTTTCCCCCGGCATTACCGACATTACATACAGTATCATGTCCTTGGCATGCATATTGTTTAGTACTGAAGAAAAGACCAAAGCGTGGTTTTTGGCTCCACAGTTTCGATCATACTCTTCCACCATGCAAGTGATGTTGTGACAAAAGAAACTGCAGGTTTTTAAGTGCAGTTTTTATTATTATTCACTGTACGGGAGATGAGACAACACATTTCAACTTCATTTTATCCTGAATCTTATGCTATTGTGATGATATGAGTAGGTATGTCATGCCAATACGTTGTTTCCTAGCCATTATATCACAATGACCTTACAAATCAAGGCATGTACAAGACGCTTGCCGAGGAGTAATTTGCTTTTGAATAGAGGTTTGAACGCAATGTACAGTTTTATTTTGAGTAATGCAGTTTATGACCAAATCGAGCGACTTTTGATGACTCAAAGGCGCCATTGCCTGCACACCTTAGCACAGATACTGCCTTTGAGGATAGGAATCTCGAAGTAGTTCAAGGGCTACACTACCATCCATTTTGAAAGAACCCTGAATTTTCCTGAAGCCAGTGGGAATGGCTACAATATCGCATAGCAGATAATGAGAAGCATTGCTATTAAATAGTGTTTCTCGGCTCCCTAAAGGAAGTAAGTTCACTTAGGGCCACGGTACAGCTGAGGGTTCATGAGTTTTATGGAATCAAAGCTACATAAGCCTGACTAGGCAATATTCTGTTCGAGGCTCGTCAAAAGATGCATGCCAGCATCCATGAATATTATAGAGCCACGGTGCTAACCAAATTTCTATACCCGCCAACGACAAAGTGCGATTGACTAAATTATAAATTTTATTCTTTTGTTAGCAGAGGACTACTTGTCACACCCTTATATGTGTCGATTATGACTACTTAGGCTCCAAGGAGTGACTCGGCTGCTTCCCTGTACGCATTCGTGGCAATTCTGAAAAGACCTGGTCCCACACTAATACGAGCAACGCCAATCTCCCTCAGCTCTTGGACCGTCAAGTAGCCCTCACCGAAACGTAGAAGGACATTCAATCGCCCATCCAATGCGGTGGCAAGCTCCTTGACTTCCTCTCGTGAGACGCCACGACCACGAGGCCCACCCCATACGAAGACTGTGTTGGCCCCAGCAGCCAAAAAAGCTTTCCCTCTCTCAATCGCATCTTCAACTGAACCACCATAGCCCAAGACATCTGTCCTGGCATTGACAGCAAATTCAGGTACACCAGCCTCTTTAGCGGCCTCAAGCGCCAACTTGATTCGATGGACTGCATCCTCCGAAGTCCTCAACGTATGGGTCTTATTGTCAACATCCTCCAAATTGCATCCTACAACGCCTAGTGCGATGGCCTCCTTGATCGTGGCTTTGACATCGTCATATCCATCTTATAGGTCTGCGGTCAAGGGCAAGTTCTTGGGAACAACTACAGCAGCAATCTTTTTGATAGCAGCAAAGTTCTGCTCACGCGTCAGATCTTCGTCATTAACGCCCTCTGCTGCAGCAATAGCAAAACTGGCAGTGGCAACAGCCTTAGCTGAAGGGACAGAAACTATGATGGATGCAGTGGCAGCATCATAGACATTGCCGAGGATCAAGGGGTTTCCAGGCTTGTGAAGAGCGCGGAAGTGAGTAGCAACGGCGTTTTGATCAGAAGGAGACATGGTTTCTAGGTGGGAGGGGTTTATTTTTCTTTGGTATGTGTATTTGAAAGTGCTTTGGTATCAGGGAAGAGCGTGGGAAACAAATAATAATGAAAAGGAAAAAAAGAGACTGATCCACTTGATGCCTTAAATAGGGTTTTTCTGTGTTCCTGGAAAGAGATAGATTGTCAATTGACGATGTTCCTGCCAATATTTGTGGATTGAGTCACAGTCCGTTGAAGTTTTTTGTCAAAAGGGAGCTGCGTAGTCGTTTCCCCAGAGAGAGAGAAAAAAAAAATGTTCCTCTTGCTGACATAAAACTGCGGAATCGTGCTACCCTGAGGGTCCTTGTTATCAAAAAAAAAAAAAAAAAAAAAAAAAAACTGCGGAATCGTGCTAAGCCTCAGTGCAACTCTAATTAAACATTTGACATTTGTAAGATTTCACGGCGCTGATCGATAAGACTAGAACACGTTAAAAAGATCGCAGAATCTCCCAAGTTCAGTTCAAGCTCATTTCATTTCGTCAAAAATTATCTTTCTTTTTTCATTTTCTTTTTTTTTCTCTTCACTCATTTTCATCTTTATCCTCTATATCTTTCATAATTACAGCCTCCATGACAGTTGCAGTGAGTCAGGAACAGTTCACCCGTGAGCAACTCTTCAATATTCTTCGACACATTAATTACCCACTAGAAAATCCGGATGAATTACCCAAGCCAACATATGAGACCCTTCGTGAACTGGAATACCGATGCGTCACATCAATCCCATTTGAAACTTTGAGTTTACGGTTAACAAAGGCTCGTGAAGTAGATATCACTCTTCAAGGGATTTACGATCGCATCATCAATCAGCACCGTGGTGGATGGTGTTTTTCTCTCAACAAACTTGCGTATGAACTCCTTCGGGGCCTTGGATTTACAGTTCAGTTCACGATAGCTCGTGTCTGTAAGCCTTTGAATTACGGTGATCCCATTCGTTTCCAGATGCTCTCTCATCGAGTGTCCATCGTGCGATTGAAGGATGGATCCAAATACCTGTTCGACATTGGCTTCGGCAATACTTCATTCTACCCAATCCCGTTGAAAGAAGGTGCTGTAGTCGAATATTTTGGACATAAGCGTCGTATGAGCAAGACCGTCCATAATGAGGCACAACCGGAATTGTTAGGAAATCCTCCTCAGCAGCTTTGGTTGATGGAAGAATACTTGGGTGAGGACAAGTGGGTTCCATGCTATGCGTTTACGGAGGATCAATTTTATGAGATTGATTGCGAGATGGGCAACTTTTATACCTGTCATTCACCCAAATCCGTATTCTACTCTTCATTCTGGTGTGTTCAGGCCACATTGGATGGCAAGATATATATGCTGCTGGACAAGCAATTCAAGATCCGGACAGCTACAGGCAACGTAGAAACAATCGTCTTCACCAAGGAGCAGGATCGATTGGATGCACTAGAGAAATACTTTGGTATTGTTTTGACAGAGGAAGAATTGAAATACCATGATCAAAAGATCGAATAAAAAAAAGTTTTTGTTGATTCTAGACTAAGACTCATTTGCAAAGTGTTTAATGATTTTGAATCCATGATGCATAAAGTAGTGATCATTATACACCAACATCATGAACAAGTGAGGAAAATGATTCTGTGAATGGAAGGAACACTTGTATTGGCTACAAAACTCAAAATTACTGTTTGTGTCATACAAGGACTGCTCAGTTTTAAGTGTCTCACTTTGTCTATTTATCCGATGCTTGGATGGTTCCTCTGGAGGAAGATCATACCGGGAGAAGTGACTAGGATCGCCGAGGACATTGTACAGGCAAACTTCAGGAATAGTGTCCACGCCAGATTTTAACAACCTAGGATGGTCGAGAATTTTTCTAAACTTGCTTTTGTCGTCATGGAGAATTATCATCAAATGATTTCTGTGACCATAACTAGCCCATTGGGATTTATTGTTCAGATGAATATTATTTAACGTACTATCATATTATTAGTCTCGTTATTACTATTATTGCTATTGCCATTCTTACTCAATCAGTTCATCGACATTGTTCAAGAGTTCTTCTGTGTGAGTCTCTCCTATATGAGACTCTATCCATGATCTTGCCTTTTGAACAACCAAATCCCAGACATCCTTCTCCTTACCCAACTTTTTCTCAAAGAACTTGATTGATAGAGCAGTAGCCACAAATGTCGCCAATAAAGAAGAGCTATTATCTCTAATGCCCTTGGCTATCAAGTTTTGTGAAACATCATCAGGTTTAAGGCCAAGGCACGAAAACAGCTCAGGTTTCCATTCCCAGGACCCCTCAAATGTTTGTAAGGAGAGTAACGTTTCCAAATGGTTCTCTGCAGTAGCAGCAACTGGAGAAAATGAAGTTGTTGTAACTATTGTTTTAGCCGCACCAAAACCTTTTCCAAAAGTAGTTGAGGCCGATCCAAAAGCAGTTGGGGCTGCGCCAAACGTGATTGGTGATGCTCCAAAAGCGGTTGAGGCCGATCCAAAAGCAGCTGGGGCTGCGTCAAACGTGGTTGGTGGTACTCCAGAAGCGGCTGATGTTGTTGCTCCAAAAGCGATTGAGGCTGAACCGAAGCCTGATCCAAAAGTGGCTGGAGCCGAACCAAAACTTCCAAAAGTGGTTGGTGCCGAACCAAATGTCATTCCAGACCCTGGAGCTGGCGGTGGGGGTGGAGGTTGACAAGCTGCGGCGCCAAAGCCTGTCACGAAATCGCTACCTCTGTATGATATTTGAGGCTGTTGAGCCTGTTGTTGAGCCTGAGCCATGGGTGCCGTATATGCCATAGGCAGGGCACCGCCTCTAAGTCTAGGATAAGCTAACCCCACTGAACCATTTGCAGAGTAGCCAAAGCTCTGAAAATGACCCAAGCCTGATCCTACTCCTCTGGCTTGGATTAAATTCTGATCAATGTCCCTGCAGGCCGGCGGAGAGAAAATATCCCAGTTTCTGTTGCTATTATTGTTTGCTGCTTCACTCTGGGGCGTATTTTCGACTCCAACGAATGAACACCATTCACTTTGAATTTGGAATTGAATACCTAAGCGAACTGCCTCTTTTTCAACCAAGCGTTCAAAAACCGCTCCACCAAATTTGGCCTTGATTAAAGTGCCCTTGTCGTCCTTGGCCTGAGTAACCCAGCCACGGCCCTGTTCAAGTTCTGCAATAGCCTTCTTGGCAGCCATCTGGTGAATGGTTTCTCCAGGAGTATCAAGGACTTGGATGGGGATTTCAAGCTCAAGTGGGCCTCTCCATGACTCTCCGCGAAGGATTACAGATTTTGGAGTCCTTGGGTTGGATCCAGGGCCCATGAGGAGGTATACAGTTGTTCGGTTGAAAGCGTAGAGTGGAGGAATGACATGTGGCGCCTGCAGCAGCTTTGGAGGAGCCAATTGTGGCAGATCCTCATCGCCATCGGAGGGGGTCTTATCAAGGTCAATAGACTTGTCAAAGAGAGAAATCGGCTTCTTTTCCTTCGTAATATTTAGTTTGACTTCAAGGCTGTCTGTCACTCTTTCAACCATCTCAAACCCTTCGTCATCCTCATCTACCTTGCCGCTGTTCTCTTCGGTAGCATCGCCGTACTTCACCTCCAGTGTGTAATTGGTAAAGTGAGGTGAGAGTGCACCCTTGAGCATGCGAACCACCTTCTTGTCCATCATTTCGCCTTCGCCCACAGTCTGCGAGAACCCATTTCCAGCCTTGGCAACACCTTCGATCAGTGCATGAGAGACACCATTACCAACACCCAAAGTAAAGACGCGGATTGGCATCTTGCTCTCCATAACCTCTTTATTCAAGTACGAAAAGAGCTGATCTTGGTTCCATATCTCACCATCGGTAAGCAACATGATCTCCAGAGGCATATCCTGGCTTCGTTTTTCCACTGTCGCTTTGATACACGGAAACATCTCCGTGCCCCCCATGTTGGCCTCCATCTCCTTTACATAATTGATAGCTTGATCTAATGTGTTTTGAGAATATATCTGGCTTTTATCCCAGAGGAAGGAGTAGTTGCTGCCGAAAGAGCAAATGTTGAACTTTACACCGACAGGCAAGCTCTTCAAGAAGACATTTAATGCTGATCTTGCTAATGACATTGCTGTTCCGTGCATACTACCGCTGCGGTCGCAGACAAAGATAATTTCTGGTTTCTCTGGAGGAAGTTGAAACCGAGGGACAAGCGTGGTCATCAGAGCCCGCTGGTTAGGAATAGAAGGATGGGTTTCAAGGATAGCACTAGGATCGCCTGTGTCCTTGGCCAAGACATGAATGACGAAATCTTTATCCAGTTCTGCTGTACCAAGACTGAGTGTTGCTGATGCTTTAGACATGGTGGGCGTGGCGTTGGGAGCGATAGAAGTGGTGCCGATAGAAACAGCAATAGGGTGACTAGGTGATTGGATTTGTTGAATAGGTTTTTGGTCGGGCATGATAATATCAACTGTGACCTGAAGGCCACCCCCTGTAGCCTTTTGGGCATGGGCACCCGTGTAGAGCTCAACTGGATAATGGCCATACCGCGGCATGATTTTCGTGGGGATAGTGAAACGAGTACCATCGATTTCCGCATCGTGTTTGAGCTCACCAATGAACGTGATCTCGACAAGAATGGTCGACCCTGGAGGCGCATTACCAACCGAGCTAGTGAAGACATCCGACGCATCGGGAAGCTGCTCCAAAAGCGCGGCAGCCTTGCCCTGGCCGACAGCGTCATTAAATTCAGTTCTGGCCTGGAATCGTTCCTTAACTTGACCTTTAATGAACCTATCACCAATTTGGCAATTGAAACTGACGACACTGACACCATCGTAAAGAGGGAAAGTGTATTGTAATTCAGGAATGGTGTCATTAGACGGATTGATGAAAGTTTGAGTGAGTTTCGTGCGAGAGTTGAGGGCCAGGATCTCTGTGTGGGCTTTGATGTCAACTAAGGGCAGATATTTGTTATGATTGCCCACAGAAGAAAGTCCACAAATGAATATTTGCATTTTCTTTTTTGTTGCTTAAATTAAAAGAGAGAGAGTTGAAAGAGGAAAGAGGAAAGAGGAAAGAGAAAAGGGAATGATGGTGAAAAAAAGGGGTAAAGAAAATGGTTGGAGGCGTGAGCGATATTTAACAGGCTGCTTGCTTGTGGCGCAGCATTATATTTTGCGATGTTCTTGCATAAGTCGACACCTTTTTTGTGTAACACACAGAAAATCTAACAGGACACTTTGGTTTGGATCAATTAGATTGAGCCAAGTAGAGGAGCCATTGAAACAATGGTTCTACCCAAGTATGTTGGATTGTGTACCTACTTATAGCACTATTGCAAACATACCCTCCAAACACTAAAAATGCTGATTTGTTCCAATGCATTGGACAAAGCGCACATTTATGTGCACGCTGCCGATGTCACTCCTAGAATAAAAAATGCTGTTTGTTGAACGTAGCCTTGAAACTGGTTTTGTCAGCAGCAAATCGATGACCAGCCAAAACTAGGCCCATCATAATAAACTCAATTAAAAATAAGGGCCATCCTGTCAGTATCTAAAGCGAATATGGCGCCAACGAACCTTGTTCTCCTTGCTTGTCACTGGGAAATTGTTGATGTAATTTGAGCTATTTCTGTGATTCCACACGGCTTGTCCAAGAATTTCATTTCCCTCTGTTTTGTTACACTTTGTCTTAAAATGCTTTCACTCGAAGCACAAGCATAGCATACAACACCATCTCCCGCCTTTTTTTTCATTAACGTTATTGCATTCTACTTCATCACTCTTTCATCTCCCCTTCTTTCATTTCATCTACTTTCCATCATTCAGCGCATCTCCAACTTCCTCAAGCCCATCGGCGGCGAATACCTGCCCTTGGACTCGCTCCAACGGAACCCTCCTCCTCCTCAAGGGTCTAGCGGCAACAGTGGCATCATCAACAACGGCTACAGTCGGCCACCAGATGACGATGACGATGCCCTCGATACCTCGGCTTCGACCTCTATCGCCACAGCGCTGACGACTGGCGGCTTTGGTGCACCTGGGGCCCTCATAAATCGTTTGCGATCGCCTGTCAACAACAGCAGTAGTAGTAGCTATAGAGAGCCTGATTCTGCTATGGACGAACAGGAGCCGGATCCTCGAGCGCGACCTTCTCCTTCATCAACTGGTTTCCCACGCCGAGAAAGGCGAGGGCGCAACCATTTTGAGGATCAGGAAGATCGACGCAACCTTTATCGAGGTGGTAGTGGGGTCAATTCTCAAGGCAGAATGACAGAATCTGCTCTCTTTCGGTCCGAGGAGATGTCACTGATCCAGCTGTATATTCCATCAGAAATAGCACAGCCTACGGTCGCAGAGCTGGGAGAGATAGGAATGATCCAATTCCGGGATGTAAGCGACTCGTCTAATTAATTCACTCCGCAATTACAGTAACAATATATCTTTCTACTCTATTGATCGACAAGGTGTTTTAATTAACATTTGATTTGAAACAGTTAAATGATGGTGTAAATGTCTTTCAACGAGCTTTCGTGAATGAAATTCGGCAATTCGATGAGATGGAGAGACAGTTGCGTAAGTTTAAATGCCTGGTTATTCTACTTGCGCTCCTTCGAGACTGACTTTAAATACCCATAAATAGCAGCAAAGACTGACTTTTACTCTGATCGTCGTCATGATCTACTATAATAGGCTTTTTCGCATCACAGATCGAGAAGGCAGAGATCCCGATTCAATCGACAACGACTTCGTCGTATGTGGCACACGCACCTTCGCGTCAAGAGCTGGATGACATTGTGAGACGATTGTCAGCACACGAGAGTCGTTTGTTGCAAATGAATGCCTCATATGAGAATATGCAGCGACGACACTGGGAGTTGATTGAACTTAGGCATGTCTTGCAAGAAGCTGCAGTCTTTTTTGAGGAGGTAAAAGGATGCCTCTCCAAAGCTGTGCATTCATATAGGGATGGAGGAGCTGTCAAGTCCCTTTAACTAAAGAATTTAAGCATTTGTACGTTTGTAAATGTCACTTTCTAGGCTGTCTCAAATCAGGATGAGATTCGTCGTTCACTGGAGGAGCCAAGTGCGCGACTCCTAGATGATTTGGAAACGGGCCCTTCACAGGAGGCGCAAGGCTTGGGTCTCACCCTTGGCAATGTCACTGGTGTTATTCCTCGAAACAGATTGCAGACTTTTGAACGTATCCTGTGGCGTTCTCTTCGCGGTAACTTGTACATGAATACGGTAGACATCAAGGAATCAATTATAGATCCTGCAACGGATGTGGCAGCGCTGAAAAGCGTATTCATCATCTTTGCTCATGGGCGCGAGATCCTGGCTAAGATTAAAAAGATTGCAGAGTCAATGGGAGCAACTTTATATGCTATTGATTCATCTACAGAGCAGAGAAGGGAAGCGTTGTCGGGCACTTTAAGACATATTGAAGAGTTCAACTCTGTCATCACCAATACAACACAAGCTCGTCGTCAGGAACTTATCCGTATTTCAGCTGACTTGGCGGCGTGGATAACAATTGTGAAGAAGGAAAAGGCGACGTACCATACTATGAATAAATTCAACCACGATATCAATCGCAAATGTCTGGTTGCGGAGGGATGGTGCCCAACAAATGAGATTGGCACTATCCAGGCAGCTCTGCGAACAGTGAGTCAACGTTCTGGATCGACAGTTCGACCCATTCTAACTGAACTGCGTACTCACAAAGAACCTCCAACCTATCACAAAACCAACAAGTTTACTGCTGGATTTCAAGCGATTGTGGATGCATACGGTATGGCCAAATATCGCGAGGTGAATCCAGGCCTATTTACCATCATCTCCTTCCCCTTTTTATTTGCAGTGATGTTTGGAGATGTAGGCCACGCCATCTTGGTGGTTTTGGCGGGATTGTTCCTAGTTCTGAATGAACGCAAGCTTGCCAACGTTGAAGGCGAGGTAGGTGACACTTTTTTTATTATCTCAATAATAAATGTCACAGCGAGAATAATCTCAACTGACTACCATGAGCTTTCTTATCGCATTCCAGATGTTTCAAATGGTCTATGGGGGACGTTACATTGTCTTGTTGATGGGTGTATTTTCTATTTTTACGGGGATGATGTATAATGACATCTTTTCCCGTGCTCTTCCACTGTTCCAGTCCGGCTGGCGTCTCGATGTACCTGAAGACTATGACGGTAAAACTCTTTTGGTGGCAGAGCCTACTGAGTATACCTATCCATTTGGTATTGACTATGTGTGGCATGGAGCTGAAAACTACCTCTTGTTCACAAATTCCTACAAAATGAAGATGTCAGTCATCTTGGGCGTTATTCATATGTCCTTTGGCATCTGTATGGTGTATTACAATGCTAAATTTTACCGCAAGCCAATCGATATCATTGGAGGCTTCATTCCTCAAATGTTATTTATGCAATGCCTCTTTGGATACTTGGTAATCATGATCTTATACAAGTGGACTGTCAATTGGTTTGAAACAGATGCTGCTGGCCAACCGCTGCATAACTCGCCACCCAGTTTGCTCAACACAATGATCTATATGTTTCTAAGTCCAGGATCCGTCAACGAAGGTGACAAGCTATATTCCGGGCAGGTAACGTCTAACGAAAGAACAAGTTAGGGCTTATAAAAACATTGAATGTTCTCACCAACAAAGACCGCGTATACTTGCATTTTCGCTTTCTAGGGCTTCATACAAGCGTTGCTTGTATTTACCGCATTTGTATGCATTCCGTGGATGCTCTTTTTGAAGCCTTATTACCTAAAGCATGAGCACAATCGAGCCCGTGCAATGGGTTACCATCAACCTTCTGAGAACAATGCCCGTGTCAGTGCTGATAGCGACCGTTCGGATGAAGGGGACAATGGTAATAGTACTATTGTGACAGAGGAAGACACGACCAATGGTAGTCAAGAACATGACGAGGAAGAGTTTGAGTTTTCAGAAGAATTGATTCACCAAGTGATTCACACAATTGACTTTTGTCTGGGCTGTATATCCAACACGGCATCGTACTTACGATTGTGGGCACTATCTTTGGCCCATGCACAGCTGTCTGAAGTTCTATGGACGATGACTTTGGGTATGGCATGGGGTTTTACGGGAACCCTAGGAGCAATCATGACTGTTATAATGTTCGCAGTATGGTTCACATTGACGGTCTTTATTCTGATAGGCATGGAGGGACTTTCTGCATTCCTTCATGCTCTGCGATTGCACTGGGTCGAGTTTAATAACAAGTTTTACCTGGTTAGTCTTCACAGATCAGTCTCTTTATATTGCATATCAATTCTCTGTCTCCATTATTAAGATATTAACTAGGATGTTTTGGATATTTTTGGTTCTTAGGGTACGGGATATGCATTTGAACCATTTTCATTTGCAATCGTTCTTTCTGAGAAAGACTAAAAGCTGATTTGACACAGCACTCAAACAATACCAACAATAATAAAGACAAATAGAGAATATAATCTCAAATTACTTATTTTCCTAAATGAAGGAAAGAAAAATGTTGACGCAACTAATGCAGCACACTGGATTGAATTAAACCAAGGGCTGCTCAGAGTGCCTTCAATATTATTACTCTCGCCTGGAATGAACCGATGGTTTCACATATTTGACAATCCACAACGGATGATTACCAGCTTGGAATATGTTGAAGGTAAATCAATACTTAATATTGATTCACGTCCGACTAACTAAAGAACCTCCTATGGCTGCAGGGAGTGCTCTGAATATATACCCATATTTCACAGTCTCATAAAGCTCATCTGCGCATATGGGACACTATTTTTTATTTTCAAACCGGGCCAAAAATTTAAGGCCTGATTTAATCTTAATGACTGCTCTCACAAATAGGACTTCCAATTTTTTTTTTTTGTCATTGCCACTGATGCTTTGTATCATTGTATCAAGCAAAGAGAAAGTTTAATAATACTTTAATTAATATTGTAAAATACTAAAATATAAAATAATAAATGTAGGATAAGGGCTGTCTGCTATTGGAAAAGTCATTTAATGTAGCATTGGAGAGAATTGACTTCAATGTGCCACGACTTTTTTTTTTTTTTTTTTTTTTTTTTTTACTTCGTCTCTGTGACAGGGTTGCCAGGCTGAAGCTGATGCAAAGGCTGTACAGGCTCATCATGGTGCGATGCTGGCAATTGATGATCATTTGAGCGGCGAATATCTGTTTCCTCGACCTCTGATTTCTCATTCGCTTGTTGTGCTCGGAGTTCTTCAATATCACTATCCAAGCGCGACTGGGGTTGCGCTCGAGTCTTCCATGCAGGAACATCTGAATTGAAGAGCTCATCCATCTCCTCCAATGTATGACCCTTGGTCTCTGGAAACATGAAGAAGACATGGATCGTCATGGCCACACAGAAGGCTCCAAAGATAAAATAGGTCTTGTATTGGATATTTTCCAGCAGTGGGGGAACTGCATAAGCTAAAATAAAGTTGAATGCCCAGTTTGATGCTGTTGAGAGCGAGACTGCTTTGGAACGGATCCGGAGTGGGTAGATCTCGGCTGGATATGTCCATGAAACAGGGCCCCAAGAGATGGCAAATGAGCAGACAAAGAGATAAGAGCAAGCAATTACTGCCTTGGATGCAGCATCATTGTCTTGAATAGCCCATGTTGTGGTCTCGTTACCTTCAAAGTTAGAGGGGCCACCAAAACGACCCATCAAACCTCCGATGAGGAACATCCAGAGAGCCATAAAGGTGGATCCAACTAAAAGAACAGGACGACGACCCCATTTATCAATAAACAGGATCGCAGGAATGGTCATAATGACATTAAGAATATATTGGATAGAAGATGCCTGTAGATTGGCGTTCTGGCCAGTGATGCCTGCGCCCTGGAAGATGAAAACAATATAATACATGGCCACATTCATGCCCGTAAGTTGAGACCAGGACTGGAGACTCATACCAAGGAAGACGCGACGAGCATTTGGCTTGCGGAAAAGCTCTGCATACGAACGCGCAGCCTGAGTCCTGTCGAATTTAATAGCATCCTCAATCTCTTTGTATTCCGCCATGACCAGAGGATCATTCTTATTACCCTTTGCTCGTAACATGGCGAGCACTTCAAGAGCTTCTTCGCCACGTCCATGGTCTGCTAACCAGCGAGGAGAGTAAGGGAAGAAGCTGATTCCAGCAAGGAGAATGATACCTGGGATGATTTGTACACCCCAGGGGATTCGGAACGCAGCTTCGGAATTGATAAAGGAACAGCCGTACTGGATGAAGTATTGGATGAGAATACCCCAAGTGATAGCCCATTGTTGCAACGATACAATACGCCCACGGATATTTTTGGGTGCAATCTCAGATTGGTACACAGGGACGATCATGGAAGCCAGGCCAACAGCAATACCGTTGATGATACGACCGACAATGAGCATACCAACATTGACAGTTGCACATTGGATAATGGAGCCAACAATCCAGATAGAGGCAGCAAGCATGATGGTGCGCTTGCGTGAAATCTTGTCGCCCAATGGACCAGCCAGGAGAGCACCCAAGAAGGAGCCTGCGGCCATGGAAGCGACAATTCCGCCCTGCAGTGATGACGATGGGTGATTGAAGTACTCCTGGTACCGCTGCGTTCCTACGACACCAGACATGGATGAGATGTCGAAACCAAACAGCATGCTAAATAAGCCATAGCAGAAAAAATACATTATTAATAATGTGTAAGAACGAGTTCGACGAACGAAGCAATTTTTCTCTCTTTTTTTTTTTTTTTTTTTTCTTGAAACAGTATAGTAGCTTACCCGCCGATGGTTGCGAATCCACCAAGGAAGTACACATTATTCAACAGCCTGTACTTTGCTGACATGGCAATAGATTTGGGGAAGGGGAATTTTGTTATTTGTGCTATGTTGCAGTAAGGAGAGAAATGAACAATGAGAAGCAAAGAGAATAGAGACAGAATAAGGGCGTGAGAGTGATAGAAATAAGGATTCACGCCCTGCCTTTATATGGTTTAACAGGAACATTAACTCTTTTTTGGAAGCGTACAACGCATACTAAGCAAAGCATAACATGCTTTAGCATAGTTGCTAGATTTTTTGGATGATGTCGTTGGAAAGTTGGAGTGTGTGGCGATGGAATAATCTAAACTATTTTATCCTGCATCGCCTTTGATCCATTGAACGAGAAGGAAGGCATCCCAACCCTGTCTTTGTTTAAAATGACCCTACCCTCGTCATCCATTGTATTTGTTTACTCGCGTTGTTGATTGTTTTATTGACAGCAATTCATTTTTTTTTTTATTTTTTTTATTTGCTCAACTGAACGTCATTTTTTTTTACAATTTATTTTGTACAGTGTTAAGCAGATGTGAATGAATAATGATCACTCAATCAATCTGCATTAATGAGTTTGTAGGTCATTGCTCCTCAGCAATAAAGATGCTGTCAAATACCTTCTTTCTCTCAGGCGCATTTTCTCTTAGGAGTGTATTTTGTGTCTGGTTTGGCCCAGTCCAGTGCAGTAGTTGAGCCTTGTCCGATGTGGAGAAAGAAGCAACGATAAATGAATACGTCAAGAACAGTCAATTCTTTTGCTCTGGCCAGAACCATGGGTCTGTATTCCTTCTACTTGCACATACATAAAAAGGTGCACTTCATTTCCGATTGCGGGCATAGACGCTAGTACTTTGAGGCTAAAAGATTTCGGTGATAGTTAACTAAGAATGTGTTCAGGGGTTGCTCGGTTACTTTGAATGGAAAACTTGGGGACTCTGCAATTGAATTCAGCCTTCATTCCTCTAAATATCGTCATGATGGCCTTCCTCACATGCATAATGGTCTCAGTAAAACTTGGGTACAAAACTAAATGTAACGAAGAGGGAACGAGATAAAGTGTCAATTTTGGCCACTACACTCGGAGCGCGTCCCTCGTTTTCGCCTCGATAGTAAATTGTGATGAACACTGTTTTAACCTAGTGGCACTGTCATTTTTTTTTATTTCAAAAGTGCACAGCAGCTTGGTTGTACTTTCCTTCATGTACCCACTCATCACTCAGCAATTTTTCTGACTTTGCAATACTCATATTTTAATCAACTTTTTATCTTACAGAGGCGATCCGGAACAGATCACAACATGTTTCCACCATTCTTCCCACGGCCGGGTATTGTTTTCAATTCCAAGCAGGTATCGACTAGCATCCGAGCTTTTGTGCATCTTCATGATTTCTTCATACAGGAATGCAGATGGACCAATATCGTTGTCCTGATTGAAATAATACTGACGAATGCTCTTATGCATATTCTTATGAGCATGGCTCAGTATGTTGTCCAACTTATCTTTCGTGGCCTGGAGTTCATCCAACTCATGAATTACCAAGGGACTCTGTGGCTCCAAATAGCCAACTTCTCTCAGAAGAACTGAGAAAGATTGTTTAATAGCTGCATTCCCCACCATTCCCCACGCAATGCTGTAGGTGTCTCCATAAGTGTCACGGCGTCGTAGAGTTCTTTCAAATTGTATGATGTTGATGTAAGCCTTGAAATGCTTTGAAATTCCTGCCCGCATAGGTAGCAGCGCGTTGAGGTGTGCAGGAGCAGGAATGACTTTGAGGTAACGGAAGGCAGGCAAGGCACTTTTGACTTGATCATACACCTCCTGGCTCAGAAGAAGCAACGCGTTGCGCTCAAGCACGCTATCAAAAGCGAGCAACCACTCAGTAAATGGCATCCTGTTTACATCTTGATCTCGCAAGACCCTAACGCCATAGTGACCAGGGACATACTGATATAGTCGATCTATTTGATTTGCAACATTGCACAGAGACGAAGGATGTTAGAATCTGCTATTCAAGTCTTTCTTCTTTTTCAAAAAACACAAACAAAAATAAAGTATAAAATTAAAGTCAAGCAAGCACCCTTAGCTTCTCCTATCAAAATGCTGTTTGCTTACCAAGCATGACAGGGTCAAGCCTTCCTGTGCCGGTTGCGTTGCAAAAGAGTACAATTGAAACTGCTTGCCCAAAAACGCAGCTCGTTCTCTCCTGGTCTCTGTCTTCAGCACTCAGCAGCTTGCATGCTGTATTAGGATGTACCGTCGAGGTGCATACCGGGACAGAAAACATACTAGTTGCATCACATGCATAAATGTCATCCATCCTGTACTGTTCAAGTATCTGTCTGAAGCGAGCCGTCTCCTCCTCCTCCAGTGCATAATTCCTGTTGGCATTGACAGCTTCATAGGAAGTGATGGATCGCCGTTTCGAAAACTCTTGGTACCATCCATCAGAAAACTTTATATTTGCGAGTGGTGCTTGGAACAAGCCTGAGAGCATCCGATGGATAGCAATTGCCTGTGCGACAATATTCTTACGTTGAATAGGGATATGCTGAGATCTAATATGCGTGATCCAGGACAGTAGAAGCTCCTCTACAAATCGGCTTCGCGGCTCAGTGCGGTTGCGTGCATTTAGCACTGCATCTGTTCGTGGTAGTTGATTGAGGCTTGCTTTGAGGTTATCTTTGGATTTAATGATGCCATCTAAAGTGCCTCTGGCTATACCAAAGTGCGTGGCATATTCACTTAATGTCATTTCTGGATTGTTCTCAACGAACTCAATGATCTTTAGCTTTTCCTGAATATCAAACTTTTTTCGTTTCTTGGTTCCTGCAGTTTGCTTGCTTTTAGCAACAGATTTAATTGTTTCGGTTGGTCTAGTGGACGGTGTCGGGGGGAAGTACGCGGCATCGGGAATCATATAGGGCGGACTAGGATGCTGCTGGTTGCCTGCTGGGATGTAGTGCGTACTCCGCCTATCTTCTGGGGATCCAGATAGCGTGTCCGGACTCCTCGGAGAAGCGCCAAAATCCACTTGCTCCCATTCAGAGAAGCCCGGTGACGACCCATGAGATACCTTTTCCCAGTCCGAAAACCCAATTTCGACCCGCTCCCACTCAGGAGAGCTTTGATCAGGTGACCCTCTATATGCCATTTCCCACTGTGTCCTCGTCTGCCGATGAGGGCTCTAAGTTACAAAATGATATAGTTCTTACTGAGTCTGCCCCTTGCACTCTTTTTTTTTTTTTTTTTTTTTTTTTTTTTTTTACAGAAACATGACAGCAGACAGGTTTTCAGCAATAACATACATACCTCTCCTAGAGGACCATCTTGTTGAGCAATAGAATCTGGCCTTTGATGAAGTACATTGATATGGCTCAAGACCGCTGGCCGGGTTCTTGGGGTAAACAATGAATCGATGAGAAGATGTGCTCCTCCTTGTTGCTCGACTTGCTGTGTGATATATTCTGGAATCGAGTGTGAAACAGCAAGAGGAGGAGCTGAGTTAGATGTAGCGATGTGGGTCGTCTGATGGCCCTGGCGCACCTGCTGTTGCCGGTTTGTAGCAGTCGAAACCGCTACCGGGATGTAAGACATGGAGGAAACATCATGAAACTGCTGCTGTTGCTGCAATGATTGATGGGCGAATCGAGACGAGGCTATTCTTGGGCTATTAAAGAGGAGATCGTTTAAGAAATCAACTTCGGGACTTCCATGTGGCTAAAGGATCATGTATTCGGCGGAACGAAATTATGTTGGTCATTAGAGTTTTAAGATTGGGGTACAATACCCCAAATACCACAAACAAGTTAGGCTGTTGTTTACAGTAATCTCCTTTAGTGAGAAAGATCTTAGTCCTGTAAGCTCACCTCGTATTGCGGATGGGACAGTGCAGTATCGGAATGGTGTTCGGCTGACTGTATGTGCTGGGAAGCTGCATACCACATCTGTTGTTGCTGGACATTGATCGTATCGGCATCAGTGTCTCTATACGGTGGATTGATATTAGAGCCAGCATCCATGGATTGATAATATGAAGTCTGCACGAACGAAGGCATTCCATGAGCATGCATCATTGGTATGGATTTTAGATACTCTGACTGTGTATGTGGTAACGTTGGTTGGTGCCGACCAGGAACTATGGTAGGATAGATATTTACTGGTGGCCCAGGTACGTGACTCGTCAGAGCGGGTGCATGCCTTGAACCTTGACTATGAAAGACATCCTCTGTTTGATTGGGTTTCTTAGTGTGAGGTTGATTATTCATGAACTGTATATCTTTTTGGCAAGGAAGCGTGAGTATGGATAGTGTAGGGAAGAGAGAGAAAGAAGAAGGAAGTTCTCCCCTCGCCCAGGTTGTTGTGCCAATACCTTCGCCTCAAAGGTCTGGGTCCCTCTGCACTCGTGCGACCATGATGAATAGTCATGTGACAATTTCGGCACAAGAGCTCGAGTTGAAAAGAACTCCTAATTCTCTTTACATCATTAATAAACACTAAAACTCAACAATGGCACATCGAGATGAATACCGATTCCATGACCAATATGTCGAACCAATCATAGACCCAAGCACCATTGATATTCGAGGTGAAAAGAATTTCCTCATAATTTTTTTGCTGCAGACACATGGAAGGACTTCATCTGATGTATTTTTTATTTTACTCTGTTAGATCTCTTGAACGATGAATGGGAGTTCATGACAAAGCCAGATGTATGCAAAAGATTGTTTAGGGAATAGCCATTTTCAATTTGGTTAATTTAACTTTTACTAACTAACTTTTTAACTGCTTCGTGACATCCTAATAGTTTAATCCTGTACCATTGGCATTGGAGCTCATGGACGGGAGTTCACTCGGAAAGGACTATGATATGTTCATGTTAATCCTTCGAAATATCGAACGAGCACTGAAGGATGTCGTCAATGGTATTTCAGATATGGATGCTATTCTAGCAATGGCACTTCAGCGCAGTTTAAAAGACGAACGACTGTATGTTGTTGACACAATGTCTTCATTTGCCATTCGTTGATCACGAAACGTCATTAGGATCATATCAGGGGTTCAATGCATCCATTGGAACATATGGTGGAGTAATTGACAGTATTTCAGACTCCCAAAGCCGTGTTAAAGAATTGCGCATGGATCTCAAAAATTCTAAAGAATCCCTTCGGCTACGACATGCAGATTTGGTGCAATTGTACAACAAGAGTCAGCAGTATAAAGACATGATTGAAATGTTGGATGAAATGTAAGGCAGTTAAGGTCACCGCTATCTTTACTTGACTTGCGCATTATCTATTTCCATAACCTTGTATGTTCATATAAACCGTTTCCGTTACTTTACTTTGTTTCGAGCCATTAGTGAAGAATTGAAGCAGGCACCCGCTAAACTGGAGACTTTTATCCGCGAAAAGCATTTCTTAGCGGCGGTCAAGTTACTAGTTTCATGTTCAAAGACAATATCTAAACCAGAAATGACTTCGGTGGGGGCTTTATCAGATCTAACACGATTCTTTAACGAGCAATATGAGGTAACAGGATGTGTCCAAGGACAGGAGGCTAAAAGCATTGCAGCGTATGAATAAGGCCATTTCTGCTGGAAGTATTTTAACTAATCAGTGGCTATTTATTTTATCCCTTCTTTCATGATAGTCGTTGGCAGAGATTCTCATGGAAGAACTTCATAATCACCTTTACTTGAAGAGCCCTTACTGCGACAGTCGATGGGCCGCATATACCACTGGGCAGGAAGCATGTACATTGGCTTCTCCGAGAGAATAAGGAGTTTTGATATCACTTTGCGTTTTACTTTTTCGGAAGCAACCAACTAACATTGGGATCCAACACAATTCGTTTTCCTTCATGTAGTACCATCAACGGAAAGGGGAATATTCGATGGGTATGACATTTCATTTCATAAGATGTATTCAACTGTCATTATCAATGTGAATTAACCTTGAGGCATGTAAAACTGACTTGGTTTTTTTTTTTTTTTTTTTTTTTTTATAACTATCCTTTCAGAATCAGCAAAGACCTCTCCAAATTGGGCAACGATCGACTCAAACGCAATGCTGGATTCCAGCCTAAATCCAAACCCGGCAATGAAGTGCGGTTGGACGACGAAATGGTACACTAGCTCACATTTGGACGAACCGGATACATACAGCTATTTCGTCCATTATTTTCCGATGATCGACATTCATTTTTTTTTCTTTCTTTCTTTCTTAATTGCTTATATAGATCACAGAGGATCTTGAAATTAACCCAGAAGTTGATTCTACATATTATCTGGAAATTTTGGTTGAGTCTCTGGGACTACTTGGAAAGTTCAAGGATGCCATAGTGGTACATAACAAAATCATACCTCTTTGAATTTGCATGATTGCGGGTTTTTATTTATAATGCTCGACAATACTAACCAATCTTGTTTCACGTTTGTGCTCTGCTCTATTAGACTATTCTCCAGCGTGTCCCACTCGAGACATACCAAATGATTGATAAAACCATCAGTGAGGTGAACGAGAGGTAGGGAATCATATTTAATGGTTTTTAACCATCGCATTTGAATGCAGTCACCATAAACATTTCAGAAATGTAGTCCTGCTCACAGAGGCTCACTTTTCTTTTCTTAAAAAAAAAAAATCTCTAGACGGAACGCATCAGCTCTTAAGACAATCAATACTAGAGACTCCGATTATGACGATGAAGATGATGAAAAATATTTAGCAACGAAGAATAATGAGAACGAAATTTTGAGAGATCTGTTCTGGACCCTCTTTTCAAAACTGGAATGTGTCACGCAAGGCCACAGCACAGTACTTGTCGCAGGGCAACGCTTGTTGAGAGTATGTTGTAACTATATCTTTGCCAACCTTCCTATCTCAAACTAACACAACGCTAAATAGCCGATGTTCCCCATTATTTATTTATTTTTGATTTATTTTATTTTTAGCGTCTTGAAGGGGACCATCTAAAGCAACAGCAGATGGGGCTCGTTGGTGTCAAGATGTACACATTTGCTGATGTCTGGACACCAATGCTGACAGAGATTCGCTGCTTACTTTCAGATTATCTGATGGACACCAATCAATCTATGGATGGTCCTGATAGTTTCTTGGGCGGCCCTGGACAGGATACTGGTTCAGATTTATTGCGTTCTCGTAAGAACAACCGTGATAAGAACAGGCAGCTATTTAAGTTTACAGATTCTATTGGATCATCGACGCTATGTGGACTTTACAACGATGAAGTCGGCACGAAAACGTTTGATCCACTTCGTAAAGCGCTACCTCAAGTATATGCGCAAATGACGGAACAGAGCCCCTCAGTCGCGTTCTCTGGTCTGATCCAAGACAAATATGCTCAAGTGCTTGCAGGCACACCTGCCAACAACCCATTGCCTGCTTTGAATCCTGATGGGACACCTATTTCATCCCAGGGCAGTAATGGGGCTACAGGAGGCTCAAGTAGTAGCTCAAGTGGGAGCAGGAGTAAGAAGGCAGCGGCAGCGACGGCCAACTCTGTGCCACTCATTCCTGGATACCTCAAGGGTGCTCAGAATGGAGGAGCGGGCCTCACTGGCTGGAAGATCCCTCCTCCAAATCCGAGTGCGACTAATAATGCATTACAAACTTCTGCCAGCGGGCATCAATCGTTAGTACGATCAGACCCAGCGCACATCAGCGTAGTCATCCGACCAGCCGTTGCGTTTGTGGAGCGACTACGTGAGAGTGTTCCTCAAAGTCGAGAGGATGGCACAGTGGTGGTTGGCGCATTCTTTGATCATGGAGTGATTAATGTGCCCATGGGTCGATTCTGAGGTATTTTTTATCTTGAAGTCGCCTTGACGCATAGTAATATACATAAAATACATAATATAATTTAACCGCAGCTATGCCTATAAAAATGTATAACAAGTAAAATGAGCTGGTCATATACCATTTAAGGATCAATGGTTATTCTTGTATCGAACGGAGTAACCAACATAACTCCCTGATAAAAAAAAAAAAAAAAAAAAAAAAAAAAAAAAGCAATGTGTTTTATAGAGATAATCACGAACTAAGGTTATTTCAAAAAATAAAGTTCATTCAGGTACTTCCCACGCGTTAACCTTCTCATGGATTTTTCCAAAAAAAAAAAAAAAAAAAAAAAAAGCTCTTACTTTGTATATTCTAGTGCTTGGCCTTGCCTACGGTATAACCAAACATTCGAGACGCCCTCCATCCTACCTTGTCAAAAAAGAAATGAGCACAAACTCGGAAGAGGCAATTTGCCCTCTTCACTAAAAAGAATATACTATGTATTACGATGTACAACATTAGATCAGCAGTTTTTTTTTTTTTTAAAAGACACGAAAAACACTTTGGGAGGGATGGAAGATAGAATAGAGATGACGATTTGCGCCTGAAAGGGACTGAAAATAGGGTCGTTCAGAAAGTATCTACGTGTTGTACGAGAGAAAAGTTGACGCTTCCTTTCTTCGACTACATTCAGATGCCCTATATTTAGGTTGGCTTTAATCTTGGTGATTCCTTGGTTTTACGCTCTCTGACGCCTTCCGGAGTTTGACTTATAGTAAGTATTCGATAGTGTACATCTCTCTCTCTCTCTCAAAAAAAAAAGGAAAGTAAAGCAAAGTAGATGTGAGAAAAAAATGTGATGATTTGCTCAAAACACGTAAAACAGGGAAGGCTGGATACATTATATCTGGTACCTGACCCTTATTCAGGTACACATGGTAATACATTGATTTCACTTACCGACCCGTTATTTCGCGCTTATCATGGGGCTCATGCTGCATACTGCATGCTGCAATGTCGAAGAACAATATAATACACTAGCACATTCACCAACCGTTCTACAAAAAAGAATCGAGTGCCATTGAAATTTCATAGGACTACAAGACAGCTCTAGTACTCCTGTCATGAAGAGAGAGGAGAGCATCCACACGAGTGTTTTTTCTTTTTTTTTTTTTTTTACCTTAGATACAAGAACCAGTGCGAGAACCAATTGATGTATAAAATGACCCTAATCCTCTCTCCCTTATCATTGATTTTTCACCATCGCATAACGACTGGCCTCTCAAGGACTTTTTCACTTTCCTTATCCCTCTACCCTCTTAATCCCTTGCAACTTCCTTTTTTTTTTTAAAAAAAAAAATGAAATCCTCATTCATCCAGCACTTTACTATATTCGCCTGTGCGATCGCGATTCTCTGTATCTATCAAGTTGAAGCAGCCAGAAAAGATCATGGCTCTGGAAAAGCAGCCTGTGTAGCGGCTGATCCTGACCTTCAGATCTTCTGTGACGAGCCCCAAGCCAAGTTGAACCAGATAATAGAGGACATCTTTGCCGACATTCCTTTGACCAACCCTGGCTCCAAGCAGGACAACAAGATGGCCACTGCTACTGTAGCTACACGTCGTCAACAGCAGCGCCAGAACCTGCTCCTTCGTCAGAATGGTCTCTTCTCGGACATCAAGAATTACTTTGTCTCCTATTGGGAAAACTTAAAGCTGATTTTCCAAGGCAAGTTTGGTGAGGGCATTTTTAACCAGCTCAAGAATTCAGGCTCATGGTGCGAGAAGGATAACTGGATTGTAAAGGCAGTCAAAGCGGGTATCAATGCTGTCTCTGGCGGTGCCCTCACTAGTATCTGTGAGTGCCTCTATCCCATGATCCGTGATCACAAGAGCTATCAAGACCTTGCAGCCGACGTCTTTAAAAATGGTCTCCACAATGTCTTGAACGGCTGCTCCGATAACTTTAAGGAACAAATTAAAAAAGCTCTCAAGAAGTCCATTGGCGTCAACAAAATTCATAGAGACAACAGTGATATCCTCCATACTGACCACTGAAGATGACCCTTTTTTTATTTTTATATTTTTTTTTACTATTTATCACATTTGATACAATTATACTAACGTGAGAAACAAATAACGTCTATTTATTAATTAAATGAGTATCTTTTTAAACAAATGGTCCCTTGATGCATTTATATGTACATTTTAAGAGGTTAAGCAAAGTGAGGACAGAAAAACGAAAAAAAAAATGTAATAAAAGGATAAAAAAAAATAGATGCGGTACAGCCAAAAAAAAAAAAAAAAAAAAAAAAAAAAAAGTTGAGGATACAAATAAAAGTAAAAAGAAGAACAAGTCCACGGGTTCACCAGTTGTTAGAGGCAGCATTAAGGAGTTGGGTATTAATTAACGCAATATATATAGTCAGGCACACCACAAAAACACTTTAGTTTGCGGGCGCATTTTCTGACAAGTTGATCAGCAGTTGCGTCAGGCATCGTTTGGTGGCAAGATCATCCTTCAGGGACTGAGCGAAGGTCCCATCACGCAAAGGCTCAGGTAGGCATTGACGCAATGCTTCACGGGCTCTGTAATTGTAAGCCATAGAAGATTGATATTAGCAACATGCGTTATTTGAAAAGCCATACTTAACCCATTCCAGATTAAAGGACATCAAAATATTGCTGACTCTTGTTATTGTACCTTGGGTTGTCCGAGAGTCGAAGATAGCATTTAACAACATGTTTAAGTAGGCGCACAGCAAGGGTGTCGACAAGCTGATGAACCATATTGCTTAAAACAGTGCCTACTGCATAGAATCGTTCGTATGTCTGACAAATGTAGGCAAGTCCCATGTCATCCAGAAGGATTCGCTGCACAATAAAGATTGCAACCTAGGAAAATAAAATAAGCCAGGGGAAAAAAAAGAGAACCCCAATGAGTTTTCAGTACCAATACCATCAGTCCTGTTGGATAAATAAATAAATAATAATAATAGTAATAATAATAATAATAAAAAGCTTCCTTCAATTTTTGAAAACATACAGTTTTCGAAAGTTCGCTTCCTGTTTCCATGATGCGTAGACACAGCGGGATAATTTCAGTCGAAAGCAAAAAAGTAATAACCTCCGTGTTATCGTTCTAAAAAAAAAAAAATCATTACATTTATGAAGAGAATATCGGTTAGCGAGGGAACAAAGTTCCTTTGGCATATAAATAATGCACCTTAGAAATATATATTCTAACCTTGACAAGAGCGCCAATCACACCCAAGCTAGTCAACCGAAGGTATTCAAAAGGCCGAGTCTTACTGGTGGTGTTCAAGAAAGGGTAGAGAAACAGCGGAATATGGGCTAAAAATGTTAAAAGAAGGAAACCAGTAAAGATTAGAAACATAATAGATACACGGAAATGAATACTTCATCTCAAGCTTTACTATTAGTATACTGCTTTATATTTGAAATATCGCACCATTTAGGAACAGTCCCCTAGTCTCTGGGTGGCTAGCGACGCATTGCAGAAGCGCCAACGCGTTGCAAACACGGTTCGAGGCATGAGCCGTCAATCCTGAGGGCGCCAACAATGGATACACTGCAACAATCTCCTGAAGAAGAGCAGCCATCACACCTAATATGATTAAAAATAAAATAAAATAAAATAAAATAAAAAAAGGCAGTGAGAGGTTAGTGATTTCCCATTTAATTTTTTTTGGTGAAAAGGACATTTACTTGGATCACACGATCTGATTATGAAGCATAGCAGAATTTAGACAAGCATCAGATCAGTGGCAACAATTAATATAATTCTTGATAATTTTGTGTTTCGACGTACCATAGGAGTGCCACAGAACCAATGCAAGCTCTTCGAATTGCTCGCGTTTCTTGCTAAGCTCCAAAAGGGCTTGCTCACGGTTGACAGGGTGGATCAGTTCCAGAACAAGATGATAAATCTTCTCATCCTCAATGCTTGCCAAGCGATACTGCTGCTGAACTTGTTGCTGTTGTGCTTGTTGCTGCTGAACTTGTTGCTGGGCCTGAGCTTGGGCCTGAGCCTGAGCCTGAGCCTGAGCCTGAGCCTGAGCTTGAGCTTGAGCTTGAGCCTGAGCTTGAGCCTGAGCTTGGGCCTGAGCCTGCTGCTGTTGATGTTGTTGTTGTTGGTGTAACTGTTGTTGCTGCTGTTGCTGTTGTTGATGCAACTGTTGCTGCTGAAGCTGCATAGCAATTTGGCTGTTGCTCATGCCATTGATTCCTCCTGCATAGAACCGGTCATTTGGACCAGTCCTTGCCCCAGCTTGCTGCATGTACATGGAGTGCATTCAAATGCTATATTATTGGGAAATGAAGATGAGCGATAAAGATGGAAGTGATAAAATACGAAGTTGATGATGGCGAAGGTGAAAGAAATAGATGATGTCTTGCAATGAATTTTGAAAATAGAATTGATTAGGAAAAGCTGCATGCATTCTGTGCCAGTCGCAGAGAGTTTGTGCTGGTTGGGGTGGATGTAGACATAACACATTTGTAGCCGTATTTACGTCACCATTCGATGACGTCCACAGCTTTTTCTTTTAATTCCATGATGCTTGTCTTCTATAAATTTTATTACAATTAAAACTGAGTTTAATACAGTTCCCACCGTGGGATTGTTTGCTTGAAACGACCTTCATTCTTGATCCGGAACGCGACGTGGACTGAGGTCGCTGATTCACGACTACCCACAAACACAGCACTGTTGGCTATCACATGGGATCGTGCTACTGCAGCCGCATATCCTCCCAAATCATCATTTGACATATCAAACAGGCCATCGACATTATCTTCCTCGCTGATACGAAACCATCCTGGTTGCTGATCGATCCTGGTCAGCACATCTGGATCTGTCTCTGTCGTGGTTACGACCACAGGTCTTGGTCCTGCCTCAGTCCGCTGGAGAAGAGCAATCCGCTTGGCGATCTGATTGACCGTCCATTGACATGATGAGGCCCAGCTGGGAGTTGTTTTGAGGCGACAGGATTCTTCAGAAGGTAATTTGTCGATATGGACGCCGATATAGCCTCTGGATTTGCCATCCTTCTCAATCCCCCTCAGCGCTTGCGCTACGCTTTGGAATCCCAACTGCCGAATCCCTGCGGCATACGGAATTTGTAGACCAATCTCTTGCCAAATCATTTGCTCCATAGCAGGGTCCTCCATTCCGATAAGATCAGCGCCTGAGATACATGCCAGCTGTTGATGGCGACCATCCATGTCAAAACTATTAGGCTGAGATTGTAACCGTGCCTGCCAGTTCCTCTGGATGGCCTCTGGCTTCAAATTCCAATAAGAATCATCAAGGACCTCAAAGTTGGCGACAAGGTTATATCGATTCAAAAAGTGTCGACCGGCGAAATCCAACGCTTTCCATGAGCTCGAAGTAGGAGGACCATGGCACTTTATTGTTGTTGCGTCTATAGTTCCATCCAACTCAACTGCATCCTCAGGCGATTCATATGGAACCGACTGGTGATTAACTGTTGGCGTCTCTTCCTCCTGGGCCATCTCTGCAGTGAAGGGCGTCTGCAATACTGGCCGTGTATTGTCGATCAAAACTATCGGCTGCAAGTTAGAGATGACTCTTAAATCAAAAAGCGTGCTCCAGCGTTGTCGCTTTCTACCCTTGGGTCCTGCGAAAAAGGGATAGATGTGATTGAGAGAAGGAGGCGCCATCATCGGCGGTGGGATGATCAATGTACGATTTGAATGCCTTGCAATCCAGAGTGAAGTGATTAATGAGAAGAATTGAGCCTCAATGGTCTTTCCAGAAGGAATAAATAAAAGATAGCTGTCTGTACTTGATAGTACATTGTTGACATCAAAATCAGAGAGTAGATGTTTTTCGTTGGTTGACTTTGGGTCGCTCCCTTCATATTGAGGATCTGGAATTGCTGACTCTAATTCTGCTTCCTCTTCATCCTGTAAAGAATCTGTGTCATCAGTAATGCCATCCTCTAGCCCTTCCTCAATTCCGTCTGCTACCTCCCCTTGGTCCTCTTCCGTCTCCTCCAAGTACTCTTCTTGCCCTTCATCACCTGTACTAGAATCACTTTGCTCCAACTCTCCCTCCTCATAGTCAATTTCGCTTTCCTGTTGTAGCTCTTCCTCAATCGCTTCTTCTTCCTGCGACAATTGTGGCCTTGAAGGATAATCTGGACTCCTAGGTCGAATGGGTCGATCAGGATCGAGTAAATTTTCAGTTGTTTCCATAATAGTGCCACGGAGGAGTCGCTTGAGAGCATCAACGGACATGGAAGAGTAGTCTATAGGTGCCTTGTCGAGCTCACTATTGTTCTCAAGATCTGTTCCCGGTGCACCAGTACCGAGCTTGTCTTCCTGTATTGGATCGTGCAACGATGACGATGAAGAACCAGATGGTGATTTGACAACTGTCCATCCTATGTTTTCCTTTATGTTACTACTACTGCTACTGCTACTGCCGCTACTACTGCTGTTGTCAGATATGTGAGTAGAAACTGGATGATGTACAGACATGGTGAGTAGAGACCCTATGCAAAATATAAGCAGTGCACCCAGCATAGCCCTATGTCTATTGAAGATGCTCATGGTGAATGGAGTGAAAATGCAGTAGTGAATGAAGAGAAAGAAACTTGAGCTGCAAGGTTGCTGTGACCTCCAGGGACAAAAATAGACACACGCCACATTGACAACTTTGATTCTGACAGTTCATAATTTTATATATTCATGTTTATATTCATTTATATAAATATTCATATACATTTATACATTACAAACTAATGAATACTCCATTCATAAATAAAGAGTACACAGCAAAGAGCTTTCCTGAATATGGGATGTATGCTTGCTCAAATGTAATATACAGAAATTTACAGATACATGAATGAATTTGAATGGTAACCAACTTTTTGAGGGATATTAGAATTCAAACACTGATTTGAATGTCCGAACCAACATCAATATTATGATATAGATCGGTGGCTGAGCGCACGTGCATCTTCCTACCACATAATTCACCTGACTTTTCTTGTCAGTGGTTAAAGCCAAAACGGTAAAAAACAAAGAGGCGGAGCGAGTGTGGGTCGGATGGGTCAACTGGTTCATTATTGAACATCCATTACCATGCTGATTCATGGAAGCCCATCTGTTGGTAATTACTTGAGTATAGTAAAGTAGTTTCCAAAGTACGCCTTTTTTTTTTGTTTTGCTTTTTTTTTTTTTTTTTTTTTTTTGCTTGCACAAAGGCTCTCCCTTAACACAAAAGATGCTTGCATCGTTGATAATCGCATAAGGCCGCATAATACCATTCTGTCGGCTGATATGTATAAATCTATATACGATACACGCCTTCATTCCTTTGGAAAAAGGGATACACAAGTATCAGAAGAAAAAAAAGGGAGGACTCTGACCAACTCAACGCACTGGTCGCACAGTTCTTGTTCATCTTCTAATCCATAGTTTTCTTTTTTACGCTTGTTCCCCTAATAACACTATGTACTATTGGCACAAGTACCGATAAATAAGACAAACTGATTTGTATTTGAACAAGGGGAAATATAAAAGGCTTTAATAATGGTACATTTGTTCAAAGGAAAAAAAAAAAATAACAGAAAGGAAAAAAAAAGGCAACTTAAAAGTTTGGTAAGGAAGGAAAAAAAAGGAATAGATTGCTAGCCATCATCTCGGAGTCTTGAAGTCTACACTAGAAGAAAACTTGAGGAACATCAAAACGACTGAGAATAATAGAGCCCTCTATCAAAGGTCCTCCCGCCGTTGAATTTTTTTTTTTTTTTAAACTTTTCTGATGGGTTGATTATGGTACAGGTGTGGACCATTGTCACCACTTTTTCATCCTCCTTCCCTTCCCTACTATTGCCATCTGCTCACAAAGAGTCCCTTCCTGCATTTTTTTTACTTGGCATTCTTGGGGTTCTCGGCGGCATCCTTCCAGCGGGCAGCAACCTCCTTGAAGGCCTCCTTGTGTCCGAGATCGGGCTTCTCAGCCTTGAGCTTGGCAAGCTCAGCCTTCATGAACTTGTTGTAAGGGGAGAGCTTCTTGGTGCCAGAGGCAGGGGACTTCTTGGCACTCTTTTCCTTGGCCATGTTGACAGTATATGTATATGTATAAGGGAGAGAGGTTTAGTTGGAAGTGTGCTTTGGAAGCGGGTGTATAAACAAGAGTGAATGTGAGCGGGCGGTTGAGTGAAGAAAAAAAGAGGAAAGAGAGAAAAGAAAGAAAAAGAAAAAAAAAGAAGGGAAAAAGATTAGAAGGAATCGAGATGCATCGGCTTATAAAGAACTCATTCAACAAAAAAAGAAAAAAAAAAAAAAAAAGAGTCGCGTCAAAAAGATCATTACGCGAAAAAATATTTTGGGTCAATATTTTTTTAAAAATCATAAAAATGATGAAAATGAAAATCGAAATTCATCATTTGGAAAGCGTGTCAGATGATGCATAATCAAACAGACTTTATGGTGGATGCATTGTTCATGAGCAAGACCATTGACAACAATCAGATCCATCATAGATGTGAATTGATCCTGGTCTTATGCTACGAACATAGTCATATACCATCATATAAACCTAGCCCTCTGTCTTGTAACTATACCAGACACCATGTAGAAAATATGTGTTTTTCTACCATTTTGTTGTTTTTAATCCCTATTCACAATGGGACGCGTGTCTGAGGCGTACATGTACATTTTTATTTTTTTTCGTCTCCGTGGAGAAAAGCCAGAGGTCCTATTCTTTTTTTCTATCTTACCCAAATGCTCACGCACCACACACTGCAGTCGAATAAATGTGTACAAACAAGCTGCGTGTTTTGCCTCTCGATGGGAAAAAAACTAATATTGTTTCATCAATTCACCTTCCCGCTCTGAAGGAACGCCCCATGGGTCTACTATAACGCCGCATGTTCCCCAATTATTGAAAATTTAATCCTTCATACCCATAAACATGTAATCAATCACATCACGCAAAAATACGTGCTAAATATGCTCCAATTCGGCCAATGACAGCTCAGCTTTTCTTATTCCCCAAAAAACTGCCACTCCTTCCGCTTTTTTGAAATCTTCCTTTGTTTTCTTAAAAAGTATGTACATGTACCTGTTATACGCTTTTTTTTTCCTTTTTTTTTTTTTTTTTTTTTTTTTTAAAAAAAGAACCCATGAAGTGGATAGCGACGAGATAACCTTGATTGTCCAATACTTCCAGCTCCGTCAACAGCCATCATGCAAATTAGACATGTGATATAGGTCCACAACCTTTTAAAAAAATTACATATTTATTATGTCCTCTATCAGTAGTATATACAAGCGCGATAGATATGTACATAGAATGGGACAAAATCTGAAGAATTCATTCTTCAATAAAGAGCATGAAGAACAATGGATATTATAAGTGAAGAGCTTTAGCAACAGAGAAGTCTCATGAAGAGGACTTACATCGTAGTGGTGCACAATTATATATATAAAAGCCAATCAAGTATATAATTCCATGTCTTCAATTGCTTGCATTTAGAACCCAAAAACAAACAAAACAAAAACCTGTAATAGAAAAATGTATGGACTGTTGTGTTAGGGATTTTCCTTTTTTTTTTTTTTTTTTTTTTTTTTTTTGATGGTTCTGACGAAAGGAACAGGGGAGATTGAGAACAGAAACTTCATCGGAAAAAAAAAAAATGCAAAAAGTTGTTGAATGGTATATATTGGATCAGCTCTCGACCCTGGTGCCTTGTATCTGTATTGATTGCTTTCAAGAATGAAATATAATTCCTGGCGTTCTTGAAGCTTCGATTGCGATTATATAAATGTTCTTGATTGACTGAAATATTGATACATCTAATTTTTTTTTTTTTTTTTTTTTTTGCGGTGTGAGTGATTATATTGCTTGGATGTTTGCAGCCCTTGAACTCATCCGTGAGAAGTGTGATCTAACAGTGAACCGAGTCAAAGAATACAATAATTCATCTTTCAATAATTGAAGACATCAATACCAGTCAAGGGTAGCAAATGCTATTCTACATTTACACTATCATTTACCTTTGTTAGGCTTCATGCCATCTATCACGGACAGGACCTAAACTTAAAAAAGCGTCTGTTAGAAGGTACTCATGCTAGTCTGGACTTTTGCGACGCGATTGCCGTGAAACAATTTCTTACATATAACTGGCCTGAATCGGAATGATAAATAAACTTATAAAAACTCAAAGGATCTTAATCCTATGTATGATAGTCTCTCCTAATAGCTCGGCCCTGACCTTTTTACATTGCTCTGTAATGCCTGAAGTAAAATTGCACAATTCCAATTGGTGGAGCATGGCATGAATAAGAATGATGGTAGATATATCAGGCCCACTCCAAGCAATGCAAGGAGCGGGCAGCAAAGAGACGAATTTCAAGGAGCGCAATGAATAAATAAAAAATAAAATAAAAAAATGAAGTCAAGATGCGCAGGAAGTAGATAGTAAAGCGAGAGGAGGAAAGAAGTCGACCGATTTCTTTGTTCATCCAAGAAAGCATGGTTTCTCATTTTATGCAACATTAATAATGCAATAAATAATTCAGTGGCTGTGAAAGAACGACCAAATTCACTTTTCTCTATTTCCATTACTTGATCTACCAAGACATTTTCTCACGAAGGGAAATGAGAAGCCAATAACGGACATTGCGATTATCAATTTAGACAAAGGAATTCAATAACTCGTTACCTCGACCGCAATTTGTCCGTGCCTGAACAAGATGTTGGCCATAATATTCGTTATTTTAACAGCCGTAGTCGCAAATCAGACAAAACCAAAGTCAGAGACATTTGCACCATTCATCACCACCCGACGCAAGTCCAAGGTTGCTTCCACTTCCACAGCGTCTTCATCAACGCGATCTGGATGGTTTACAAGGAATATCCTCGAGCCTTTGGTAGGGCCTACTGTCCCTGATCATACAATCACTGACTACTACTTCTTCCTCCTTGCGACGCTCAATGACGATTCAGGACAGTACTTGGGCATATTTCACCAATGGTTTGTCATCTCCGAGTTACAGGAGCTCTCAGAAGCAGGCACTTCCCAAGTGACCTCTCAAGCGGAAGACCGGAAACAGAAGGCCGTCCAAGCTAAAATCAATAAAGACTGTAAGTTTCTGTGTAGAACATCCATAAGCTATGATTTGTCTCATTCTTGGCACTTTTTGAATGTTTTGCATGGCTGGACAAACATATATATATATGTATGCTTTCAATCAATATATATCAAGACCATGAGACAGCCAGAGCGTATGTTGATGCAGCAAAGCTATACGAAAAGAGCGGATCACAGTTTAATTTTATGGAAGCAGCAGGAGCCTATGAAGATGCGTTCAAAGCGTACCAAATGGTTAAGCAAACAGGTACCACGAAGTCGGAGTTTATGACACTGCGATGACTCTCGGACAAGGAGCTGTGATCTCTTATCTTTTTTTTTTTTTTTTTTAAGGGCCTGCCCTTCAATGTCTAGAGAACGCTGCCAGGCTGTTCCGATCGAATGATCGAGGTGCCTCCAGAGCTGCCAAGATTTACAATCAGTTAGGTGACCTCCTTAAGTCACAAGATCCCAAGAAGGCGGCAGAGATGTATCGCGAAGCAGCAGAGCTATTTCAAAGCGCTGGCGATGGGTAAGCGACATTTGCAGTGATGCTTAAACTTTTGGGCTGGTTTTCATATTACAAAATATTTAGCTTACACAAAACTTTGCTATAGGCGAGCTCTGCATGCAACGATACGACTAGCAGAGCAACTTTGTGTTCTACATAACTATGCACAAGCATTTTCGCTCTACAAGGAAACTATCATTCCAGAGACCATGTCGCAAGAGATCCTTCGATATACAACGCGAGATCATATCCTGAATGCTATTATTGCGCATCTGGGCGCTACTCAGGGCGACTGGATAGTGTTTGAGACAGATATTGAGCACTTTGAAGAGGCTTGTCCTGACTTTGGAGCGTCCCAGGGTTTGAGAGTGCTCAAAAGCCTAGCAAAAGCAGAGCGAGAGCACGATGCAACTTTGTTTCGCGAAGCATGCCAGGGATTTGATAGGCTTCATAGTGGTGGAATGCCAGATTGGCAGGTTGGCTTGCTCTTGAAAGAGAAACAGAAATTAGAAGGTGGTAGCCTACTATAAGTTTTATAATTATTTTTACTACATAAATCATTTAATAAAGTCTTTACGCGCCTTTACACCGTCTCTTTCTTTCTCTTGGTTCCCCCTATCTCAAAGGCAATGGTAGTTTGTAGCAGGGATATATTTATTTATGCGAAATATCACTTCAGTACCGGATCAAATGTTGCCACATCTTTGATGTGACATGGATAGTTGACAGACAATCCAACCTCTGCAGCATGACAATTGTGATTGTTAGAGCAGTATCACAACATGTCTGAACAAGTGACCAATGTCTGTCAAGACATGACATGACATGACCAACAAGTTACACTAGGGTGGGGATGTTTAATATGTAATATTTCATTACATTGAGTGAAAAGTTGTTGTTCGCCACTTTGCCCACGCCTCTTATTTTCGCATGGATAGGCTGTATTGCCATTCTTTTTTTATATAATCAATGCTTTATGTCCATCAATTGTGCTCACCGAGCTTATTGCACAATTGTTCCAAAAGAGGATGGTTTGATGTCACACACAATCATTTACTTTCACAGACACCAGACAACTTTGTTCGAAATAACATTAACAGCATTGCATTGTCTATCCAGGTAATCATGACGAAAGGGAAGATTTATGTTTACCCGATCCACAGACAACGCCCATTACACATACTACGCCCATTGCACAAGCTATAAAGACACACCTTACGATGTGCAAGGCCCATATTTCACTATTTATGATTAAAAAAAGGAAAAAAAAAAAAAAAAATGGATCATGATGATGGTGGACAATAGTCATCTTTTATGAAAGATCGCGTCTTTTTTTTTTTTTTTTTTTTTTTTTTTTTTTCTTGCCCTTCTTTTTTTCGTTCCTGGCAATGTGTGTCAGAAGTAAACCACTCAAATGTTTGATGATCCCTTTTATACTCTTGAAGGAAACTTATGGATGATAAAAGTCTTCTGGACAGTTAGTTAATTCATCCGTTCAATATTCTTTAGTCTAACGAGTGTAAGATTTGGCAGTCCTCAAGTCATCAAACGGAAAAATGTAAAGATTTAACGACTACTGCAGGTTGATAGACAAAGTAAATTAGTTAGTGTATCGGTTTCATTGTCCACATGCATCATTTTTAAAATATGCTCATCTGTGCAGTTTGATCATAAAAAAAAACATATTTAAAGCACACTGTTTGCTTATTCTCTTCTCTCTCTTGACAATCCACATATTCATAATTCGTGCCACCATTTGTTCGCCTGCCTGCTTGCTTGTCACTATACCCCAAATCGAATACTCCAATACATTTATACCATACACTCATTCACCCATATTCTTTTTCTTTTTCTTTTTCTTGCTTTCTTTTTTTTTTTTTTTTTTTTTTTTTTTTTTTGCCCTCTTACACTCTTACAGCAACACAACTTGCATTGCATTGTACGTGAGGTTTTGAGCTCATATCCAACATTTATGCAAACCAAGACATTGATTGTCCATTTTTTTATCCTGAGAGTACTTCAATTCATCTGGTTTCTCAGTTGGAAATTAAAATGTTCACATGAGTTTTGGAGTATTCGTTCTTCAATAATAAATATGAAAAAACAACTACATCTTTATGAATTCTGCTGCTCATTGCAAGATGCTGCAGCCTATGGATTCCTATGCCTTCTATTATCAATTCTGTAGCTACATTTGACATCTAGGAATGAGGAGGGATTGTGTATACGTGTGCTTGTACGCCTTCATCAAGTGCCCCGACATGATTGATTCGATAATCTTTATACTAAAGAAAGCAATCACTAATAACAGTTATATTTCTATCTTCTCCTAACTAGACAGGACTGTATGTCAACTTACTGAACATTCTAGTCAAGCATGGCAGACAAGCACGGACATATTGTGTCTGAAGAATCAAAGACACAGGGTATGAATAATATTGCAGTCACGGGTTTCGTAGTGCTTCGCCACAGTTGGTCTGTGCCACACAACTAACTTTTAATTGCTTCAACAGAGGATAGACCTGCTAACCTAGAGAATGTCCAGCCAGTGAAAAACGATGCGCCAGTTAAATCAGAAGCTGTGCCTGCTGCACCCTCAGGGCCCACTAACACAATGGTCGAAAAAAATGGCAAAGGTGGCAACCTCCAGGTGGAAGAGCATGAGCATCATGAGCATACGGACCAGATTTCTCCAGAACTCGAGGCACTACTTCATACTGATCCTACGCAGGGCCTATCAGATGAAGAAGTCGGTAAACGCAAGGCTGAGTTCGGCCCAAACGAACTTAAAGAAGTCAAAAAGAACCCTATCCTCAAGTTTTTAGGATACTTTACTGGTGCTATCGCTTACTTGATCGAGGTCGCCTGCATCATTTCGGCTGTTGTTAAGGTAAGGTTCATTGAGAGTTTGGAGGGGGGGGGGGGGCTTTCGAAGGCTTTGGAGCGCGTTGAAGCAACGATATGCACTTTTTTTCAGTGGGTTGACAGCTGACAATCGTGCCCTTCTGTGAACATGACTATGTAGGATTGGCTTGACTTTGGCATCATCTTGGCACTTTTACTCGTTAATGCCTGCATTGGGTTCATTGAAGAGTCCAAAGCTGAGTCTGCTCTGGATGCACTACGCCAGACACTAGCTCTCAAGACTCGATGTTGGCGTAATGGTCACTTGGTTGAACTTGATACTACTGAGTTGGTACCAGGCGATGTCATTGTCTTGCGCCTAGGCGACATTGTCCCCGCTGACGGACGTCTTCTTGGCATGGGTGCCTCAGGTGAAGAGACAAACGCTGAGTTGATGATCGACCAGTCTGCATTGACAGGGGAATCGCTACCTGTAGCCAAGAAGAAAGGTGATGTCGTCTACTCATCATCAATCGTGAAGCAAGGCCAACAGATGGCCATAGTGACTAAAACTGGAGCTGACACCTTTATCGGCCGTGCTGCCAACCTGATCTCCATCACCACAGAAGAAGGCCACTTTCAAAAAATTATTAATCGCATTGGAAACTTTTTGATCCTCATTACTGTTGTCCTTGTTGGCATTATCCTGGTTTACCAGCTAGTACATTTCCGTGGCACACCTGACGGTGCTTTCCTTACTGTACTCGGCCGTGTCCTGGTCCTGACGGTCGCTGCCATCCCTGTTGGGTTACCCACAGTCATGTCTGTGACCATGGCCGTTGGGGCAAAGCAGCTCGCTGCCAAACAGGTTATTGTAAAGCGCCTGACTGCCGTCGAGGAAATGGCTTCTGTTTCTGTTCTTTGCTCCGACAAGACTGGGACTCTCACCCTAAACGAACTCACATTCGACGAGCCATATCTGACTAACAACTATACTGCTGAGGATATCCTTTTGTACTCATACCTTGCTGCTGAGGCTGGTGCTAATGATCCGATCGAGCTCGCTGTCCGTACTGCTGCTGAAGAACAACTGCCCCTCTTACAGAACCGTACTCATAAGCATGATATTCCTGGATACAAGATCACTTCTTTCCTGCCTTTCAACCCTGATACCAAACTCACGCAGGCTACGGTCATCAACAAGGAGACTAACGAGACATTCAAGGTTGCCAAAGGGGCTCCTCAAGTCATTATTCGCCTCGTTGGAGGAGATGATGATGCCGTTAGAGCTGTTAATGCTCTAGCCAAGCGCGGCCTCCGTGCACTCGGCGTTGCCCGTACTCGCAAGGGATCGGCTGAGGAATTCGAGTTGATCGGTATGATTTCGCTAATTGATCCTCCTCGTCCTGATTCTGCAGAGACCATTGCCCGCTGCCGCCATATGGGCGTAGATGTCAAGATGGTGACTGGCGACCAATTGATTATTGCCAAAGAAGTCGCTCATCGCCTGGGTCTTACCCGTGTTATTCTTGATGCTAACCATTTGGCCGATCCTGACAAGTCTGAGGAAGAGGTGACAGAGCACTGTATCCGCGCCGATGGATTTGCACAGGTCATTCCAGAACACAAGTATCGTGTAGTGGAGCTACTTCAGAAGCGCGGCATCATTGTCGGTATGACCGGAGACGGTGTTAATGATGCTCCTGCTCTCAAAAAAGCCAACGTTGGTATCGCTGTCCATGGATGCACGGATGCAGCACGTTCTGCTGCAGACATTGTTTTGCTGGCTCCAGGTCTATCAACAATTGTTGATGGTTTGCTAACGTCTCGTGCCATTTTTCAGCGCATGCGATCTTATGCTCTTTATCGTATCACATCTACGGTCCATTTCTTGATGTTCTTCTTTATTGTCGTCATGGCTTATGATTGGTCGTTGCCTGCACGCCTGCTGATTTTGATTTGTATCTTGAACGATTTGGCGACATTGGTGATTGCAGTTGACAATGCTCAGCTCTCGCCGCATCCTGACAAATGGCGTATTGGCCAACTGATCACAATGTCCATAGTCCTTGGTATTTGCCTCACGGCCCTATCGTTTGCACACTTTTTTACTTTCTGGAAGCACTTTGGCTATGCACCGGTCCACGAGAGTGAGCCAGAGGAATACAGGAAGCTCGAGTCGGTGATGTATCTGCACATCTCGTCTGCGCCTCACTTTGTGATTTTTTCAACCCGCCTCGCTGGCTACTTTTGGGAAAACCTTCCATCCCCTCTGTTCGCGGCTGTAATTATCGGCACCCAGATCATTGCCCTACTGATGGTTGTGTTTGGAGGGCTGACACCCAAGATCCCTTTCTCTCAGGCAATCGTAGTTCTTCTCATCTCCTTTGCCTACTTTATCGCTTTGGATGTGGTCAAGGTCCAACTGTTCAAGATCTGGTCGTTTGAATTGACAGCTGCAGTGGTCCGCACACCAGCACGCAGGAAAAAGCTAGCAGAGAAAAAAGCTCGCAAAATCCAACAGGAACGTGTTTGGAATAGCATTGATCATATTCGAGAAATTATCTTGAAGTTGAAGGCCCTGGAGGCGTTGAATGAAGTACCTAAGGGCGAAGGGCAGACGATTGAGGATCCTGAAGAGTTCCATCGCAAGGAGCAGGAAAAGAGAGAGTATGAAGAGGTAGAAGGGGAAGGAAAAGACGGTCTTAAAAAACTTGATGCCATGGGCAGCGGCTCTGGTGCAGACGAGAAGGCAGCGCAAGAGGCCAAGGAGCAGGCAGCAGCGATGAAACTAGGTGATACTAACGGAATTAATGCACCTGTATCGTCGCAAAGGCCCGCCACTGCCGCTACGGAAGCGGCCTTTAATGAGAAGCAGGGGGTCCAACAATAATGAGGAAGAATGATCCCCTTGCTTTTTTTATTGTAAAATATTATCGTATGCTGTGAATAAACGCTTCGTGCAACATGAAAATAGGTATTCAATGCCTTCATTGACGTGAAATTTACAATTTATTGACCATGTTGTTGCAATATTGATCTTTCCTCCAAAGATGGCTTTCTTGGATGTGCTATTGTTTTGAAGTTGATGCGAAGATATCTATTATTGGTTCCTCAACCGCCGGCTTTCAGCGTCTTCTGGTCTTCCAAGGACACGAACCAACGACACATGCATGACAGCGTTCATCGCCATGAGGCCCATCCGAACTTCTATTATCAGTCTGTTTTATCGCTTTCCTGTGGCCTCTCCACAAATCCAAGACCCACAGTATCTTCTCTGTATAATCGTCTATATTGACCGATGGCTCTACATATTGCTCACAGTCCTTACATCTCTGTGAATGGATAGTCGTGTGGTACGAGTTGTCAACATTCGAAAATTTGAGTTCAGTGGCGATGATGCCTGAGGTCCAAGTGCGACTAGCGCAACTAAGTGACTGGCAAGTGAATGAGCCATAGATGGCTAGTGCTCTATACTTTGTAGCGCGGATATGCTGGTCGTAGGAAATAGGGTAAGAATCTTGTCCCATAATATAGGCATGGAGAAATGCTCCATCGATGGTCTTGCGCGCATGGGATCGGTTGGGCATCTTGGTTTCACAAGTAAAAAAAAAAAAAAAAAAAAAAGAGAGAGAGAATTCACTGCTAATATCGCTATCGGACTTCAAGGCCTTGTCGCCTGAAATGCATAATGCTACATCAGAAGTATGGTGAATATCAGTTTCCCACGGCGCGAGAATGATTAATCACTTGAAGCACCGTTTTCATCAGTGCATCTCACTCACTGCCTGTAGTTTTTTATTTTTTTTTTTTATTTTTTTTTTTTTAAAAAAAACCAGCTTTTCTTCGCTAATCAGGAAAGACAAAAAAAAAAAAAAGAAAAAAAGAGCTCCCTCATTATTGCCAGAAACAACCGCTGTATTGAAAGAAACCTCTGTAACCAACATTCTATAAGAATATTTGCCGATCACGCTGCAAAGTTCGCTGGCTAAACTAGGTTTTATAAACTCGTTAAATCTAAACTACTTTAGATGAACTCCTTACGTTGGCTTCACCGCCCTAACCGTAGTCTTTTCGGTCCAACCCTCAACAATCTGAGGAGCCGAAATAAGAATGATTTGAACTGTTGGCCGCTACAAAACTACTATACAGTCATAGTCGGACGAAAGGTTAATACTAAAGACGATAGATCTGATGATCAAGGGACTAAACAAACAGTAGATATTGATGTTGCAAAAACAAGCCTTGGTTCTGCAAACGCCGTCCATTCGAAGCACTTAAAGCCTAGGGGTGATAGCGACGACAAAACTGATGTTAGCCAACAAAGAGCAGCTAAGGACCGGAGGTCTACCAAAGATGAGCCAGAATCAGCAAAGAAGATACTCGCCAAAGAGGAAAAGAAAAAGCCTGAGGCACTTACTCCAAAAGAGGTTGAAGAATTTGAAGAGATTAAAGAGGTTGACGGTGAGCACCTTCATACTCATTTGATCAAAATAGTAACATACCAGATTTTCTACGCTAAAGATCCCATTGATGACGATGAACATCTGCTTAAAAGGAACCTCGGTATCTTCGGAAAATTCAATTGTAAAACATCAACATGCAACGGACACAGTTGGCAATCAGCCTGTATCGCCACCTATCTAAGGTTTTCTAAAAGCAGCAACTCCTACAAGGTCACGCTCTATGCCCAAAGTTGCAGAAAATGTGAAAGATACATGGTGCCCGCTGTTGATGCAGAAAGCTACTGTAAACGGGTTTGTTCTGCGTTAGATTTGTGGAAGGATGTAAGGGACAAGATTATCTGCGATCGCGGCCCATTTATAACCCTCGGCCCTCATCAGTCTAGTCGTTGTTATGGATGCAAAGTGGGCAAGTGCAGGTATCCATTTATAAAGAGACAAGGTAAAAGAAATAACTTACTTCTCATAAACTTTGGTGTTACGGCACGGAGAATAAGCTTAACAGACTTGACTCTCATTTGCTTCAGAGATGGGATAGATCAGCCTACGCAATGAAGCAGGGCGCACAAGCAAAAGGTTAACATCCTTGCGGCTTGGAGCCACATTGGATCCCAAAGCGGCTATTACAACGGCTACTTTACAAAGGGCCACCATCCTCTCTCGGTTGCACACATAGATTAATAACAGCTATAAAAAAATAAGTAAATAAATCGCTATCGCTACGACTCACTCCTTTTGCCTGAATGTAGAAGGCGAACCAGCTCCCAATAACGCTAGGAGTGATCAAACGCCTCTTTCCTTCCTAGAAGCCTTCCTTGCTAATGTCGACAAGTAACAACCCATTTTATTCTTTTTCGTGTTCGTGATAATGCGGTTTTTATGTAAAACATAACTGACGTAAAACGAAGGATAAAACGATTTTTGCATATATGTATAAAACACCATCTATGTTAGTATTAGAGGCATTAATGTAAATTCAGAACAGAGACATTACAAAACCTGAAAGCCTTAATGGCAGTTTGAATCGAAGTATTGTGTAAGATCTGTTGTCCGGTGCCTCTAAATAAAAGTCATTTTTACTACAGCTGGAAACACTGATGCTATTTAGGAAGAGCGCCCGCTGAGAAATAAAAAATAAAAAAATAAAAAAATAACAGAAACGGCGGAGCTTTTGTGTCGAAGCAGCATGAAACTTCGCGTAAGCACGCGAGATGGTATCCACGAAAAATCTGACTGTTTATTGACTTTAGAATGAAACATTTAGAAAGATTTTAAAAAAAATTCAACAAATCAATTCCTCAGCTTGTCCTAAAAGCTCCACCAGCCTATTTGGTCCCACTTGTCCGAGCAACCAAGCTCCTCCCTTTGCGAACTTATCTGTCCATAGCTCTAAATCGTCTTTCAACTGCTTATCAAAGTACTTTAGGACCAATGCAGTTGCCGCAATTGTTCCTGACAACGATTTGGTATCTTGGACCTCCATCGACTGCGCTGTAAAGCTAGGGATAAGGCCAAGGGACGAAAGCAATTCGTCCTCCCACAACCACGGACCCTCTGCTGTCTGTCTCGATAATAAGTAATTAGTCTGCTCACTGCAGCCACCCTGAGCGTCATTAAATTGTCGAAGTACCGCGTTGTCTTCCATGATGCTGTTCTTATTGAAGATTCCGATGATTGGCAAAGAACTCCGTCCTCCTTTTCCTTGGGGCGCTTCTATGACCACCACATCATCAGGTGTGACTTTGGTATGTTCGAGATTGTGATCTTCATTTGCTTCCATTTAAATATATATAAAAAAAAAAGAATGATAAGGGAAGAGTTGATTGATAGGATACAAAAAATGTGTCCTGGATTAAAATCAAAATGATGGTAGTAAAGAAGGACAAGGGATAGTAGTCCAGTTGCGACACGGGAAGTGCATTATTTAAAGAGAATTGTTTGCACGGTCCTCGGTACCGAAAAGACTAAAAAGATAGTCTAGTGACTCTAGTCTACTGCTGTGCTAGCCAAACATATCATTGGACAGCACAATATCACGTGGACCTGCCCCCCATGTTCAGCGCCCTCTCGACTTCAAGAGGCGAAGACTAAATCTTCCAAGGCTCCAAATAAAAAAATAAAAAAAATAAAAAAGCTTATGTAACATTGCCCGGTTCAATTTGGTCAGGCCAATTGCCCACGCAAGTGTTTTTTTTCCACAACTTTATTTGAAGAATCAATACACAAATGGCTCTGACTCAATGGATGCTGCATAAAATACTATAATGCAAGCAGACTCTTGCGTAAGACCGCTACTTTGTCTTGTAGTTCTTGCCGACGTTCTTGCTTTGCTGGTGGCTCCACGAGTCGGCTCGAAATTGTATCTTCGTCGACAGCGATTAACATTTCAAAATAGAGGTTAATTCGCTTTATCATATGCCGCTCAATAGTTTGTTGAAGAACTACATCAACAATTCGCTTGCGGACCACCTTGCAGTAAGACCGCAATTGCTCTTGTAGGTCCTCAACTGCAAGTTCCTCGTTATAGTTCACATCAGATATTTGTGAGGGATTGCCATACGACTCCAATTGTTGTTCTAAAAGTTTTTTGATATACTCGGCGGTGTATTCGTCGGGTGTAGTGCCTAATTTCGCCAGTTCTGCTATCTTCTGCTCCGCCTTTGCTTTCCTGCTTTTGAGGATGTTATCGTAATAATACTTGTTCATCGTGAAAGGTGTGTCCTCGTCTATGAAGATGCTCTCAATCTCGCTCTCAATTTTTGTTATCTGTAAGCTATAGAATCTGTCGAATTCTATTAGAAGTGTGTCTTTGATAAGAGGGTCTGCGGTGAATGCTATGAACCTAGAGATGGCCTTGTACAAATACTGGTGCATATTGGCGATATGGACTTTGGTCATGTCGCTCCATCGAACTAATGTTTCCATGTAAATCTGTGTGAAAGTGGTGAACGAGATAAATCCGGGTAGCTCTTTTCCCTTGTAACGAAGAACCAGCTCACTAATTTTGTCCTTTTCAAGTATATACTTGTCCTTGTTCATCACAGCATTGTATCGCTGGTACAGGGTTTGTAACGACGAGCGAAGGAAGGTATGGCTACTCTCTTCGAGAGAAAGGGGCACCATGTCATCTTCACTATCGCCGTGGCCAGTGCTCACTGAATCTTGGTTTTCCAGACTTGGTTTGTTCTGGTTGATGTACTCGAAGGTGTAGTTGCCGTCGAGAAGTGCGATGAGCGAGGACTTGAGCTTCATGACATTGTCAATGTATTTAATCTTAGCTGTGGCGATGCTCGACACTGGTGGGCCCATGCTGGTGATTTCATCTTCGCATTCCTTGATCATATCAAGAATATCCTTTCTCAGGAACGGCAATTCCTTCTTGATATGGGTATATAAGAGATCACCCAAGAACTCCTTCACATGGACTCGGCCTCTTCTTGTAACCGGCACCTGATTCCACAGCTCCGACGACTTAAAAAATTCGTCCTCTCGTTTTTTGGCCTCTTCCCAAGGAATGTCAATGTCTTTGTAGCTTGAATTCTTCATGACGAGGTATCCTAGGCGCATTTGCTTGCGTTTGTTAAGCACTGTTTGGATCAAATTGGGAAGCAGGTCTGGCTCTACGGTATCGGGCTTTGTCACAATGGGGATTGTACGCTCGTTTTTTGGATCGTAGCGTTCTGCTTCACCGAGCACGAAAATATTGTTCAGGTCCACATTAGCAGGAACTACTGCCAGGATGATAGTGCGACTGTCTTTGATGTACTTGGTGTTGATTGTGCGGATGGTCTCCACTATGCTTTTGTCCTGCCCATCGACGGTTGTATTGATATAACCGGGAAGATCAATGACAGTGAGAGGTGACAATGTAGGACCAGAGATGGTGATCTCAAGCACTTTTTCGCTAATCTCTACATAGGAGCATAGAATTCTATTTGCATCGCTAATAATTGTATGGATATTCCAATCCGCCTCTTGCGCCTGGTATTGCTTGTTGAATGCAGCTTCGCCATCGATATGAGCGGACATTTCTTTTCGCGGACTTTGGCGCAAGCTTACTTGTGTGGCGAAGCGTGTACTAAAGACGAAGGAAAGCGTTCGTTAGGTAAATGTAAAGATGTACATGTCAAAACTAAACATGTACAAAAAGATAACCAAGAGCGTAAATCTTACCATGTTTCGATATTTCGAGGGAATGAGAGCCTTGTCAGGGCTTCCAGGACACTTGACTTACCACTCGACTGATCGCCTAGGATAGCGATCTGTGGTATAGTCAGCATCTTGTTCAATCCATAGCTTCGGATCTTATTGACTTTGTCAATGAAGTTTTGATATTCTGTTTTCTCGAACATGGTGTATGGAATGGATCAATGAAGTTGAAGGTTAGTTTTTCATAAAGTTAAACAGCACTCTTTATATACTAGATCTCAACAAAAAAAAAAAAAAAAAAAAAAAAAAAGTTGTGCCTCCACTTACTGCCACACATAATCACCAGATACCATGGACCTGTGCGTGTGAAATTGGGAATCGATCATCCCGCGGGGGATCTGCCTTGGTAATCGGTATTAATAACATGTGACTGATATATTGTCCGGTTCGTTTGGTCACAGCACAATTCATTTGTTAATCTATATCACTATGTTATATTCTCATTCAGAGGCACAGGTTATTCTAAAATATAACAAATGAATTATGTCGTGACCAAAAAGAAGCACCTTTTTGCTGCAACAAACAATCCGATCTTTTGAATAACCTTTCCTCCTAAGCGTCTCAAACATCATCTTCTTCGAAACAATACACCACAATGTGTGAAACAACTAAGCGCGACAACAAACCATCAAGAGCTGATCAAATAAACAAATAAGCAAACAGAGGCAAGGTAGCAACCGCACCACTTGCGCTACTTGTCAGGCATATGATTATCTTAAAAATACAAATACTATAACCACACACAAGGACAAAAGAACTCCCATTATGCGAAATTATGCTGCAGTGCGTAAAAAAGGCTGTATATTATTTTCTAACGTTCGCCCCACATCCACTTCAAGCCATTGGATGGATTGGCTTTTAATAGGGGAGCGGGTTCATATACTCTTTTGGTCAATATTGCGAAAGAGAGACTTAAATGGTGGCCATAGTTTATACCTTGAGGGCTGTACTTTGTGATAAAATAAAATCACCTGTTTCCATTTTAAGCCATCAAACGATTTTATTTTGCGCTCTGTGCCTTGTCAACAAACAAGAAAAAAAGGGCCTTCGCCAATCAGGGGGCATGCACTCCTCGAAATTTTCTAATATGCATGATTCACCCATCGTAGGACGGTATCTCGAACTCTAAAAAAGCCAATTTAAAAACAATGAAAGAATACTTTTGGCGAGGACCCTAACGTAGGCTCAAACTAGTTTTTTCCTTCTTTCTTTTTTTTTTTTTTTTTTTTTTTTTTTTTTCCTGCTCAGTTTCATAATCAAGGGGATTGATAGTAAGGTCACTTAATTATTAAGCAGATTTGTCTTCTACCTAACCTCAACGGATTATTTCCAAATTGCTTGGCAAGATCATTCAGTCAACAATTATCTCATCCCGGATTGGCCTACGCGCCATAGCTCTGCATTGAAATGACACCAGGAAAGCTTTTTTTTTCTTCTTTTTTCCTTCTTTTATTTTGTAAATGTCCACAAATATGAAAGGGCCTAGATATATCATAACTCATTCCCTTTCTGCATATGGACACTCATTTACTTCACATCCATGGCAGCGTTCAGTATCATGAGGGCCATCGGATTTGATTTCCTTATCTTTACGAGGCTCTTTGGCTCTGAAGCCCATCCACAAGTCCAACACATAAACTACTCTTTTAACTAAGGTCGTCACTTCCACAATAGGCTCCGCATACTGCTCGCATTGGTTGCACTTCTGAGCATGGAGCGTGACTTTGTAAGCTTTGCGAGGCCTGCAAAACCTCAGGTTGGTGGCGATAACGGATGAGTCCCATTTACGTTCCCCGCAATCCTCTGTTTTGCAGACAAAGTGTCCCCAGACATTGCTGTTTCTCTTAGTAAGTGTCCCATCAGTCCTACTGAGGGTTTTATCATAGACGACGTCGTACGTTACTTCATCAATAACGTAAGTATGAAGGTATTCACCATCAAACTCCTCCGGAGTCGGTTTTGGGGCTTTCCCCTTTTTCTGCTTAGTGAGCTGCTGTTGGTCATCGCCAACTGACCCTTGCTGATCGCCATTTGGTTGTGAAATAATCCCCTCGCCGAAATCTAGGATATTTCTCCTTTCAGACCTTGTTGGCATTTCTACTCCTTTGTCTTTACGCCGTTTGCGTTCAGCATGAACTACTCGTCTTGCCCAAGTTGGATAGTCTTGCATCGGCAAATGGTTCAAATCATACTTGCCTAGCTGCAAAAGCGCGCTGTAGAACGAACCAATAATTCTACGGGAGGCCTGGTTAGGGTTCATCTAATATAAGGTGATTGCGTGTATGTATACGTATGTGTATATTAGGATGTGAAAAGAGCCAAAATTGTCCAGTGGACTAACGTTTGACATGAACTGTAAAGTGCTGCTCTTACTCTTGAACGCGATGTGGAAGCTGAAGCGTCTGTGTTCTGATATATGTTTGCAAAAAAGGATTGCAGTGGTATGGTATAGAGGAGAAAGAACCAGCGGAAAGAGAGAAGACAGCGAGGTAAAGAAGCAATAGAATGCAAACCAAACACCAGTTTTATAGCTCATGGACCGAGATTGTTTTCTTCCTTTTTTTTTCATTTACTACTGGGCGAAGGATTGCTATGGTAAAGGCAACACGCTTGACAAACCAATATGCTTTTTGCATAGCATTTCGACTTGGTTTTTGTAAAAGATCGTGAATAAAAAAATTAAAAAAAGCCTTCATAGACTTACTATATATACTATATATTTACGCGCTATAGCTCTTTGTCTCATGCTTGTAATTTATTAAAGGTGCAAACACGGATGCTTTTATCTAGAGAGTCTCTACTTTTATTCTCTTCCAGTAAGATTGGTGGCGTTCTTACCACTTACATTACTGTTTCGAGGTTACCATACCCAGTGGCAAAAACAGTGGGATCGCTGATCTTTGACATCTAGTGCCACATTTGCATACACATCCTGTGGCAAAGAGCTTAGTTACGCCATTACCTCTGACTCTCTCTCTGTCTCTCTCTCTCTCTCTCCCTCTCCCTCTCTCTCTCTCTCTCTCTCTCTCTCTCTCTCTCTCTTTCATTCTGTCCATAATTTATGTAAACACTGTTCTGCTTTCATCTAGTTTTCAGAATTTTAGAACATTTCAGATTCACATTGTACGAAAACCATATTAGCGCTTTTTTAAACCTTCCTTTCAATCTGAGCGCGACAGTTGGCTCCAGATGAAGTCATGGACCCAACTAGGATACAGGGGCCAATTCTTATATCGGCCGATCGAAATTGAGGATTGATCATCATACACTTCAAATTTTTATTTGTTTTTGAACTTTTGCATTAAAACTAAATGGCTCGTCCTCAGGCTCCAACGTGTTCACTGAAGTCAAATAATTCATCCTCGGATTCCACATGTTCATCAATTTCCCTCCTTTCCGAAACTGGCAATGAGGGGGCTAGGGGTGCTTGTCGCCACCTGAAATCTCTGATATTTGCTGTTCTGTCAACTTTTTTTTGGAAGGATTGAAAGAAGTAAATTCCGAAATCTGGAGAGAAGGCCTTAAATGTTTTCCTGAAATTTTAATGTTATCTATCTTAGTGCTCAATTATCTGTTCTAGTACACGTTCACGACAGTTTATAATATAGTTCTAATGGAGCAAGGGAATAAAATATGTTCAGCCTGTATTACCAGATCCCATCAAACTCGAGCTTACCACAAAGGTGATAAGAAAGTTAATTGTATCTCCTAGTAAGAATTCTTTCCATGTAGGTCGCGAGTTTGGAAAGCGAAGAACATGCTTGGACGCAAGGTCTGAGGTGAAATCTCTTCGAAATAGTTTAACTGAAAACATTGTCCCAACTAAGCCTAATACATAAAGAAATAAAGTAGAGGTCAAGGGACTGACTGGCTTATAAGTTAGCTGCAAACTAATAACAGGATTACCATGTACATCAAGGCCGAGGACTTCAAGTTCATTAAGTGACAACCCAATAGCCTTGTATAGATATAACATCATTGATTGATTGATGCGTATATTTTTTCTATACTTGAGATCCACCTGGGTTAACGAACAAATAAAAGCACAGTCTGTCATATGGTGCCTCAACGTATTGGACGACAACTGTTAACCAACATAAACCTGCTCCTGCTCAGATAAGGACAAGCTCTGTGTGCTAATCGCTTATTAGTTTATCACCTAGCCTTCAAGGCATTAAGAAATGACAAGCGGAAGGATCGTTCAGCGCGCCTGTGAGAGATATCAGGAAAACTCTTGTAAGCCTTAATTGATCATCATAACTCTTGTAAACCCTATGGTTACATGGGATCTGTACTGAATAGTCATTAAGTTACAATACCCCCGAAGACACAATTCAACGTTGAGATCCAAGTTACAGGAAATCTATTTTGTACTGGATGAATATATGACCTTTTCTCTTGACAATCATCATATTACTGATAGCGATGATAGTAAAACTGGATTGATGCGGAATACGAACGTAAGGGAGATTCTTCGGCTACTTAAATTCTATAGCGATGCGGTTAATATCTTGGGGGCCCTTACCTAGTGGGAAAATGAGGCCACAGGCTGCATATTTGAAGTTTTGTACGCTTGAGTATTTTTTTCTAAGTGGTGTATGAGGGAAATAACACGTGAGCAAAGGTAAGCATATGGTAGGATAAAGTTAAGTTAAAGTTAATGGTATTTAAGATTAGCTTAAGAGTTTAAAGATGAGTAACCGATGTATCTTTGCTGGAGCAGAAAAGAGGCTATTGGAACAGGAGAACCATCAACACCATCACTTAGTCCCAAACTAAAGCTGAAATCCAGAGAGGACTGTTACTGTGGTGGCTGTCACAATGACAACAATGCTAATATATTCCTCCTGTGGGACAGAAATAACAGCGCTGGAAAGCCTACTCTGCCTCCCTTATAAGCTGCAACGAGCGAAGAGCCAAGCAATGCATTGAGGCTCATCGCCCACTTGTCACCTACTACTAAGAACATCTTGATCCTACATTGTCCCTCGTGATCAGTTAATCATTCGAGATCCACCACTTTCTTCACTCTTGAAAACATGGTGCAACTGAGAGAGCGTTCTTCAAGATTTGTGTACTATTAGCTATAATTTAATAAAATATATATATATATATGTATTATTTATCGTCTTCATTAGCTAGTGTCCTACAAGTCCAGCAAATGTACGGTTCATGAATATGCCTTGCGGGTCATATTTCTTGCGGATGGCCTCAAACTGATCATACCGCTCACCAGCCTCCCTGCGGAGATATGGAACAATTCCTGGTAAAAACTCCCACAGTTTAGCCCAATGTGGCCTACCAGTAAGTCAATTCAAGGAATAGAAAAAAAAAAAAAAAAAAAAGTTAACCAAAGGCAACCATAGGACTACTGTTTCCAGTTTTCCGTTACATTTAACATAAACATCAAAGTAGTCAGTTTATTTCTTCTTTCAAGCACTTACTGAGCCTTAAAATTGTCCATCCAGTATTGTGATATCTCGGTGGCGAAATGCTCAAAGTCACTTGTGTCTGAAGCAGTGATGATTTCAATTGCGGCATAAATTGCATTGGGATCTGTATCGTATAAATTTGACATCAACATTTGAGATGCCTTGACAAACCGCATCTCTACTGCAATGTTGAGAGGAAATGAGCCTTTGCGTTGATACACCTCTATCTAACGGATTATGATTTTTTTTTTTTTTTTTTTAAAAAATAAAAAATAAAAATAAAATAATAATAATAAATAAAATAAAATAAAATAAAAATTAGTCTTCGAGAATTAGGGAGATTTAAAAAAAGTAGAGCTAGCATCCAGATACCCACTTACTAATTCAATGACTTTGTTCCAAGCATGTATAACGTTTTCAAAATTTTCGTCCGCTTTAATACCCATCTCTGTACACACACTTTGAACATGCTCAATGCCCGACTGATAATGAATAGCATCTGGTGCATACAGTACTCTCTCCTTATTCATGTTAATGGCCTTGTATAGGGTTCGAATCACCAGAGGCGCTATGCTTGGGCGCTGGAGCATTACTCGGTAAATGGTATTACCAAGCTTCATTCCAATATTTTCTGCCCATTTCTTGATCTTGGCCTCAGTACGTGATCCTGAACAAGGTAAACTCGTGCGCTGCCATTCCTTTAGCCAGATACGTTCGTACTCCATACCTTTCCCATTGGCATGGAATGGCCAATAAAAAATCTCTGTTTGATCATTTCCAAGCACCATGGCCTTCAACCTCGGCCCACAGGTCTTGGGGCTCCCAAAATAGTATACTAGAGGGGGTGATGAATCTCGCTTGAGTGGTTTAAGGCAAATAGCCAGTACAGGCCCAGTTATAGAAATATAAAAAGATCAGAAGTGTAGAAAAAAAAAAAAAAAAAAAAAAAAAAAAAGTTAGACAGAACCTCACTTCTTTCTCACACTCACAATGTAAAAACAATATAATGACATTCGAGCTAACCATCCTCAGCTTGAACATAGGCTCCACACGAATGGTATAACTATATGTGATGCCTAGAAGACCAAGGCTCACTGCAGCGGCAGAAAACTCGTGTGGGTCTGCCGCCTTGCTAAAGGTGTTCATGACCCCAGAGGCATCAATGATCTTAACCTTGGTGACAAGGTCTGACATAGTTGATTCGTGACTAGCAGCGCCATGGCATCCAAGGGAAATGATACCGCCGAAGCTTATGGAATTCAGAACGACGCTAGAAGTCAATGCCAGCGGTGGTTCATGCTTCCTAAGGGCGTCATCAAGGTCCTTGACGGCAACCCCTGCCTCAATCTCGACCGTCCAGCCATTCCCTTCCACGTGCACCGGGTCAAAAATCCTATTCATTTTTGTGATGTTGACTAGATACCCTTCTTCATTTACCACAGAAGAGGACGACCATGTACATCCAAAGGCAGTACATCGGATCTTCTTGCCTTCTACATTAGCCAAATGGACGATATCGACCAATTCATTTGCTGTCTGAGGATGAAAAATCTGAGCTGGGCATGCTCGTTGATTGCCTGCCCAGTTTGTAAATGTGTACTGCTGCTCTTTCGTTTCTTTCTTCACGGCATCGTTGCTTTTAAGCTGGGCTTCTTTTGTTTTGCTTATGCTTATGTCTTTTGGAGTCATAGTGGACGAGGTAGTAGTGTTCTCTACAGAAAATAGATTGATAATGTGGTTTTAAAAACTTGAACAGTTAAAAGAAGGCAAATAAACAAGGAGAGTTGGAAAGAAAGATAAAAAAATAAAAAAAAAATAAAAAAAAAATAAAAAAAGTTGCACAATGCGCCATTTCTAGCTTTTATGTATAGTAGTTGCACATCACGTTTAAGACGCCCATACTTCACATAGACTCTCCTCGTTTTCCTGGCTCTTTCCAGAGCACTGCCTACTTCATAGAAAAAAAAAAAAAAAAAAAAAAAAAAAAAAGTGATGGTGCGACTAAAGTCCAATGACATTGTGGACTAACCATTACTTAATATAACTAGTTATTTGCTTTTGTAACTACTGGCTCCTTGTCAGCTACTCCGGTCTCCTTGCAGTGGTTAGCTTTACCACAAAACCTAATAGGAGTCCCGTGCGATATGCTTTTTTGTAAACCACTCCTTAAAAAAAAAAAAAAAAATAATAAGAAAACTGTTGTTGGGGCAACTGCCCCATTGGACGCAAATAACAAAAGACCACAACACTTCATGTCATCGCAGACTCCTTCGTTTTGAAAAAAAAAAAAAAAAAAAAAAAAAAAAAAAAAAAAAGGCATTGCTGTAAATGGACAGGCAGCACAGGCTGTATTAATCCTATTCCCGTTTCATCCATTCCCTCGACTTTTTATGAATTTTTTTTATCTTTATTTTTTTTTTTATTTTATTTTTTGGTTCCTGGGCGTTCATCGATGGGCTTGTTCATGACAACAATCGCTTATGCCAGATAAGATTTAGGAAACCTCTCATATGCAAGCGTATTAGGACATTACGCGAATACATGACATATTTAGGCTGTAGAGCAAATGCTTGTGCCCCCTGATCCTCTCCCCTTTAAAGTTTTGCTCAAGCATCAATTCTTGTTTTGGCCTACCAATCATAGTCTTTTATATAATGCTTTTTTCATTTTCGCATTTTCGCACGACAACTTTTTGTGGGACATGAGGCCCAAAACTTTTAGCTTTCTCGTACCCTTCCAAAGAGGAATGTGAGGTATATTAACGAATGCATATCAATACTCGTAATCTTCATGGCTTCAGGCGCAGCACTAAGTAAGGTAAGCGAACACCTGCGGTCACAAAATCAACTGAAACAGTGAGGAGAAAAGATGTTACACGAACGCGTCAAGAGACATACGACCGATTGCCACTGACATTTAAAGTCACTATGAGTTCTCCTAATCCTATTGGGAAAAATGTTTTATTTGAGGAGAGACATGCGTATACTACATTGGCTGAACTAGCTGCCCTTTGTGATCGCCTTCATCTTCTCCATCCTCCTTATCGTTGACATAGTCATGGTTATGGTTATGGTTATGGTTATGATCGTTCGCCGCCGTCGATGCCGTCCTCCTGATATATATATACCCCTTCCCCTTCTCGTTTGTGTTTTCTCTTCTTCACAACATTCTTATTCTTCGGCCCTCGACATCATCAGCCAACATATATTTTGTCTTCCCTCCTCCCTTTGATAAATGTATTGCATCCTTTCATCTCCTAATGAGTCCTATCAGTCTTTCTCTCCCTCCACTCCCTCCACTCCCCCCCCCCTCCTCCTTTCCCCTATGTGCCCATTTGATATGCATGTAGCTTAAGATTGAAAGGTTTTCTGAAATGGTTTTAACTTCATCAATAAGAAACGGATTGACTACCAATGATCTTGTCTATATTTTTTTTTTTTTTTTTTTTTTTTTTTTTTTTTTTTTTGCTAGAGTATCGTGTAAATTAATGCAAGTTGATGTACGTGATAGAAGGTGTAGAGACGACGTGGTACTTGCGTAATAAGTTGCATTCGAAAGAAAAGAAAAAAAAAAAAAAAAAAAAAAAAAAGAGTTTCTCATGCGTCTCCTTGTTCTCCCAGGATGTTACTGTCCTGAGATTGCGGCTGCCGCCACTATCTGAAAAAGTTTAAAAAAAAATCCTATAAATAAGATTGGATGAGACAAAGCCATAGGCTGCTTTGGTGTCACATCTCAAAGCACACGTGAAAGAGACAGTCTGATGCCTTTTGTGTGGTATCATTTCAAGGTTACAGAGAACAGACCAATAAATAGACTTGGACAAGTCGGAGCTGGATGGATCTACTCAAACATGCCTGTTAAGTAAGTGCATGTCTATATAAAGTGATCTTTTTAACTTTGTTGTCAAACATGGCACGTGCAACTAAACACCGTATCTTTTTTTTTTTTTTTTTTTTTTTTTTTATTAATAATTATTTGAATTCACTAAGAACAAAACTAAAAAGCGTTACTACAAAACAAAAAAAAAAAAAAAAAGCAAAAAAAAAAATTGTTTGGGTATGGATATACACCCAGGCGGAGAGAGCGCATGTATGAGAATAATGATGAGCATCAGGATGTATATGTACAAAAACAAACCTCAAAAAAAACAAAAATGCTACGTTGACTGATTTGATCACAGTCCGAGTAACAACAACAAAAAAAAAAAAAAAAAAAAAAGTTAAAAATATTAAGAATAAATGATACAGAAAATCAATAGGATATACGAGTAAAATGAACGCGAAAAAGGAGACATGGTGCGATATTCAAAAAGATCGCACCAATGCACCAGGCTGGTACTACAGACGTAAATTATAAGTCAGGTATGCGTTATACAATTATTAAAAGTAAAAAAGAAAAAGAGAACAAAAAAAAAAGCAATTATGCTGCAGTGACCTTGTTGGAACTGCTCAAAAGGGTAGGCTCACTCCCGTTGGGGTGAGGATGATGCGTATTGACGCCGCAGGATGTTGCTGCTGCTTGCATACGGCTGGTGGTTCGTCGAAGGATACGCATGGACTGACGGGTCGGATATCGTGTCAGAAGCGAAGACGAGAGAACGCCAGCATCCCCTTGACTCGCCTCCGAAACGGTATCCTCCTGGACAACAATGTCAGTGCTTGCATCACAAACCTTGCCGTCTTCAGTCTTTGCACGCTTCGATAGATCTTCTTCATGCCCATGCTCATTATGCTGATGATGAGGATGGTGCTGCATGAATGTGTGGTCTTCAGAACCATCCCCAGTCTGAATAGCTTGCTCCGTAAGGGGTGGTGGGGTCCTAGGTGATGGAGGTGAAGATTCAGGACTGGAGCAGGATGAAGACGATGCATCATCATCGCTTGCTCGTCTACGTTTTGACGTACGAACAGCACTCTCTTGCACACTCTCTAGAGCAAAAACTGGCTCTTCTACAGCTAAAAGTTGAGCTGACAAGGATTCTTGTTCTGATTTTGCTCTAGATCGACGAGTCTGAGGTCTGGACAATCGCTTGCCCGTTGGCGAGCTCTTGGTTCGCTTTGGCGAACGTGTGCTCCTTGATGGTGAGGATGGAGGTGAGGAAAGGGAAATCTCCCCCATATCAATATCTACGCTCGATTCTCGATGCATGTCTTCATTGTCAAGAGCCTTTTCTACTTCGGTTGCGGCTATGCTATCCTCGGCGTCTGTGTCCTGGTGACAAAGCGGTGGTGGGCTCAGCATATCGCAGTCACTGTCCCATGATTCATCCGACCTTGGCTCTGAAAACGACGACGACGCCGCTAGAGACTGTGATTCGGAAGCGCTGTGCTTTTTACATGTCTCTTCAGCAGAGTCGGTAGGTACTGCAGTAGTATCAGCAGAGTCGGTAGGTACTGCAGTAGTATCAGCAGAGTCGGTAGGTACTGCAGTAGTATCAGCAGTGCTCAGATACTCTAAAGAGTCCATAGATCGTGCACATGTCAGTTCGGACACAGAGCTTTCCAAGGTAGCTATGGTATTTGTGGAGGACAGAGTACAAGGCAATATATCTACTACAGCCTTCTCAACAGACAACTCATTCTGTTTCAAAGGAAGGGTCTCCGTTGCAATTGTAGCCGAAGTAGACAAAGACACTACAGCTTCCGTGTTTAACTCGGAAGATGTAGGTAAAGATGCTATTGGTTGAATTGGGAACTGACCAGAAAGTGCATCCATAATCTCTTTGGTTGTCAATGGAACAGTCTGCTGAGGCACATGCGGTGAAGATTCTGTTCTTGATTCAAGCTCCGGCTCAGGTTCAGGTCCAAGTCCAGGTTCGGTTTCGGAACTAGGTTCTACTGAAAAGTTCGACATGGAGAATGTGCTGGTGACCGACTTTAGGATCTGTTCAGCGCGAGGAATGTCTACCGTTACAGAATCAGACGATGATGATGCATTGCTCGCCATAGCATCAGAAAGTGAGACGTCTAGTACTGTATAAGACGAAGTCGCTTCTGAAGAGACAAGAGAAGACGATGATGAAGTGACAGTAAAAGATGAAGATGTCATAGCTGTGGCATTCGTCGATAGAAGCTGCGATAGTGGCTCATTGGGGTTAGCTGCCATCAACAGCTCATAATACGTCTGTTGTGGAAGAGCTGTAACAGATACCAAAGATGGCTGATGATGTGAAAGTGGTGTTATTGATGGTGATGATGGTATGGAAGAAAGAGAAATAGCTGTGGGGTTCGAAAGTTCTTGCGACGACAAGATCTGATCTTGTGGAAAGGAGTTATTCGTTGATGATGCAGAATAATCGTTAGAGAAGGACACGAGGGGAATGGAAGACAGTGAATGATGTTGCTGAGGCTGTCCAAGGCCAAACATGTCCTGGTCAGCCTCTGTAAGTTCCGACGATGCTGAGACACCAGGAACTGATGAGGAAGTAGATACTGTGGAGGCGGAAGATCCCATACTAAGCAACATATCGAACGACAGGGCAGAAGCCAATTGATTGGAACTAAGAGATGGATCCTGACTCCATTCATAACCTGAAGGCTGATGAGCCATGGATATGCTTTGCTCAAAAGCTAACTGCTGCTGTTGGTCGTGTACAAGATGTGGATGATGCTGCAACTGTTGATGCAGATAGCCAGTCATGACTGGGCGCATGAATGCCTGCATTCTGATCCGATGCAGCATACTTTGTAGATATTAATGGAGCATTACATGCAGAGAGAAGCAAAAAAAAAAAAAAAATAAAAAAAAAAAAACAAATAAAAAGTTAGTTTTTTTTGTTTTTTTTTTTTTTTTTCTTTCTTTCTTTTTTCATCATGAGAATTATCCATGACAGACAAGACAAGAAAGGACAAGACAGACAGATACACCGATAGACAGTATAGAGAACATTTCATAAAGATATTGACGCACAGCAGTAATGTGTCGACAGCCTGCTCTCAATCATATAATATTATCGCTTGTACAGTACAATGAGAGAGAAAGAGAGAGAGAAAGAAACCTCAGCAGCAAACATGTCACATTAAAGACAACACAAGCAGCAGCACACACATTTTTAAAAAAAAAACAAAAAAAAAAAAAAAAAAGAAAGAGAAAAACAAAACAAAGACAGAAAGCTTAGACAACAGATGTATGAATATCATGTTGGTCACCCTTACCAAGTGAGCTGCACCTGGCGTAACAGGGAATGATGCCGACCGGAGGATGCTTGCTGCAGCTTTAGCAGACATAGGTCAGCGATGTGCTCTGTCAGATGAGGATCCACATATTCACGACGTTGTTGTGAACAATAGATGTCGATGAGACTGTTGGAATTGACATTGACATTGACATTGACGTTGACATTGACACTCGTATTGGAAGTAGAAGATGAGCTGCTGAGTGTCAAGTCGGTCGTCGTGGCAAATACTTGGCTGTCGTCAATCGACACGGAAGGAGACCAATCCATGGGCGATTTTAGCAGCGTAATACCGAAAGAAATAAGAGGGAAAAAGGAAAGGTAAAGACGAGTATTGCCCAAAAAAAAAAAAAAAAAAAAAAAAAAAAGTCCAAAGAGTTAAGCAAGGACAGCCGAGAGAAAATGATGGAAGGCAGAAGGAAGAATGGTTGGTTCCTTTATGGCTTGGGTGATATTTCCTTTTTGCTTCAAGACTAGGTTTTCTTTTTTCGATCGATTATTAAGAGGAATGAAAGAAGAACGCTATGGGTCAACAGAAGGACATAGTACGGGCTGTGAGGAGCAAAGGAAAGAGTGATAGAAAGTGAGATAGCAAATGAGAGTGAGCAGAAAGGGAGGAAACAGTAACTGAAATGATGGCCGAAGTGCTTGCGAATGCTCAACAAGATAATAATGATGATAATAATAATGATAATGATATCAAAGAAGAAAGGGATAATAGATAGACAATGTAAACCTGCAAATGAACAAAAATGCAAAGTGTTGTAAAGTTGGGTATGATTTTAAGAGCTGCGGGGATGATAGCGAGAGACAAGAGAAGCGGCGTATAGAGCAGAGGAGAGAACGAATTGGAGGGAGAAGAGAGATAGAGAGAGATAGGAGGAAGAGGGGGAAAGAGGGAGAGGGAGAGGGTATGAATGAGCAAAAGCAATAAAGATGATGTCTCTTTAACAAAACCAGAATGGACAATGAAGGAAGGAAGGAAAAGAAGAGATCACTGAGGAAGTGATTAAAAAAAAAAAAAAATCAAAAGGAAGGAACAGTGAGAGAAAAAGAAAGAAAAAAGGATTCCAAGTGAGAAAAAAAAAGAGAACGAAAAAAGGACGGAGGTGTGACCAGAGAGGCAATTTGCCCGTACTTCACTTCAGCAAAGACTCTTAACTAACATTAATAATTATTACATGTAAATTATATATTTATACATAAACATATACCATACCTTAGTAAAATAAAAAATAAAAATAAAAAAAAAAAGCTGTTACCAGCCGAAAAGGCAATTACATCTACCCAAAGCATTGTCCAAAATCATTCTTTGCTTACTCCACTCGCTCCACTCCACACAGCTGCCCTACTTTTCTTCCTCAACTGAAGCTCATTTGGATTCAGGGAGACTTTATTCCATTTACTTTATTCTGACTCTACAGTGTTCTCTATTTCCCTTTATTTGACCTGAAATAATATTTCCATTGTGAGTATCCCTGGTGTGTCCATACTTTCCTAAGCTGCCACCTTATACCCAATGCTATTATTATTGTTATTATTATTACCATTACCTGTAGAATGTATTCCTTGAATGGATAAATAATGATCAGTGGTTGTTTAGCTGTTTAGTCTATGTGTGCATGTGTGTGTATGTAAAAATGAGGTCAAACCCTCTTACTTTGTTCGGTGCAAGACGTACGCAGACTAGGGTGCAGCAGAATGTAAATTACATTCATAGTTTATCACGACAAAACAGGTAAAAATCATAATAGCAATTGATGATGTACAATTGTGCAGGAAAATTAAAGTCTGTTGGTTAATGATAGACTACAGGACTACAGAAGTGACTCGACACCTTTTGATCATTGGCCTAACAGATTTTCTCACTCCACTCGCTTGATCAAAAAAAAGAAAAAAAAAAAAAAAAAAAGTATTTTTATCAGACGTAATTTTAATTGGCTTCATTGATTGGTTGTATTTCCACAAAAGAAAACGTCATGTATTTTTTTTACATCTATAAAAAATGAATGTCACGTGGATTGCTAAGCCCCTTCCCTCCTCTTCGTTAAGGATTTGGGCGGCTGAGTATTTTATATTCAAAAGACAAACAATGTGGAGATCTTCCCCACAGGTGGACAGAGTTTTTTTTTTTTTTAATTAAACGGAGGAATAGCATAAAAATGACACGGACATTGAAACTGCAAAGGATGAAAATGAAAAAGCCAATGCCATTTTAGCTCTTTGGTCTACCGGATTAATGACTAACAATCATGACACGTTGATGGTTAGCCTTCCAATAAGATCTTTTCATTCTTTCCCTTGTACCTGTCCTCCTTCTCCCCCTTTTTTTTTTTTTTGTGTTCAAGCGCAAACACTGGCATGCATTGGAAAATGTTGGATAGTCTTTTTTTTTTTTTTTTTTTTTTTTTTTCAAAGGAAAGGAGAAGAACAATGAAATTGTAGTAGTATATTTTTATCATCAGGTGTTTAAAAAGATGAAGGTGGGTTTTTTTTTAAGGATAACTAACGGACGATCAACGCCCATAGTTTTTTTTTATTATGAGATAAATGAATCTATCTTTTTTTGTTGTTGTTGTTGTTGTCGTTGTTGTTGTTGTTATTATTACGAATCAATCGTAAAAACTACATCTGAAAGTAAGAAATTTTGAATTGAAAAGAAAAGGCGAATGAATCAATCATCCTTAAGAATCTACAAAACAAATGAATATACATGAAAAGGACAAATCCATGATCTTTCTCCGCAATCACTCTTCACTTAAGCAGAGACGGAGGCATTGAGAGCGCCGTTGAAGAGGAGCTTGTTGGGAGAACCCTTCAAGTTACCGGTGATCTTGCCAGCAGTGGAGGTGGAGAGGAGCTGGTCAAAGACACCCTGGGCAGTGGGGATGCTGTTGATAGAGAGGTAGAGAGCAGCAACACCAGCGACGTGGGGAGTGGCCATCGAGGTACCCGAAATAGTGTTCTTGGCGCTGGGGGAGCCGATCCAGGCAGAGGTAATGCCAACACCGGGAGCAAAGATCTCAACGCACTTTCCGTAAGAGGTGAATGAGGCAACCTTGTCAGCCTTGTCTGAGGCAGCAACAGTGAAGGCGTTGACAGCACCAGAGGGAGAGCCAGTGCAGGCATCGGTGGTGGCGCTGTTACCAGCAGCAACAATCAAGGGGATGTTGGCCTTGAAAAGACGAGCAGCAGCATCATCAATAGCCTTGGACTTTGTACCACCGAGCGACATGTTGACGACCGACTTTCCAGCAGTGGCGTTCTCAGCAACCCAGTCCATACCAGCAACAACACCCGAAGTTGAGCCAGATCCTTCACCATCAAGGACCTTGACACCAACAATGTTGACCTTCTTGGCAATACCGTAGGAGGTACCACCGATCGTACCAGCGACGTGGGTACCGTGTCCGTTCTCGTCAGTGTCATCTGAGCCGTCAATAAAGTTGGCGCCCCAGGTAGCACGGCCCTCAAAGTCCTCGTGCTCAATGTAGACACCAGTGTCAACAACATAGGCAGTGACACCCTCACCAGCAGCATCGTTATAGACATAGGGAAGGGTCAAGTCGAGGGCCTGCTGAGAGACGCGGGTGAGGCCCCAGGATGGAGGGGAGGTCTGAGAGCCCTGGATGGTGTAGATGGCATCCTGTTCAATGTATGCAACCTCAGGAGAAGCCAAAAGCTCCTTCAAGGCAGCCTTGTTGACATTGGCAGCGAAACCGGAGATCTTGTTGTACTTGCGGTGGATGGTGGGCTTGCGACCACGGCCGTTCTGACGGCGAGCAATGTCATCGAACTTGGGAACAAAGGAATCAACAGTGGTGCCGTCCTTGAGGACGACAATGTAAGAGTCAGGGATGGGCTTGCCTCCGTTGCGGATGAGGGGAGCAGCCTGGACCACGGCAATGACAGCAGCGATAACAATGGTGAACTTCATAGTGAAAGGAGTTTAAGAATGTGTTGTGTGTTTGTGAAGGGGTTTGTTTTTTTTTATTTTTTATTTTTTTTTCTTTTGTTGAAAAGCTGAGTTGAGTTGAGAAGATGTGGATGTGAATGAGGAATAAAAAAAAGGGGGATTGGAGGTGAGGTTGCAGGGTATTTATACAATTTTCGAGTCAAGATCGACGTTTCAACAGATGACTATCTAAGGGTTATCTTAGGGATGTGTGCGTGCATGCGAGAGTACATAGAGATTCAACCATCAACTCCCTGAGAGTGCACATACAAACAAACAAACCCTATTTTCTTGAAGGAGGCATTTTTGCTGACGATATGATAGTCAGAGTAAGAGGGCAGTACGGCGATATACATGCACTCTCTAAATGAGATCGGTTGCTTACAGAAACAAAATTTTTTGTGCTCTCAACCAGTGAGGATATCAAATAAATATATAAAAACAAACTAGGAAACAACTTTAATAAGACCCTGTCTGTAACAAAGAAGAAGGGCAGTTGGACAAACCATAAAAAAAAAAGAATAGAAAGCAATGAATTGGCAATACTATTGAACATATTGTTTTCGATCACTGACTACAACACCTATGTATCTATATATAATTGATTAACATATTTTTATAACACAATGTTATATATATTCACACATACTGTACTACATGCTCAATGTCGACTTTATTCGATTAAAAGAACCTCCATTCAATTAAAAGAACCTCTATTCAATTAAAGGAACTATTGTTCAGAAAACCATTAGAAAGAAAGGAAAATTGGTCCGTTTATCTTTGGGTATATCGGGGGGAATATGTGTGCTCTCAATAACAAAAAAAAAAAAAAAAAAAATGGACCGACAAAAAAGGATGCTAATTGGAGGCAACGTAATTTGCATGAGACCATTCACATTTGATTGGCTACATCCAACTGCTTCCCTCCCTTCTTGTTCAGAAAAGTAACAAGGCATGAGTAAGTTTGGCTATGAACATCCCATCCCCCTAATTTGAGCCCACCCTTTTTAGTCTTGACACCTTCATAGGCATTTTGAGGAAATAGGAAAATAAGACAAAAGGAAAAAGTATTTGTATATGGTCAGCATCGGGCCATTGAATAATGTCCATCTTTCAGAATTGCAATTTACCGCTCATTCATTTCACCCCTTCTTTACTGACTATCAGTTTCATCCACGTATTCATATGTATTTTTCTTCTTCATAACTCTTAGGCTATCCAAGGACCTATGAAGAATCCCAACATGGACACGGCGCAAATAAAAAAAAAAATAAAAAAATAAAAAAATGTGTACAAATAAAAATAAACATTGGCCCTAAACCGTCTTGAGTAAAGACGTTTCTGGTAGCTCCATTATCATGGTAAATATTCAATTGTTCTTTGTGTTTGTTTAATTTATTATTTTTAATGTATATGTGCATGTGTTATTTTATTAACCCTTTTGTGTAGAATGTATTTGTTTTCATCTCAAGCGCCGTGAGAACATAAAGCCATTGTTGCCTAGATAGGCCAAAAATCGAAAAAAAAAAAAAAAAAAAAAAAAAAAAAACAATGGTAACGCGTTGTCTTTCTTGCAAAAGCAATTTCTACTTTTTACTTTTTATTTTTATTATTTTTATTTTTATTTTTATTTCCTAATAAAATACCTGATGAGTTAAGACACTCAGAGGTATGAACAAAAAAAAAGGGGGGGGGAGTGTAGGTAATAAGCACATGGAATAGTCCACCGGCACAATACGGTATATAGAAAAGGGGGGGGAGGAATGGGGTATTGGAGAAGAGAATGCCATGATCGAATTAATCTCATTACTATTATTATTTGTTTGGCATGCATCAAATAATGAAGGTTTCTGGTCCAGAGGACCCTTCCATAAGCTAATAAATATATCTCTTTCATGAAGTTCACATATCACACTAGTGCCTGCATAAGCATAAGCAAATTATTTACATTTTATTATATTGCAATAGCTGCAATGGAACAAACCAAAAAGTATATTTATTTTTTACATGGGAATGTTTATACCAATGTAAGCACTTCTTCTCTTCCTGGGAATTGGAAGAATACCATGGACAAGGCAGTCTAGTCCAATCTTGGGTTAGCTAGACCATATGGCTGATTGTAGGTCCCTAGACTCCAGGGCTATTGTTGTTGTCTAACGCCATGCATTCACCCCTCTAGTTCACTGATGACTACAATTACGGATTAGACTAATAAAAAAATAAAAAATAAAAAATAAAAAAACCAGTAACCGAAACCAATTTGTCGCCCTCATTATTGTGTGTTTCTGGATGTTTATGTCTGTGTGTATTTGAGGAACGCGTTCTTCTGAATATTCTGAAAATTATGAACTTGTAGTGCATTAGTCTACAACTGTACACAGAGAAGATACATTACTGTTATTATATGTATATATATATATATATATACATATATCAAGAAGACTCGATCAGACTCACCAACCTTTCTAAACGATGGGCAATAGACACTAATTTGAAAATGCTCAATCTTTAGACTGTGTCTCTCAAAGACTTTCCCACCCTCATCTCCCATTCTTCTTCTTCTTCTCTCAAGCTTCCTTCTCCATCTTAGCTCTCTCTCCAATTTCTAACCTTCAGCGTCCGTTCTCTTTAGCTTCTAGAGCTAATCAACCAAGCCAAAAATGGTACTCATGCACCACCGCGTGATAACATGCAGTCATTTACAGCGCAGCTTGGATTGGTGTATTTAATATAAATGTATAGATATGTATGAACCTTGGAGCATATATCTTGAGTAAGTAAAGCAATGTTCCCATGTCGTTTGGTGTACTTTATTTTATTTTATTTTATTTCATTTTATTTATTTCATTTTTCCTTCAGGGACCTGTAGCGGAGTAAAAGCCTCATGCAAGGGTAAGTTCTTTTTTTTCTTCTTTATCTTATGTGGCTATTAGTATTGAACAGGGTTTTTTATTTTCTTTTTGAGCAAAAAAAAAAAAAAAAAAAGTAAGAAGAAAACTGATAATTGACGTGATTGAGGGACGCGTTCTGATGCTTGTGAGCAATCGCTCTCTCTTTCTCTCTGTCATAGAAAGTGGGCGGTATAGAATCTTATGTTCATCCACGCCCTATTGGTTTAGGAAGTATAAATGTCCAGGGATACATAATTCATGTATATCTCGAACTTCAGGGTCATTTAAAGTCAGGAGCCCACATTTATAAACCGTGAGATACAAAAAAAAAAAAAAAAAAAAAAAAAAAAAAAAATTCTAACATGCTTCTTCACCGGTAGGCCTCCGATTGGCGACAGCTTCCTCCTTCACATCCCCCACCCCCCCACCCCCCCACCCCCCGGTTGAAAGATTGTTGCCAATAGGGGGCTAAACTTGAACTAAAAAACTCAAAGCTTCAAAGTTTATAATACTGTATGCAATAATATATATACAAAATGTCGGCGTCCATCTCTTGTAGCACGAGCATATTACAAAAGTAGGCTAAAAGAAACACACGCCTGTATCCAACATGCATACATGTAAACTTTGATATTCACCTGCTTGCTCTTCATTACACTCAACCCTGGTTCCCTCATTTCCTCACCATGCAGATCCATGGCATCATTTCATACACAAAAAAAAAAAAAAAAAAAAAAAAAAAAAGTCCCCCTTCTATCTGACTATTTAGCCGGTACCGCGATGCAATAAACCACTCAGTCGGAAGATAAAAAAAAAAAAAAAAAAAAAAAAGGCAGGATTGATGATAGTCAAGCAAGTAAAAAAAGGATAAACAAATGTAAAGGGAGGCTGATAAGGGATGGAGAGATGGATGTAGCAAGGCGCCGCAAAGCCTTATGGTATGCAGCATTGCTTTCTGCTGCTATCGCCTCAATTAGCCCTGGCATGTGTTCTTTCCTCACCTTTCTCTCCCCTTCCCCTATGATCTTTTTTTTTTTTTTTATGCATCTCTTTTACACGCATAATCAAGACGTCTCAGGTATAGTCGTGTGCTAAAATGTGGAAGGGAAATCCTCTTCACCAACAGTTGATCTTGTACTGCAAAAAAAAAAAAAAAAAGGAGGCATGTTCATCTTTTCAAAAAAAAAAAAAAAAAAAAAAAAAGTAAACAACGCGTGATGCTTGTTATAGTGAGATATACGTTGACTATTCATATTCAACGGCTCTGTTTTTTTTTGTTTGTTTGTTTGTTTGTTCCTCGTACTTGAGATTATACACTGTACAATGTCGTCAATTGTTTTGCCATGGTTTATATTTTTTATTCAATAAAAGAGAGCGAGTGGGGACAATATAAAAAAAGAAACTACAGTACGGCGGACAGGTGGATAGAAATTAAGGAAGCACAAAATAAGAAAAAATGGTGTCATGATGAACCCGAATGAGGTCGCCTAAATAAAAAATAAAAAATAAAAAAAAAAAAATTCAATGTCGTGCGAATCCTAAATGAAAGATCATTGGCCGTATCATTTAATTGTAATAAGAAAATAAGTTGCGCCAGGGCAAATTCTCACGCAATCCTATTGGATGGGAGAGAGGCCACTGTTCGGGGCCGATTGACAGTAACAGCTGTATACTATATAATATATAATACACATTACATTCACTACATTATCTATTAACTTACATAATAGACACATCCTTCACTATCCACCAATGAATTTATATATATTTCTTAGGACTAGACTAGATAACGCGTCAGCTCTGGCCCATCGATGGAGGTTTCAGAGAATAGGCATCCGATATCTGTGGCATTGCTAAAACGAATTGGAAGTTGAAACCATTTTGGATAAACAACATGGGAATGCATTAATAACCTAGACATTATATTAATCGTTTTGGACAGAATTTAATTTCTTGAGAAGAATCTTTCATGTGTTTATGATAACAAGACATCTTGCATATTCCTTTTCTCTTCAAATCGTTCTGTTTGTGAATTGATAAGCCATCTATCACCGGTGAACTACCCTTATGATATTTTTCAAGCTTGTAAAAAAAAAAAAAAAAAAGAAAAAGAAAAAAGCCTACAAGAGCATACACCTCTCCCTCTTGCTCTTGATTTCTTGGCAAGAAAAAAAAAAAAAAAAAAGTACATGTACTCTCATCAATGGTTGATATTATTGATTGTGATTAACATAAGAATTGCTATAGGCTGGGTCGATTGGATTGTCCTCTCATTCTTAATTAGAGACACATTCATGATAGAAATATAATTTTATATTCTTTATTATTATCTTTTTTCTTTTCTTTTCTTTTCTTTACTTTTCTTTACTTTTCTATTTTTCCTTTAATGAATGAGTATTGTTGCGCATATGTTGTTGGATAACTGAAAGCCTTTACGAATATTACAATTTAGCCTTGCCAGTGATGACACGCTGGTACTCTGGTGCCTTGAAAGGCTTATAGGAGTTTCCATCCAACCACAAGATCTCATCTGGGATCTTGCTTGGATCCATACCCTCATTCACCAACTCTACCTTCCTCTGCTTGAATGTGCCGGTGATCTCGATTGCTGGTGTCTTACGGATAAAGATCGGGACCGAGTACCGAGGCAAATTCTTCAGAGCGAATTTGGCAAACTTGTCCCAATCCATCGTATCCTTGGAGACAATGGCTGCCATGCCTGCACGGCCGTCATGACCAGGGATCTGAACACCATACACATTGACTTCAATACAATCGGGGTATGTAGACAACACTTCTGAAACTTCGGCTGTCGAAACGTTTTCGGACTTCCAGCGGAAAGTGTCTCCTACACGATCGCCGAAATAAAAATAACCATCCTTGTCACGGCGAAGAATATCACCTGTGCGGAAGTAGCGGTCCCCAACCTTGAACGCATCCGTCACAATCTTCTTGGAGTTGGCACTGGCATTTTGGTGATAACCTTGGAAGGCACGTGTGGGATCTGCGGAATCGATGATTGTCAGCAACTCACCAGGCTCATCAGGTGCGCACTATAGATAAGAAACGATGGATAAAAAATAAAAAAATAAAAAAAAAATAGGAAAAATCAATGAGCCATGTGTACCTTTTTGGATAAAATGGATAAAAAAAAAAAAAAAAAAAAAAAAAAATTTCCAAATGTGAAAATAACCTACCTCGATACAGCGTCCGTTCTTGTCACGAATCAACTCTTCTGTGATAACATCAAATTTGGCGATCTTGAGACCCCAATCGACCGTCCTGGCCAATGTTCCTCGATATCCGATCGCACCAACACCATTTTCTCCTGTGTTGTAATTGGTCAAAATGCCCGTGCCCTCTGTGCTCGCATACCATTCTCCGATCAGAGGAATTCCAAATCTGTCCCTGAATCGAGTCCAGACATCAGGTCGCATACCATTTCCATGTGCCATACGAATATTATGAGTCTTATCCAAGGGTGAAGGGGGAGCATTGAGCAAGTAGCGACAAATCTCTCCGATATATTGGATCACAGTGACATTGTTGGCCCTGCATTCATCCCAGAATGATGATGTCGAGAACTTGCGGGCCAAGACGACAGTTGCGCCCGTCACCCAAGCCACACACATACCCAACACAGCTCCTGCACTGTGGTACAGAGGCAATGCGATGTACAGGCGATCCTGGGCATTGAAGTAGTAGAACGATTCCCAGAAATGAGCAGCCACTAGTTAATGGAAGAGCATTAAGGAAGTAATGGAAAGGAAAAAAGGGAAAGAGGAAAGGTTTAGTATGAACATCTTGATTGAGGGAATAAATGACGCTAAAAGACAAAAATAAAAATAAAAAGAATATAAAATAAAATAAAACTTACAGTTTGCACGAGAGTGTGAAAAACGACCGGCTTTAGGAAGACCCGTAGTACCGGAGGTATAGATCAACATTGCAATATCATTTGCGGTTGTCTTCTTTCTCAAGCTCTTTGGCAATGCTACATCCGGGATACCGTTCAAGTCCAGGGGAGCTGCGAAATCCACCTGAGGCCCGACTCCTGCATATGTATAGATCGTATAACCCATCTGGAGAACCTCATCCAGGACATCTCCAATGGGTTGTGTCAATTCTGTATCCAAGATCAACAAGGTTGATGAAGCAGTTTTGAGCGAGTGAGTCAGGGGTTTGCCTGTGAGGTTGGTGTTGATGAATGCACCACAAGCACCAATCTTGTTGATGCCGAGCCAACAGAACAAGAACTCGGGTCGGTTCAACATCATTAAGGACACAATATCACCACGCTTCACACCCTTGGACAATAACCAATTGCCGACTTTGTTTGACTCTGTTTAAAAAAAATAAAAAAAAAAAAAAAAGTGACAATGACCAGATGTTAAAGATGGGGTAGGAAAAAAAAAAATTATAGTTTAGCATGATGACATGTCCGTAGAAAGTGTAAACTCTCTTTGTTGTTTATATCATTCATTCGAAATACTTGTACATAGGCCTGATAACAATCATTTGTAGATGTTATAATAACTTTTATTATTATTATTATTCTTACCTCGTTGAATATCCGAAAAGGTATAGGATTTGCCTTCGAAGACAAGGGCCTCCTTATTGGGGTACTTCTTGCATGTCTCCTCAAAGCGATATGAGATGTTGATAGTATCGTTCTTCTCGTAGGAGCGATAGTTCATCTTGGCATTGAGCAGACCACGAGCAAGCTTGAGATCGCGCGGAAACGCCAACTTGGAGCTCACATAGAGAGCTGCTGGAACAGCGGCCGCAACAGCAGGAACTTTTTATTTTAACGAAATAAGAGAAAGAAAAAAATAAAAAAAAAAAAATGTCAGAAATTATTCTTTTTCTTCTTGCGTCACTTCATACTCCAGGTTCACTCCACATGCAATGTAATGCAATGGAAGGAGTGGTTGAATGTCAAAGGTGTTTTGCATTCACATGTTACTTCATGACAATGCTGCTTGCCAAAAGTGTCTTTGAGACTTTTTTTTTTTTTTTTTTTTTTTTTTTTCTTCTTTTTTGTTCAATTTTATTTGACTGAGGATTGTTTGCTGATCCAGATGTCTATCAGATGAAAGTGAGGTAAGGTTAAAAGAGCTCTTACCAGCCATGATATGTCTATGATATGTTTGTCAATTAGAGATTAGATAATCGAAATGGAAGAGAAAGTGAGAGAGGAGAAAAGAGGAGAGGACAGGGAGGAGATGGAGTGGAGAGTGAGAGAGGATAGAAAAAGGTATGTTGTTGTTGTTGCTTTAATTTTTTTTTTTTTTTTTTTTTTCAAACTATTCTCTAACAATTGCAAACGAGCAAAAAGAAAAGAAGAGAAAGAAGAAGGAGGTTCAAGAATTTGATGAGGAGGATTTCCCTTTTTGACCATTTTAGATCGGACATGATTCCTATCACTTTAGGGTGTTGGTACTGACAAAATAGAATTAATAAAAAAGGGTGTGCTTTTTTTTTTTTTTTTTTTTTTCTTGTCTGGGGTCTTTTGCCGTTTACCAATGTTCTCGCTTTAAAGCGCTCTGGCCCATTTCCATCAACAGTAACAATAGCGAGATTAACGGCATCAGCGACAACAGTAGCAATGGCAAAGTAACAACAATTTTAATGTCTACAACAGAGATCGAGTAAATGGTTCGGCTAAGCATACCCAAATAACACTAGTAATAAATATTTGTATAGATATAAAAATATGTATATATATAATAGTAGTGGAGCTGTGAAAATTTTAAGGTTTTTGTCCGAATCCTCCCCCCAACCGAGCACTAAACTTGGCTTGTCTTGGCCTTGGCTTGTGAGATAAAATCTTGCTTGGCACATCAGCAGGCTCCGTCCGAGATTTCGGCTCGCTTCCCCTCCCTTCTACATATACATATTCAAAAGTTCATTGTCGTCTTTGATTTTCTCATGTGCAACAATGTCCTGATCCTTATAACATAAACGGCTCGGTCACTCTCTCGGGCCCCCTGGCTATGCTTCTGAGATTTTTTTTTTTTTTTTTTTTTTAATGTTCCTGAAACATTTCCCTCTACGCTTTCCACGTTTGTATTTTTTATTTTTTTATTTTTTTATTTTTTTTAGCCTAGAGCGAACGCGTAGCTGGTCATTGGTGGTACATGTATATAAAGAGCCATTCATTCTTCTTTACCATGCATAACCATTATGTCTTATGAATCACTTTTTTTTTTTTTTGACTTTGGACAATTGACATTTTATTACACTTCATGGTCAATGAACGTGAAAAAGTGATGCTAGTGTGAACTTTTATGCTGCAACTATTTGTACCTGAAGGAGGGGATTTGTCAAGCCACCCTTTTCCAACTATCAAAACTTGAAAGTTGTCCAACAGGATCAGCTCATGTGGGGTGGGGTTCGTCATCCAGCTAGAAATATACACCCCTTTTTTGATAAAAATCAGGGCAAGACTTCCTTTCACTAAACTCAAACAGTGGCAAGAGAAGAATCTAGTGCAATCTTAATATATATCAATGTTACTTGGCGTCGCAGACAATGGTTATCGGCGAGGTCTTAAAGATCTTTGAGATATAGAGATATAGAAGCCTAGCTATGGAAGTAGAAGTTGGCTTTGACTACATATAGTCAACATTAATAAGGAGAAAGCAGAGGCAGAGATGCCGAGCATTTACTGAATTATTAAAGTACATGGCCGCGCTTTGCAAGACAAGATCAGACAAATAAAGTTAATCTGTCAACTGTTCGTGGTATCAAGCGTGTCTTTAGGGATGATGCAGAAGGTTCTCTGAGAATTGAATGAGAATGGCAATGGCAATGGCAATGGCAATGGTAGTGCGAAAAGAGAAGAAGCCTGTTATGCATGCAGATGATTGTGCTTTTCTTCAGGCTAGCGCTGTTTGTGCAATAGGTTTGTGCTGTTTTCAGAACAGGTTCGCGCTGTTTGGGCAATCAGCTTGTGCTGTATGGGCAATAGGTTTGTGCTGGATGAGCGACAAGTTTGTGCTCGTTTTCTTCCAGCACGTGCTGGAAATCAAAACATCATGCCCTTTCTCTTCTCTTCAGGCTCAGATCTCTGGCTGCAAATCACGCCCTTTCTAGTCCAAACTCATTGCCACCTGAGTCTATTTTTTTTTTTTTTTTTTTTTTTTTTTTTTTTTTCATATTCTCAATATCCAAACATTCAATCTTCTTCAACAGCAAAGAGAACAAAAAAGAAAAGAAAGAGGAAATGTCTGATATTGTACTTGACTCCGTTGCTTTCCGCTGTCCTCTAACTGTATGTTATTTCAAGTACTGATTAGCTACCTTAAGGAGTATTTCGGTAAAGCGAAGATCTCCAATGTTTTGTATATTATATATACAAATGTATGATGTATGGCTGTATGGCTGTATGGCTGTTCATCAGCGCACAGCGCACATGTACACAAAAAGGCTGTGCCTCTGTTTCAGACCTTGTATTGTATTGATTGAGCTCTGATAGTGCATTCATTTTAATCCTGAATGCTGGGCTGAAGATAAGAGATCAAGGATTTTATAGAGACGAACATCCTTTTATGATATATATATAAAAAAAAAAAAAAACTCTTCAAAACGGGGTATTATTTACTAGTAATATGATATATGGCATTAATATTCTAGTAATGACTTTAAATGCTTTTTTTTTTTTTTTTTTCCCTCTAAATATGCTTGCGTATAGTTGTTTTTAACGAATACGAGTCTTCAGGCCAATAGATACGGTTGTTGTCTTGATCTGCTTAGGAACATCCTCCGCTCTGTACTTGATCCAAGGCTTGATACCGTTGTTGACACTGCTGACGGGACCCTTGATGCTGTTGTGGAAGTCGTCAATGGTGAAGTTAAAGGTCTTGCCAGGGTTCTTGGAGCGGTCCAGAGAGTAGTCCCACTTGACGTCCTCCATAATCATCTTCTCATAGGCATCAATTCTAGGCTCCAAAACCTTGGGGTTAAATAGATCCTTGGTAATCTTGAGAAGAATACTCTCAAAGAGTGTGTTGATCTCCTTGTTCTTGTAGATGAGCTTTGTGATCAATGGATGGTCCTTGCCTGGTCTGGCCAAGCGACGAGCAGCAAACTTCTTGTAGGTCGTGGCAACATCGTTGAGCTTGCCATCGCTGAAAGTAGAATCGAAATCAGTGGGGAGGAACTGCCATCTAGCTTGGAGAGGGTTATAGTACATGAAATAGTTGTTGCCCTTCCACCAGTAAGCATCCCAGGCACCACCCAGATACTCCATAGCCATGCTGCGCAAGTATCCGTCCAGATCCAAGCGTGCGTTCCAGAACTTGATGCCATTTCCTACACTGGGGTCAAACTCTTGCAGATCCTTCAAGAAGGCAATCAACTGGGCCATGGGCTCTTCCTTCGTGTTGGCGCCCAATTCCTTGTTCTCGTAGATCTCAGGGTGGTAATCGGCAGTCTTGGGGCCCTGGTACTGCAATGTGGCCTCGAGACCGAGAACATGGGAGCCCATTTGGTAGAGCGAACCAAACTCGGGTACATCGGCACCGCCGTGAACGGTAGTTCTCAAGTATGGGGGCTCAATATCCTCGGCCATCAGATAGAATCCGTAGGGCTTTCCGTTGACAAAGACGCGGACCCAGGCTCCCTGAGTAGTTTTGACACCGATGGAGTTCAAGTTATCGATATACAGCTTTTCGCGGATCATGGTAGGATCAAAAGACTGGGCACGCAACTTGATGATGGGGCGATCAAAGAAGGTCTCGCCCTTGTCGTCGTCGAATTTGACACGAAGGGACAGCTTCTTGAACTTTCGAGAGCCGTGGCCCGAGACCTTCAGCTTGATCTCTCCGGCGCTGTAAACGGTGTCAGCGCTGATGAAGCGGAAGCCGGCCTTGATAGCCTTACGTTCCTCATCAAGAGGATTTGCAACCATGTCTGCGAAAGCTGCAGGATCAGGTGTTAAATTAATGGTCGCAATCTGGGTTTCATCAAAGGCTTTAGAAGGCTTGGGGCGGCTATCTTTATAGACTTGAGGGAGCGAGGGCAGGGCAGTCCTGGTCACTTCACGCAAGAAGAACTCGTTCTCGGTTGAGATCGCCTTCTTGTTTTGGAAGACTCGCAAGAACTTTTCACGTTGGATGATATCGCCCTTTGGTGAGAGCTTGAGGTAACGATAGCCCGAATAGGCCTTGGCACCCACGACAGTTCCAGTCCAGAGAGGGAAGGTCTCGGGAGTGGTTGTCAATGGGGTGAGTACACCATTGATCAAGACACCGAAATAACCATCAGGAGTGTCAGGAAATCCAACAACTTTATATGTCACTGTTTAAAGAAAAGAGAAAAGATGGGAAGTGGTGTTATGGTGTGAACTTCTTTAATTGACAATTGATAATGCATTTAGTGCATTTAATACTTTTCCCAAGTTTTTTTTTTTTTTTTTTTTTTTTTTTTTTTTTTTTTTTTTACCATCCGCAAATGTGAATGAAGCAAGAGCCAAAAGGCCAGAAAGAGTATAGATACGCATGAGGAAGGTTGTTATTAGTGCTGCAAGCGTGTGTGGGGCGTAATGTTTGTGTGGAGGGAGAGGGTAGTGGAGACGGTCGGTTCGAGACAGAAGGGAAGGGAAAGGGCGGGTGTTAGAGGGAGGCAGAGAGGGAGGGAGAAGGAAAGGTTCTTTAAGTGATGAGATCGTTGCGATGAAGAAAAAAACAAAAACTTTGTGGGTTGTATGAAGCCTTTTATTGTGGAAGTCTACAATGATCTTGAGGACACGGCGCTCTTTCCTTCTACACACAACCACACGCCGGTTTTTTTTTTCTTTCTTCTTAATATTACCAAGCGAGAAAAAAAAAAAAAAAAAAAAAAAAAAAAAGCGCTGTAAATTCTAAAAAAGAACCCCCAAGGGGCGCCCAGACAGATTTGTCTTCTAAGGAGAGGGCAATCTTTCCAAAGAAAAGAATTGAAAGAAAGCGGAGCCCTTGTCTTTTAAAGAGCCTGATTTTTACTTTTTACTGGAAAAAATAAAGGAGGAGAGCATTTTGGTTGGCAGACAACTGAAGTCAATGGAAAAATAATGATAAACTGACATTTATACATTAGTATATATTTATGGATATGTGTATTATATATATATAATATTATATATTTATACAGTTGACTTTTCAGTGTCTGAAATCTTGACAATGAAGAGAAAGTTTCCAGAACCCGTTGTTACTGTTGAACAGATTAGATCTCGGATGATAGGGCTTTTTTTTTTTTGCCTTACAGTACAGAACATTGGAGGGGGGAATGACTTGTATATATTTCTCCTCTACCTCTTTTCTGGGCAATATGGCTGCAGCTTTGCATTTCATTACTGCATTTGCTGTTCAAGCACATGTAGAAAATCGAGAATGAGATGCTCAATTAAATTTAAGGTTTATTTTGTGTTTTCTTGAAAGGTCGTGTGAGGTTAATATAGAGAAGAGACAATGTCAGAAAAGATCCTCGGCGAAGGCTGTTTGTGTTTCCATCAGGGCTTTGACCAATGAATGTTCAAAGCAACTGATGAGCGGCGCCATCGGATTTTTTTTACGCCTAGCCACGCTTCCCATCCAAAAATAGCATTTCCACAAGATCGAGCCTTTCATTTATTCTGTGCACAGACCGTACTTTACAGCACTTTTAGACTTGCTCTAGTCCGATCTCTCTTTTTTTCTTATAAAAAAAATGTACTTTTTATCACCACCACAGCCACCACTCTACATGTACATTTACTAACAATAGAGAGCAGTAGCAAATAGCGAGAGAGATAAAAAAAAAAAAAAAAAAGAAATCCTGTCTTTATTGAGAGTGTGGAATATGTCATACCAATCGGTCATTTCAACAATTATAAGATTTTCGATCGACGAATAAGCTTGTGATATAAATATATGTATTTGCATGTGTTTAGAACACAAGTAAAAAAAAAAAAGTTGGCGCCCAATCTAGACAATGCAGGCAAATAAGCGCTCAACCAAGATATAGGAATACGTGCTGTACATGTTATGCTATGAATGGCCAACTAAATAGTACAAATACGAACACAGCTTCTCTTCACGGGAGCTTGACAAAGGAGAAAGGGATGTTATTCTTTATAATGATATGACATACTACAATTAGATAAAAGATGACACTAATATTAACAAAATAAAAATAAAAATAAAAAATAAAAAAAAAAAAAAAAAAAAAAAAAACAATAAGGCAGAATAGCAACCGAGCATGCTTTCCTTGAACCCTTGAACCCTTGAACAAGCATTGTGTGTGAAAAGGAATATAAATGAACACTTTGTTTACATTACGTTGTCAAAATTGAATCAAGGCGTGCGTGCATGCATTGTGTAGTTGCACAATTACAAAATTTGTTACTCTCAATTCTTTCCCCAGGTCTTTTTGGTCCTCAGCAACATCAAGTTGATGTGTTTCCATTACATGGAATACGTATATAAAGTTCTGACAAAGAAACCAAAAAAAAAAAAAAAAAGGATGCTCAATTTGGAGAGACCATCCATCTTTCCAGCCCTAATTGGTGATTGCAAGTTTTTTTTTTTTTTTTTTTTTTTTTTTTTGGACAAACAGTGGCCAATGACTCCAATAGTACGCGCATCCCTCTTAGGCAACAAAAAAAAAAAAAAAAAAAAAAAAAAAAAAAAAACCATGAGCCTTTAATTCAACGCTCAAGCGCTAAAAAGAGACGCTTTGATGAAGAGTTCCTTCCTACTGGTGACAGGAATTGATACACATCAAATAAAGAACCAAAACTGCTTTCAGTTGAATCCAGGTTTCGGCCACAAATACTACCAATCTGATGATCACCTATAACTTATATGTATATATTGACTTGCTTAATGATCAGCAATCCAGTTCGTCATTACCGATGTTATGTAAAAATAATCCTACAGCTGCATTTGGTTGTTTTTTTTTTTTTTACATGCATTAGTGACTGATCTTCTAACCTCTTTGCTCACATCAATCAATAAATATACCCTTTCTTTATGCATTACTTTTTCTAGGGCCCTCTCGCAAGAAAAAAAAAATAGAAAAATAGAAAAAAAAAAAAAGACGAATGTTTGGGTGTCGTCAATCCTTTTCTTTCTTTTCTTATCCGGCCTTCGTTTGACCCACGCTTTTCTCTTCTTCTCTATTCATCTCCTCCCAGACGCACACATTCACATAACCATTTATAATTGACAATTATCCTTTACTTTTGATAACCCATTCACCTCAAAAAACAATCAACCATGAAAAATGACCAACAACAGCATCATAATTCAACGAAACAGCCTCCCAAGGTACTAATTGCTGGAGCAGGGCTCGGAGGACTGACTTTGGCCATCTTACTGGAAAAAGCACAGGTCCCATATGAAGTATATGAACGAGTAGTCGAGGTCAAAAACATGGGTAATTAAGACGTTCATGAATATACATGTATGCGTAAAATAAAATAAATATATTTATATATAATTTACGCATGGGGAACTAGTACATGTACACTTAATTTGACTATAAATGGGGGAATAGGGACCTCAAACTCGCTTGGATGGAATATCGCTGCGCTGTTTAAACAGATTGGGATCTATGATGAGTTTGTGTCGATTTCAAAACCAGCCTTGTCCGTGGATACATATAATGAAGACCGCAAACTCGAGTTCTCAATGACATTCAAGCCCGCTGTTGAAATGTTCGTTTAAAGTCCTTTAATGTATTTATTATAGATCTTATATAATTATATTGATTTTATTTTTATTCTATTTAAAGGTATCATGCCATTTTAACTTTTTTTTTTTTTTTTTTTTTTTGACCTTCATTCATAAACAGGAGCGGAAGCGAAGGCTATTTTGTGACAAGATCAGCACTTTATGACTTACTTCTCCGACAGATACCATGTGAAAAGATTCATTTCGGCAAACGAATTGTTTCAACAAAACAGGATCATATAGGCGTACGGGTTCATTTTGCAGACAACACGATTGCGGAGGGGGATATCCTCGTAGGAGCTGATGGAGCCTACAGTGCTGTTCGCCAGAATTTTTATCAGCAATTGAAGAGAGAAAACAAACTGCCCTTGTCAGACAATAGTGCGTCACCCTTCAATTGTGTCTGCCTTGTGGGACAGACTGCGCCTTTAGATCCAGCCAAATTTCCAGAGGTGTTGAAGCCGCACTGTCTAATCAATGACGTGGTCAGTGCTGACAAGCCCTACTCGGTATGGAAAAAAAAAAGAAAAAAAGGATACGAGCAGTTGAAAGTAGCAAGTAGCTTAATTCTACGTGGCAAATGTATTGACGGCGAAGTAGAAAAAAGAGTGACTTTGATATCATACAATATATATATACTTATACTAAACGCTTCATTTTTTTTTTATTTTTATTTTTATAACTATTATTATTTCTGGATGGAATAATATTCGCATACATACAAGTGGGTAGCAATGACAATGAAGGACAATATCTACTGCTGGACTGTAATCAAGTATTTGAACAAGACCAGCTCTAGGGATGACGATGCATTTAGAGAAGCAGAATGGGGAGCAATAGCAGCAGAAGCCATGTGTCAGGAAGTTCGTCATTTCCCGATTCCTGGTGGTGTTAATAATGATTTAACGCTAGGTGATCTGATCGACATGACCCCCAATGCTTCCAAGGTCATACCGGAAGAAAAAGTATTCGAGACCTGGTACTCTGGCAGAGTAGTTCTCCTGGGCGATGGTAAAATATATACCCAAACTTTCTTTCTATTTAATGAAACCTGTATCCAAACCGGTTTCCAGTATCCTCATTGATACTCAACATCAAAACTTTATTTTTTATTTTTTTTTTTTTGCTCTCAATTTCAAATTCTAGCCTGCCATGCGGTAAAAAATAAAAAAAGAAAAAAGCTTGCATATCAAGAAAAAAGAAACACGCGGGTACTCAACTAAACACGTCTTCTCTTTCTCTACCATCCAATGTTTTATCCTCTTATGAATGAATGAATGAATGAATTTTTGTTTTTTACTGTTCTTTTCCCTTTTCAAGATTCATCCAGCGAGTGGCGCAGGAGCTGTGAATGCCATGCACGATGCCGTAGCTCTGGCCAACTGGATCAGTGTGCTGGATTCACCTTCGACCAAGGATACAGAAAGGATCTTTAAGGAGTACAGAGATGAGCGCTATCCAGCTGTGATTGCCGCGTACAATGCAGGACAAACGCTTACCAAAGTCAGTGGCAAGGTACTTACACATCTAATGTTTGCGACATGCTCATCGAGATCTGTCTACTCCATCGTGTATAAATATGTTATTACAAATATGACCAATGTTTATCTTTATGCATGTCAGCATTTGTTTGTCTAACGCCCATCTATTTCATTCATACTATCGGCCGGGGGTCATTTTAGGGTTGGGTTGCATGGGTTGTACGAAAGATTGCAAAGAACATGCCTGTATGGCTCCACAATATGGCTGCCAAGACCGTTACTCAACATCGTCCTCAAGTCTCGTTCTTACCTTTAGTCAAGGATGAAGGGGCATCACCTCCCAAGTATCAGCCTAGCCTTGTGAAGACGCTCGCAATCCATCAAGCCAGAGCAGGTTCTGCTTCTGTATTTGCATCTGCAACTACGTCTGCAACTACATCTGCAACTTCTTCAACCTACACCTTGAACAATCAAACTCCAAGCATCTCCATGAAGACATGAATGTGTACATCCTTTATTTTCTCCTCGCTTTTCTTCTCTCACTCATAAAAGCGAAGTAGGATGGAATGCTTCAGTTCTATAGACCACACCCATGTAATTGTACATACCGCATTAAAAAAAAAAAAAAAAAAAAAAAAGAAAAGAAACAAGGTCAACCATGTGTGCATGTTGTGTGCTTGTTCATCTTGTTGTTCTCTGGTTAAGAGCTTCGGCTATTTTGTTTTCAATGTTATATATTTCTTTGCATGGTTTAGTTTCGGTAACACCAATATTTATTATATACATATATACATCAACCTCTTGCTTCGCCTTTCAGCGGAGTAAAGAGAGACTACAGCAACAACAGCAACACCAGCAACAGCAATAACACCACTCAATCGATCCTTCCTCCCAATTTGCTCGTACCTGTCTATCTTTCTCTTTTTTCTCTTTCTCATTTTCATCCTCACTCTTACTCATTTAGTCTCATTCAGCCTCATTCAAGTTGCATTCAGTCTCATTTAGTCTCATTTTCTCGTCTCGACAAGCCCTGTATTTCAATTGTACCCTTTTTCTTTCCAATTTTTTTTTTTTTTTTTTCTTTGTACAATTTTAATCAATAAAAATGCCGGCAGCTCACCCCCTGATAAATTCTCCTGAGAAGCCGACTGTGCTGATCGTCGGTGCAGGCATCGGTGGATTGACCCTGGCCATCTTACTTGAGAAAGCAGGCGTACCTTATCAAATCTACGACCGTCTAAATGAAATCAAACCTCTGGGTAAAATAATAATCATTAAATTAAAAAAATAAAAAAAATAAAAAATCCCCATTAAGATCCAATTGCTCAATTAGTCTCTAAGAAACAACTCAAAAATGGATCGTCTTTCTAACCTTTCTCTCTCTCTCTCTTTCTCTTTCCATTTTTTTTTTTTTTTTTTTTTTTTTTGTATGTATGGACCAATGGATGGATCAAAGGATCTGCACTTTCACTTGGAGGAAGTGTGGCGCCGTTGTTCAAGCAGATTGGCATTTATGATGAATTTGTAAAGCTTGGAAAGCAGAGGAACTCCATTGACAATTACAATGAAAATCGACAGCTTGAGTTCTCCATGAATTTGGCGCCACTCTTGGAAATGTAAGAGTTATAGCCCCCATTTTTTTTTTATTTTTTTATTTTTTTATTTTTTTATTTTTTTATTTTTTTATTTTTTTATTTTTTTATTTTATTTTTTCTTTATACTGACTATAGCTGAATCTGGACATTCAACCACTTAATTTGCTCCTTTGCTGTTGTTGTGGCTCTATCTGCAGGGGAGGCTACCATGGATACATCATAGCAAGACCTAAACTCCACGACCTATTATTCCGGCAGATACCTCCAGGAAAGATTCATATGGGCAAACGATTGTTGTCGATGAAACAGAATGAAAATGGCGTTCAGATCCAATTTGCAGACGGCACAATTGCAGAAGGTGACATCCTTGTGGGAGCTGATGGAGCTTATAGTGGTGTTCGTCAAAGCCTGTACAAAAATTTGCATAAAGCCGGAAACTTACCAGCATCGGACAATGGAGCTTTACCATTCAGCTGTGTTTGTCTTGTAGGACAGACCAACCCAATGGACCCAGTGAAATATCCAGAATTGTTGGACCCTATCTGTCATTTCAACTCGGTTATCGCTACGGATAGACCTTATTCGGTATTAAAAAAAAAAAAGGGACTTTATTTTATTCTAAATGATTCTTGAGAAAAAGATTGCTTACATCTCTATCTTTCTTATTTTGTTACTTGACAGTGGTCATCATTGACAGTCAAGGACAATATTTACTGCTGGGGTGTAATATTGTATTTGGACAAGGAAAGCTCCAAAGAAAATGATAGCTTCCGAAATTCAGAGTGGGGTCCTGAGGCAGCAGAGTCAATGTGCAAGGATGTTCGCGACTTCCCATTGCCTGGCGGCGCTAACAATGACCTGACTATCGGAGATTTGATTGATAACACACCATTGGTTTCCAAGGTCATGCTGGAGGAGAAGGTGTTTGATACGTGGTACGCTGGAAGAACTGTCTTGCTCGGTGATGGTAAAAAAAAAAAAAATAACCTTGAGTGATTATTTAATGAATTTGATCCGAATGATGGATGGCTCTTACATGCATGTATAATACATTACACACAAGTATATACTAACTTGCTATTACCATGTCTTTTCAAATCATTGCCCCCTGAACGCACATCCACCAGCTTGTCATAAAGTAAATATCTGCACTGATAAAAGAATTCTATTCAGTTGAAATGAAATGTGTATGAGGAAAGAAAAAAAAAAAAAAAAAAAAAAAAAGTCAACAAATGAATATTAACTGACCTTGGCCCTTACTTTATCCTTTTTTTTTTTTTTCCTTTAGATTCATCCCGCAAGTGGACAAGGCGCTGTGAGTGCAATGCAGGATGCTGTCGCTTTAGCTAACTGGATCAGTGTGTTGGACTCAACTACCATCGAGGATGCTGAGAAGATCTTCAAGGAGTACAAAGCAGAGCGATTCCCAGCTGCCAAAGCTGCGTTCGCTAATGGACAGGCATTGTCTAAAGTCACTGCTAGGGTAGTGTGCTTTACTTGTTAGGGAAAGAAAGAACATGATCAGAAAAATGTCACTTAAAGATATTCCATTCTAAAAGTGTTTCTCTCTCTCTCTCTCTCTCTCTCTCTCATTTTTTTTTCTTCCTTTTTTCGATAACGATGAACTAGGATTGGAAAGCAAGATTGACTCGCTTTATTAGCCACAATATGCCAGGATGGTTATGGAATATCATGTTGACACGTATGGTTGAGTCACGCCCTCAGGTATCGTTCCTACCGTTGATCGAGGACATTGGCACAGTGCCACCGAAACCACAGCCCAGTCTTGAAAAGACCCTGAAAATTCATCAGGAGAGAGCTGCGGCGGCGGCGGCGGCGGCGGCGACGACGACCGTGACTACGAGCCCATCAAATTAAATTGCATCTTTTTTATTTAGTCTCCACGCTAAATCTTCCAAGGCTTAGTTCTAGTTCTATATAGTTCTAGTTCTAATCATTGTCCAATGGACGCGAGGTGGGGAATTTGATAATACAAAATAAATGTTCTGTCACAGCAAATTGGACAGATTTCGCGTTAGCGGACGTGGCTGAGTGGCTCCTTCCTTCCTTCCTTGTTCCATACCACCCCTAATGATGCAGTCACAACGACAAGACAAGAATAAAGCTAATTTCTTCATTCTCTGCCATCCTTTTCTTTCTTTTTTTTTTTTTTTGCTCCATTCTTTAAAACAAGGAGACTATAATGGCGTCCACAACACCTACTGAAAACGAATATGTTACATTGGAAAGTTCTGATGGATTCCAGTTTATTATCCATCGTGAAGCTGCAATGCTCTCTGGCACTATCCGAAATATGCTTTCTAGTGCAGGTATAAAATTGGTGGCGCACAGTGACAAATACTTTCATTTGCTTTATTTGAGGATTAAAAAAAATAATAATAATAATAATGAAATTGCAGGTTCATTGTTGACATGAGCTAACTTTTTTTTTTTTTATTTTTTTTATTTTTATTTATATAGGACAATTCACAGAGTCGACAGAAGGAGTAATTCATTTCAGGGACATCAAGTAAGCATTACAAGATCACCTCTTCACCTTCCCCTCAACTTACTGGGACTTGGAGACTTTGTGAAGAAAGGACAGAGGACAAGACGAAGCAAGCTTTATTCTATATACAGATTAACAAGAGGATATTTTAAAAAAAAAAAAAAAAAAATTGGATATCAACTTGATCTTCTTTTTTTTTTTTTTTTTTTTCCTTCTTATTTTTCAAGAGCTGTCATTCTGGAGAAAGTCTGCAAGTATTGGTACTATAAGGTAACTATTGGAATCACTCAGATCACAGCCAACTATTTGCTTTCCTTTGCTTTTAATATATTCCTTACGCTTTTTTTATTATTTTTTTTATTATCGTTTTGATTATTGTAATTATAGGCACGATACCTCAATTCAGTGACAGAGATCCCTCACTTTGAGATCGAGCCAGAGTATGCGCTGGAAACACTTATGGTCGCTGACTTCTTGGACAGTATGTTTTTATTTTTTTTATTTTTTTATTTTATTTTTATTTTTGCTTTTCCCCAAACTTTTGATGAACAATTGAGATCTTATATGGCTGCCTTTCACGATTGCAAACTAACATCTAGCATGATCTGATCTTATACTTTCTCATTTGAAAGCATAACTCCCGGAAGGTTTTTTTCTTTTTTTTTTTTTTTTTTTTTTCGAGTACATTAAGGACGCTCCATAGATTTTGATTTCCATACCAGTCAACAATCAAGCAATCAGCAATCAGCAACCAGCAATCAGCAACCATTACGTTGTTTCTTCTGTAAATTAAATAAAATTCTTTAAAATGTGAAAAAGAGATTAATATGTATGCGTCGCTTTTTTTTTTTTTTTTTTCCTTTCTTTCTTTCTTTTCTTCGTATTTTTTTTCTTTCTTGGTTTATTTTCGATGTCAAGAACCAGGATGGCGGATAAAGAGGAGGAGGAGAGATTGTTATGTGGCCAATGTAGGAAGAGCATCACCAAAACCAATGATGGTCCAGAAAGCGACCGTTTTCTCAACGAAATCCGCGTCGGATGCTGGAATATCCTTCGCACTGGCGCCACTCACAACAAGTTGTGTTGAAGTTAATGAAGGTGATCCAGTCTCAGACCTGACCTTGGTCTTGAACGTGAACGAGACAAATAGAGGAATCTATTATTTTTTTTTTAAAAAAAAAAAAAAAAAAAAAAAAAATTGATTAGCAAAGGGACAAAAGGAAGGAACTGATAATAATAATTTCACTCCTTCTCTTTTGTCATGCATGCAGATTTTTTTTTTTTTTCCTTCTTCCTATTAATATATACTTTGACTTCTCCTGCAGCGACGGGTGTAATGTCCAAAACAATACTGGTAGAATTAGCGGTCTTTTCATAAACATTCTCTTGCACAGATCCTGGTGCAGCTGCGATGGTTCCGACTTCGTATTCCCAAACTTCATTATAGGGTAAAATACTGAACGTAGGCGAGTGAATGTGGACTCCATGATGGGGTTGAGCTCCGTCGCCGTACCGAACTGATACCTGAACCTCCTCGTGTCGAGGGTTAGTGAAACGAAGGATGACGCGGGAGAGGGTCTGGACGATCATAGGTTGGACATTGGCAATGGTGATATTTGGAATTTGGTTTCTAAAAAGATACAAAAAAAACTATGAGTAAGTGAAAGAAAGAAAGAAAGAAATATAGTAAATATAATAATAAAGCGATGTCTTGACTTACAGAGCAATGAGTTTGATCTTGAACCGAATGGATTGAGCCTTCTGCTCAGGATTAACAAGAATATGACCACAAGTTCGACATCTCCTAGATTTTTTGATCCGCAGGTGTATCCTCTTGGGTTGTAGACGCTCTGGAGAATAAGGTTGTTTATGCAACTCTCTCAATCGTTGTTTCATGGTCGTAATCTGATTCAGGTTGATGACGGACATGAGTGTATCTAAATTCTCAGTATCATCCATGACTTGAACTGCGGGTGTATAATGGGCAAAATCGTCACCACCGCCCCTACGATGACTAAGGCCGCCGATGTTGGATGAAGTAGAGGAAGCAGTTGAGCTGACATAGCGTAAAGATCCAGTTTGGATAGAAGACAGAAGTGAAGAGTGGAGACTACTGCTGGGCTTGGCACTATTTCGAAAGTGCTTTTCCAGATGATCCTTGAGTCGACCAAACTCCATGATATCTGGTGATGTTTCATCTGCCTTTTGTAATTGAGCTTATAAAATTAAAAATAAAAAAAAAATAAAAAAAATAAAAAAAAAAAGTTAATTAACAAGCATAAAAAAGAAACATTGATCCCAATTTACAAGTTGTTTAGAAGAAAATAAAAAGGCGTTGTGGAGTTACCTACCAGCGAGTCCAGTGGGCTTTTCAAAGGTCATGTTGATGGACTGAGAATTCCAGTGGCATATGTGGCAAAGGAGGTAGAATTGTCCGTAGGCGGGAGGAACTGCTGCAAACTGACCTGCGTCGGGGTCCTCTGAGACAACAGAGAGGGTATTCTGACATATGGGACACTCGAAACAATTGCGTGAGCATCTATGCAAAAAAAAAGATAAATTTTATGGAGATGAGAAGACATGCGTGATAGTTGAATGTGATTCCGTTGAAGAAGAGACCAATGTCCGCAATGTCTATCAGGATATGCTCACAAATCATATATCTGTCAATCTTTCTGGAGAGAGGTTTTCAGTGAATGTGTGTTTGTCGTGTTGGGTTTGTTGATGCTCAGCCTTACTTGTGTTTTTCCAATTTGACACTGGCAGTGGGGACATCAAAGAGACAATTTGGACAAAAGTAACAAACAATCTCGTCCTGAGAACACTTTGAACAACGAATCTCATCGCATGAGTCACAAAAGTAGAGACGCGACAATGGCTGAGAACCATGCAAGTCTGACGTGTTACCCGAGGCAAAGATCTCTTCCATGACCTTACGAGGAAGGCCTCCTGTTGTAGGCTCGTCTGTTGGATGACTTGCTTCCGAGGTTTTTGTAATGGAGATGAGTGCTGTAGAACTATCCTGTTGCACATCCTTTTCCTTCTTTCCTTCTTCTTCTTCTTCTTCTTCTTCTCTTCCTTCTTCCCGTTGTTGTTGGTCCTTGTCCTTGGTGGTCTCATGTGGCGTTGTTTCTGCAGGCTCAGAAGACGTAGAAGATTTGGGTTTGGTTCCTGGACTGCAGCATAGACAGCGATAGTGTACAAAGGGCTGCTGCGCGGGTCCCTGACCAGGTGGTGCATTGAGGGCCAGCATCACTCAATGAGCAACTTGAGAAAAAGGAATTAAGAAGAAAAAGAAAGAGGAAAAAAGGAAGAAACCGAAGAAGAAGAAGAACAGCAAGTAAAAAAAGAATGAGAAGGTAGAATGAAAAAATGAGAGTTAATTAATTAGTAAAGAGAAGGTTGCTTATCGTCCTATGCTCTGTGCGCGTGTACTCATTCAATTGTGAAAAAAAAAAAAAAAAAAAAAAAAATCATTGCACCCAAATTATGTGACTTTACACTCGTGATAATGGAACCAGATCATACCACAGCACATGCGATGGTTAGTTCTTCTTTTTACAACGTTCAGAAACGCCCATTGAGTCGTGTTTTTTTACTCTCATCTCTTTCATTCACCGCTTCATCTTGCTCCATTCTCATTCTTCAGCTCAAATAAAAAAAGAAGGAGATAAAGGAGCAAAACTATTGTATAGCACCTTTGCTGTCGTTTCTTCTTTTATCAGTAGCTGGATCATCTCTCCAATATGACCACACCTTCACCAACACGGCCCTCGACTCCAGGGACACCAACTACAAACACAGCACGGGACGTCTTTGAGTTTGATGAACGACTCTTTACGGCTGCAGGGGAACTGGATAAACAATCAAACCCACCTTCAAATAATAAACAGGAGCTTTTTGTCTTTCAATGGCTTGCAACCGTAGAACGAGAGCTCAAGAAATGTGGCCATGTAAAGAACTCTTTTGAGACAAAAGGAAAAAAGAAAAAAAAAAAAGAAAAAAAAAAAAGTCTGGAAATGAAAGGGATGTCAGTTTGTAAAGAAAAGAAAAGAAAAGAAAAGAAAGATTTGTAATTCTATCACCACTAAAAATTCTTTATTCCATTTGGCTTCGATAATAAAAAAAAACGAAATGCAATAGGATATCTTCCGGATCATGCAACCAAACCTGGAACGTCAATTGCTTAAACTCATTTCGATGCCTGCACCAAAACCACGCCACCCCATCCGTCGATTAATCGCACGATGTTTCTTATCACTTTATGTCCGAGGGAACTCTGCAACTCTCTTTGAGACTATACAGATCTTGCAAAGTTTGATTGAAGCAGGAAAAGGCATGGGTGATAAAGATGTCAAATTGTAAGTCTCAGATCGCCCAAAAAAAAAAAAAGAAAAGAAAAGAAAAGGCAATTTGGCAGTGATGCTAATGATTTTTATTATTATTATTATTATTATTATTATTTGATAAATAGAGCCGCGATTCATTGTATCGGAGTGATCATGGAGGCGATTGGAGAAAAGGTAACTTGTGTTCAGCATTTCCTATAAATAATACCTTTTCCCTTCATTAACTTAAACGTATTCATAAAACCATATCATATCACCATAGGTCCAGTCACTGGTGCCAGAGCTTACAACGTCCTTCCTTAAAGTCATCAAGACTGATAAGATAGTATGTGATATTCCCCTTTTCCTCTCTGGATGAAATTATGGATTGCATCACTTAACACGACTTGAAATCCCTCAATACACTAGTACCCGTTGATCATGCGAGCAGAAGCCATGGTTGCACTAAGAAAAATGCTGCACGGAGCAGGACGTGGATCGACAGACCTCAACAATAAGGAGATTCTCAAAGTCCTGAAAGTCACCCTTCTGGACAAAGCCCTTATCATGCGCTCATCATCAGCAGAGGTATAGAGCTTAAAAGTTGGGCATGTTGCATGTTTCGGATCGCCTACATAATTGGGTTTTCAAGGTCACTAATATACTTTATCTGGGTGATGGCAAAAAAAAAAACTATCTTATAGTGTCTTACAGCTCTTGTCAAGTATACAACCATCACATTCACAAGAAGCGAACTAGAAGCCTCGACCACACTCTTTATCAAAGCTATGGATGAGTCAACATACACAATTAGGAAATCAGTGGCTACTCTGATTGCTACACTGCTTTATTCAAAATTCCAGGGCGAGGAGAATTTGAGCATGGCCAGCGCACAATCCCCACCACCCAGCGTTAGTGGCAAACAACTTGCTGCCGGGACTGAGTCTTTCACGCTGGACGTGAACGAGCTCTTGACATATCTCTCGAGTGCTTACAATAAGCCTAACACGAGCCGTGAGGTCCGTGCAGGGATTTCAGAAACATATGCCGCGTTATTCATCATGCTTGGACCATCGGTTGTGGAGCGTCATTATGGTACTATTTTAAAGCACCTGCTAGTGGAGCTAGCAGCTAATCCCAAAAACACAGTATCACGATTTGAAATCCTGACAGCACGTGAACATGTCGAATATCTCCTTCGTGGAGTCATTGGTGCACGCCTACTGAGTGAGTCGGGACAAATTGCCAGCATCAGAGAATTAGTCGGGAGCTGGTTGAAGACCTGGCCAGCGGTCATGCCAGGAGACGTTGAGCCTTCCGAATATGCATTGATCGGCGCATTAAATGAGACATCGGCTTTACTACTAGATTTAGGAGGTGCAGCTAGTTCTGTTCAGGTAGGCACAAGAATTGGTGCATCTTTTTCTTGTCATTGGTTTAGCCCCAGAAAGAAGAAAAGGGACTGATTACTAACTGTTAGAGTTCTCTTGGTGGTGTAAATTGTAGGATATCTTGCTGTCATCGCTTACAAATTTAGTTTCCCATCCATCTCGAGCAGTACAGATCGCGACCGCCTGGTGCCTCCGATGTCTTTGTATTTCTTTGCCCACCAACCTCGCCAAACTTATCCAAACCCTTAATGCCAAACTCTCTACGGATGTGAATACACTCAACAATAATAGTACTAATTTCCAGGATGTGTCAACGAGAGCATATGGATTAGCATATTCAATTGGTGGGCTCATCACTGTTATTTCTGTCCATCCACTTTATGTCTCCTTCGAGATGAGCGCGCGCATCTTCTCAATGGCAGCACAATTGATCAAAAACAGTGCAAACAAGGAGATCCGGGTTGCTGCAGCTCAAATTCAGATTGCGTGGACCTTGATTGGATCATTGATGTGCCTAGGACCTAATTTTGTCAAGATGCATTTGCCCCAACTTCTCTTGCTTTGGAAGACGGCACTACCTAAATTAACAAGCAAGGATACCAATAATACAACGAGATCAGAATTGGATTGGGCTTTCATGATCCATGTACGAGAATGTGCTTTGGGATCAGTGGCTAGTTTCTTGTTCCATAACAGTGACAAATTGGTGACAGTTGATGTGTCGAAACGTATCGCAGCTCTGTTGTCTAACACGCTAACCTTTGCGGGAGCCGTACCCACGTTCCCGTCACAAACATCTACAGCAGCAAACAAAGGAGCTCCTCAACAACAAAACGAGCTGTTGAACGTCAAGTTCTCTGAACGAGATGATGCTCTGAGGAAACGGATCTTTGAGTGTTTTGTTGCTATGAAACATACTTCTGCGTTTGAAATGTATCAGCCCATATTGATCAAAGCAGCATTGGATGTCTTTTCAGACCCAGACAGGACTTCAGGAACTGCAGTGACAAATGCTGTGTCTGCAGCCACATTTACGACCGTGTGGGCAGTGGATGATGGATATGGGTACGGTGTCACTGGTAAGATCCAAGGCCTCCGTTGCGATGTAGCAGCAAGGACCAGTGGTCGCCAAGAGGAGATTCTGGATGGTAAAGATTACGATAGCGCGACAAGGACGACAGAGACTTTGTTGAAAAAGCCGATCCTAGGCGCGCCAGAACATGATCCTTTAGTGATCTATACGACATATGCTCTCCCAAGTTCGGTATCACGATATTCACTACCAAAGCCTCGACCTGTAGCTACTGGCGTTATTGATGCTGCAATCGAGCTGTTTGCGATCCTATTGCCTCTTCAATCATCAGCACTGCAGGGGTCTTTGATGGATGATCTGTCCAAAATGTTGAAGAGCTCGGTCTTGGACAAGAACCCTGGCAGAAAGATGGCTATTCAGGTCAATACAGTTGTAGCACTCCTAGGAGCAAGCAAGTACGCAATGGCAGAGAGTAAAAAACATGAGCAGCGGGCGTTTGAAGGGCCGCTTGCTTCTTCATTGTCTCAGTCGATATTGAGGGTAAGTAAACGAAAAAAAAAAAAAAAAAAAAAAAAAAAAAATTCTTTGTAGGAAAATGAAAGTTGGTATAACAAAATTTTAATTACGTCTCTTTTTTTTTTTTTTTTTTCCTAATTTGATATCCCAGGATTCCATTGTACATTCGGATCCGTACATCCGCTTTGTGGCATGTGAAGCTCTTGGCCGATTGACAAGTATACTTGGAAGCATGACGATCACGAACCAAATCAAGTATCTCATGGATCAGGTAGTAGCAAATCGTGACCCTGATGCCCGAGCAGGATATGCTCTTGCTCTCGGAAATGTGTTTTCGTATTTGGGTGGGATGATGGCTGGAGGCCACTTGAGGTCCGTGGTCGAATACCTGACCTCGCTGAGCCGAGACCCTCACCCGATCGTCCATAAATGGTCATTGCATTCTTTAGCATTGACGATTTCAAGTGCAGGCTTGATGTTTAGCCCATATGTGTCCAGTACATTGACCAACGTTGCAACAGTGTACTTGGCAGAATCACATGAGCCTGCAGGTGCCGGATCAATTGCTACAGCCAATATTGCAATGCAATCCGAGCTTTCTGTATACCACGAAATGGGCAGGATCATCTATGGACTCATTGGCATATTAGGGCCAGAATTGCAGTCGTCTGCTAAAGTGCGAGAGTTGTGCGTGAGCCTTGTGGAGGAACTTCGAAACGAGGACGATGAGTTTGTGATTGTACAGGGTATCCGATGCACACAGCACTTGATCATGTTTGCGCCTCTGCTAGTGGACATGTCGACGTTGGTACCATTCCTACAGGCTCGCCTACGTCGTAGCACAGGTCTGAGCCTGAAGAAGGCAGCCATAACATGCATGTATCAGCTGGTGCAGCGGGATGTTAAATCAGTCTTCCAACATTCCATGGGCGGTTTGGATGACCAATTTTTCAAGCTCCTAGACACGGACCCTACACTCCAAGACGTCAAAGATGTGGTACGCAGTTGGATCACCCAAACGGCTCTGGAGCAGCCTAGTCAATGGATTGATATCTGCCGAAAAGTATTATCTAGAACTGCTATTGATGAAGGCCAGGAGAATAATGTTAATCCGGTCGTCGATGGCAGTACTCCCAAGGTCAATCAACCTGCTGAAACGGAAGAAGAACGTGTTGATGACGATGATGATGGCCAGAACATGTTTGATGTTTCCAAACCTACTCAGAAAGCAGCACAACCATCCACTCCAGCTCAAAAGCCGGTTTCAGAGCCTGTGATAACTATTGTCACTGAGCTATCTGTCAAGGCCGCCCCAGCACTTCCGCCCCGTTGGAGGACTCGTATCTTTGCGTTAGAGTGCATCCGTCAGGTGATTGATGTGGTGGCAACGAGTGGCATTGCGGATCATTTCGACCTTGCAGTCGCTCGTCGGAAAAAGAAGAACTTTGGAGCAGATTTCCTGGTCCTAAAGGTGGCAGACCTGATCAAGATGACTGTGTATGCAGCCTCGACGCCTATTCAAGAGATTCGTATGGAAGGATTACTACTCCTACGCCAAACAATCGAAAAATTCCAATCTACAGCAGATCCAGAGGTCCCAGACAGTCCTCTACTGGAACAATACCAAGCACAAATTGGAGCTGCATTGACACCAGCATTTACAGCAGAGAGTACGCCAGAAGTAGTTTCCTTGGGTGTCAAAGTATGTGCAGTGTATGTTGGAAGTGGGATTATTCAAGAAGTGGATCGATTTGGACGAGTACTGAAGCTATTGATTGGAGCACTTGAAAAATGTAAAGAGGACAAACGGTTGACGGCTGTCGGAGATGTGACGGACCTGACGCCACACGCATCACAGATGATCAAGTGGGCGGTGTTGAACGCTTGGGCGGAGCTACAGGTTGCCAGTGTCCATCGCCAGTATTTGGTGGCGGTATTGAAGCCTAATCTAGAGGAACTCTGCAAGCTTTGGGCTAATGCGCTTGAAGAATACGCGAGATCTCGTGTGGAATCCGAGATAGCATTGGCAGGGTCTGTCTCTGCGAGCAGTACCACAAGCTCTGCAGGTCTATTCGATGCCAACTATACTGATTCAAGCAAGGGTTCTGAGAAGAATGTATGTCAACGACGTCATTTGACTGCAAAGCTTAATCGAAATTATCAACTGATTATTATCGTTTATTTATTGTTGGCTCTAATTCTTATTTGGCTCTTTGTTTTATTCTCTGGTGTTATAGTTTGACCAGACTTCGACGCTCAAGATCCTGGGCGCGGTATCCTCACTTGTAAATGAGAAGAACGAGCATATGATTCAGGCGCTCATGAGAATTACAAGCCCTGAAATTGCCACAACAACAACAACAACGACGACGACGACGACGGCAACGACCGAGAAAGAGAGTAAGGTAGAAGGTGCATCTTCAGACGAAGGGACCCAAAAAGATACCACTGATGCCTTGGGTTCATCTGATTCTTCAGCTGAAGCTCCAAACTTAGTCGTTGCCAAGAGTGCTAAAGCCAAACCTAAGAGAGGAGCTCTTCGATTGATTCATGTGATTTTCGGCCTCTGTCTGGAAATCCTGGCAAAGACATCATCGGCAGGCTCGACTATCGGCCAGAGTTCAGCGAACCTGAATGTTGCAGCGAATGATGCGGCGTTGCAGGGATGCCTCAGTGCGCTACACTCACTGTTGAACCCGATGTATATTGAGGAATCGTTCTTGAGCCGTGTGTTTTTGGAGATGATGGCCATTTTGGAGCGTGTTGCATGGATGGAAGGAAGCCGTGTCCAAGGGTTGGTTGTTGGTGTGATCTCGACGGTGATTCAGGGATACGGCAAAGAGCTGCTGTTTGTAGAGGACGAGGATGAGGATGAGGATACGGAGGAAGAAGGAAGGGAGGATGAAGCTGGCTCCTCCAATGGGGAATTGACGGATAGTGGGCTGAAAGAGTCTAGGTCTGAGGATATTTCGGCATTACCGGGCAGTCGATTGAGATCGATTGTTCAACTGTTGGTGGAGCTTTATATTCAAAAATGTGGCAGTTCGAACATAAAGTCGATCAAGTCATTCAAGTCGATAGGGGGCCGGGCGAGCCAGAAGACCACACCAGAGACGGTGGCGTTGCTGAGCAAGGTGACGGAGATGTTGGCGATGCTAGTGAAGGTAGCACCAGCAAAGTATCAATTGCATTTGGCAGCTGTTACACTTAATGTCCTGATTGGTATGTATTGATTGATACCCCATTTTTTATTTTATTTTATTTTATTTTATTTTTTTTTTTTTTTTTGAAGTTTGCTTTCTTTTCTTTCTTTTCTTTCTTTTCGTTTTATTTTTTATTTTTTATTTTTATTTTTATTTTTTTTATTTATTTATTTATTTATTTATTTATTTATATATGTATGATTTAGTTTATTGTTTTATTAATTGGCATGTATCTTTTTTTAACGGATAATTTGATGATTTTAACGGATAAATTTCCATACTAGGTGTGCTACGTGACCCTGCATTCCAAACAGAGCTCGGGCCCCATGTGCTGATGAACATCAAGTCGGTGATGGAGTCCCTGAATAAGAGCATTAGTGAATTGGATGGTAAATTTTTAGAGTTGATACTAAATGGAGCGATGGGAGCGATCTTGAAGAAGCAAGCGGCGTTTGCACCGGGAAAGCCAGGTGTAGCAATGTCGATGACTGAGAGCATGGGATTCAATTTGGAGACCACATCAGTGACGGATGTTTTGGACAAGAGTCGTGAGCCAGAGATGGACTCTGAGATGGATGTGTCGCCTGTGGAGATTACAGAATGGTGTAATGGACTGTTGGGCATGATGCTGGTGCTGACCAGCTGTACGGGGGTCAGAATCAGAAAGCCGTTCCTTGACCAGTTTGAGCGGCTGGTGACGAGTAGTATTGAGAGTAATATCAGCAAGGTAAGCGAACAAACAAAAAAAAAAAAAAAAAAAAAAAAATAGCTATATTTAAAACTCCATTTACGCATGTCATGTATATTTAATACATCGATATATGAAAAAAAAAAAAAAAAAAAAAAAAAAGATAGAGAGAGAGACTAATAGATTTATTTTACTTTACTTTTTTAAACTTTTCAACTTGGCTTTTCTCTTGAATGGGATGGATTAGATTGTAACAGTGGGGTACCAGTGCTTGAAGGGGGTGATATTGATTGAGAGCGCCAGTAGTGGCATGAGTGCGAGCTCAGAGTTAACAGACAAAGCTAAAATGACAGCGGGCAAGGCACGTGCGCGACTATTTATGCGAGAGTTGGTTCCATTTGTGGTAACAACGATTGTTGTGAGAGCAGCTCAAGAATCAGCAACGACGACGACGACGACGGCGACGACAAGTCAGACATCGGGAGGATCATCTAGTCCTTCAGGATCAAAGGATGATAAGAATGGAGTGGGAATGCAGGTGATTGAAGAGGGTATTCAGACATTGAAGAGTCTTGCGGTAGCCTCTTCTGAGACAGCACGGCCAGGAATGATTTCGATCATCATGTCAACATTGGTGCCTTTGTTACAGGACGTGAATGTGGAGATGGTAGGATCGACAGGTTCAAGAGCTCAGGGGGTACACACATTAGGATTGAATCATTTGCTTGGGCTGGGAACACAGTATCCGACGGAATTCCGATATGGAGTATCGAGATTGTCCGTGGAGCGGAGAACGCGACTGGAGAATGCAATCCGACAGAGTGTATTGGAGCAACAACAGCAACAACAAAAGCAACGGGAGAGAGAACAACGAGAACAAGAGCGTCTTGCGCGTGAACGTGACCGGGTGAAGATTGAATTGAAGAGTAGTTTCTCGGGCTTTACATAAGGAAGAAAGCAAACAAGGAAGTAAAAAAAAGAAAAAAAAAAAAAAAGATCAAAGATAAAGAATGTGGAGATGAAAATAGGGATGAGTAAATGAAATAAATCGTAGATTGCATAGACGTTAAAAAAGGGGGGGGAAAAGATATTTTTGACATAAAATTAAAAAAGATGCAGAGGTTTGTTTAAATTTGCCCTGCAAGTTGTTCACATTCCTGGAAATCTGTACTATGACAGAAAGAAATCTCTATCTTTTTTTTTTTTTTTTCCTCTCCCCCACATGTCTTGTGGAGAGAGAGAGAGAGAGAGAGAGAGAGAGAGAGAGAGAGAAGAGGGGGATCTCAGGGCAATGAGAGTAAGAAAGAAAAAGGGAAAAGGGAAAAGAGAAAAAGGGAAAAGAGGAAAAGGAAAAAAGGAAAAAGTGAAGGAATGGAAAAGGAAAAGGATGCCATGGATTGTAATTGTACCACAAATAAAGAACAGAACAGAAAAGTGAAAGGACAGTGCCCCATTCACAGCAGTGGATTAGAAGCATTAGCATAGACATTGACATTGCATTGGCAATGATTTATAGTAAAGCATTAAAGCATTAAAGCATTAAGGCATTAAAAAAGAATAAGGCTCACATCCTCACATACACACACTGCACTGTGTACATTACACATTACACATTACACATTACACATTATACATCCACATTCACCATTCACATCCACATCTGTCTCTTTGAATGTTTTGATATTCTACCTTTTTTATTTTGTAATGTATATATTTTGCATCTGCCTTTGTTTCCTTTTTATTCTGGGCTAGGGCATGTTGTACACGAGCATTATGTTTACAATTTTTTATTTTTTTATTTTTTTATTTTTTTATTTTTTTATTTTTTTATTTTTTTATTTTTTTATATAGAGAAGAGCAATTCGCAAGAAAAAGAAAACTAACTTTATTCATGTACAGTAACTAACTAACTAACTAACTAAGCTGTAACAGTTTGTTAAAAAGAAACGAAGAGAAAAGAAAAGAGCAGGGCTCTCAATTGAATGTTTAAATGCGTGCCACTGACCACTGATCTTTTTATATATATATATATAAATATTGTATATAATATAATATGTATTTTAAAAAAAAAAAAAAAAAAAAAACTTATTCTTCTCCAAGTGGCCCTATTTCCCCCTATTCCCTATTTTATCAAGGAAATGGAATGAATCAATTAAAGTGCATGGCATTAATGTTGCATGGTGTGTAAATATATCTATATCTTTCTACAACATGTTTATAGTCAATGGTCAATGGTCAATGGTCAATGGTCAATGGTATTATATATGGTATATATTATAAATGGCAAATGGCAAATGGCAAATGGCAATTGTTAGTGTGTAGATGTGTTCTTATCCTAAAAGTCTTAACGTTTTTTCTTCTTCCCCTTTTTGCCCTTTTCTTTTTCATTTCCTCGAAAAGTCTTTCTTGTCCATTATATTTCCCCTTTATTCCTTGGCTTGATTCCAAACAAACTTCTCACCCTTTTTTTACTTTTTTTTTTTTTTATTTTTTAACACACTCTCTCTCTTCTCACTCTCACACTCTCACACTCTCTTACTCTCTTACTCTCACACTCTCTTACTCTCTTACTCTCTCTCACTCTCTCACTCTCTCACTCATTCTCATTCTCATTCTCATTGACGTTCCTTTTCTTTTTCTCTTTTTTCTGATGGCCCATTCACTTTAAGCATTTCTTTCTTTTCTCTTCTCTTCTCTTCTCTTTTTCACCAAAAAGTTTTATTGCAACAGCTTCAATAATAATCATGTCAACAGCCATGCTTTCTGCACCTGCAGCAAGTCCTTTCTCAACCTCCTCCCCCTCCACCACTTCCTCAATCAATTCCTTTTTCGAGGATATTTCTCTTCTTCAAGACCTTTCACATGATTCCTCTTCTTCTTCCTCATCGTCTCCTACAATGACACCAACAACAACAACCACTACTACTACTACTGCTACTACTACTACACCTTCTTCAATCATAACCACTTTAACCAACACTACAACAACAGAAATGTCTACTATGCAACTAGTCTCACTATCAAATCTAAAGTTGAACAACGACATGTTCTCCAATCGATCCCTCTCTATCCATCGTCGTATCCTTGTCAAGAACTTCCTGACATTGCTCTACCAACTCAGCCCACCCACTGCGACGATGGATGACTGGATGCAGATGCAGGCCTCGATTGGCTATGGAGCCGATGACTTTCTCTCATCCGATCCTCTTCAGGGCACAGCAAATGACAGTGACCTGTTGATTAAAGAGGATGAGCAGAGCGGATGGATGGAACGGACCTTGAGTGCTGCAGGCCTGAACGATAACGATACCGATAAGAGAACCAAAGCTGACAGAAAAAACAACAATAGCGCCCATACAAACACCAATCGATCCACTGCAAAAGCTGAGAGCACAAGTTCAACGGTAAATAACAACAAATTGAAATTGTTTCTGTTTGCTCTGTTGTCAAAGTTACACAGTTTTTTTTTTTTTTTTTTTTGCTCGTCTAAGCATTTTCTGATTATATACATGGATTATTAACATTCAAGAAAATGGTTTAAAAAAAAAAATGTCCCTGTAAAAACTCTATTACTTTAGAAACAAAATACCAACCCGTTTCTCAACTACACAAACAATAATAACAATAATACCTCAAACAACAAATCCTCTGCTACTCCCACGACTACTCCATCCTTGGTTCTCCCTCCGTCTTCTCCTTCTTCTCCTTCTTCTCCTTCCTCTTCTTCTTCTTCGTCTCCTCGATCAGAAGAGCCCTCTTCATTGACGACTAAACAAGCATTACCTCGACCAAAGTCTTCTGAACTGCCTCAGTCACTACATTCCTATCTCTCAACCGTCTTTGATGTCAACTGGTCTGTAGACCTTCCTAGTAAAGAGGACCTACTCTTCACCAGCTCCACCTCTTCCTCCTCCTCCCTCTCTTCTACCGGTCCAGGCTCTCCTCCAATAGTATCCAAACGTAAATCCATCTCAGCCGCATCCGGACTATCATCTGTTTCAAATGCCTACTCTTTCGAACCTACTGTTTCAGCCTCTTCTTCTTCTTCTTCTTCAGATTCGACTTCATCAGGACCCAGATCCGGATCCGGATCATCCTACATGGCCTCGCCAAGGTCATCTACTTCATCATCCTTTTCCTCAGTCTCGACCACATCCAGTGCTTCGTCCGTGAGCTCCGTAGGAAGCGCCCTAACCAACTACAATAACAAGACCGATGGCCTGGACAGACCCATAACTGGGACAGGAGCAGGAACGGGAGCAGGAGCAGGAGCAGGAGCAGGAGCAGGAGCAGGAACTGGAAATGGAAATGGAGCTGCAGGGACTGCCACTAACCCTGTCCGTAAGCTGCCTTTGCCCCCAAATCCCACCGCTGCTTCTCGGGCCAACAGCAGCAACAATACCAATGTTCAAATCACAATTAACGGCCCCGTTGTTGCTGCTGGATCCAATAATGGTGCACATCAGAATGCAACGGGAAACACTACCAATGGCATTGGCAGTGGAATTAGTAATACAGGCAGCAACACTCTTCAAGAAAACAAGAACCTGAATATGAACATGAACACCACTAACCGAAAGACCAACGCCAATGCTCAGCTCAAAGCACCACTCCTTCCTGGAAGGCGCTCTTCCTTGTTACAGACGGGTCAGATACCACCCCCTATCAATTACAATAATAACAATGGTAATAATGCCAATGCCTCAAACAGGATGAGCATCATCAATACAAATGCCTCCTCACTAGAACGGCCCCGTCCATCGCCACCAACTCTCTCAGTGTCACCACCCTTGTCCCCTACTCCTGTCACTAGTCCATCGGCCACAGCAGCATCGCCTTCACTTTCGCCACCACTATCCAATGCCTCTCCGAACCAAGCGACTTCACCACCACTACTTCCGGCAAAGCCATTCATCTCCAAGAGAACGTCGTCGTTGCAAGTAGAGCGACCCAAATCTGTCCAGCGCTCGTTCAGTGACAGCAACAATGTCTACCATCACCAAAGTCTCAGCCCTGTGTCCCCGACAATGACTGCGACAACACTGTCAGTTCCAGAGGCCAATATCATTGGACTGCCCCGGCCTATTCTGAACCCGGCATCACACCACGCCAGCTCACCACCGCCTTCGCCGTCAAAGACGTCTCTTTCCCCTACAGACTCTACCACGCCCACGACCACATTGTCTCGATCACCCTCTAGCACGGTCCACGTAGCGGTTCTGCAGACGAACCCCTATAAGCGATCTGCTTCGGATGAGCAGATTATGAAGGCTCGGGTAGTGAGGGCACCCTCACCTTCATCTTCGCCCTCACTTTCCCCTTTACCCTCTAATTCGCCCTCGACCTCCTCTTCATCTACGTCCCTATCCACCGCCAGCTCATCCGTCCCTCCCTCGCCCGTCATAGCAGCGACACCAGCACCGGTGGCGATGTCGAGACCTACGCCCACATATTATCTAAAGTCTTCGAAATCCAGTCCTTGTCTCAAAGAGTCAATGTCTGATGGGAAGAATGTACAGGGAAATGCGAGCAATGCGCCAGTGATGCCAGATCTGTATGCTCAACAACAATATCAGCAGCTCTATAATAACCAGCAACAACAACAACAACAACAACAACAACAACAACAACAGCAGCAGCAGTATCAGTATCAACAAGATTTGGCACACCCACCACAGCCTGTTGCTGCTGCAGAGAACAGGGCTGGATTAGGAACTGGAGTAGGAGCGGGACTTCGACTTTTGGCCAGGACTAGTTCTCAAAGGAGTAAAGCGGCATCGACGAACGAGAACGGGGCTAGAGCAGGAGATGGTGGATTGGATGTTTATTCACAAAACAACCACGAAGGCTCTGGTCGGAATCGTGGGCCTTATGGTCATGTACGTGGACATGCGTATGCACAGAGCATGAGTAATGTGAGTGTGCTATCTGCATCTGCAACAGATCTTGAAATGTCGATCAAGTCGGCTCCTCTGATGGATCCAGGTCAAGGAAACGGTAGCTCGGGAAGATCGATGACGATGGATCACCACGGCCATGGTAGTAGTAATAATCATAATAATAACAACGGCAATGGTGGCAATAGCAACGGTGGCAAGCCAGCGGCTTCATCTGGGCGTTGGACGTCGATGAAGATGATTCTAGGCTTGCGAGTTGGTCATGGTACCAAGAGCTAGAAAGAAACATAGTCATCATCAACTATCATCTCTATCCCGTTATACCCTACCTCCTTTTTTACAGCCATCCATTCCATTTATTTAAGCCTTTTTTTATTTTTTTTTATTTTTTTTGTATAGAGTTGCCTTATTAAAAAAAAAAATAAACAAAATAAAATAAAATAAAAATACAAAGCGACAGGTATAAGAGATGAAAACATGTCAAAAGATATGCTTCGCCCAGACACATTTAAACATTTCCCATCAGTAAAAAAATAAACAGTCTAGAGGTTTCTTTATTTTACTTATTCTTTTATAAACAAACATAGATTTATTTTATTTTTTTATTTTTTTTTTCATAGTTCTTGTTTACCAAAGTAGGTAGTTAAAAGAAGCGATGTCTTGTTGACAGACAAATCTGTGCAGGGAAGAAAAAAGAGGAAGGAGGGATGGATATCCAGCATGTTTTCTTTTTTTTTTTTTTTTTTTTTTACTTGCTAATAAGTGACTGAGCATAGGCAGTGACTTCACCATCAGGCTCCATATAGTGAAGGTTAGGATTGGTCGTCAATGTTTGGACCTGGAAGTCGGGCATTTCAGCAGCAAAGCCTAACAAGGCAGACCTGTAGCTCTGAGTGACTTTACCACCTAAAGGAAGAAGGAAAAAAAAGGGAAAAAAAAAAAAAAAAAAAAAAAGAGGTTAGATAATCAAATGACTGGGATATTGAGCTATGAATTCTTTTAGCGTTGAGATGGGTATGACATGACATATGATGGGATGATTAACAAAACAATGTTTTTTTGGGGGGAAAGAGGAAAAGCGTTGAGGTGTAAAGTAAAAAAAAAACTGTAGACACGCAACGCACTAACGCAGATGCAGGTCATGCTTTAGACTACAATAAAAAATAAAAAAAAAACAATCCCACAAAGACCCTGACACGTTTCAATAAAAAAATGCGCTCTTTTTTTTTTTTTTTTTTTTTTTGTGTGTGTGTGCTTGTCTTTTTTTTCTCACGAGTTCTCTTTTCTTCTTCGCGTCATTCGTGGTTGCAACATGTAAAAATGATTTCCCAGCAAACAAAACTAAAAAAAAAAAAAAAAAAAACCAAAAGGGAACCCTTACCCTGAGAGCGAATGTCCTCCTCAGCTTTGTCAACCTCTTCATGAGGAGTCTCGGGCTTGAAGACAACAATCATCTTGTTGGTACCATGCTTCAAGTTCTCTGAGTTGTTAGGAGTGCTCTCGGGAGCACTACCGGGAGGAACAGCCAAGGGCTTTGCGACGTTGTCACCCGGATTCTGAGTACCGACAGGGAGGACCGAAGCGGAGAAGGGGTTGTTGGCTACAAAACAGCAACAGCGAGAACAGCAGCAGCAATATTAGTTGAAGCAGTGCATTCACATCAACATCAACATCCACACCCGTATCCGTATCAACATCAACAGCAGCCATAGGGACGGGATAAGGATAAATATTCATAAAGATAATTCAAAATGAATTTCATTTTCGTTAACAGACGAAACATCACCAGCATGAACAGCCACGATGATAGAGAGAGCAAAAGCAGCATAGAGCGTCAATGAACGAGTCAGAGATATATCTAGGAATGTGAATCAATGCATTGGATAATTGGTGCTGTTGGTTTTTTTTTTTTTTTTTTTTTTTTTTTTATAAAAAAAAAAAAAAAAATGAAAGGAAGGAGAAGAGGACTTACAGGCCATGATGATGATAATTGATATCGATGTTCTTGTTCTTGATAAAAGAAAAAAGATAAAATAAAAAAATAGATTGGTATCGAGAAGAAGGGAGAGAATAAAGAAGAAAAAAAAAAAAGCAAAAGAAAGATTGGTTTTATATCTTACAAGCACCAAGCAATTTGTTCAAGGAACAAGGTGTCACATGTGAGACAGATGATGTTCGTGTTCTTGTGTCTGTAATTTTTTTTTTTTTTTTTTTTTCTTTTACACACATACAAAAAAAATACATGGACGCGTAACTTCATTAAAACCTGGAAAAAGTTTACGCGTCCTCCTCTTTTCACTTACTTTTAACTCCTCTGCAAACATACGCATCAATAAAAGGAAAAAAAAAAAAAAAAAAAAAACTTCCTAGGTGAACAGGTGAACAGGTGAACAGGTGGGCAGACAAAAGAAGAACCTGTCTATCATACAACAGTTAACAGTAAGAGGATCGAGATTCTCTTCCCCCCCCCCCCCCCCACTTTTTTTATATCATCCTACCCTCCCTCGTGAACATATTCATAAACCCATTTTATTTTATTTTATTTTTTTTCCTCATTATTATAAAAAATAAAAAATAAAAAATAAAAAAAATTGTTAATACATGGGCATATAGTCATAACAAAACTCAAATCCATTTCGTACTTCTACATCTTGATCTGACTGCTTTTTATTGCCCTTGAATTTTTAATGTCATCTGGTTTCCTAAAAAGGAAGTGTATTGTAACTAGGATTCATAGACGAATCATAGCCTAAATTTCGGCAAGGATAAAAGGCGATATGGCCGAGTTGGTTAAGGCGCCAGAATCAGGATCTGGTTCGAAAGAGCGTGGGTTCAAATCCCACTGTCGTCACTATTCCTTTTTTTGCTCCATCACGGAGCATTTTTTTTCCTTTGGCACTGTTGTGATTGGTGGTTGCTGAATTCAAGCCTTTTACTCTCTTTTACCTCACTAAGCCCTGTGCAAAATGCTAGACCCATGCAAAGGTAAAAGGTACGCTACGTTTACACCCAAGTAATTTCATCCCCTTTATTTTATTTTTTATTTTTTATTTTTTAAGCTACATAATTTTATTTATTTATTTACAAGAGCCGACCATGGTGAGGCCACGATCTTGCGGATCGTCTACTTACTCAAGTCGTAAGGATCCGTGGCTGTGTGCTAAGTCATGGCGCGAGATATTACACGAAAAAAAAAAAAAAAAAAAAAAAAAAAAAAAAGCACGGACCTGAAATAGTTTGAATAGATGTATTTTTTTTTCCAAGATCCCAATGATGGCCTTCCTTCGAACGTCGTCCATAGCCCCCCATTATATAGCCAGGCTTCATTGATGGGGTTCCATTGATACATGTGCAGGATTAAATTGATTGAGCATTCACTAAAAGTCGTAGAATATGCGCGTTGAGAAACATGCCCATTAAGGAATTGAGACATGGTCTGTGCTATGCGAAATGCTTGAGATTTCATACGCGTTCTTTTTTTTAGTGGCAGTGCTAATAATATATGATGATATAATTGATGGGGGGTTTTTTTTTCTAAATTCTTCAATAGTTCAATCCGTCTATACAAAAATAAAAAAGACATTTACAGGCCAGTGGCGCCAGGCCAAGATCAAGATCTTGGTACTTCTTTGGGTCCAATCACTTGGTTTATCCCTCGGACTGAAAACCGGACAAATTTGTCCATTTAGCTTCTATCAATTTATGGGCAGATCAGATCCAGTTCTCTGTGCTTTCTATTGATAGAAAACAACCGTCGATTGCATGTCAAGGAAGAAGAAAAAAAAGGTCAGTAAAAATTCATCAGTAAAAAAAATCAATCAGTAAAAAACCATATATCAAGCTCATATCATCACAATACACTAATGTCCACCCTTTATTGGTCTCCACTTTTCTAGCGCATCTAGCAACACTTACTATTCATCATTACCTTCTTCCTCAGCCTAAAAAAAAAAAAAAAAAAAAAAAAAAAAACCCCTCTGCTATTTCTCTAATCCTTTCGAAGCAAAGAAGTAAGGATCCAAATTTGTCGCTCTTTTGATTATGACTTTTTAAGTATGAATGATTTTCTTAATAAGTGTCTTGTAATTGAAAAGGTCAAAGATTAAAAAATATAAACATGCTCAAGATGCTGGTACTGCTAAAGGTCCTCAAGAAGCCAACACTGAAGAGGTTAAACTGAGTCTGCTCGATTATTTTATTGCATCGAAGGCAGTGAAAGGAAAAGAGTGATGTGAAGGGAAAGGGCGTTGCGAAGCTCAGTGGCCTGAGCGAGGATTTGAGCGAGGATGAAGGGAAAAAAAAAATTGGTTTACTGAATGGTTTACGAAGGACGACCTTTTCACATTGTCTACGGTGCCATTGTCTCATTTACCCCCCGTAGTCGAGACAAGTAAAGCTACCATAATTCAGCTCCATGTCGGGGATAGAGTTACGGACCTGAAAGTAGTCAATTCAAAGGACATCTACGCTGTTGATATGTTCCCGACGACAGAACGGCTATGTGAAGCCCTTCGATCACCATTAATTCATAAGGTGATCTAATAACAAGAAATTTGGCGAGAATCTCGGGTGGATGCAAAAATCGGTCAGAAATGTCGTACGTAGCGTCAATGTCTCTTTTGTGGATTGGCAATATGGTATTCTGACTGTGGAAGCCAAGGTTTATGAAAAGGTCTTCCATGCGGACTACAATGTTGAGGTGAACATCACTCTCCGTTCTTTGATGTCACTTCGTGGAAAGAATTAGCTGGACGACGAAGCGATCGAGGGGACCCTGACTTTTTTCTCTCCGTGGCTACGGAAACGGATGGCAATACGTTTTTATTCCCCCTTGGTGGAGATGGAGTGCCGCTATAGCCTCAGCTGCAAACGCTCGTCCAAAGAGATTCAGGAGCAGGCAAGTCCACATTCAATCACGCTCTGGAACGCACACCCTGGTATGTATACCATAAAAGACATGGTCAGGTCCTACTACTTATCAATCTTCCAGCCATCGACAAGCCAGAGAAGGAACTGGTGGCAAAGCAGTTGCGACACTATGGCTTTACGAGCGCACAGATCAAGGGACTGAAGATGAATCGGTCATTTGTCTTGATCTATGATGGATACGATGAGAGCATGTAGACTAACAATCTGTATGTTACCAACCGACTGAATAAGCCTAGAGAATGGAGGGCTTAGATGGCGACCAGTTGTCGTAGTGAGTACCTTGAATTGGACTACCGAGATCGCTTCCAACCTATGGATCGCAATCACCGAGCAGATTCTGGGTTGTTTCAAGGGGCTGTGATTATACCGTTCCCTGGGGGCTTGGGTTGGTGATTATATCGAGCAATATGTCACCAATATGGACCCACCGTGGCAAGTAAAGGGTTACCAAAGTGCACTCAAAATGGTTCCCAGTCTACAAGACCTTGCGAAGGACCCATTAATGCTGTCGATGTCGCTAGAGGTACTTCCACGGATAGTGGAAGTGGATCCAAATCAAGGCATCTCTAACGCCAAGCTTAAGCGGGTCATACTGTATGATCAGTTCGTTGAGCAGTGGCTCGAGCGAGGCAAGAGGCGATTAAGTGAGACACTAGGATCAGAAGATAGACGAATGTTCCGTGCATTGAGGAACGTATTTAGGTATTTAGGATAAGAATGCTTGTTGGTAAAGCCTTCATAAAAAGAGAATGAATGTAGTATATAATGCTATATAGTACATGCTTAAGATTTTTTCGAAGATCGTGATGTTGTAGTTTTTTATGGTGAGAAAGGCTAGACGCGTTACAAAGTTTAGAATAAAGACTAAAAAAAGGGGGATGTTTACATGTCATAACTACATGAACTTGGGCATGTTTTGACAACTTGGATGTTCAAAGAAAGGACTTGTCCAGGCTTTATTGTGCCGTCGCGTTTAATCTCTAGGGTGTCAGAGATCATTTTATGCGTAGGCACAATGCGTTTGTCTGCATGTGTGATCTAATGTAGATAGTGAGCATAAGTTGAGAAGGTGTTTGCTTCCAGTAGCATTTGCTTCTTAATCGTGTAAAAAAGAAGAAGGGGGAGGAAGAGGAGGAAGAGGAGGAAGAGGAGGAAGAGGAGGAAGAGGAATAAGAGGAATAAGAAGGGTAGAGTAATATCATGAGTTGCCATCATTGTAAAAGGAATGAGACAGGAGAGTATAATAACCATTGGAGTATTAGGGAATGGATCTACGGATCATTGAGACCATTGGACATGACAGAATAGGAAACTAAGGAGAATATCAGATGAGAAAAAGAAAAGAGAAGACAGAGAGAGAGAGAGAGAGAGAGAATGATGGAATGATGCAACGGTTGGTATTTGTGCGTCAATGCATTTGTTTCAAGGGCTTTATCTCGGTTATGGCGTCCGTTACGTCTCTTTCTATCGTCCCTTTAAACATCCCTATTCTCCCCTTTTGCAACAAAGGAAGAAAAGAAGAAAGGAAGAAAAGAAGGAAGAAAGAAAAGAAGAAGGAAGAAAAAAAAAAAAACGCGTGGAGTCAAAGAAACAAAACGATTTGCCATTCAAAAGATTCTTCCTCTCAAATTACTTTCTTCAGTGCAAGTGCATTTGCTTGTGCATGTGCATGTTCAATTGTACTCTTAGAAAACCACGTCTGTCCATCGCTCTTTTTTTTTTTTTTTTCTTTTTCTTTTTTTTTGATACAACGCAAATGAAAAAGAAAAAAGAAAAAAAAGCAAAACCCCCTTTCCTTTCTTTCCTTCCCCCATCTTTTTTTTTTTTTTCTTTCTTTTCCCATTTCACGTCTTTTTCTTTTCTTTTCTTGTCTTTCCTCCCTTTCAGACAAATCTATTCGTCATGGACTCATTCTCACAGGGCCATGTATATGAGCGAGGACAGCACAGTCGGCAACAGCAACAGCATACCCCCCATTACAGACACGTCTCTGTTCACCCTCAGAACCTGTCAACTCTTCAGGAGAGCATACATCAGGAATCAGCCATGAATACTCTGCCCAATGTAGGGTCCGACTCATCTGACTATGGATATGCCTCTATGCCTGTTCACGATCCACTTCATCATAACCATAGCAGTAACAACAGTTTGCAACAGCAGCAGCATAAACATTCGGGTTGGAGCACAGGCCATGTTGGTATCATGATTGACGACCATCAAGGCCATGACCAAGAACATGGACATGCTCAAGGTCATGCTCAGACCCAAACCCTTCCATCAACTCATACTCATCCTTTCTCATTTGAGCAAGGACACACGCCGACAGGCTCGCCTACAGCAGGGCTTCCGACCCAGCACAAACACCAACAACAACAACAACAACAACCACTTGAGCCCTTGCCTCCGTCCGCTGTGACAAGTCATTCATCCTCTCGAAACTCGTACACGGGAGGAATGTTTAAGCAGGGGTATTCGCAATACCAAGGTCAGCTTCCTGGGGCTACACTCTCCCGACATCTATCCATTCAACTCTCACCCAATTCCATGTTACTACCACCACCACCCCAGGCACTACAACCAGGAGGACTGAAGGACTATCCTTCTTCATCCAATTCAGTTGCTAGTAGTCAGACAGGTGTGCCTTCACGTGGGTTCCAATCATCATTGCAACAACAGCAGCAGCAGCAGGCGCAAGCTTCTCAGCAATATCATTTCCAACATCAACAACCACAGCATCAGCATCAGCATCAGCAGTATGCAACACATCGGCAGTCGCAAAGTCCATCGCAGCAGGTTGCTTTACCTCCACCACCGGTCAAACATATCCGTTCCCCAATGCGATCGCCCAACGTGCCCCAATTATCATCGCAAGCCATGGCACATGCTCAAGCCCAGTCGCAGATTCAGATGCAGGCTCAGCAATATCGGCAATATCATGCGCAGGGTCAGCAGCAATTCCCACCGAGGACACATCGCCGTAGTATTCAACCATTAACATTGGATCAACAGCAACCAAAGGGAGGATCATTCCGCTATGTTCGAAATCAAGCAGATCTATGGCCACAAAAAGGTTCACAAAAATATCGATCAATTGATGCACATGGCCATAGTATCAGTGTAAGTATATGAAACAACAAAACTTGATTGCTTAAAAAAAAAAAAAAAAAAAAAAAAAATAAGCGAATGAGAAGAGTCAGTAGAGATTGCTCTTCTTTCTCGAGTAGTTCATCCTTACTTCACAATAGGATCAGTGGAAGATTGGGGAATGTTGGGATATTACCTGGCATCCACACGAGCCCGCTTACACACACACACACCTATACATAATACTTACATAAAACATGTATTATATTATCGTCATCCTTTAAAGCCGTTACGAGCTCTAACGGAGCTTTTGACAAAGACATACTCGCACTGTAACCGGGATTTTAAGTATGAGCCATCCTACAATCCTCGTCGTGTGTTGACCAAACCATCTAAGCCTGTACATAACGAGGGTTACGATAATGAGGACTACGACTACATTTTATATGTTGGTGACATTTTAGGCAGCGAAGAAAGGCAAAGGTAGACATTAAGCCAAGTTTTTTTATTTTATTTTGTTTTTTCTTTTTTGTGCGTGTATGAACTTGCACGAGATGTCAAAGTACTCATCTGAATTGATACACCGCATTTCATTTACGCCATTAAATATTAGATACCTCATTCTTGACGTATTAGGCCAAGGAACATTTGGACAGGTGGTCAAGTGCCAGAATCTCAAGACGAATGCGATAGTGGCAGTGAAAGTGATCAAGAACAAGCCGGCGTATTTCAACCAGAGCATGATGGAGGTGACAGTATTGGAACTCTTGAACGGGCGGTACGATGTAGATGACCGGCACCATATCTTGAGACTACAGGATACATTCATTCATCGACGACACTTGTGTCTGGTTTTTGAGCTGCTTTCTGTCAACCTGTATGAGCTGATCAAGCAGAATCAGTTCCGTGGCTTGAGTATGAGTCTTGTTCGTGTCTTCACGGCTCAACTATTGGATGTGCTCTGCGTCTTGAATGAAGCTCGGATTATTCACTGTGACTTGAAGCCTGAAAACGTGTTGCTGAAAAAGTAAGTCAATTTAATACCCAGATCAAAATAAAGGTTCATACCCGTGCCATTCCAGGTCCTTAATGCTAACTTTTTTTTTTTTTTTTTTTTTTCTTTTCTTTGTTTTGCTTAGCTTGGAGACACCGTCGATCAAGGTGATTGACTTTGGATCTGCATGTCATGAGCAACAGACGGTGTATACCTATATCCAATCGCGATTTTATAGAAGTCCTGAAGTCCTCGTAGGATTGCCGTAAGTCAACTCTGTTCTCAATCTTTTCTTTATCATTTTATGGCTCATGGAAATTATAATGTCAAACCAAGGATTCTACAACTTAATGAGTGTTCCTTATTGCCACTATTATAACTATTAGCTATTCATCGTCCATTGATATTTGGTCTGTGGGTTGTATAGCAGCAGAGCTGTTCCTCGGTTTGCCTCTTTTCCCCGGAAGTTCCGAGTATAATCAGCTTTGCAGGATTGTGGAGATGCTTGGGTAAGCTGAAGAGAAGAGGAATAATGGATCAAATGGTCACGTCTTGAAAAAAAGAAAAAAAAAAATGCAGTCAAGCCTGATGGTGTCATGGGTGCTGACAGATTTTTTTTCGCTCCCTATTCGTTTGTACTATCTGATCTGTTTGTTAGAATGCTTCCTACATATATGCTGGACATCGGAAAAACTGCACATGAATTCTTTGAAGTGGTTCGGCCAGATAGCAGCTATGGTAGACCAGGATCTAAAAAATACCGTCTCAAGTCTATAGAGACTTATTCGAGAGAGCATAACGTGGTAGAGCAGCCCAGCAAACGGTACTTTCAGGCGACAACACTTCCTGACATCATCAACAGCTACCCAATGCTGAAGAAGGGAATGACTCCCAAAGAAATCGAGAAAGGTAAGGAGGGAAGTGCTCCATCACACTCGAATAAAGTCGTTTTGTACCTTTTTCTGTTCGACTGATTGTTGATATTTTTTTTTTTTCCATTCCTTTTCTTTTAAATAACTTAGAGATGTTGAACCGCCAATCTTTCATCAATTTCCTTCAGGGGCTTTTGAACCTGAACCCGATTGAGCGATGGTCACCACATCAAGCAAAGTTACATCCATTCATTACTGGGGAACCATTCACAGGCAGCTTTGTACCTCCTACAATACCAAAAAAGACAATGACAGCTGAGAATTCTGTGCGACTGGAGCCGACGATGCCAGGACGCATATCCAAGACAAGGTCAGCATCACTGTCAACATCAACGTCTTCGCCCGCTCTGGTTCCATCCTCAGTTACCGACAGAGCTGCTGCAGAGGTCTCCAAACAACCACAACACTCCAAGGTGGACGGAATTGTGGAACTAAGCACCACTTCTCAACCTTCAGCATTCAAGGCTGGTACTGACACATCAGGATCTCACTCACGCCCGTCACTATCAGCGCTTGGAGGCTCTGTAGCGACATCAAGCGAGAGCTCAGTAGGATCATCCATTACAGATGTTTCTTCATTAGATGCTTCCCCCGCCACAGTAGCTGCCCCTCCATCTGAAGCATTGACAGCTACAAGCGCAACAGTCGCTGGAGTGGCCATGACATCCTCGCCTGGAATACAGTCACAGGATCCTCTTGGAGTACAGACTACAGCCGTGCAGCCACCGTCTACCACATTCCATCAGGGATATGGGCACAGACCAAGGGCAACTACGCTGGGTACAGTAGAGGTCCCCAAGAATATGGCACAATTGGCAGCAGCAATGACACCCCAACAAGGTCAAGCGCTCGGTGGTATCAGTGGATCATCTAGTCTCTCCCATCGTATAGGGCCCAATAGTGCGGCAGGAGCAGCTACATTCGAACCGCCATCACTCTTCTCACATGGAGGTGCTGGTGGTAGCAGCAGTTCTTACGGACTTCGTCAGATTCCAGAGAGATCAGAGCAAAACTCACCAGTCTTTGAAGAGTCCAACAGCGCCGCAAGCAGTAGAGCGAGCAGCCCAAGCAGCTCTGGAGAGCCGACACAATCATATTCGCGTACTACTGGATCTAGGTACCCTCAGCAGCAGCACCAACAGTGTTCCCTTCAACAGTCCCATCATCATCTGCATCGTAGCGGTAGTGATGGAGCAGGCAAGCTTGCAGCAGCAGCTCGGTCACTCAAGAATGTGATGGAAAGGACTAGCCGCGGTCATGGTGATGAGGCTCATCGTGACTCGTTTGGTGTATCAGAGTCTGCATCTGAATCTGGATCTGGATCTTTTGTGCCAGAACTAACCCCCTTGCAAAAGATGCAGCAGCAACTGCTTCAAAGTCAAGTTCAACCGCAGCAGCAGCAGCATCGTGCTCGATACCATTTCGGATACCCACAATCGGAGTCAAGTCTAAGCGAAGATGGAACTGGAGATAGCAGCAATAGTAGTAGTCGTCAGGATTTCTCAAGCGAGCCCGAGTTTGAAGAGAGTGCGGGCAGGAGGAGTAACTTGCGACCGGTGAACTTGAATATGGATTTGGGCCGGCCAGGCGGTGTCCAGAACCGAAGTAATCCCAGTCTTATTGAAGAGGATGAGGAAGAGGATGAGGAAGAGGATGAAGAGGATGCAGAGCAAGTAAGCGATGGTAGCGCAGACGACAGCAAAGATGACTCATTATATGGGGATAGGAACGACTATTGCAGCAATTACCAGACTACCCGAGCCCATGGACATGGCCATAGCGAAAGTGAGATTGGAGGTGTTAGTAGAAGTGGGACGGGAAGCAGTCTGTATAGTTCTGGCCGAAGTATTTCAGACCTTCATGGCCATGACCACAATGTGGATGAAACAGATTCGCCGAATTTGGAATCAATTGAGGCTAATGCTATAGCAGCAGGTGTGGCGCCACTCATCTCGCCACCGATTGCTCTGGACATGACCATTCCACCAACAGAGATAGACACAGTTTTGGGTAAGGTCGAAGAAGTGGAAGAAGAAGAAGAAGACGAGGAGGACGAAGTGGACGAAGAGGATAGTATAGAGGGGCAACAAGAAGTAGGCACAATAAGACGTGGGCTGTCATCCTTTGTGTTAGCAGACAAAGAGGAGGATGAGGAGGATGAGGAGGATGAGGAAGATGAGGACGTGGACATTGGAGAAGCTGTGCCAATTCTATCAACACTGCCTATCCAGACGAAAGCGCAAAAGGAGACAGAGACGAGGCAGATGGCTAACAATAGTGAGACATCGTCCAAGAATGTGATTCAGCAAAACACCAAGCCTCCTCATGGACAGCAAGACACGACAGCAACAACCACGAGAGAATGATGATTATATATTATTATTATTATTACTTTTGTTTGTGATGGGATACGATGGTTGGTGTGCCACTCAAGTAGTTACCCTCATTTTTTTTTTATTTTTTATTTTTTTTATTTTCTATTATTTTTTTTTTTTATTGGTTTGTTAATTAACTATACAGCGCTGTACAACTATTCCTGTTCTTGAAACTGTTGGACATGAGCAAGATGATGAGGAAGACAATGAGGATGATGATGAGGATAGCTGTTATTATGCTGGTGGGATGAAGTTCATGTACCTTTGTCTCCCTATTCATCCATACATCACAGCCATGGGACTGATCAATAGTCGATGTCAGTTCGATATTCAAGACATTTATATGTTTTTTTATTTTATTTTTTTATTTTTTTATTTTTTTATTTTTTTATTTTTTTATTTTTTTTTAAGTTTAATGAACGCGTTTTATTTACAACTGCAGCACTACACATTTGCATTCTACAAGCTTGTATCTTTCTGATGTTCCGAGCCTGCGCTCTTCTTCATGTCCAGTCATAAAGTCTGGGTATGATATGTTCCTGCTTCACCTCCTCCACCACTACCTCCTCTGACAGTCTGACAGGGCCGATATATTAGACGATACTGATAACCCCTCCTACCGATTCCATTGACTTTTAACTTCAACGCGGCTCGCCTCAAGAGGACTCCTTCCAGAGAGAGAGAGAGAGAGAGAGAGAGAGAGAGAGAGAACTCGTTTGACAGAGCGAAATTGAACATTCTTTATTGGATGGAATACCTACATAGTTTAAATGGTTACACAATAAAGATAAACCATTTTTGCTCCAACAAAGAAAGTGTGATCTAGATATCTGAATATCAGTACATGTACATGGTGTATAAAAGTTTAGCGAATGAAAGTCCCATTTTACTTTTACATTTATTGAGGTGGTGCCTACTGCTACATTATTCTGATTCAATCAATTCAATTATACGATGACACTGCAGGATCTGCAAATACGATCGATGATGCCAAAAGCCTAGACATCTTGCCAGTTCCTCCAGAACTATTCCCACCAAGTTGAGATCGTGTCATATTAGGTGATTGAGGGCTAGTGACTGTTGCAGTGTTATTACTATTATTGTTCCGTGATGAACCATTCGATGATGTTACTATAGAGACAGATCCTCCTGTTCCAACACCGTTTTGAACATTCGCTGCTCCCAAAACCGGACTGGCCAAAGATATAGAGGATGAAAATGCAGAGGATGTTCGTTTACTGGGTTGCTGGTCCGAGGTAGTGTTATGATGATGGTCGGAGTTAAACACTACAGAAGACTGTAATGCGCGAGACACAAAGGGTCCTGTCTTGTTAGTGGTGGGGTTACTTGAGTTATTGGTGGTATGATGGGTATTAACGCTAGTATTATGATTGAAGTTGCTGTTACTGTTGTCAGTGGGGGATGAAATGGAGCCGAGTATAAAGTCATTGTCATCTACTTGGATGGTATCATTGCAGTCCTCCAGCTTGAATCCTTCAAAGATTGCAAACATATTAGGCTGAGGCAAATGTCGTTGAAGCTGAAAGTGCTTGCTTAGGAAGCGGAACAGCTTTGGGCTTGGTCGATCATATGCAATTTGAGTCGGCTCGATATCTTCAACCTTGAAATAGAAATTGAATAAAAGTAAATTGTTAATTACAAAAAGTGTGCAGAAAGTAGAAATCCGAAAGCGGGATCGCGGGATACGGGAGAAATTAGAGATTTTGAAAATTAAAATAAAATAATAAAAAATAACTGCATGGACCCCCAGCCCCCAATGGAAATAGGTCTATGGGGTAGATGGCTCGCTCAAAAACGTAAAAAAAACTAATGTGACAAAAATAAACTATTTTTTTTTTTAATTATTATTTACCTTAAGCATGTAGTCAAAGAGAAGCTTCCCAAAACCTCGGCGTTGGCAAGATGCATCAACATAAAAGTCAAGGACGCAGCACACCACTTGCTCATGCATCGTGCCAAACTTGTCCTACAGTGGCAAAAAACAAAAAAAAAACACGGGAAATGCGCAGAGGCCAAGAAGAAATTAGAGTGAGTTCATTGTACATGTAAGAGAAGGAAGAGAGGAGATGGAAACACGGGATAAAAAAAAGACTTACCACGATGAATAACTTCTTCTCACCCATCTTGAGCATCCCTGCAACATAAACACCCCTTTCCTCACTACGACTTAATGTGCTTTTCTTGGATGCATCTTCCTGTGGAGAGTCTGTAATCGAGTTAGAGGAGCCATGGAAATCATAGAGACTCCTTCGAATGGATTCAGTCATCAGTGGTGATCCAATTTCGAGTTGATCCAACCATTGATCCTCACCACTGTCCAAGCCAGTTCGAAGGATATACACGCGCTGTGTGGGGTTCTTTGCCAGTCTTACGGTCTGTGTGATTGACGTCGGCAATTCTTGAGCCTAAGTTTTAAAAAGAAAAAGAAAAAAAAGCGAATGTGAGGATCAAAGCTCAATTATCCCTTTTTTTTTTTCTTTCTTTCTTCGGGAGGAAATAAAAAAGTAAACTTTACTTTGGCAGACGCTTGACCTAGGGCATCGACAATAGCGCCTAATCGTTCTTGGTCTGAAAGAGGCGAAGTACCATTATTGGTGGCGAGGCATGAAGTAGAAGTACCAGTTGTGGATGAGGAGGAGGAGGAGGAAAGAGAGGAACTAGTCGAATTACTCAAATAAGGACCAGTCGAGTTCTTGGAAGGAATGCCGATAGACACGGAGGAGGCGAATGCCTGTTGGATTTGATTTTGATTATGTTCGAGTGCAGCAAAAGTGGAGGCAGGCACCAAGGTGATGGGAAGGGGTAAAAGAGGGATCAGTGGGAAATCAAAATTCATTGCTCTTTGCTTCTGGTGGGTGCGTGTTTGAAATGGTAAGGGTCTGAAAAAGATATGAGGAAAGAAAAAAAGGAAAGAAGGAAGAAAGGAAGGAAGGAAGAAAGAAGGAAGGAAGGAAGGAAAGAAAGAAAGCTGCAAACAGGTCAAGGAGATACAAAGAGTCCTTATTGGTGTGTACAGGCAATAAAGACAGAGCGACAATGATGAAGGAGGAGGATAAAAGAGTAAAAGTGTTTACTGATGTGTGTACACTTGATGATAGTTGACACTTGAACGAGATCGTAGATACATGAACGACAAGGCAGACAAGATAAAAAAGAAGAAAAAGATCAGAACTAAATAGCTGTGAAGCCAAGCAAGATGAAGACACAATTGGAATGTTAAGTATTACGAAAGGAAGAAAGGTGGAAGTGTGAATGTGAGTATGAATGATAATAAAGGATTGAAAAAGAGAGGAATGAAAGGAATGAAAGAAATGTGTTTTTTATTCTTGAACACATGGGCACATGCATTTCACCAGGGAATGAGGTCTACATGGACAGACGACTCTGTCCACTGGCTGACACAAATTTCAATATTTTTGACCAAACCCCCAAATGTCATGCACATGTGCTCTCCTTCCATATCCTGTTTTCTGAGACTATATCGTGCCTGAGTTGCATGGCATGGCATGGCATGGGATGAATGGGATTTTTTTTTCCCAGAGTACTGAAAAGCATAGCTTCCCAATACTCTCCTTGTCAATGCAACCCTACATCTCCTCCTTCTCTCCTTCCTTCTTTGTCCTTTGTCTCCCTTCTCTCCCTCAATTTTGAATGTAATATCCCACTTGGCATGAATTGTTTACACACTACGAAAAAAACATGCATGCCTTCTAGTGTTCTCAACTGACAGGGCACGCGATCGTACGAAATATGGCATCGGTGTAAAGTGGTCGAAGCGTATAGTGCAACACATAAAAAACCACAAGCTCTGTACCACTTTTAACGGGCCAACAGCGAAGTCAAAAGCCATGTACATCCTATAGTCAAAGGCCTCCAAAGTTAGACGCGTTCTCCCCTGACCTGACCTACCACGATTCGATTTCCCATGCTGTGCCTCGACAACTTGGAAATACGATGATTTCTGTCTTTGGTGCTTTGATTCAGGAAAGTGTCTTGTTAAAAGCAACCTAGTCCGCAATAACAGCAAATATTATAATGACATGACATTGAATGGTGGCGTTTTTTTTTTTTTTTTTTTTTTTTTTTACAAAGCTTTAAACACGTTAGAATGTGAACAGAATTGGGTTCATGGGTTTATTCAGTCAGCATCCATAAAAGGATAAAAGTTAAAAGATAAAGGATAAAGATATACTCAAATGCTATGCTATTATCATCTTTTTTTCTTTTGTGTGTGTGCAATCATAAAATCTCATAATATTATATTCATATTGTATTCATGTTTACCATCAGGAATGTGGTAGGCAGTAAGGAGGCCTTGGGGAGGGTCTTGCTATTAAGATCCTATCGGTTTTGGCCACTACGTATCCTTCTTAGGTAGTGGATAAGGAGAAAAGATCCTCTGCTGCTGCACGACTCGAACAGAATGCCTAACAGGCCCTGTGGTTGAAACTTTTGCTTTTGTAGTAATAGTCGTCTTAATGGCGTTCACATCATCTATTCTTGCTGTAGTTGTAGTTGCAGTAGCGTTAGTTGTTTCAACAACATTGGTATTGCCGGCGTCATTTGTAGTTTCAGATGTTGTGCTCACAGACATCGCTGTGGTGACGGTCACTGTTGCAGATGACATCGGAAAGAAACCCTAGACGGATAACCTGTAGTTCTGTAGATAGTATGTATAAGGAGCAAAATGTTCAAATCTGCAAAATATCCAAAGTTACACGACAGACTGGCGAACTGGCAGACAGGATTCGACAAGGCAGACAGGCAGACAGGTAAGGTTAAACAAAGAAAGATAAGAGAACAAAGGAAAAAGGAAAAAAAGCTTATTTGACTTTGAAATTCCAAAAAAAGCTTGATTCCTTAAGGGGATCATGATAATCTAATCTTCAAAATGAAAACTATGGAGCAGCGGAGGTTTGAACTCCGGGCCTCTCGCATGCAAAGCGAGCGCTCTACCACTGAGCTACAACCCCATATAAAACGAGGGTATAATAGGATGCCTATAATTCTTGTGTAGCATCATTCAGGCACGTGAATCACCTAAAGGAGATCATGTGACTAATACATGTAAGTCAGGAGTCCTGGTTTGCAAAAAAATAATAATTAGTAGGCGTTTATCTAGTTGGGAGGTAATCCTACATGACCTCGTGGGTCCTTGTTATCAAAAAAAAAAAAAAAAAAAAAAAAAAAATCTAGTTGGGAGGTGTTTATGGGCTCTTTAATGATGTATTGTCGTGCAAATAAAAAATAATAATAATGAAATGATAATACAAACTACTTAAACTCTTGAAAAAATAATGAGTATATGCTCCGTGAATAAAAAGCAAAAAAAAAAAAAAAAAAAAAAAAAAGGTTAAAAAGTTATATCATTCAAGAGGACTCTGTTTTGGGTTGATCAGCCACTATCTCCGTCTTCAACTCTACTTCAGTATTCCGAGAGTTGAATAACCCCGGCTCTGATATAACGTTCTGATCCTGGTCCTGGTCTTCTCCATCTAAAGTTGAGTTTGGATTAGAGTTTAAATCCACATTCTCAAGCGCCTGTGGAGGTGGTGACGGAACTGCATCCAACAATTTCTTCTCAAGCTCAGGCGATATGGCCACTATGCCGTCCCTGGCCCAATGTAAAATTCCACGCTCCAAGAGCCGTCTGATAAAATCGGCAAGGAAGCTGTTCATTTTGCGATCCACCATTTTAGATTCCGTTAAGAATGCTCTTTTCTCTTTTGCTCCTCCCCTTCCTCCCTCTTCTTCCTCTTGCTCTCCTTCTTTTGCTACGCTTGCTTCAACTATCGCTGCTTCTTCTGTAAAACCCTTTTCAGATGATCGTTGTGGGGTTATCGTCTCGGGCTCTGATAGTAGCTGTTCTTTTGTCTCTGTTGTCACTATTGGATCGGGTCTATTATCGTTGTTGTTGCTGTTGTTGTTGTTGTTGTTGTTGTCGTTGCTACCATTAAATGTGCTCTTCGTGTCCGCAGACTCGACTTCTCTTATCTCATCGACCAAATCTTCTGCCTTTTTCGCCATGTTCCTCAAATGGATATAGGTATTAACCAAACTACCGGGCCTTCGCTCACGGTCCCAAAGACGCTCCCCTTTCAAGAATAATTTGAGATCCATTAGGTCTAGGTCCAAAGCAGCTACAGCTCCAAAAGCTTCAGAAGATGATAATCCATCTTTACTAATGATGTTATCTATGAGCATAGTTTGGCTTCCAGTTATTGCTGATGAATCCAATGGCGGATTGTTGAAATATGGCTTAAGGACTTCGACGCCTTCAGGGGTTGTTATCATGCTAGAGATCGACTGTCCTTTAATTATAATGATATCGTTGCTTCCCAACTCAGATACGGAAGTAGTCTTTTTGCTGTCGTCAGCTAATCGGAGCCGACCTTCGTCCAACAGCATCTGAATACGTTTCATGGCTTGTTCTTTCCTTTCTTCGACATGATAAAGCTTGCGGAATCGAGGATAGTGATTAGTGGTGATGGTTTGAACAACAAAGAGTGGTGCAGACTTTTTTTTTTTTTTTTTTTTTTTTTAATTCCCAAAATTTGTGTATAGAAGAGTGAGTTAGCATTTAGCATGGTTACTCCTTAAAGATCTGGATGAATGCTTTTTTTCTTTCCTTTACCTTGCCCTTCCCTAATGAGCGCGCCAAGAGCAAAAAAATCTCGTCGTTTTCCTCTTTTTCTGACAAGGGAAACTGCTCGTTATATGGAACATAGTCTTTCCTGACATTATTGGCCATCATATTTTCATAAATTATGGCGCCCGCAAACGCATCCTTGGCTGCGTACCAAATCCACCTTGGATCTAATTGCTTTTTATCCCAGTTGCATTTTATGACTGCCTTGGTTTTCACAACTTCACGTCCTGGAAGGCCAAACATTGCATCCAATTCTTGTAATGATACAGGCGCAAGTTTTCGTTCAGCAGACATGGCCTCCAGACTGACTATACCCGCACAGTTCACGCCATAGAATCTTTTCAAGTGCTCACCATCCATGGTGGCCCCGACCCCGGCTTTGATCTGATTCGGATCTTCGAGAAAAGCTTTCAGCCGAGGAGGAAACCGTTGAGGCGAGCGTGGGTCAGTAGCAATCCTGTAGACCTGAAACATCAAACAGATGTCGCGTGTCGCGATTTGGACCAGGGATGTATCCTGCCCACTCCTTGGGATTAATGACGTTGAGGTCTCGGTATCAAATCCTACGGGTCCTGGAGCGCCGTCACTAACTTCTTTACCATTCTTATCCTTGCCTTTGCTCCTATTCACTTCCTTGTAATATTCTATAAAGAGTTCCATCGCCTGTTCTGCTGCTTCATAAGTGGATGCAACAAAGACAGGAGGCCCATCTCGAACTTGCTTCACTTTGGCTTCCAGCAAAGCATCGCATAATATTTGAATGGGTATGCTGACAGGTTCAGAACCGGCTACAAACTCCACCGGCTTTGTCATAGCGCGATGTGAAGGTCCTAGTCGATGATGATGTTCTACAGCGGGTCTTATCCTTGCGGTTGGTAATGTGCGCGGTGTTTGTTTAGCTGAGGTATGATGGACAACAGCTGGCAGTATCTTGGTGTTCACTGTTGTAGATGTTAAGGTACTATCAGGAGTACTGGCTGGTGGACTTTGTTCGTCTGATCCGTTCATCAACTTTGTGCTAGTCTTTGTTGTTGTTGGTGCTGTTGCCGTTGATGGTGTTGTTGATGGTGTTGTTGTTTTTTTCGGTTTCAGTTGCTCGGACACTTGTGCCCCCTTTTCTTTCTGCTTCGCCAAATCTGCTGCCTTTGCTGCAATCACTGGTGACTGCACTTCAGGAGGAAGGAGTTTGGCTAAATTAATTTCCAACGTTTTCACACGGGTTTGCTCCCCAATACGGATCAGGTCCTCACCCTTACGGCCAGCCCGAGCAGCCTTTTTTTTTGCTCTATTTTGTTCATCTTTGGCTCTCTTCCTGGCCAGTCTGATAGCCTCCTTAGTTTTCTTTGAGAGAAGCGGATCGTTGCATTTGATCTCTGCAGCCGTAACATCGCCAATGATTATATCAGGATTTAAGGAGGCAGCAATTATATTGTTCAGTTGCTTATCTAAAGCTGATGGAGAATGGGATATTGAATTGATTGAGATACAGCGGGTCTGAAGATGGCTGGGGATAGAGTGTGAGGCCGTCGCTACTGTCATTGACGACGATACTATTGTTGTTGTTGCTGTCGTTACTGAGGCTGAGCCTTGAAGAAGTGGGGTCAGTGGTAGTCCACTTTCAGATACAGTCGATCTAGATCCAGCATGGATTCTTGATGAATGATAGGAGATTGACCTTTTATTAATAGTGTTCAGTAATGCCAGAGACAGTGGAGTGAGAGTGATTTGTCTTCTGGGCACAAGCACAGTCTTCAGCGCAGATCCAAGCATGGCGACTATCCTGGATCCGGGGTCTTGGTGTGTGTATGTGTATGTGTATTACGTCCCTGAAGACAAGTCGGGCTTGTATATTACTGAGTTACACACAACCTTTGATTCTTCCTCTCTTCCTGACTTTTTCTTCTTTTATCGGGATATGGAAGAAGTTGAAACTGTGTAAAGGACAAAAAAAAAAGAAGCGAGAAGAGTCCTCGGTGGCTTTTACGACACAAACAAAAAAAAGATCTATTTTATGTTTATTACACAATTGAATAGAAACAATTCATTTTTCAGTCCACCTGTTCAATCGGACATTCAAACAATCCCTCATTCTTTTTTTTTTTGCCCACGCATCGCATTCTTGAATCACCCTCCATTCCCCTCCTCTCTTCGTCCTCTCTAGTATTCAACAATGACGACTGTGGATAAAATCAAAGAGATCGAGGCCGAAATGGCCCGTACTCAAAAGAACAAGGTGTGCATTGACAACTGGTATTTATTATTATTGGACAGGAAAAAAAAAAAGTTAAGAGTGGCTGAAGACAATGTCATTACTTACTGCTTTATTGGGCTCGCTTCCCCTTTTCTTTTGCCTTTATTTTCTCTCCCTTTTTGCATAGGCAACGTCTCAACATTTAGGTCAGCTCAAGGCCAAGCTGGCCAAGCTGAGACGTGAGCTGTTGACTCCTAGCTCTGCTGGCGGTGGCGGTCCTGGTGGTAAGGTTTTTTCCCCTTTTTCCCCTTTTTTTTTTTTTTTTTTTTTTTTTTTTTCTAATTTCTTTCAACTATGTTCATACTAACCTTCTATATATATATTTTCTTCTACATCTTCATCTTTTCCCCTTTCCCTCGAATTTATTAGTGGGTTTCGATGTCGCCAAGACAGGAGTTGGACGCATTGGATTCGTGGGTTTCCCTTCAGTTGGAAAATCAACATTGATGTCCAAATTGACAGGAACACACTCTGAAGTGGCAGCATACGAGTTCACAACGTTAACAACAGTGCCCGGTGTGGTTCAGTACAACGGAGCCAAACTCCAGATTTTGGATCTTCCTGGAATTATTGAGGGTGCCAAGGATGGAAAGGGTCGTGGTATGTGTTTACATCTCTCTTTCTTTTTATTTTTCTTTATCTCTCTTTATTTCCCTTTCTCTTCAATGTCGTTGAAATATCAATTATTAGGATCATTAAGTCCTCATGCAATAAAAAAAACAAAAAAACCAACGAATTCCTCCCTTTGATTTTGTGTACTTTTAGGTCGTCAGGTCATTGCGGTGGCTCGAACATGCTCATTGATTTTCTTAGTGTTGGATGTGTTGAAACCCTTGGGCGACAAGCGGATTATCGAAAAGGAATTGGAAGGATTTGGTATCCGATTGAATCAAAAGCCTCCCAACATTTACTTCAAGAAGAAGGACAAAGGAGGCATTAGTATGACCAATACTGTACCCTTGACCCATTTAGATTTTGATGAGGTCAAGGCAGTGTTGAGCGAGTACAGGATCCATAATGCGGATATTTCATTCAAATGTGATGCGACGATCGATGAACTGATCGATGTGATTGAAGGCAATCGCGTGTATATCCCCTGTATTTATGTTTTGAACAAGATTGATCAGATTTCAATCGAGGAGTTGGAGTTGGTCTGTAAGATTCCACATGCAGTCCCGATCTGTGCACATCACGAGTGGAACTTTGATGAGTTGTTATCCAAGGCTTGGGAATATTTGGATCTGGCTCGAATTTATACTAAACCGAAAGGACAATTGCCGGATTATTCTGCTCCTGTGGTATTGCGACGAGAGACAGCAACGGTTGAAGGATTCTGTAATACTATTCACAAGGCTATTTTACGTGAATTTAAATAGTAAGTCTTTCTTTCTTTTTTTTGTATTTGCAGATATGAACGACGCGTAACGGGTCTTTATCTAATTCTTATTTTATTTTTTGCTTCTTTTTTTTTTTTTTAGTGCTCTGGTCTGGGGATCATCAGCAAAGCATAATCCACAAAAGGTTGGAAAGGAGCATGTTTTGGCAGACGAGGATGTTGTGCAGATTATTAAGAAGGTCTAGAAAAGAAAGCAATGGATAATATGCTTAGTACCTAGGATTTTTTTTTTTTGTAAAAAGGCGTGTAATAAAAAGTAAAAGAGCGTCGTTTAGAGAAGCATGTAATATCACGAATATCACATCCAATTTTGATCCAACCGTTGGAAGAATTCCATTCGTTCTCACACACAGTCCCAAAGTTGTGTGAATTCACTAGGAACAAAAGCTCACTAAAGACACGTCCTTTCATCTCTTGCATTCTCTTACTCCTTCATCTCTTTTCTTTTCTTTTTTTTTTTTTATATCTATATCTCTCTCCTTTTCTTTGCTTTGCTTTTCAGGATAACTGCTCAAAAGAAAGGAAAAAAGGAAAAAAAAAAGAGAAAGGAAGAAAAACGCGCATAAATATATACGAATCCTTTTTCTTTAAATATATTTTACGCGACATCATCAGAATACAATGAGATTCTCATCCAGTAAGGTCCTCGTGGCTCTTCTGGCAACTCTTGCATTCACAAGTTTGGTCAAAGTACAGGGACAGGGACAAGGACAGGGACAACAATCAGATACAGATTGGTTAGGGAACGATTCTGGTTATGAAGGTGATGATTCGGATGAGCCTCCTCCAAGGGATGTACCTTTAGTCCCTCAGGTCTTCAAGATCACAAACTTGCTTCGTACAGTTGATCTGTCAAAGCCCATTGTCCGAGAAGTCACTTCTGTAGCCATCTTGAACATTGGAACCGAAAGCGTCACGGACTATTATTTCCCATTGGATTCGGGTTATCTAAAGAACTTGGCCTTTATCAAGGCTGAGAACAGAAAGACAAAGGAGCCTTTAGAAATGACTAGAGATCCAAAGTACCATAACGAGTAAGTCTTTTCTTTGTTTCTTTCTTTGTTTCCTTTTTTTTGCTTTTTATATCCATCTATACCATTTAGTATTCTTGTGATTGTTTATTGTCAGCGCGTCAAAAAAAAAAAAAAAAAAAAAAAAAAGCTCTTTTTCGTTTTACCTTTCTAACGTTGGTTAACCCGAATGAATGGGTTTTTCCCTTTCTTTTTCTTTTTTCTTTTCCCTTCTTCATTGCTAGGGACTATCAATACTACCACATCAAGCTGTCAGCACCTCTTCCCCCAAATGAAAAGACTCAGATCACGGTGACAGCCCACTTCACGAACCTCGTCCGTCCTTTCCCGACTCATGTTAAACAAGGGGAGCGTCAACAATTCTCGTACTTTGGAAACTCGTTCGCTCTCACAGCTTACCCTGCTGCTAAGCAAAAGACGACCATTGTGTAAGTTATAATCCAATATTTTACTTTTTTTAATTTATTTCTATCTGGGGTAAAAATACAACTAATAACCATCATCCAATTTTTTTTTTTTTTGGCCTTAATACAGTGCACCCACCAGCACGTTGGAGATTTTGTTTCATCTGGAGGAGAATGTGCCCACTGTCACAGCCAACCAGGTTGTTCTTGGACCCTTCACTAATGTTGAGCCATTGGAGCATGGCATCTTTGAAGTCCAATACCAACTCCCAGGACCTTTGCCTCATGTTCGTCATCTTCGTCGCGATATTGAGATCTCTCATTGGGGCAACAACCTCGCTGTTGAGGAGCATTACAATCTTATCAACCGAGGAGCTTTGTAAGTCTTTTTTTTTTTTTTTTATTTTTTTACTTTTCTCTCTCTCTCTCTCTCTCTCTCTCTCTTTCTTTATCAGAAATTGACATAATCATCGCAATATCATTTTCTTAATATATATTAATACATATGTCTTTTTTTTTTTTTTTTTTTTTTTCTTTCCTAGGTTGGAGGGTCAGTTTAACAGATTGGATTATATGCGTAACCCGGTGACACTTCGTGAAGGCAACATGATTACAGCATTCAGAGCCGAGATCCCCAAGTTGGCACGCGATATTTATTATCGTGATGAGATTGGCAACATTTCAACCTCGGCCATCTTACATCAACCTGATAATATTTTGCTCACATTCAAACCTCGGTTCCCGATCTTTGGAGGCTGGAATACGACTTGGTACATGGGCTATAATGCTCCCTTGAATGAATATCTTCGTCGTGTTCCAGGAACTGACAAGTATATCCTCAAGTTCCCTGCTGTGGTGCCATTGGCTCAAACCAGCTATACCGATATTGATATCCGCATCATTCTTCCAGAAGGAGCCAAGTAAGCTTTATTCATACTTTTTATTAATTTATTATCATTACTATTATTATTGGTATTATCTATTTTTAATACTTTGTCTGACCTTTGATTGATCGATTAACTTTCTTTTTTTTTTCTTTTTTTTTTTTTTCTTCCATAGAAACGTCAACGTGCAATTGCCTTATGAGGTGGATGCGGTTGAGAATTCGACAACAAAGACATATATGGATAGTGCTGGACGACATACAGTGACGATCTATGCGCACAACCTGATTGAAGAACATGGACGACTGGAGATGTTGGTGGAATATGAATACTCTGCATCGTCATACCTCATCAAACCATTTGCTGCGGCCTCAATGTTGATGGTTATCTTTGCTACATCAATGGTCTTTTCCAGATTGGATTTCAGGATTGGACAATCCGTTTTGAAGAAGTAAAAAAAAAAGGAAAAAAAGAACTAAAAAAAAACAGTAGAATGGAAAAAATATATATACATCAAAAATAATAAGCAAAGAAAGGAATTGTATACGTGTATTTATGTTGCTATCAATCTTGACCATTGCACTTTTTTTTTTTTTTACTGTACAATGAGCGATATTATACTATCACTCTTTTTTTTTTATTTTTATTTAACTTTTTGGTTTGTTTTGGTTCCAGTTTTGGTTTTTGCGTTGAAAAGAGAGGAGAAAGATGAATATGCAGGTATGGTTGATATGTGAGTGCTTTTACAAATGCGTGAGGTGGTTATTTTATGTTTAGTTGACTGCTACTTCAATAGGTGCTGGGGTAGGGCTAGCATCAGCCTGCTCAACGACCAAGAGCTTCTGAATGGCCGAGTGATCACCAGCAACCTTGTAGGCATGGAAATTTCTTAAAAGACCATCGACATCTTCCATGCTTTGGTTCTTAATATCAGCCAACTGCTTGATCTTGCCAGTGATGGCCTTGAGTTCATCATCAGACAGGGCCAATCCAAGCTGTTCGGCACGGTTCTTGACAGCGTTCCAACCTGTGAGACGATGACCGATGGAGACATAACGAGTCATGCCAAAGACTTCAGGCTTGAGGATCTCGTAGGTGGCAGGGTTGTTGAGGATGGCCTTGGCATGGATACCGGCCTTGTGGGTGAAGGCACAGTAACCGGTGATGCAGTTGTTGAAGGGGACTTGGATCTCGACAGCATCTGCAATCAAGTTTTCGAGATCACGAAGCTGGGTGAGCTTATACTTGGAAGCAACGTAGTCTGGATCAACGGTGTACATACGGGCGATCAAATTTCCGATGGGTGTGATGCCATTGCGTTCACCGATTCCCAAAACTGAGGTATCGATGTGTGTAGCACCAGCCTCCAAGGCAGCATATGCATTAGCAGTGGCGCATCCAGTGTCTAAATTATTAAAAAATCGAAAATAATTTAAAGTTAGCAGTCAAGTTCTAAAACAGTAAGATGTTGTAGTCGTGGGATTACGTGTGATTCCTCACTGATGGATTTTTTGCCGATCTCGGTGTACGTGTCCGATAATATAAATGTGACTCTTTTTTTATATAGACTACATATCGCGATGGATATAGATATGGATGTGGATACATGGATTTGGGGGGACATGGAAGACATAAAAATACAGGATATGCATGAAGATCTTTTTTTGTGAGCTTTTTTTTTTTTTTTTTTTTTTTTTTGTTCGTTTGTTTGAAGGTTATTACCATTATGGAAGTGACATTCAATGTCAGTGGTAGGCTTCAAGACGGAACGGAGGGTCTTGACAAGGTCATAGACCTGACGAGGGTTGGCGCAACCGACTGTATCAGCAATACCAACACGGTTAACGCCGAGCTGGTCAACAGCCTTGTAAAGGTTCAAGAGATCGACCAAATCTGAGCGGAAAGAATCCTCGGATGAGAAACGGACTTCCAAACCCTTAGACTTTACAAAGTTGATGACCTCGGTCGCATCCTTGATGATGCGCTCCATATCCTTTCCGTGGCTGAACTCACGGAGGTAGGAGCTATTATTACAAGGGCGAAAAAGAAAAAGAAAAAGAAAAAGAAAAAAAAAAAAAAAGAAAGGTCAGTTAAGAAATAAGTGAGAGGATCGTTTTTTTTTTTTTTTTTTTTTTTTTTTTTTTCAAGTGCAACTTTACCTAGTACCAATGACGATATCAAGACCATCTACACCAGTCTCGCAGGCGATGCGAGCATCGTCCATGTGGCAGCGAACATGGGTCAAGATCTTGGCCTTGAGACCCAAGTTGGCGATGGCAATACAGTCCTGGCGGGATTGTTCAGAGGCAGCAGGGGAGGTGAGTTCAATGTATTCGACACCGAAATCATCCAAGGCCTTGGCAATCTCAATCTTCTTTGCGGTGTCAAAGAAGGCGTTTGCGAATTGTTCACCCTCCCGCAATGTAGATTCAATGATGGACCAATTTGTCAGACGGGAGAGCGAGTCTGTGAACTTGGGAGCATATGGGCTGGAGGAGACGTTGGGGATTGAGTTGGCGTGTGGAGGCATGTTGGAAGGATATTATTTAAATAAAAGTAAGGTAGGGTAATGAAATGTGATACGGTGTTGGTAGGCGAAGGTTTTTATTTGGTAATGGAAAAGTCCAAAAACGCTTTGTTATTGCAATGTTGGTATTAGATAAAAATGAGGGTGGTGATAAAAACTGACGAACAGCAGGCGAGGAAAGGAGAGAGAGAGAGAGAAAAGTGAAGTAGGAAGGAAAAAAAGAGAGGAAAAGTGAAGGGTATTTATACAAGGAAAAAGAAAAAGAAAATAAGGACAGTGTTATTTCTTTTTATTATTATCTATTATCTACTATCTATTTTCTATGGCGTATGGTGCATGTTGGAAATGTGTTAGTGAATGTGTATATGGATTCTGTCAGCGATGAATCAAAGTGCTCATCAGTGGTTTGGGATATGAGGAAAATGTCTATGTGTGTTTTCTACAGGAAGAGATGGAGAGATATGATATGCGATGGGATCTTTAACTGGAAGATTGGTTTTTACATGGGTCTAGCACGAGGATGGATAGGCACATGATTGGACTGATCAGAAATTATCTTTTTGTGACAATCTTGTCTAAAATAAAGTGTGATAGAAATTCCCCCGCACTTGCAAGCACACAGACATGAGTTCATACAGAAATGATCAGCATGATACCTTAATGTTTTATTTGCATAAAAAAAGTCGAGATGTGATAAAGAAAAAAAAAAAAAAAGTTCATCAAAAAGGGTCCTTGCACACACACACTTCCTCCAACGTTGCTGCATATCATCATATTCATGCATTGTTAAAGTCAATCCCTTTTGTTCTCACAGCCACGTATGTATTCTTTTTCGTTCTTTTTTTGTTTTTATATATGTTTTATCATCGATCCTTCAATCGATTGTAAATCTTTTTTTTTTTTTTTTTTTTTTTTCATTCTTTCCTCTTTTTGAGTTGCTGGGTTGCGTTCCTATACCCCTTGCCCCTGTCCTTGTCCGTGTGTTCTTCTCCCCACAATGCTCAACCCAACTCCGAAGATTCCACTGTATTACTATATTTTTAATAAAGTATTCCGGCATATATGTACGGATCCATTTTATATACACGGCTATGTCTCTTCATGGAAACATTAGACCCATGCCGATCCATTCTAAAAGATAAAAAGTGTATGTACCAATGTTAAAGCAGTTACGACCTGAATTTGAAGTGGAGAACAATATATGTACACATGCATATCGATCGCTCTGTACACTTTTTTTTTTTTTTTTTTCTTTTTTTTGCTTTGCCCATCAGATGCAGTCACTTTAGTCTTTAATCAATCTATCGTGTCTTTGATTGGATGGCGCCTTCTTTCTCTCTCTGGACTATCAATTGTTGCCCTTTCTCTCGAGGTCGTGGTGCTTTTCATTCCCGCCCTACATGTATTATACATCCTACATACAACCCGTAGTAATTATAACAATAAAGAAAAAAGGCATGAGGACTTTTCTATTTGCACTCTATTATGGTATACCAACCTATAAAGCTCGATTAAACCTTCATTCTTTTTTTTTTTCTTCTTTCACTGGCTGCCATACAAGTTGTATGTTGAGGTTTGCGGTCTTGCTTATTCCGATCGCATATACACTACACACTACGTAGGAGTCATGATAAGCAGCCGAATCTTCCTACTTAAGCCTAGGTATTAATAATAAGGCATATGGACATGGATACCGAGTCTTTTTATTAAAAGTCAAATAACATCCCCAAAGAGAGAGAGAGCCATCACGTGCACTAAAAAATTCTCTAGGGCCAGGATGCAGAATCCAGAACACGTTTCTTCATTGAGCACGCTGATATGATTATTATTTTTGAAACAAATACGCTTCACATCCGTACATTTACATTGGCACAGCGAAAAATAAATAAAAAAAAAAACCAGTTTCCCCCTTCTTTCGACTTCCTTTCTTTTAAAAAGTGAACAGCAATGGGACCTCTTTTTAGTGATGACCAAATATACATATATAAAGACCTTTCTTTCGAGTTCAATTGATAAAGGGTTTAAAAAAGAAAGATCATTTGTATTGGATCGGTTAATTCTCTACATCCTACTTGCTATCTGATAACTTTTTTGTTGATGCCGATGTTGGTGTTGATGTTGAAGAAGATCAAGTGAGAGGAAGAAAAGAGGGAGTGAAGGATGATTCATAATCATTAAGACTTCTTTTGTCTTAAGGTTGTGTGTGCCAATGAATGTAATGTGTTTCTGCATGTGTACCTGTGCAGCATATCAACCTCCAAATGTCCAGATCAACAAAAAAAAAGGGGAAGTGGGGATACTGACAATGCAAAGAGAGGGGGATTTATGCAACCACTATTTTTTCTTCTTTTTTCTTTTTCGCGTCAGTGAAGTAAAGTAAAGGTGTCAGAAGTGGCGTGTCATTCCCTTTTTTATTATCTCTCCTTTCTTCTTCTCCTTGTTCTCCTTTCTTTTTCTTTCCTTTTTTTCTTTTTCCTTTTCACACTTTTTTTACATCCCTTACTTGCACCGAGTTGTTGTTGAAGGGCATTCTTTTTTTTTTTTTTTTTTTTTTTTTTTATAATTCTGTCATTACTGCTTGTGCATTCTGCACATTCTGTACATTCTGTACATTCAATTTCACTTCTCGACTTTTTAGCAGCTGTCACAGCCACACGCTTAGATCATAGCTAGATATTTATTTTATTTTTAAAAGCAAATAAGCAAGAATGAAGTTTGCAAAACAACTTGGTCTTAGGAGTATTCCTAGTTGGGCTCCTTATTACATTGATTACAAGTCTTTGAAGCAATACATCAAAACATCTTTTAGGGATTTGGCTGGTAAAGGAATCATATCAAATTAATAATGATTACAAAGCAAACAAACAAAAAAAAAAAAAAAAAAAAAAAAAAAAAGAAGTTAATCAAGTTTGTGGATCTACTTCTGTTTATCAGGGCCATTAGAGTCATTAGAGAGCGTGGATCATGAAGATCAGGAAAAACCGGGTCAGAGTGATCAGGATGACTCTACTGCCACTACTGAATCAAAACCTAGATCAACAACAGCCATTGACGGCTCGGATTCTAATGCAGACGCAGCTTTGGAAGTGGGTTATGCCAGCCCTGCAACTGAGGCCAAAAATCAAGGAGAACACTCCAACCAGGAAGCATTGGCAGCTAAAGGAACAATTGATCTTGCAAAGATACAGAATCAAACCATCAGAAATGAGAAGAATGCGAATGCAAAGACCCAAGAGGCAAGCTTGAATGCTATTGTTGATGGATTCAAGGCCTTGCTCTGGGCGGAGCTAGAAAAAGTCAATGCGCGCTATGACGCCCAAGAACGTGTTGCGTCTGTTAGTCTGGACCGATTGAATGCAAGCGTATGTGAATCTTTTTCTTTTTCTTTTTTTTTTTTTTTTTTTTTTTTTTTTTCTCTTTCACTTTTACCAAGTTCTCTCTTATCTGATTTTCTTTTTGGTTTTATGTTTATTTTTTATTAGTGGCGATCCAACTTTACACCAGCGGAGCTAAAGCATTGGTAAGCGTTATAATAGTTGTGACCATAACGAACAGAAAAAAAAGCAGTTACATATCGAACATATTATTCAATTAACGTCATTGACACTTAATTTTTTTTTTTTTTTTTTTTTTTTTTTGGAATGGAAACTTTAGGCGCAGCGATCTTACTGTCCTAATTCTTAACCTAGAATACCTCCGTGAGTTCAGCCAGACCAATATTACTGGCTTCAAAAAGATCATCAAAAAGTTTGACAAACATTACCGTAGTTGTAACGTAGCAGCGCCAGGTCAAGCGTTGTCATCATCACCAGACTCTTCTGCCATCCATACCCCTGTCAATGGTGGTGGCAGTGGCTTGTTAAGGAAACATCAGTCTGATTCACCTAATGCGATTGCTTATCCTACTACACCACAAGCGGATTCTGACCTTGCTTCATCTTTGACCATGATCAATGCTCTTGGTATTCAAGGCCATGGTCGAAGCACACCCACGATCTATTTACCTCGTAACTATCCCGAGCCAGCATCCAGCCTCTATGCACAGGACTTTATTCGCAATGTAAATTCACCTCAAACTAACTCCAAGAGTATCTTTTATTATAATTACATTGATGGAGTCTCGACTTTGAGCCTTGAGTTTTGGAAGATGGTGACAGAGAGGACATTTGCAAAGAGTGAGAAGGACGAACATTTGTTGGCTGAAGCCAGAACAGTAAGCATATGACGCAAAAAGAATGACTGCTTGCATAGCAGTTTTTGTTTTTATGAAGACAAATAGCTTCATATGCACATCTACTAACATCTTTTTTCTTCTTTACTGGTGACTGGTTAGCTATGGAGAAAACGTGCGCCTGTGGTAGCTGAACGAGTGTCACCGATGCAATTAAACCTTGATCCCAAAGATTATCCTGTACTGGAAGATCTAGATTTAAATAGTCTTCCTTCTGGCCGCTTGACACGTCTTTGGATCATGCTTGCGCAAGACGCAATGAGCAGTCCTATCAAAATACCTGTCATTGTTGCCAAAGGAGTCCGTCCTGGACCTGTTGTGGGCCTGGTATGTATAATATGTGTATAACCAGTCTTTTTTTCTTTTTCTTTTTCTTTTTCTTGATACTTTGATTGATCAGGCCAAGGGTGGCAAGAAGGTTGGGAATTGTACCATTTATTAAAACCATACTATTTTATCTATCAATATATGTTCTTATTATTTTCGCAAATAGACCGCAGCTCTACATGGCAACGAGCTGAATGGAATTCCTTTGACGCATCGACTTGTACTTCATGAAATTCAATGCCAGGCTCTCCACGGAATTGTGGTTGCTGTGCCTGTTGCAAATGTTCCTGGATACTTGCTTGGTCAACGTGGGTTTAGTGATGGCATTGATCTCAATCGAGTAATGCCAGGGTAAGCCTTTTTTTTTTTTTTTTTTTTTTTTTTTTTTTTTTAAAAAAAAAAAAGAGCCAGTTATGATCTGGTTGATGATTGCTCTGTTATATGAGCCTTTGAGGAAAACAACAACAATAACACTATTACTCTCATTATGGCTGTTACAGCAAGAAGAATGGATCGACATCGCAAGTATACTCGTACAATCTGATGACTCGAGTTATTCGTCATTTCACTCACCTGATCGACCTTCACACTGCATCCAAGGGTCGTGTAAACTCGTTGTATGTTCGAGCAAATATGCAAAACCCAACAACACGTCACATGGCCCGGTTACAGAACCCTCAGATCATTGTGCATAATACATCACCAGATGGATCATTGCGCGGAGCAGCGATGCAGGAATATAATATTCCGGCCATTACAGTCGAGATCGGAGACCCTGCAAGGTTCCAGAAGCGATTTGTAAAGAGTGCGATCCTGGGTGTGACCAATATCTTGGGCCATCTCAAGATGATTGAGGACGAACATGAAGCCCCGGATTATGACCCCGTTGTCTGCGCCAAAAGTGTAAGCACCAAAAAGAAAAAGAAAAAAAAAAAAAACAAATCTTTTTTTTATTTTATTTGTGATAACTTACGGTCTATCATTGCTCAATACTATTGCTCCTACTAGTATTGGATCTTCACCAAGGATGGTGGAATTCTAAATGTGTTGCCGGACGTGAACACATGGGTGCGCAAGGGTGAGTTGATCGCGACGTTGTATAACATCTTTGGCGAGGAGGAGCATCGGTATTATGCGCCTGAGGACGGTATTGTTGTGGGCAAGTCTGTGGACCCAGTCTGCCAGAGTGGATGTCGTATCTTGCATTTAGGCGTTGTTAGTGATCGTTTCCCTGATGGGAAGATGGATGATGGGCATCAATAGTGAAGAAACAAAGGCAACTGACAAATAAACAAACAAAAAAAAAAAACAAAAAAAAAAAAAAAAAAACCTAGTCTATGTTGCACTCTGAAAAAAAAAAGCTGCCGAGCACCGTGATCAAAAAACCGATGGACCTGTTTAAGAGACAGGCAACGCATACACATCTGTTCTGCGTAAGCGGAATGCTTTCTTCGGCAAATTTCACATTTGTATGGGGTTCCTAGTCTAAGAGAATGATAAAGTAACAAACGTTTTTTCAATGTTCGGAAAGAGGAATATAAAAAAAGTAAAATATAATAAAATAAAAATAAAAGAGCAAATACATATACCCCTAAAAGTAAGCTACCTCGATGCTTGATGCTACTGTCGTGGACGGCAAAGAGAGAAGGAAGAGAAGAAATTGGGTCCAAATAAAAAATAATAAAAAATACTGTATAGACTCTTCTTACATGTGTCTCCTTAAAGCTCGGCATTGACGAACGACATTGCACCCGATCTCTGATCTACTCCTTTCTATTCACTTGATGATTAAAATGTTTTCTTCACAAAAAAAAAAAAAAAAAAAAAAAAAAAAAGTTATGACCATGTCGAACTCAATACCCAAAAGAAGAGCTAAACAGATGGATTACCGCTCGGATCAAAGGATAGAAAGAACAGCTTGAATATTTTTTTTCATCTGCTCCCGTAGTTTCCCCACATTTACGCGTCCCGATCAGAGCTGAAGCTGTATATTACGTTTATACCATGAAGGAGGAAATTAGCAATTTACAAATGTTATCTTTTTTTTTTTTTTTTTTTTTTTTTTAGAGCTTACTGTTATAACTAGCGTGGGTATCATAGAGTCCATTAATAGCCCTAGAGACATCTAAGTGAAAGCTGTAGTCACCAGTGTACTTTGTCTGCCCAATCCGCTCAAACTCCTTGACAATGTCCACAGGGGGGCAGGAGAAGGGTACCTTCAGATCTGGGGTCAATGCTGAATCACAGAAGACATAGTTATCATTGAAGAAGGCATGAAGTGTCTTCAAGGTCGCACTTGCCACCACTGGATCATATGGAATGGCTTTATAGCAAGCAGAGACATCGTCGTAAGTGATTGATGAGCTGTTCATAAAACCAAGCACCCCACAGGCATCCACTTGAGGTACTGGAGGCGTAGGTGCAGCATTAGAAAATGGTGTCAGAGTAGCGAACGTAGCCAGGGATACTGACAGGATCAGATTACGGAGTGATAGTACAACCATGATTATGCGTTTAGACTTTTTCAGAATGGAGATTTAATAGGAATAGGGGCATATAAAGAATGTTTTCGTAATAAATAAAGGTAAGAGGAGAAGTGGTGAGTAGCTGAGCAGCTCTTGTAGAATACTGATGGCGAAAATCAAAGAGGGTAGAATACGAGCTGTGCTTATATGAAAGAGTGCGGATGGCAGTGCTGTGGCCGATCGTCATTGGCTTCCTTATTTGGTACCTTAATCCCAAAACAGCGGAAATCAAAACAATAAGCGTTGGTAGAAAAGTGCGTTGACTCTGTCATCAAAGATTCAGCAAAAAAGAGAGCCTTTCTGATGGGTTGTGGCAGTGAAGAGGCCAGGCATGGACTCTGCGGCCATTATCTTCACCAAGACATTTAAAATGGAGTGCCCTGGAGTTCGCATGTTTTGTTTATTCAGTATAATGCATCTATCACAAGTTTTTATTTGTAATTAACATTCAAAACTCAATTCCTATTCTTGTCTCCAAACAAAGCTTTGCAGCCACTCGTCTCGCACTTTTGGTGAAAACATACTCAGCCAATTTAAAGTTCGCACTGCCACCTTTTGGAGATCTTACTTCTGTGCTGGAATGTCTCTCAGTGACAATGTATATAAATTTCATAGACATATTGTCCTGTGGACCATCTGTGGACATTTGCACGCACATTTGTACAGAAAGATCTGAACCTTGCGCCAAATCAGATCTCTCCAACTAAAGTCCCCAGCCCAATGTGTTCCTAGCTAAAAAAAAGAGTTCTAATCCGCTGCGCTAGAAGAAGTGTTGTCGTGCTTAAGATGTTAAAAACGTGCTTACAGCGTTCGTTGCACACGCTGCAATCGAGCTAATATCTAATTGGTTAGCTCACTTTCCAGAAACCAGTTTGTAGATATCATGGCCAAAGCCTGCCTTACTTGGAATAGGTTCTGAACTCGAATGCCATTGATGCTGTCTCAAGCATCTTAATTAATACACAGTTATCGAGAAAGTCGGCTCCTTTAGCGCTTACTTTCTCCAGCACCACGGAAAATAGAGATAGATAATAAATAAAAAGAACTCCTATGTTTTTCGCTCATGAAAGGCAGGACTGCATCGCGTCTCTTAAAGCGAATAAAGGTATAGTAAAGCATCAGGTTCAGTATAGACAGGATCATCTTCCAAGCTCTGCAGTATTTTCATCAGTAGAAGACAAAATGAGCGATAAACTAAGGAGAAAGGTATCTTTTAGTTAATTTAGACGGGACGAAGGCAGGGAAGTAAATACCTAGCGGTGAACCATATAAGAATTCTAAAGCAGGTATGAGATAACAGCAACAAGAGTTTCAATGGCAGAAATTAAATAGAGGCTCTGTTCAAAGGTAGTTCTCATTGTAAGATAAAAGGCTGAGGGAAAAGCATTGCAGTGGGCTTCATGAAGGGAACAATGGTACTTATCAAGCTCACAGTAACTGGTACATCCAAAACATCAAAAACTTACTATGCTTATATGAGGCTTGGGATGTACGTAGCTGCATTTGAGCTTTATTAGCCTACCAATTCAAATACGGTTTCATGGCAACAACAAAAAAAACCCACACTGTCAATGGTAAAGACCTTATAAATGACAGGATGTTGTTCATTTCGGTCATCATTAATTATAGGCTGCTTATTGCCCTAATCATTTCTTCCTTGGGAATACCAAGCCCTGTAGTGTGTCTAATGAAATGAAACACGCCCAACAAATGAAATCAGTACTCAGAACAAATGGAGTGCCATAAGTTGATGTACCTGGCCTCGAAAATGTAATGTTTAACGTTTAGAATTCTGATTTTCGGTAGTCCGTTGGATGCAGCATGATTTGCGCCTCGTCTTTCGAATGCATTTTTTTTTTAGATTCGGAGTTCTGGCTTGTTACACAGCCACTTGCGCACGCACCCACAGATCAGATATAAAAAGGACCTTGTTTCTCTCTCATATTTTCATTCAACTTATCATTTCCTTCTACTCCGATCGACTTGTTTCTGATCTTCATATTCTTGTCCTAACTTCGTCATCTATTCAATTACCGCTATCGACTCCTTTATCATCACTTTACCCTTTACCTTTATCATTAGAGAAGACCTCAATTAGAGAGGCCGTTATTTTTTAGTGCACACATTTCGCCACTCAATCATCAATCCAGATATTACTTAGCCTGGAGAAATGAAGACCCTCAACACTATTGTCTCGATGCTCACAGCTGTGGCTCTCGTCTCTGCTGGGACATATCACGACTTTGATCCTATGTCATCACCATTAGACACAACCGTTGCTCGCGGCTTCATCATTGAGTATGAGGATGGAGTCATGCACTCTAACGCCTACTCATCCTTAGATGATCATCAAGTTTCCTATGAGGTCAGGAATGAGTATGGTATCTTCAATGGTGTAGCCATTTCTGTCCTCTCAGCCCATGATGGCAACGATTTAGCAGTCATTCCCACTATCAAAAATGTCTGGCCGATCCGCTTATACTCAATTCCAAAGCCTCGCCCTTCTGCCATCAATGCTACGGACCCTGCAGCAGCCTCCTACCACTCTATGACAGGCGTTGATATTGTCCACCGTAAGCTGAAGCTGACAGGTAGAGGCGTCAAAATTGGGGTGATCGATACTGGCATCGATTACAACCACCCAGCCTTCGCAGGCCGTGGTGCCACCAAGGGGTGCTTTGGGAAGAACTGCCGTATTGCGTATGGATGGGATTTTGTAGGGGATGAGTACAATGGTGGCAACGAGCCTACGCCTGGGCCAAATCCTATGGACTGCCAAGGCCATGGCACACATGTTGCAGGTATTATTGGAGCGGATGCTCTGAACATCAAGTCCAGCCTTAAGCCTCCACAGCCATTTGTAGGCGTGGCACCTGAGGCGACTTTGGGCGCGTATCGTATCTTTGGGTGTACAGGTAGTACCACAGATGATCTAATCATGGCTGCAATGGAGCGCGCATACCACGACGGTATGGATGTAGGTTGGAAAAAAAAAGTTGCATACATTTTTGTGACACAAACAAATACAAACAAATACAAACAAATACAAACAAACCTTTTTTTTTTTTTGTCATATCATAGCTGATCAACATGTCCTTAGGCGGAGGATCGGCTTTCAAAAGTAATCCACCAGCTGTGCTTGGCGATAAACTGATTGCTAGAGGAATGGCCATTATTGTAGCAGCTGGTAACGATGGAGAACATGGTGTCTGGATGGTCTCAGACTCAAGCCTTGGTGATCTCTCTACTTCTGTGGGCTCCTTTGATAACATTGTTGGTACTTATGCTTACTTCACATACGCTGGAGGTAGATACTCTTATGTGCCTTCAGATGCCTATGGCAAGGCCATCAACCTCCCTATTTCTGCCACTTTAGTCCCTGTGCTCCATCAGAACGGTACACTTGCGGACGGATGCAACGCGGACGCATACGGAGGCTTAAATGTCAAGGGGAAGGTTGTCCTCGTCCTCGGAGATCTCGCCCGCTGCAAGTCTGGTGACCGCGGTACGATCGCCAAAGAGGCTGGTGCAGCTGGCATTCTAATTCAGACCATCCCTTTTGGCTTGGGAGGCGTCGGTGGCATCCCGGAGTTCCCTATGGCATCCATTGAACACAAGACCGGCACAGAGCTGATCGCCGCTTACAAACAAGACTCTCAACACAGGCTCACTTGGAGTAAGACACCAGCCAGCTTCTGGGTCGAGGCGGCGGTCGACCATCAAGCTTCTCTTCCCTTGGTGTGGATGGTGATCTACGATCCAAGCCCGATGTTTCGGCTCCTGGTGGGAACATCTTATCGGCTTTCCCTCTCAAATTGGGGGGATACAAAGTCATGTCTGGTACCTCTATGGCTGCACCTTACTTCGCCGGCGCACATGCTCTCTACATTCAAGCAAAGAAAACCAAACCACGTGGTGATGATGTTCGCAAGGTCTTCAAGAACACAGCTACTTTCTTCAAGGATCCGATCACAAACACTTACACTTCGGCTGCAAAGCAAGGTGCTGGTCTGCTCAATGTATTTAATGCCCTTACTGCCACATCCTCCATTACACCGGATCACATAGACCTTCTGGACACAAACCATCTCCAAAGAACAGTCCAGATTACTCTTAGCAACCATGGCAAGGGTACAGAGACTTACACTTTATCGCATGTACCAGCTGATGCCCTCAACTCGTACCCAGGAAACAATACATTCCCTCTGCTACAGCCAGTCCTTGAGGCTGACTATGCATCCGTCACATTTTCGACCACGTCGGTCAGGATTCCAGCAGGCAGGTCTGCAACCGTCACTATTCGATTCCGCGAGCCTGCTGCCGGGGAAGAGCTCTCAATTCCCATTGTACTCTGGTTACCTCACTGCGACCCCTACGTCCAAGGACGGTATTCCTATCAGCATTCCTTATATCGGCCTCAAGGGAGATGTTTCTCAGGTCCCAATCATGGATACTAGCCTTGGGTTCCCGGCCTTGAGTGCTTTGGATGTCGCGACTGGTAACCTGACCGATGTCTCGAAAAAAGGCGACTATCTCTTTGACCTCACGTCCATGAAGCCTGTGGCCTTGACTCGTCTGGGCTCGCATACGCCTTCAGGGGAGATCCGTATCTATGACTCCCAGAATGTCTTCAGAGGGTACCTTAGCTCGAAGACTGGTACAGCTTACGGCCCCTTGGGTAGGCATAAGATGGTAGATGATCAAGGTAATCTTGTCTTTACGCCGAGAATATGGGAAGGCCAGGTTATGGAGTCCAAGACCTCAACGGTGCCTGTCAAATTACCTGCTGGTGTCTATAGAATTGTTGTTGCTTCTCAGAGGAAGTTGACTAAGGGCGTATACCCTAAAGACTATGAAGTGTTCGAGATTGGTAAAGTCCAGATCTAAGGGGGAACCGCGAAGGCGAGAAAAGAGAGAGAGAAGTGAATAGATTTATGTGTTTATTATTGTATCTTCTTTACTGTATCCACCTACATTGTATATATATTTGCATCTATTGTACACAAATAAAGAGAAAATATACATGAATTCAATGCATTCACAATCATCAACAGTCATATGTTGTTGGAATAAAGGACACGAGCCGGAGACCGTGGCTTCGCCACGGCCTGCTCTTGCCTCGTAAAAAAACTCAATAAATTATTTTGCGAGAACAACATAATAGGTTATCATTATCGTACCAAAAAAAATATAAAGTAAAATATAAAATAAAATACAAAGTAAAATATAAAATAAAATACAAAGTAAAATATAAAATAAAATACAAAGTAAAATATAAAATAAAATACAAAGTAAAATATAAAATAAAATACAAAGTAAAATACACATCTGGCGAAATAATATCAGATAGAATAACAATGGAGATGAGCTGAAAGTCGACGTGAATGACTTGGAGATGAAGAAGCGACAGAACACCTGAAGACCAAAGATATTGTGACTACAAAGCACCCTTGAAGACAATGTTTGGGTGTATATCCCAGGCTTATCTTCTACCTTTCCATTCCCGACCAGCACCTTAAGATTGTTTGGGTCAGTACACCGCGATAAAGCAACGTAGAGATGGCCATGGCGAAGGCTGGCTTGATTGGAAGTTGGCGTCTGCATAACTCTGATGTGAAGCTGTCCGACGGAGAAACGGCTTCCGAGTGGTTCGAGTCACCATAAATAGAGCGAGGGCGCTTGGTAGGCAACTGGCTTCTGGGAGATGCAGCCGACGACGAACGTGTAAAACGTTTGGCAGGCTTTTTTTTTTTTTTTTTTTTTTTTTTTAGCAGATAAAATAAACGAAAGCAATGAAAAAAAAGGTCTGAGGAAAATTAAAGCAGGGACTCAGAATAAGGTGTGTTGAGGAATTAGAACAGTAAAACAAATCTACAGTGCAGAGTGGATGCTAATTTAAAGTTTCAAAATAAGGGCTGTGTCACATGGAGTAAAGGGAATCACATTTTGACTCTTGGTAAAACAGCCAATATCCAATCACTCTATACTGGATACCCATTCTCCAATTAAATGAGATCCTTGCCACCCAGATTCTTGTTACCCACAGATGAGTGAATGCTCAAGCTGTTGCTTATTTATGGTACCCGAAGGCAGTCACCTAATTTCGCAGACACCTAATTTTTTCGTCTTTTTTTAATATATAGAGTATATAGATATATATTATAACGCATTGACATGACCTCCAACTTTCTGCGAAGTCAACATCATAGTTATGCAAGCATATCAGGGTCGGTAAGGAAGCTGAAGAAGCGGGTAGAAGTAGATGAAGCGGAACAGATGAACCAATAAAAAAAAACATTTTACACTCAGGTGTTGGATTACTTCCTTAACTCATTCAGATTATGAACAACGCGCTATGTTTCCTGATGCGCCTGAGGGCATCCAATTTTAATCCCTAGCCCATCCCCGCAGTTTAATTTTACCATTGCATTGTAGCATAGAAGATTACATTTACCGAATTGCTCTTCACTGGGATTATCATTATCCATCACAATTGCAGGAAGCCAAGTGCTTACTTAAAGATTTTCAAGAAAAGAAAAAAAAATAAAAACAGACATCTGTACTTGCACTGACCAAGACAACTACAGCAAATACAATGCTGAAATACTGTAAGAATCAATATTATGCTAGGAACTCACAACAAAGTTGTAAGGTCGAAAAAGAAATGGTTTGGTGTATAGAAGCTTGGCAATCATTTTCCTTATTCCCACTTTATGAAAAGAATTTTTTTTTTTTTTTTTTTTTTTTTAAAAAAAAAAAATAAAAGGTCAACCTTTGTTGGAGGAATAAACAAATGACATATTACTATTCTTATTGTCATTATTTTCTAGGATAGACTTAGAACCCGAGTCAGTTGTCCTGATGCCTTCATGAAGGAGGAAAGATGGGAAAAACAAAAATATAAAATGTGTGGACCGCAAAGGGGGGTTTTTTTGAGTGTGACAACGTGCCATCGCTTCGGAGTATTGTGAAACATTCATACATTTGATTAGGTTACAGCGCAGCGAGATTGTAACACTCCTTACATGACATGTACACTAAAGCACTTGTCAAAGTATGTCAAAGTTGAGTTTGTCAAAAATGACAAGGTAACCAATGAGGTCGCTCTCGATGCATGTCTTGGAAACAAGCTAATAAATGATGCATGAAATTATGCTAATGTGGCGCTTTCTTTCGTTTTTTCTTTTTTTTTTTTCTGCGGGTGATACGATACCAACACTGTGCGGGCCGCAAACAAATGGCTGCGGAAATGAGGGATCTAGACTTAACGCCAAGAGTATTATTCGCTCAAGAAAATGAAGAAGAGGCTTTTATGTCTGAAAAGTTTTTAACGGATGAGTAGACAAATTGTAAAGTAAGCGGGAATAAGATGTTCTACACACCCCACTCATGGAGCATTTATCGAAGTTATTATCAAAGAGGTGCCAAAAACATAACTACATATATGTCTATGAGTGATATGGGTAAGACATATCCATGTTGAACATGTATCCAAAGTATCCATATTGGATATGGTAATACACGAGTGTAACACGAATATGTATACTTTTTAGATTTGAAATAGCACATTTCTTTAATGAGGTTGTGGACAAACGTTACATGAAGTACGCAGCAATATCTAATGAGATAGTATAAATAACCGCCCATCCCTCCCCACAGACAACAGAAAATCAAACAAAAGCAACACCCAGCTCTACAGTTGACTACTTCCCAGCAATGAAGCACTTTAATTCGTGTTCCATCTTCCTTATTGCCACCTCAATCCATGTCGCTTTTTCACTTTTGAGTGACGCTGCGTACCATGGCCCTTTCCCCAAGGTTCCCAAGGATATGGGTACAATCCAACTCGGTGCCTTTATTTTTGACAACGCAGATTTACTAGACGTAAGTGGCCTTTATCCGTCTTTTATTTTACGTGACCAGGAATGTATTTTGTAATTGACACGTTTCCTTTTTCTTTAATGGTTACAACCGCTCTTATAGATCACAGGCCCCATGGAGGTTTTCGGTGCGCCTTTTAACAACCTTGACATCGAGGTTAATTTTATCGGAACCTCTCTGAAGCCTGTCAAGACTGCACACAGCGTGTTACTCACTCCTAGGTATACTCTCAGCAATGCACCCAAGATGGATTTGTTCTTTATTCCTGGAGGTAAATAGAAATGAGACTCTCTATTAGCTATTGAGTTATTGGCGTATCTATTTCCTTGCTTTCTTCTAATATAACATCTTTTGTCGTCATTGTCATAAAAGGCCCTGGGATTGCGTCTGTTATGAACTCTACAAAGATTATGCGGCAGGTCACTAAGCGTGTCAAGGAATCGACCTGGACAATGACTGTCTGTGTTGGATCTGCGGTGTTAGCCAAGACCGGCCTCATGGATGGTTACAATATGACGTACGAGTCTACTGAAAGCAACATTTTTTTTTCCTACTAGCAGTTTAAATGAAGCTATAATACTAACCACTCTGAGTACCCTTCATCCATTATATATAGTACCAATAAGGCAGCTTTCCAAAGGATCGTAGACAATTCAAGTAATTTGGGGGTTTTTTTTCTCCACTAATGTAGTGGTTTGATTGGACAGTGTCCGATAGATAGTGTTCACTTGACTGACATGGACTTTACTCTCCACACTTTAGAGGGCATGAATATCAATTGGATTAAGCGAGCACGCTGGGTTCAAGATGGGAAATATGTCACCTCTTCGGGAGTAGCTGCTGGTACAGTGGACAGGAATTTGATCGCTTATACCTGAGCATTGACATAATAGTATAAAGTGATGTTAACTAATATATACTTTAATATCAATAATTAGGCATGGATGCTGCTCTCTACATTCTTTCAGAGTTTACAAGCTTTGCGAATGCGCAGAATGTTTCCAACTTTATTGAATACTCCTGGCATAAAGACGCGAATGATGATCCTTTTGCTGATCTGTATCCCTAAACTCGTTCTTGAAATGGCCCTTGAATGATGCTCGCGAGCCTCTATATCAAATGATGGATCTGTGGAGGATGTCCATGTACGAGCAGCGTAGGGGCTATATATATAAAGGAGAAAAAAAAAAAAAACAGGAAACAATAAAGAAATTTAAAATGTCGTCCCACTATAAGCTTTTCCTTCACACAACTCCTCCATGTCAATCGCATCTTTTGACATGCTACATCGAGGTTCGCCAGTCTGCTTACTCTTTTCGCTTCTTAGTGCAGCTTCTTCCGTCCCATTTCATTGATCTTCCTCGAAAGACAGAATGCCATATCCAAACACTTCCTCCTCCTTCCCCATTTACATCCTAACACCACCATGACTTACGCGTCCCGATCAGCGTAGAGGTCGCATATTGTATACCATGGGGAGGAAATCAGCAATAAGCCAAGGCATATTTGTGTGGTATATCGAGAAATGATACCAAAAGTATTATAACATATTGGTTGGCAAGGTCACTAGCTTTCTGCGAAGTCATCAACATAATTATGTAAGCACTCCAGGATCGGCTAAGAATCAAAGGAGAGGAAGTAGAAGAAACAGAACGGATGAACCAATAAAAATGACTCATTTTATTCTCACACTGGAACGTTAGATTATTTTTTTGACTCTATGGACAAGGCTCAATGGGCCCATCCTCTCTCTCATTCAGAATAAAAGAACACGTTGTCTGATGGCATCCGATTTCAATCCATAACCCATCATCACCGTTTGTTTTATCATTGCATTGTATTGTGACGTAGAAAGACACATTTACCGGATCGCTTCTCACTGGAATTTTCATTATTGATCGGTAGCAACAGAAAGCAAAGTGCTTTGCAAGGACGTTCAAGAAAATAGGAGGCTTCCGTACCTGTACTGATCGAGACAACTTCCTTTATTGGAGGAACAAATAAACAAATGACAAATTACTATTACTATTATTATTACTGCTCCTTTGGACAGGCCAAGGACCCCAACCAGTTTTCGTGATGCCTTTATGAGAGAGGAAAAGCAAAAAAAAAAAAAAAAAAAAAAAAAAAAGCGCGGGCCGCAGAGGGTTTTTTTGAGTGTGACAACGTGCCATCGATTAGTCAATTTGAATACGACGCCAACAATTGATGAAGTTATTGTGAAACATTCACACACTCGATTAGATTACAGCGCAGCGAGATTGTAGCACTCCCAAATGAGGGTTTGTCAAAAATGACAAGGTCACCAATGAGGTCGCTCTCGGAGCATGCTTCGGAAACAAGCTAATATAATGATGCATGAAATTAGAAATTATTGCCGATGCGGCGCTCGCTTCCTTTCATTCTTCCTGTCATTCTTTTGTTCTTCAATTTTTTTTTTCTTTTATCGGCAGTACGATGTCAGTACTGTGCAGGTCGCAGACAAATGGTTGTAAGGATCAAGGCGTAACAACAAGAGTGTTATTCATTCAAGTAGATGAAGAAACTATTATGTCTAACGAGATAGTATAAATAACTGGTCATCCCTCCTCGTAGACAACAGACAATCAAGCAATCAACCAAATAATCAAGTAAAAGCAGTACTCAACTCTACAGCCGACTATTTCCCCAACAATGAAGCACTTTAGTTCGTTTTCCATCTTCCTTATTGCCACCTCAATCAATGTCGCTTTTTCACTTTTGAGTGACGCTGCGTACCATGGCCCTTTCCCCAAGGTTCCCAAGGATATGGGTACAATCCAACTCGGTGCTTTTATTTTCGACAATGCAGAGTTGTTAGACGTAAGTGCTGTAAAAAAAAATAGACTGAACTTACCTGTGTCTCTTTTTTTCTATTAACTATTCTAACCGCTCTTACAGATTACAGGCCCAATGGAGATTTTCGGTGCGCCTTTTAACAACCTTGACATCAAGATTAATTTTATCGGAACTTCTCTGAAGCCTGTCAAGACTGCACAAAGTGTGTTACTCACTCCCAAGTATACTCTCAGCAATGCACCCAAGATGGACTTGTTCTTTATCCCTGGAGGTAAAACAGATGTGATATCTTTTATTAGGTGTTAAAATATTTAAATGTCTATTTCCTTGTTTTTTCTAATTCAACACCCTTTGCCTCTTTGTCATAAAAAGGTCCCGGGATTATTCCTGTTATGAACTCTACAAAGATTATGCGGCAGGTCACTAAGCGTGTCAAGGAATCGACCTGGACAATGACTGTCTGTGTTGGATCTGCGGTGTTAGCCAAGACCGACCTCATGGATGGTTACAATATGACGTACGAGCCTATTGAAGGCGCCACTTTTTTTTTTTTTTTTTTTTTTTTACTAGCAGTCTAAATGAAGCTATAATACTAACCACCTTGAATGCCCTTCATCCATTATAAATAGTACCAATAAGATGGATTTCGAATGGGTCGTAAAAAATTCAGGTAGCTCTTTTTTCTTTTCCTGATTGATGTAGTGATTTGATTGGATAGTGTCCGATAGACGCCGTCCACTTGACTGACATGGGCTTCACTCTTTATACTATAGAAGATGCGAAGGTCAACTGGATTAAGCGAGCACGCTGGGTTCAAGATGGGAAATATGTCACCTCTTCAGGAGTATCTGCTGGTACAGTGGACAGGGGACTTAATTAAGCGATAGCTAGAACACAATCATTTGTACCTGAGTATTGGCATTATAATGTAAAGTGATGTTAACTGATATATGCTTTAATATCAATAATTAGGCATGGATGCTGCTCTCTACATACTCTCAGAGTTTACAAGCCTTGCGAATGCACAGAATGTTTCCAACTTTATTGAATACTCCTGGCATAAAGATGCGAATGACGATCCTTTTGCCGACCTGTACCCATATACTCGTTCTTGAAGTGGCCTTTGGCTAAATGATGGATCTGTGGAGGATGTTCATGTGCGAGAAGCGTAAGAGCCATATGTATATTTATAAAAAAAAAAAAAAAAAGAAAGATAGGGAATAACATTAACCTTTGCATGGATGAATAAAGCAACATAAGTGTCGTCTCCCTCCCCCTCGCGTAACTCCTCAATGGCAATCATGTCTCTTTAATGTGCTATATCGAGATTCGCTAGTCTACTTACTCTTTTTGCTTAATACAATTCCTTATGTTTTTTTTTTTTTTTTTTTTTTTGTTTATGCCTAGATGGGACTTGGCCTGTCAGCAGCTTCATTATAGAGCTGACTTAAGGCTCTTGTTCCGATGGACAATGGGTTATTATGAATAAATACGCAGTGAAATTGTTCATAAAAATGGATGAATTGACATCCGTAAAAGATGGCGCATATGATACAAATTAAACAAAAGAAAAGGAAGAAACGTTAACAAAGGGATGCCAAGTCTGCTCCCACTCTGCTCTTTTTCGAGAAGGATAAAACATATTCCAAAGCACGAACTTGAAGGAAAATGTATTAGCTTAAACTATTTTGTGTCATATTTGGCTCTATAATCATAAAAACCACTTTCGACAAGACTTTATTCAAAAGACACAAACATCCTTTCAATTTTAAGTCTAATGGTGCCTTATTTATTGATCTTTTCAGCCGTGAGGTCTGCATGAAATGACATGTGCAAAATTACATTTGCTGCACAAGCTGTATTTGAACTTATAGTCTTTGATCGATCTACTTGGCCCTGTTGGTGGTGTCAGCGATATCCCTTCTCTCAAAATCACTTCCTCTGAATCTGTTTCCACTGGGTCTTGATGATAATCCACTTGACTGGAGAAAGCCTTGGAGTTGGATGTCATTGGTGGCGTCGCTTCAATATACTGAGATGTCTCTTGTGTGACCAATGAAAGGGATTGCTCGTCTATAGCTCCTCGTTGCTTCAGGAGCTCTCTGTTGACTTCATCCAATCCAACTACATCTTGAATAACTGTGTTACGAGCATTAAGAGTTGTTTGTTTGGTGCTCCATTTCAAGTAATACTGATATTGATTGTTCTCCTGCACAATCTGCCACATCCGAATAAGGCCATCTGCACATCCTGTGACCAGAAAGTAGCCTCCTTCAAAGATATTCCATACAAACGCCTTAACAATCCCATCTTCAGATAAGATTTCAACCAAACGCTGGCCTGTCTCTGAGTCCCACACTTGTACCGATCCATTAGAACTAGATGAGGCAAAATACCTTCCATCAGGCGAATAAGATATCGCAACGATCTTATAGGTATTGCCTTCAAGCCTATGCAGCACTGCTCCCGATTCCAAATCAATCACTAAGATTTTATCACTTGGCCCAAAAGCCATCCATCGACTACATGGTGAAAATGCCGCTCTTCCTCTACAGCCTTCACTCTGCGCTATGTAACAGCGCTCACCTGTCTCTGCATTTAGTACTTGCAGACACATATCGAATTGGCAGGGGTAGATTACAATCTTTCGACTGTCAGGTGTGTATTCAAAAAAGTAGCTTTCTACTTCGAGCTTTACTGCATATTGAAGATTCCATGAATGAACAGTCCAGACTCTGAGAGTATCGTCTTCCGCGCTACACGAAGCGAGCTGACAACCATCAGGTGAAAATTCCGCATACAAAGGAAACACACCATTGCTCTGTAGAGTGTAGGAAAGCGTTCCTGTTTGTGTATCCCATATATTTATCTCTCCAGACTCATGAACAGAGGCAATTTGGTGGCCAATAGGTGAGAAATCAAACCACCAGAGGCCGTTGTCTTGGAGCTCCAAGGTGTGGGCGATTTGACCTGTTTGAACATTCCAAAGGTAGGCCCCTGACTTATATGAGGAAGCAAGCAACTGACCATCCGGTGAATACATAATTTCGCCTCTAATCATATTGCTGCTCTGTAAAGTATGGGTTGAGTATCCTGTCCGTACATCCCACAAGCGTACTGTAGCATCCTCAGTGATTGAAGCTATCTGCCTCCCATCTGGTGAGGCCCTAATGTTCCGGATCATTGCCAAATGGCCATGTGAGCCATGGTTAGATTGTTGTGGTCGAGTATCCCAAAAGCGTATCGTCTTATCCAAGCTTAAGGATACAATTTGCTGACTGTCTGGTGAATATGTCAAATACGTTATTACACGAGAGTGACCATAAAGTATATTTATGAGTTGCCCTGATATCGTGTTCCAAATCCATATTGTGTAGTCACTAACGCAAGCGACTATCTGTTCTTCGTTTGGTGAATACTTTAGGCGAGTGATCTGATCGGAAGGTCCTTCAAGAATATGGAGAGGTTTTCCTGTTTGCATATCCCATTGATATACTTTCTGATTGCTGATTGAAGCGAATCTTCCTTTAGGTGAATACTGGGTGCCTGCGATGAAGGATTCATGCTTCAAGTCGAGTTTTTTTTGAAGTGATGCAACATCCCACACTTGCAGGCGATAACTCTTTGCATTATGAACTATGAATTGCTGGCCATTAGGTGAATATAGAATTTCCAGAACAGCAGACTCATGATCCATCACCATCAACTGCTGCCCTGATATCGCATCCCACAGTCGGAATGTCTTGTCACGGCTACCAGTCGCGATATGAAGTCCATCAGGTGAATATGCCACAGACTCCACAGTATCAGTATGACCCTCCAATGTGTATTTGAGCAAGCCTGATTGGGTGTTCCACACCCACACTGACGACTCACTACCCACTGCAAGATGATCTCCGCTTGGCGAATACACTACACGGCCAGTTCTCTCTGTATGGTCTAACGAAATCAATCCTCCTGATATTGTATCCCAAACCGAAACTTTTTTTTCAGCAGTATGCCAGAAGGCGATATAGCGGCTGTCTGGCGAGTATAACAATACGTAGACAGTTGCATCGGTCCCCAGAGCTAGAAGCTTCTTCCGTGTTGATATGTCATACATGGCGATTGAATATTTATATGGCTCATCTGGTGCATTTATGATACCTGCAGCAACTGTCTTGCCATCAGATGAAGCTGCTCCAGCCAATATTTTGCCACCTATTTCCATCAGTGGCCATTCACCAAACTGCACACCTGCCATCTTTGCCCCACTCAAGTCTGCTTCACGAAGCCAACATTTCCTTAAGTTGACCCTCCTCAGATCTGCTCCCTGAAGCTGAGCATACTCAAAAATACCACGGCTGAGATCTGCTCCTGGAATCTGGATGCCTCGCAAATCTGTCCCGATGAATGGTTCGCCTGCTCGAACCAAGATTGTCATCGCATTGGCTGCTGCTATCCGCCACTTGCTATCGCTCTTTGAGAGCTCTACATATGTATACAGTTGCTGCTTGAATGCTGGCTCAAGGCAGACACGATCCTCCAGGAATTGAAGAATAGATGGCTCATCTACAAAGCTTCTCCATACCAAAGGTGATCTCTCATCAACTTTGGCTGGATCGACTTCCTGCTCGTCTTCACTGATCTTCATGCCCTCAAAACTATACATTGAGCTAACGCTCTGTCGACGAGAGGTTGAAGCTGTTGCCTTTCCTTCTCCATCCTTTGCAGAAGCGCTCATTGCTAGTTGTGGCTCAAAGATCGCACGTACAAGGCTGTACTCGAGAATAGATTTATGAATAAACCGATGCTGATTGCCTGTACGGTTCAAGGGAGAAGCATCGCGTAGTAAGTTCCTTCCATTCTCGTTGCTAAAGCACCTTTCTTTCCATGTGTTCTTGTCTTTGTATGATGAGTACTCCACGACTGGGTTGCCGTCCTGATGCTTATAGATCGCTGCAGCTAGCTCCGTAAGGTACTTGATCCCATTGTGTGCAAACCCTTCATCCAATAGTTTGTGAAACATTCTTTTATCTTCTGGCCTTAGTGTCTCGCCTAGTCGTTTCTTGCCTCGTTCGAGCCACTGTTCAACGAACTGGTCATACAGTATGACACGTTTGATCTTGGTGTTGGAGATGTCTTGATTTGGATCTACCATACGTGGTAGAACTTGTAGCGACATCGATAGCATGAATGGGTTCTTCACAAGGTCATGTAAGCCGGGTACTATTTTGAGAGCACGCCGGTAGTCCTCCGCATGCCACATTGGATCCATGGTATCGACATATTGCTCGATATAATCGTCGATCTGAGTCTCAGAGAATGGCATGATCACAGCCTCTTCAAGCAATCCAACATCCGCTTGGTGATTGCGATTCATAGGTTGGAAGCGATCTCGATAGTCCAATCCAAGGTACTCACTGCGACAGCTAATCACCATCTGGACCTTCCATTCTCCAGGCTGGTTCAACCGGTTGGCTACATACAAATTATTGGTCTGCATGCTCTCGTCATATCCATCGCATATCAGGATGAATGACCGATTCGTCTTCAGTTCTTTGATCTGTGGATCTGTAAAGCCATAGTCTCGCAACTGCTTCGCGACTAGCTGCTTTTCTGGCTTGTCGATGGCTGGAAGATTAATAAACAATGGGATCCGACCATCTCCCTTCTGGTATGCATCCCAGAGCGTGCGCTCCAAAGTGCGGTTGAATGTGGACTTGCCTACTCCTGAATCTCCTTGGACAAGTAGCACTTTCTGATTACTATTCAGAAACTGTTTCACCTTGTTCATCAGTAAGAATAACTTGTCATCCTTTGCTTGAGGGCTTGCTTTAGCATATTGTGGGATGTAGAACTCTTGGTCATTTCCAACCTCAATCCGGTGTTTTTTTAGTTGCCGTAGACTATCCTCGACATCAGGCCTCTTTTGCGCGCGGCCAAGTAAATGTGAAGCTGTAGATGGAGTAAGTGTGGAGATGAAGGAGTGTTGGATCATTGACTCCTGGAGGCATTTCTTATATAGTTCTCGTTTTTTGACGTCTCCATCCGTCTTAAGATCATTCAAGAGAGCAGCTATGGCTGAAAGTAAAAGCGGGAAAGAGGATGTATGTAACAAATGAGTTAATCACCATATGCAGGGTGCTGCCAGCGCTTTCATCAGCCATATATACAGAAAAGAATGAAGCACACACCTTGTAGGAAATCTGGTGATAATGAAGATAGCCTACTAAGGATGTGTATGATCCATTGTTTGACATGTTCATGGTCACTCCATTCTTGGTCATTCTTGTAGATCTCTCCTAGAAATGTGATGGCATCTTGTCGAGTATTTATGGTCCACCGTGTATCAGCCGCGATCCATCCTAGTCTCTGACATAATCCCCATTGGAATGCTGCTTCATTTCGACAGGGTGCTTCACACACAAGAGTCTTGAACTTAGTGAACTCGCCTCTCTGGAGTAGTGCATCAGCTCCACGCAGTGCTGGATACCATGCTGACTTGTGACTAAAGCTAAGTCCTTCTTCCATACACTGTCTAAATGTCGTCCCACCCTCATATAGTGAGGTTGCACCAGTGTATACTTTCAGACTCATATCAATGGCGCCTGTTACAGAAGGAAGTTCTTTCTGGATGTTGCTTATCTCATCCATGAAGACTTTCAGATCTAAGCTTTTGACTGCACCTAATGCTCCAAACACTCCTCGGAGTACTGCCGATGTCCGTCGAAGCATGGCTTGCACTGTTGATTCGTTGTCTGGAACATATTGTAGAGCTTGGAAGGCATAAGCTGCTTGATAGACTAAATATGGATCGGAGTTGGCTTTCAGCTCCTTGAGGTATATTGCAAGTGGTTCATGGAGTTGTTCGCGCTTTAGGCCTTTGACCTGGTTACTGACCATGGCATCAAGCACATCTGAGACAGCAGCAGATAGGCGACAGAGGTGATCATCAGATTGAGTATGTGTGCCTCGTAAGCGGGAACTGAGAGTATTGAGAGTTAAGACAAGATCATCCGAGTCGAGATAACCAGGAGGAGCATGCTGGATCAACTGAGCCAATCCTTCCAGTAAATGGGGCTTCAATATCATATTCCGGCCGATCCCATTAACCAAAGCCATAAGCAGTGTCCTGAACTGATCTTGATCAAGAGCTGGGGCCAGAGACACGACCTCAGCAATAGTCGCTTCGGTCTTGATCTCATCGCTGGCGAATAACCCAATTACATCCCAGGCAAGTTTATGCAGTCGCTTACACTCATCCTGATCGTTCGATAAGGCCTGGCGCCACTTCCTTTCATTTTCATTGAGATCATTTGGTAGAACAGGAATAGTAGGAAGTAGACTAAGGCAATATGTAAGCTGGTGGATATTATTCAGGTGAGCTCCAGGTTCTGGTAAGCTGTGCCTGACCATTGTTGGAGGTTCATCGTGATTGAATATATCCTTTGAGATAGTTGCAATGAATTGTGCTGGAACTGCCTCAGTTCTACTGCCACTTGTTCTGGTGCTTTCTTCCTCGCTACTGTTGGTATTGTTGCCACTGCCGCTGTTATCGCTGTTATTGTTGCTGCTTCCTTGGATGTATCCCCATTTCTCAGCTTTCCTATCATATCTGTGAACTTCACCTGAGTAGCCCAGATGCTCAAATAAGCGAGCAAGCTCATGGTAGGCTAAGGCGATACCTTGACGCAATGCCATGTCTCCATTCGAAGCTGAAGAAGCTGAAGACAATGAGGCGAGGGCCTTTCTCGCAGGCTGCTGAATTCGAGCCAGTACAGAGCCAGCATCGAGGCATAGTTCTGTCAATATGCCCTTGTCGTCGTTCATGGTGCGAGTGCCCTCCATATAGAAGTTGAAGAGTCTCAGAGCCTGTGTTGGCAAGAGTGCACTTCTTGCCGGAGTCTTTGTTGTGCCAAACATGGCTCGTTGTCTTTCTGTTCACTCCTTTGGATTGTGGTCTGTTCATTCCAAAGAAAGAAGGGTTGTTTTATTTGAGTGTTTGTTAGTAGCGTTGTTTATGGACGGCAATGTTCATTTTATTAGTCCTGAATGTGTGCTATCCCTTACTGGGTTTTGAGGGCTGACAAAAAAGAAAAAAATAAAAAAGTGTGACAGTGAGTGAGGAAAAAAAAGAAAGATGGAAAGATTTAGTAAGTGTCTTAGTTGGCTGCTGAGTACCAAAACAACAGTTATTAGAATGTATTGCACATGTAGACTAGTAGATTAGTTGATGGAGCCTTCTGAAGGCCATTGGCTGGAGATACATAAACAAACATGCGCTGGCACCAACACAATAAATGGGTATTTACAAATAAACATGCAGATTGCTTTGAGCAACATGCCCCGAAGTATTTATTGAAATCTGTGCAGTGGTGTAATATGTAAATTTCTCTTTTCAAACACGTATATAAAACCAATCCTGGGTTCCCTTCCACACGATTGCAAAAACTAGATTCTTTTTTTTTTTTTTTTTTTTTTTTTTCATCATCCTATCTATATCTATATATAAACCACGTTGAGGTTTTTACGATAATCAACCTTTTTTTATTTAGCAAAGACCCTTATTTTGTTCTCGTCACTTAAAATGATCCCGGCAAATTTCATAGAGCTTGCTACTGCTGGAGGCTAGCGAGCCTAGCAACCCCTTCTTTAAGCAGATCGGTCTTAGCACCCACGAGATCAAAAACCTTTTGGCCGCCCACGAAGAAAATGAAAGTTGGCCTAGGATAGTTTGGAGATGTCAATCATTAGGTGTAATACCACAAGGCGAGCAAACAGATAAATGATGTTATGAAGATGCATAATGACGATATCTGAAACAAAGATGAGAGAAACTTACATGGATCTTATTCCATATTCTTGAGCAATCTCAACTTGGTCATCCACGTCGACCTATTAAAGCAACAGTAGAATAGCAATAAAAAAATGTCAACTTCGCTTCCTCTATCGAATTCAAAGTTGATGTATAAATTATGAATTATTGCTAATGTCTTTTTTTTGATTTACCTTAACGAATTTGATATTGGGATACTCAACTACGAGTTTTTCAAACTCGGGACCGATTGCTTTGCATGGACCACACCAAGGCTATTGGATCGGCCGACACAGACACACAATGTAAAAGAAGAAAGCTATTCATCAACAACAACATAATTTCCCATCCAATCACAATATTAAAAAAAAAAAACATATTATGGATCTATTAAACAAGTCCTTACAGCAGTAAAGTAGGCAACGACCTGTTAATGAAGTAATAAATTAAGAACGAAAGAAACATACAATTTTTGAACAATTAGTTTTTGTATTGTTCAGCACTTTTTTTTATCATTTTATTAGAATAACTATTGTTGTTCATATAGACTTACATGTTTGGACTCTTTGAGAGTGTCATTAAAAGCTTGCAATTTGTCAGATTCTGCCATTGTGAATTGGAGATGTTTAATTGATGTTTGGGTTAGAAAAAAAAAGAATTAAATGGATTAAGGGATTGAAGAAGAAAAACCGTGTGACGCGAAGAACAAACCTCTTCTTCATCCCACGTGACATTAACCATCCTTGAACGAGCATAGACAGCCCTTTGCCCTTTGCCCTTCGGGAAAAACGATTTGAATTCTAGATTACCTAATCGCTTTTGTAAAAAAAAAAAGTAAAGATCAATGTTTATCTGTCGCATTGTTCCAATGAAGAAAACAAATAGGCAAGGGACCTTGTGCTTTATCTGCGCGTTCTGAATATTGTCGTGCTGGATTTTTTTTTTTTTTTTTTTTTTTTTTGATGCCTAGACGTGTTGTGAAGACAATGGCGCGTCGTCGCGTTTGCATAATTCCAGCAGGTAAAAATGATAGTTCACAAGTATTGAGAGAGCCATGTATAAAAGCAAATAGGATTCAAAAAACAAAAAAAAAAAGACCAAAGTTACTAACTACCATTTAGATTTTCAATCGAGATCACCTCAACACTCCAAATAGCCAACATCACATTCACTATGGCATGGCATTTATCAAGAAATTATCAACTTGACTGACACCGATGACGAAGGACTCTACAATGATCTCAAGGCTCAGAAAGCCGTATTGAACTGAGATAGCAGCTCTAATGAATGTGACCTTTATGCCTTCTTACATTTGTAAGATAATTCGTCTTGCTTATTAACATTGTTTGCAAAATACAATAGGTTAATGAGGTCGAAGCCGAGGGTAAAGACGACAACGATGTCGTCCTTCGAGATTCTGAGCACAAAGGTGGCTTTTCTAACACCTATGACTCATTATGAGGAGGCGTTTCGTGCCTTCTCGGGAGCAATGATGAGACAGACCCATAATACCATTGGACCCCTCCCAGCGATACTGCCATGAACTTTGTTTTGATACACTGGCAAGCCCGTTGACGGAAACAATACCAAGGTATAAAGATCTTAAATGACCTGCATCTATTCCTGGCTTCAATTCGACGACGATAAGCTGGAAAAAACCCTTAGTCATGCACCTGTGGACATGCATAAAGCCTCTTTTAATCAAGGCGGAAATGTCTTTGCCCTCAAAGATGAGGAACCAACTTTGAGAGAACTGCATCGTAAATGGAAGGGACACTCCTACTGCATATTTCAAGACAACAGCGGATACTGCTTAAAAGTTATCAACTACTGAGCATTACACATGTGTATAGTAGGTAATTGAAGGGTCATTCACATGCATTCAAGAACCGCCTGGAGGTAATGATCAAGTTTAATGACACGTACTAAATAGCACCTTGGGTTATTGCTGTTGATGTTGTTTATTTGAGTTTTTTTTTTTATTTTTTTATTTTTTTATTTTTTTATTTTTTTATTTTTTATTTTTTTATTTTTTTATTTTTTTATTTTTTTATTTTTTTATTTTTTTATTTTTTTATTTTTTTATTTTTTTATTTTTTTATTTTTTTATTTTTTTATTTTTTTATTTTTTTATTTTTTTTTACAGATATATTAGTCGTTACAGGAAATAGGCAAACCCTAGGCTCGTTCCCATCCCTCTTCACTTTATAAAGGTGACAGAAATTCCATTTCCTTTTTGAGTCACCTAAAGTGAAGGGGCTGGGAAAAAATCTTCGCTTATTAGCTGGTAGCTCAAAAAGGAAAAAAATTGTGCACTTGAAGGAATATTTTTCCGTATATGCACTCGATAAAGTGTTTTTTATAGGAAAAAGTACAGTTATTAACTTTATTCTGTGTATATACGGAGTAAATTTCCCTCAAGTGCACAATTTTTTTCCTTTTTGAGCTACCAGCTAATAAGCGAAGATTTTTTCCCAGCCCCTTCACTTTAGGTGACTCAAAAAGGAAATGGAATTTCTGTCACCTTTATAAAGTGAAGAGGGATGGGTACGAGCCTAGGCAAACCCCATTTCAAGAAACAAAGAGTGGTTCCAAAGCTGTCAACTGAGTACTACAAGCTCATAGAGGACTCTTTGGACCAATAGCCACCCTCGATATTCATGAAAGGGCGCAAGACCGTGGAGGATCGTGGCTGTTGTCGTAGTAGGAATGCAGCACGCCTTCTGCAGGCATCCGAGGAAGGCGGGATTGAAGTGTCCACTGGATGTGGTGTGATGATGAACGGTAGTATGAGGTATGCACTCATGTAACAAGTGGTATTAGAAGAGCATCACATACTCCATTATCCAACAAGAAGTGTTGTCAGAGTGTACGCTTTCTGGCACGATAAAGCCATTGCTGACAAACAAAATAGTCGCCTTGATCCTCTAGTTTAATTCCTCGGAGGAGCTTTTTTTTTTCTTATGTTTCAATCATAACCGCAATGGAGGAAAGAAGCAGTAAGTGGGCTCGAGATGATTCGTTTTATCCTCGGACGGTTGGCAAAATTCGATAACTGCTACAGGGAGCAGTGTGATACTACTGACACTGAGGAATGTCGTTATGTTGCGCTCCTGCAAAACCCAGCTCATCCTCCCAAAAAAAAATAAAAGAACTATGTCCCATACCTCATTGAGGTTCTTACTATGGTGAAGATTTTAACATCATATATTTTACAAAGATCTTTAATTTGTTCTCGTTACTTGTTACTTAATACGGTCCTAGCGTATTTTCGACCCGAAGTGCTGAGAGAGTGTGTCCTTAAGCTTCTTAGGATCAGCATTTGGGACTTCATTAAGCTTTTCGTCGTTCTTGTAGAAATGGATAGTTGGTCTAGGAGAGTTTGGAGATGTCAATCATTAGGTATGATATCACAAGGCGAGCAAAGAGATAAATGAAACAAAGACGAGAAAACATACACAGCGGTCACTCCAGCCCCTTGAGCAATCCCAGATTGCTCATCCACGTCGACCTATTAAAGCAGCAACAAAAGGGGAAAAAAATGTCACCTTCACTTCTATTGAATTCAAGGTTGATGTATGAATTATGAATTATTACTAATATCTTTTTTCTTTTATTATTTTGATATACCTGAAGGAAGATGACTTTGTGGTAAAGTGTGGAGCAATCTAGCATTTTGGAGCTCGGTTTTCCTCTGGTAAATTCAACAGCAATCTATCAATGAAGTAAGGATACAGTTTTTTTTTTTTTTTTTTTTTTGGACGATTAGCATTTTATATTATAGTCAACACTTTTTCTTTTTTATTTTATTAGTATAACCATAGCTATTCGTCTGGACTTACAAACCGTTCATAAGGCACAGAAAAAAAGCCCCTATACTCGGCCTCGTCTTTGATTACTGTGATTCGGCTCATTGTGAATTGGGTTGTTTGAATGATGAGTTTGGGCTAGAGAAGGATTAAAAAGACTCGGACGCGAACGCGAGCTTCTTTTTCAACACGTGATATTACTCACCCCCTGAGCGTGGCGAGTAAAAACAAATTTTGGATTGCCACTATGCGTTTGTTGGTGAAGGCAAAAATAGAAAGTGCTTACAGCAGCAAGATCTTTTTTTTTTGTACCTCACTTTGTACTTGTATAAATATATTATATCTTATGCATATGCACTGCGTCCTTTTTTTTTTCCGAGGATAAGCGATAAGATTATTGTACGTTTGGTAAATCTTTCGGATGGATGGGGAGGGGGGAATTATTCATGCTTATTAGATAAATTGGCCTTATTAACCTGTAGATGAGGGAAGATTTAAGGGAGAGTGATAAAAGAACAAGTGGTTAATGGATGCTTTTTCTTTTTTTTTTTTTTTTTTCCTTGTGGTCGTGAGTGCCTCAATGGGAATAGAAAATGTGGTATTCATTTATTTTCATGAGAATGCAGGTACAGGTTTCAATGTTTGCTCTCAAGCTCACGGTCCAAGATAAAAAAGACCAAGGAATGAAAAAATAAATATATCCAGAGAGAGATTATGCTGCACCAGCGGGTTAAATGAAGGCCAGATATAGGAGGATAGATAAGGTTGATGAGCGTGGAATACATGAACATGTATATCCAGATATAAATATTGCGAACAGGGTAACATTACACTATATATATGGTATATATATATTTATATAATATTTTCATGTCGATCTATTGATATTCATTCACCATAAGCCATTAATCAACGAGCCATTTTTGGGAAGAGGGGACACGCGACACTTTTTTTTTTTTTTTTTTTTTTTTTTTTTCATTCAAGCGGTCGAACATAATAACTCCAAATCAACAAAAAAAAAAAGAAAAGAGGGCTGCTACAAGGACAAGAAGAGAACAGCCATTTGTTTGGCAATGTTCGCATCGCCACAACATGTAAAAAAAAGTAAATAAAGAAATAATAAATACAGACAATAACTTGGAGTCCGTGGGTGGATTTTGATTCGTAGAGACAAATAAATGTGATAAAATTTAATTTAGCGCTCTCTCTTTTATCTGGAACACAGACTCACATTATTTTTAGGTTCACATTGAGTTTTTGTGTATTATTGAATCACTCTTTATTATTAACATTGCTCTATCTAATCTCACTTCTAGAACACACAGCACAAGAACAAAAGGAACAATAAAAAAAAAGACGCGATGGTCGCTGAGATCGTTGACAGTTGATGAAGGATGGTAACATCTTTATTTTCATTTTTCCTCTTCTTTCTTAATCTTTGATACCTTCTTATGGGAGCTGTAGCTCTCATTCGTCATCTATGATAGCCATCTGTAAAGGCAATACCAAAGTAAATAAAAAAAGGGTAATGGATGCACTTTGATCGATAGACTAGTACTGATCTCCTATTTTATTTTACGCTGAATCTCTTGATCCTTTGTGCTCTTAATACCAAGTGTTGCGCACTACCTTTTTTTGTTTTCGATATGATATCAGATCTGTCTGATTCGTGAGTGCATGAACCTTCTATTTCTTGAGCTTCAGCTTGCCTCACTATACTGTTTCAATATGCATCTATGTTTGAGTTCGCTTGCGCTTGTTTCTTTTCTTTTTGTAAAAAAAAAAAAAAAAAAAAAAAGCTGCCCTAATCAGACTTGATAGGATAAAGCGATGAGAGCGAGTGAAGTTGGGGAAAGGGTAAGGGTAAGGAGGAAACGGAAGATCCTTTTTTTTTTGACCTGGGTCATGTTAAAATGGGGCTTTGTAGCTCAAAATAAAATAAAAAAAAGGGCCGCATATGAAAGAACGAGAACAATGCATCTGCACTGACACAATCATGGGACAAGGATAAAAGGGAAACAAAAAAAAAAAGAAAGATCTGCTGGTAGATGTAATCAGCAAAAGCACACAGCCAAGGAATAGACATGATGTAGATTCAAAGCAATTTGCAGTGCCCAAGTACATGTACATACTATAGGTGTAGGTGTGAGAAATAAATTAAAGTAGTTATATTAAATTGATACAATAAACGCGTTCCTGTCCATTTGACTGATCCCCGGTCTAAAAATAAAAAGTCTAAATCATTGTCTTTGTCGGGCCTTTGTCATGTGTGAGACTTTACACTCAATGCAATCATTCACATCTTCCATAAAAAAAAAAAGGAGAATCAGCATAACTCGAGATATCTAATCTGTAATCTGGTATCTGCTGTCGAGTCTTTTTTTATTTTATTTTATTTTATTTTTTCCCTTGTGTCTCCTGCCGTTTTAGTACATTGCTATGCTATGTTTCACTAGTCTGCTAGTCTGCCATGCTTGTGCTTGTCAAGAAGCACGATGTACTATGTAAGAATTAAATGATATATACAGGGATTACTATCAGGATAAAAGTATATGTGTTTATATCAAAGCGATGATGTGGGCATGGCGAGAGCATGGACTGGAACAGGAACAGGAACAACCCAGACAACTTTTAAAAAAAAAAAGAGTTAAAAATACATTAAAAAAGGCTCTTGCGCCTGTCTGCTTGTCCTGCTTGTCATGTCTATCTTTTTCAAAGCTTTTGCACTGCAAATGAAAGAGAATAGTATATATACACATTTATATATAATATATACATATATATAATATATATTATTATTACAACTGAATATAATTAAACAGAGTTGATTGATTATTATTACTTATTTTAGCGTATTTTATTTTATACTTACCCTTGCAGTGAGTTATAAAAAAGTTTGTTCCTTACTTTTGAGTCTATAAAAGATCGTCTGTCTCCCCTCCTCCTCAACTCTTCATCATCACTTTCTTTGTTCTCATTGTCAACATCACTTCTCATTCACCACGTTATACCTCTCTCCTCCTTTCTCTTTTATACATTTCCATTCCTTTCTTTTCATTCCTCTTTCTAACTATTACCTAGTCTCAAAGTCTCCCAGTCTCAGTCTCACAATTTTTTGTGCAATTCTATCTTAAAACTACTACAACCACCACTATTACATCGCCATGATTGCCGCATCATCTCTCTCTATCCAGACCCCCAAGCACCAAGAGGCCGGTGCTCCCTCTGATGTCCGTCAACTCAAGGAACGTTACCAGGCTGCTGGACAGGGTCATCTCTTCACTTTCTACGATGATCTTTCTGCTGACCAACAACAGCAGTTGATCGATCAGCTCGAGGCTTTGAACGTAGAACGTGTCAACAGGATCCATCAGAAGGCTACTACCTGCCCTTCCCCTATGCTCAGCAACCAATCAGCACTTTTGGCTCCTTTGCCCGAAGAGTGCTTCGATTCCACCTTGGAGGCTTCCAAGGACAAGATCCACGAATGGGAGACCATCGGATTGAACCAAATTAGTCAAAACAAGGTCGCTGTCATCCTATTGGCTGGTGGTCAAGGCACTCGTCTTGGATCCTCTGCCCCCAAGGGATGTTATGATATTAACTTGCCCTCAAACAAGTCTCTTTTCCAGATCCAAGCCGAGCGTATTCTCAAGCTCCAACAATTGGCACAGAAGCAGCCCGGCGCTGCTGCTGAGGTTGTTATCCCTTGGTATGTCATGACTTCTGGTCCTACACGCCCTGCTACTGTTGCCTTCTTCCAGGAGAACAACTACTTTGGTCTATCTAGCTCCAACATCGTATTCTTTGAACAGGGTAAGTCTCTTTTTCTAAAATCAGTAAACAAAAAAAGCTTTGATATTCGGCAATCGGCAATCGGCAATCGACAATCATCATAATGACAACAATTATAATGTCATTTCCAGGGGGGAAGGAATACCAAAGAAGAGTATCCAGAAAGGGTAACAATGCCCAATTTACCCTCTAGACGGAGACGGGGATCGAAATATGAAAGAGGAGTGGGCTCTCTACTTTTGTCTTTCGCCTTGGTTTTCATTTAATTTTGGATTCTCACCAACAATCAGACCAGACTAGTGAACCTGGAATAGTAAGGAACACATTTATTTTCAGCGAGGCATCTTTTCACTACACCAGGAAGAGGAAATGCATAAGCAACAATGACATAAACAAGCAGAAATAGTTCAGCGGAAAGTCAGGCGAACAAAAAAAAAAATTGTATAGAGAGCATATTATAGAGATATTATCAGGACTGAGAGGAGATTCATTAGCAATCATCAATATACCCATGAAAAGTACGAATACGATGAGCTAAAATCAAGTCTTTTTTTAAAAAAAAATTAGGAACCCTCCCATGCTTGACATTCGACGGCAAGATCATGATGGAATCCAAATCTCAGATTGCCGTGGCCCCTGATGGCAACGGAGGCGTGTATGCTGCTCTCCGTGGCACAGGTGTGTTGACAAACATGGCGGAGCGCAAGATCGAGTACCTCCATGCTTACTGTGTCGACAACTGCCTGGTCCGTGTTGCTGACCCTGTCTTTATCGGCTACTGTGTTCAAAAGAATGCCGACTGTGGTGCAAAGGTCGTTCGTAAGAATGCTCCTGACGAGCCTGTCGGTGTTGTCTGCCTTAGAAATAAGGCTTTCAATGTAGTCGAGTATTCTGAGATTGATGAGGAGGTTGCCCATGCCATCAATCCCAAGAATGGTCAGCTTGCCTTCGGTGCTGGTAACATTGCCAACCACTTTTACACAATCGACTTTTTGAACAGGGTCGAGTCATTCGAATGCGATCTGGAATACCACATTGCCCGCAAAAAGATCAAGACCCTTGATATGCACACCGGAGAGGTCATTGCACCCAAGCAGGTCAATGGAATGAAGCTCGAGATGTTTGTCTTTGATGTCTTCCCCTTCACAGAGAGAATGGCCGTCTTTGAGGTCGACCGTCGCGAAGAGTTCTCGCCCTTAAAGAATGCTCCTGGTACTGGACAGGACTGCCCCGAGACCTCTCGTCGTGATATTCTTCAACAGCATGTGCGCTTTATTGAGGCAGCAGGTGGCAAGATCATTGTCGGAGAGAGTGATGAGCAACTCGAGGGTGCTCCCACACTGGAGCTGTCACCCCTTGTTACCTATTCTGGTGAAGGTCTTGCTGAGATCGTTGCTGGCAAGTCCATCAAGACACCCATCAGGATCGATTCTTTGGAAGAACTCAAGAGCGTTGCTTTTTAAGTCTTTGTTTTATTCTCTTTTTTCTGTATCTTTGTTCTCCTAATAACTTTCATTCTTTTTACAAATGAGTGCATTTTTTTTCTTAACAAAATTTGTAGATAGAGCACCGACACTGGTTGCACTTCTTTTTTTTTGCCTTTTGTTTTTTTTTTTTGGTCACTCCTCTTTCCTTCACAGTGTCATATACCCTAAAGCAGACGACTTTGTAGTCTGTTCTCCGTTTCTATCACCCTTCCTTTTCTTCGTCATAAATAGGAGAAGAGTTTATACTGACAAAAGAAAAATAATAATAACGATGATAATTATAATAAAAAAAAAGAAAAAGTCAGGCTGATATATGAAGTGTAATTAAGCTTGCTTTGCTGCTGCACTCTAATTGGCTGGTTTTTTACTGGTTATTCTGTCCTGTTCCATCATTCTTTTTTTTTTGGCCAAAAAGACTTTCCTAAAGTTCCATCTCTTTATTATTACTCCATCGTCTTCTCTTCTCCGTCTTCTTCAGTCAAGCAACACATAGGAAAAAAACAAGATAAATAAAATAAATAAAGGATCAGATCGGTTATCAACGATATTCAGGAGATAAAAACATAAAAGACAATGCTTGATTTTTTCACTATCACCACCAGAGGAGGACTTGTCCTATGGTCAAAAGCATATAGTGCCTCATCAACATCACCCATCAATCATTTGATTCAAGAAGTACTCATCGAAGAGCGTTCATCCACTCAAATCTATTACAAGGACAATTATGCACTCAAATGGACATTTGTCAATGACCTTGACCTCATCTTTATTGTAAGTCTAAGCTTATTCATAAGGTACTTTTATTTTATTCTTATTTTTTTTTTTAACAATTCTCTTTTTTTTTTTTTTTTTTTTTTAAAAAAAAAAAAAAAAAAAACAGGCCGTTTATCCAAAGACTCTTGGATTGACTTATATCGACACATTGCTCAAAGTTGTCAGTACACAATTCAGTGATTTATACGGTGCAAAGATATTGCGTAAAAGCAATGGTGGCATTCCGCAGCTCAAGGATTGGGATTTACAATTCGAAGCTTTGTTACAGACTGTTGAAGATCAGGATGCTTCCGTAAGTTTTTTTTATTGTTTTCTTGATTTTTCATACTTTTTTTTTTTTTTTTTTTTTCCTCCTTTGTATCAATCATTTTGACCATTGATTTTTTTTTTTCTCCTTCTTCTTTAAATAGTCAAAAAAAGCTAAACAGCCACGCAAATTTGAGGAAACAGTGGGGTATGCAAATACATTGGCTTTTGCTAAATCCAAGCCAGGTAAAAATGCCGGAGTACCTTTTCTATAAGCTTTTAAATATGGAAAAGCTATATTTGAGATGATTAACACTTCTTTTATCCTTTCCGTTTCTCTTCTTCTAATGTTAATACTTACAATATATAGATGAGATAGGATCCAAATCACCTCTACTAGATGAAGACGAGTTCCGTAGAAATGTAGAATTGCTTAAAAAGAAGACAGCGTCACCTAGGATGGGCGGTCGGAAGGGCAAAGGAGCTAAATCACCTGTTACATCACCTGTTATTGGATCAGATGATTCGCCGAAAAAGAAGGTCAAGGAAGGAAGAAAATGGGATGGCAAGATCTCAGCTAAAGATGCAAAGAGTTTGGATTATAGTAATTCAGATATATCTGAAGTTGTTAAAACGGATCGCTTGGTAATTATTTTTTTTTTTACCTTATGTATTTATATTTAAATATGTATTGCCGAGTCTAACAAAAAAATTTTTTTTTTTTTTTTTTTTTTAACTATAGGTTGATCAAAGTGGAATGGGTCAGCACAGCAAAGATGGTACCTACAGCGTTGCAGATTTGGAGGCAAGCGATGATGCTGAGGACAGTTACAGCTCAGATGATTCAGATGGCGGTTATACAAAGATTTCGGGACGATCCCTTCAAGCTAAAAAGCCTGTTGCTTCAAATGGACTGTTGTCGTTTTTCAAAAATATGACAGGACAAAAAGAGATGACAGAAGAAAGTCTGGAGCCTATTATGAGAAAGATGAAGGAGCATTTGATTAATAAAAATGTTGCTGCCGACATTGCTCAACATTTATGTGATTCTATTGCTAAAGGACTTGTTGGGCAGACACTGGGCAGCTTCAAGAGTAAGAACAATAAAAAAGGAGACAATGTATTTCTTTTATTTCCTTTTTATTTTATTTTGAGCATTTCGCTGAATTATTCTCCTAATCTTATATCATTTACTGTCAACTAGGTGTACAGGCACATGTGAAGCAGAACATGGAGTTGGCATTAAAACGAATTTTGACACCAAAAACCTCTGTCGATTTACTACGCGATATTGCACAAGCACAAGCAGAGAAAAGACCTTATACAATTGTCTTTATTGGTGTCAATGGTGTGGGGAAATCCACCAACTTATCCAAGACCGCCTTTTGGCTATTACAAAACAATATGAAGGTTTTGATTGCAGCCTGTGATACTTTCCGTTCTGGAGCTGTGGAGCAGCTTCGAGTTCATGTTCGGAATTTGAAAGCATTAGAACAGAACGCGGTCGTGGATCTGTATGAAAAGGGATATGGAAAGGATTCTGCAACGATTGCAAAGGAGGCTATTTCGTCTGCCAAGACAACAGGACATGATGTGGTTCTGATTGATACAGCTGGACGTATGCAAGATAATGATCCTTTGATGCGAGCTCTTGCCAAGGTAAGACAACATAAGTGCAAGATTATGTTTTTTATTTGATTCATTTTTTGCTTTGTAAAATAACACCCTAACGGATATATTACTGTTATCTTTATATGGAACATAATTAGCTGGTGACAGTAAATAATCCAGATAAGATCATCTTTGTAGGCGAGGCATTGGTGGGTAACGAAGCAGTGGATCAATTGACGAAATTTAATGCAGCGCTGAAAGACTTTTCAGGAATGGCGAATCCACGTCATATTGATGGTATGATCTTGACAAAGTTTGACACGATTGATGATAAAGTCGGAGCTGCATTATCAATGACATACACAACAGGGCAGCCAATTTTGTTTGTGGGAACTGGCCAAACCTACACTGATCTAAAGAACATGAAAGTCAGCCATGTTGTTGCATCACTTCTTCGGGAATAAAAAAAAATATAATCTTTATCTTTTCCATCTCAAGTTCTCAAGCACTGCGCTACACTACTGCATAATTTTTCTTTCTTTTTTTTGTGCAATACAATAAGCAAAAAGTATTTACCTCAATAATTTCATAATAAACAGAAAGACAGTGATACAGAGGGACAGAGAAACAGAGAGGAATATTATTTAAAAATACAATAGCGGTCAATCTTTTTCAAATCATTAAAAAGAGATCTAATAAAAAAATATGTCTAATTATTTTTGTTTTCTTGGTGCATGGAGGTTCAGCCATTGTGAAGCAGCTTCCAGATCTGATTTCTCCATCTCGAGTGCTTTGATACACCATTCAATCGAATATTTGGCTTGCAGATCCTGATGTAACAACTCTGCCATGACTTTTTTCCGAGTCGCACCCTCATCCACACATAACCAAGTCTTGCCACCTTGAATATAACTTGTAGTAGAAGCACCCACTTTAGCCTCTTTCAAGATCCCCATCAATTCAGTCGCTGCCGTGGTCGCATCTAATCCTTGACCTCTAAAACTTGCACAGTATTCATTCCGACACCACGAGTTCCCACAACCAGTCATCAATTGTGAATGATATTTTCTAGCAAGCCTTTGAACCAGTTTTTGATTCTTGGGATCTTCGGTCGGGATCCAGAAGGGCCCAAAACACAGTTGGCAGAGACCCAAGATATTGTTGCTACCACCACTGGCAGTACCGGCACCAGCATTACCACCGCCAGAAGATTTGATGCGAAGACAATTTTGATTGGAGCACAGCTGAGGAGCTGGTTGGTTCTGTCGTTGGAATTCATGATTTTGAGCATGGACTTGAACATCCTTGAGAGAGACCATGGCTGAACATTTTTGACATTGAATCGTTCGATCTCCACAATAGGATTCATGAGAGTGTAGACCTCGGATCATATCTCGAGCATTAGACGCTAAAGAGCCCTGTTGGACCAATGTATGACAATAACGACAAATGATAAATCGATCTTGACATTCGGTTCGTCGATGAAGTGCAAGCTCTGGAAGGGATGGAGTTTCGAATCGTTGACACGTGCATTGATACCAGCCATGATAGATTTCCATATGCTTCTTCTTTTCTGAAATATGTCCATACTTTTTTTTTTTTTTTTTTTTTTTTTTTTTTTAATAATAATAATAAAAAAGAAATAGAAAAAAGTTATTTAGATTTAATGAAATATATGACGATAATAAATGCCCTTCACGATTCTTTCTTTATCATGTTCATATAAATAATGAATATGCATTACCTTATCACAATGATCACAGTGAAAATGATTGGGAAGTTCATCCTTCTTCATGACCTGGCCACATCGATCACATTTAGCATTGTTACGAAGGCAAAAGTTGGTGTGCAACATTATTGTCCGTTCTGGAATCCATGATCCACAGTTGGTACATTCTTGGTACCCTGGCGCATCCTTATTGGGGATCTCTTGCTGTTGTTGTACATTTGTTGTTGCTCCTGAGGACGACGACGCTGATAAAGATTCACCATCATAATACCGTACTACAATACTATAGCGAACAATTCCTTTTACTGTTTCTGCCGTTGCCATTGCTGAGCTAGAAGATGCTTCTGAAGTCAAAGAAGAAGTAGAAGAGGCTCGCCCATAAAGACCAATGTGTATAAGTTGTGATCCGTCTTCTTGCTTCCTCGAGTATTCTTGATCGCTAGCAGGGATGGTGATGACTCGTGGATTCAATGATTCAAAATTGGCCCAGATGTGGTCCTCTAGAGACACGGGTGCTTTTGTTGAAACCACCACATCTAAATCCTCTGTATCTACTGACACTGCTGTTGTTGTTGGCGGTACTACATTTACTGTGATCTGGATACCAGAGTTACGGTTCGGAATATCAATCGACCAACATTGGTAACTATCCACGACTACTTCTCCATGACTTTCAAAACCGATCTTTAAAGATCGATCCCTACTTGAATTCATCATGTGGGACAAACTTGTTGACATCCCATTCGTCTGAGTTATTTTCCCATTTTGTATCACAGAATTCTGCTGCTGTTGATGTTGATGTTGCTGTTGCATATCTGTCTCCAATGGCTCAATATCGACTTCCAAATCTGTATCGGTGATACAAACAGCTTGTCCTGCAGAATGTTCAGGTTTCAAATCCCCTACCAAGAACTCAAACTCCTTGTTCCCTTGTTGAACTTTCAAGATCTCTCCCTTTGTCAGTGTTGTATAATGAGATCTTAAAGAGGCTTCCAATAGAGCTCTTAAATCTAAAACTTCTGAAAAGAAATCGGTTGTCAGGGGTCGAAATTTAGCCCAAGTTCCCTTTGGTAACAGGAGATATTTGATCATAACTTGATCCCCTTCAGACACTGATAAGGAATTCATCATCCAGAGAGGTAAATGAACTTGATTATCCAAGGCAGAGAACTCTCGAACGCCTCCATGGGTTAATAATCGATTCGCAGGGTTACGGATCTGAAAAGTGAGCGGGGATGGCAAGTCCTGTTTCTTGCTTATGTTATTGTTATTATAGTAGCTGGGAGGATTCTCCCAGGAAGTAGGGTCATAGGTTGAATCGGTTTGGTCTGATGGATAAGAAGAAGGTGCAGAGGCATGGGCTTGTATGATAGATTCGAGAGCTGTTTGTGGGAGGATAATCTTGTCACCTTGAGAGAACGTTGTAGCTGTCCCAACGAGGAATGTGCTGGACCAAGAGAATGACATTGCCTCACTTGTGTGTATGTATTTGAATGTTTGAATGAATGAAAATGCTTTTTTTGGGAGGTGATGTAGGAGGAAAGAGAGATAGAAAATTATTGTGGTGACTAAAAGATATGAGATAGAGCAATATAAAGGGAGAAAAAAAAAAAAAGAAAAGGTGAGAGGGCAGATGCAATGCATTTGTTCAATGAAGTTCCATTTAAATGGATTGGTCATGACATTGTCGTCCTGACATGTACCTGTACGTCACCTATACTAAAAAGGAAATCGTGAATCTGGTGGCCTAAAGTTCTGATTGGTTAGGGATCTTCTATTCTGATTAGTTCGTTTTTTTAAAAAAAAAAAAAAAAAAAATCCATATCCAGCATTTTTTTTTAACACCTGAATGGTCCAGCACCAACAATGTGCACTCCAGTCAAAGGTTATAGCATTCCAGAGCAGTCTTTACATGTTTTTGGCTGTATGAAGAATATTGAAAGTCTACATTTTCTAACAAAAAAAAAAAAAAAAAAAGTGCACAGACCACCATCAAAAACAATAAAAGTGCCTCTAGGGGGAAAAGCTTGCCTCGCATTCGTATGAATGCTAATGCACTGGAGGCGAAATGACAGAGCTCAGGAAGATGCTTCAGCCTTCAGGGAAAACAAAAAAGAGCAAGGGTCTGAGGGAGGGAGTCAAGCTAGGTTCTGTAGCCAAAAAAGCTAGTCCAAAAAGACCAATATATAACCATACGTTAGTTTACTTCACTGGCCTTGGCACTCGAAAAATGTCGAATGCTACAAAGGCAACTACTCCAGAGAACTAAATAAAAAAAATAAAATAAAAAAAAGCTATAATGCGCAATAATATGTATCATATAGATCATGAGAAGTTCACTTTGTGGTCCTGTGAGGGAATTAGCAGCGGCTCTCTCATGATGATTTCGTCACTTATTACAACGTTTACAATAGCAAGACTGCATTGGCTCTCTATTGTATGAGTTGTTGAACGTCGTGTAGTAATAGGTCAAAAAATAAAAATATAAACGACTGTTCTATATAGTCAATTAATATCGATCTAGCAAGGCGTTCAGCAATTTTGAAACAAGAGACAGAGCCTATTGGGAAGCAAGCTCCTTCGCCACGCGGTCTTGAAAGGCAACAGATATCTGGGCACAACAAAAAAAAAGGGTTGTGTGTACTCAATGTCAGAAAGAACTGCGAACACACAAAGGCATTTCCAGGAAAAAGTTCCGCGTCGTTAGTTCCGATCAACTGTCCTTTGCTTTCGATAGCAACCGTAAAACAGCAGACCTGGAAGAGTTACGAAGCATAGCCGACTGAATAGAAGAAGTTAAAAAAGCATTCCCTTACAGTGTGAACAAACAAATAATAATAAAGTTGTATCTACACCAGAAACGCCGCGATTTCTGAAGGACGTTGTGTGTTACACCATAGAATGACACCGAGGAGGAAAATGTCGAGTTTTAATACAAGCACGCCGCACAAAAATTTTATTTGGTATCCTTCTCAATGTTCGATTGCAGGGACATGGACAAGAGAGCCTTGAGAAGTCAGGACATTTGCTTATAAAATCCGATCTCATCTGTTTCTTTTCTTTTTTCCCTTCCTTTTCGTGACATACATTACATTTGACACAAGGTAAGTAATACTTCTTTTCCCCTTCATTTATCATTCCCTAGTACCATCTTCTCATCTCTGTTTTTTTTTCTTTTCTTTTCTTTCCTAGCCACCCATCAATAACAAAAATATACGACAAAATGGGCAGAATCAATAATGTGCTTGCAGTGCTCGTCTTCTGCTTAATGTTCCTCAACGTAACCATGGCTTGGTCCTGCTACTGTGTTGACTGTGGATCTTCCTCATGTGTTCGCCGTAAGGAAGTCACCAAACAAGTTTACTTGAAGGGCGCGAGGCACTGGTGGCAAGGCTGGAAAGATGACCAATACCATGTTTACAACGTTAAAACCGACGAGAAGAGCTGGTTCTACGACTTGTGCAAAAGAAATGGAGCTATGGGTGGCACTTGCTTTTAAAGGAATCGAATTGAAGTATATAGCTGGAGGAAGAAGAGGATTTGAAGTAAATAAAATATTATAAAAGAAATAGAATCCTTTTCATACAGCACATCTAGAATAGCTCCGCACCTAAACTATGAGGGCTTCCAAGCCCTCGTGTCTTAAGCGTAGCTCCGCATTAGAGAGTGCAGAGCGCTAATATAGGGGTACTGGAGCATGGAAGCATAGAATGGAGTGACAACAGTCTATTTGCTGTTAGCTAAAGGAGTTAGGCGCCGTATCATGAGAATAATATAGGATACAGCGTTTTTGGCCTTCATGGCAGCTGAGGTAAGCGTCAACCGCAAGCTGTGTCTGGGCAGTATTTGTGTCAATAGCTATAACCACATCGCGTGAACGAATACTCCCTCGCTCTAGCTAAGCCACATTTGTTCAAAATGACACCGTCTTCTTCCATTTCAAGAGGAATCACCTCTTTCAATCCTTTCAATCATGAGTAACCCACGCTACGCTTCTGGCAATCGCCATGGTACTAAGTCGGACGGCACTTACTATTACGTGAATTCCCCGAATTCATACTATTACAACAATAGTAACGGGTCGTATTACTATCAAAATTCGAACGGTTCTACCTATTACGCCAACCCAAGCACCGGTACCGCTCGCTACACGACCCCAAGTGGCCATACTGTCAAGCTCGGCTCCGACGGCAAAGGCCGTTAAGATTTTGTGAAAACGCGGCACCTCTACCTTTTTTCACTATCAGTCTCCTTGTGGAGTTTTGTATAAATGAACATTCATAACTTTTTTCCCTGCTCGTCTTTTTGAACAGGTTCCTCTTTTTATTCCTGCAAGGTGCTGCTAACAATTGGGGCATCATTATTCTTGGCTGAATAAAAAAAAATTCAAACACAACACCTTCTAGGTCTTTGTGAGACGCCCATCTTTCATAACCAGTGTCTTATTGATACGAGGGAATTGATAAAGTCCAAATGTCTCTAACCCAAACTCTTCAAGAATATTTTTGCTTGAACGGTCTTTCATAGCATTAGTGGCGAAGCAAACGGCTTCCTGATGAAATGTCTAACTTCTGATACTAAACTATTTCTCTTGTCAGAACAAATAGAGGTGTCTTTTCTTTAGATACAGGAATTTAAAAAGCTTCGTTGTAAATTAGATAACTAAAAAAAAAAAAAAAAAAAAAAAAAAAAGCAAATTATCTTTAATCCGTTTTTTTTCTCCTCTATAATTCATCCAAACCCTCAGTGAATAAACCACATCGATACTATTTAACAAAAGCGTGAACTTGATAAAAACCTTTATGTTTGTTATATTTGTGTTATTTGTTACAAAGAGGTAGGCTCGTAACCAGCCTGTGCGGCTTGTGTGCAATGCACTAACGCTCACTGACAGAGGTGAAGAACTTGGATATGGGTAAAGGATTGATTGTTTCTCACTGACCATTTCATACATACAGACGCTACAGGCTTCCTTCAGTTGCTAGACACCTTCTAATAGGGAGTATTCATGTGATGGCTCTCTAAGAGCGATCCTTTCCGTCTTCTTCTGCCACTCACTACGCCCTCAGTGTCTTTCAATATATACCTATAAGCTTACCGAGTTCTTTTTTTAAGTATCGATGCAATATCCCTTCTCATTGATTTTGGGTTACAACTCTGATAAACGTATGCCATTTCAGGTGTCCGCGATGAAGTCTGTTGACATGTGAACATCCCATATTCGCCTATATTTGCCGATCTTCCAACCTCCTTTATATGCTTTCATCTAATCCCTCTTCATGGTCGCACTGTACAACCACATGTGCATGGTTTGGCTTGGCCTGCGCTCATACAAATAGCCCAAGCTTAAAATTTGCATCCGCGAGATACTGTATAATCCAAGTGTGTGATAAAGGTTCTTTAAAAAATATTTATCAATAGCCATACTGGATACGGGTGTTGGGTGTTTGAGATAGGCATGCGTGTTTGCGCTTAGTGGCAGAGCTGCTCGAGCTTGCAAGCTACATCTCAGGTCATGTTCTACATTTTAACGGCTCAAAGATCCATTTCCATCCTTGAGTATAGACAATTTACAGTAGGATGTATATTACCAACAACAGTGATTTCTATTTGAGAAAGAGCCTGAACTCACAATGATCAAGGGCACTCAATTTGTAATATTTCAGACAAACAATGTTTATTGCCAACTATTTGTTATTCTACCACGCCCAAACTGTGCACTCATCTTTTTCTTTTCCTCTTCCTCCTCTTCCTCCTCTTCCTCCTCTTCCTCCTCCTTCCTCTTCCTACCTTCATCTCCTTCCTTCCTTCTCTCTCCTCCATCTCTCTTTCATTGTGTGTGTGTCTGTGTGTGTTTGTCTGTGTGTTTGTGTGTTACTTCTCCTCCAATCTCACCCTCCTTTTTTTTTCTTTCTTGTATAGATTTGTTGCTTATAAGCATGCTGGTGCCATCACAGACATGGTTCTCATTAGGATAGTTTTCATCGAATGTCCTCAATAAGCGCCAAAGCTTACCCTCCCAACTGATTGTGCTCTTACCACGACTTAACCATCTGCTTAGCTCGGAAGATACCATGTCGCGTTGTTATATGCCTAGATCCTTGACAAAGCACCACCTACCGGAGTTACTGCCTCAGTCTCAGAAGCTGCAGACTCTCGCTCTGCAGGTCCTGACTTGGTGCCATGCATCTTAATAATATAGACATCTGCAGGAAATAGAATAAAAGCTTAGTAACAAAGCTTTTAATGCCTTGGCTGTGGATAGGACTGCTGAAGAACCCTCCACTTTGCTTTCACACAGCCTCAGCATATAGCTAGGTAAACACACTAAACAAATGGGTTCTAATATACCGATCTTTGGGATAAAGCGCAGACTACACCAATTAGAAGTTGAGTAAAAATATAATAAAATAAAAAAAATCAGCACTGTAGAAGCCTTCAGTTTCAATACAAGTTACATCACTTAGCACTCTCACTGTTATTATTGGTTCTCACTTGGAACTTGGAAACATCTACTTCAATGAGCAAGAAGGAAATAGAAAAGGGTCTCAGCTTACCTCGAGAGCCTGATACTCACAGCATCGAGTAAAGAATGAACACCTTGAGCACTTGATGACCTTGAGATCTTGAGTATCTTGAGCATCTTGGTTGACTTGGGTACTTTAGCTTCTCGAGACTCTAGCATTTAAGCTGACTGCAGTTGGTGACCTTGAGTATTATATTTTGACTCGAGGTTTTCCTATGCTCTATATCCAATGTCCCGTGTCGTTTGCCCTAATGTCATTTGAGCTATATCCTATCCACTATGCTCAGAAAAAAGCACGCCCGACGTAGCGTCAACCGTTCTTACAGATTCGTTTATTCACTCCTTGATTCCTGCTCAAATGAATCGTTTAACAAACAACAATCAACCAAAACCTTCATGCCTCCAAAGCGGCTAATCATTCGCTTCTGTATTCGGAAAAAAGATGGCTGCGAGGAAGTTTTGCTCTAGGAGATGAAAGAAAGGTGTACACCAGCAAGACGAGCTAATGCTTTGTTGAACAAAGAGTTTTTTTTTTTTTTTTAAAAAAAAATAAAAAATAAAAAATAAATAAATAAATAAATAAATAAATAATAACACTAAGAGTTATAAAGAGTGTCAGACTCTTCGCCTGTCTGCAGATGAGCAGACAGCCCAGGACGCACCACGAGGAGGTGGTCTGACTAATGCGCCCCGCTGGCCCCGCAACTCTCTGACAGTCCGCCGACCGATCATCAACGAGTACAAACAACCACACCTGTTGAAGCGCTGGAGCAACATTTTCGCCTGGTTCGCACCTGTGGTGGACCAGAACTACTGGCTGATGCAACGCCGCGGGGAGACGCACCAAACACATGTAAAGTGCCTGAGTGAGGAGCAAGCTTGGCGGGGGAAAAGAGAGGTATTTATACATCCAGTGACTTTTTTTTTCATGCGAAACTATGGAGACAGTGATGGAACTTGACAATGGGACTCTTGCTGTCAACAGTGCAAGGCTTTTGGCAAAAAAAAAAAGAAAAAATGACGGTAACAACATTAAGGAAGGATTCAAATCGCCAAACTGTCGTTCGTCAAATAAGGTTTGCTTTTATTTGTTGGACGTGTCCCTGAAACCAATTTGTGATTTTAAAGGATTGACTGAATAACAAACACATATTCAGCATTTTGCTTTTTTTACGCCTTATTCAAGAAGAAGATTGATAATAGATAATCTGCGCACCTGTGATGTCATTCGTTAATTTTCATATGCTTGCAAGGTGGAGGAAGAAAAAACTCTCACGGTGTAGGTGGAAATAGCATTAATAACATTCTATCCTCAAAGATATGCAGGGTCATACATGCAACAGCACAACAAGAGCACGAGCCACATTGCTCTCTTTGTATGGCATACAACAAAGAAAAAAAGAAAAACAGTGCAGTAAAAGAACGAGATTCAGAGCACAAACTTGTTAAAGCTCGCATACTCTGTTTATCACTAGTATTTAGCTCGAGTACCTTTTAGTTCTTAGTAATAGGGCCCATCAGGCACTTATCAGTCAAGTTTACTATTTAGCTCTCTTCTCCCATTCTCGCTCTTCATCTCTAACAAGGAAGAGGATAAACTATCGTGGGAACTATGCTGCGGCAGTTTTTGTCCGAACAGACTTTTTTTTCTTTTTCCCTTTTTTTCTTCCTTTTTTCCTTTTTAGAACGCCAAAATAATACAACACGCCATCCCCTCAATATGTGCTTTTTATGGGTCGACATGTAAACGTTGATACTTTGTTTCCTCATTTTCATATGAAATATGACAGGGATATCAAAGACCCGTATATTTTTTTTATTTGTTGTTGATATTTTATTGGTCGCTCTTGAGCGTACAGCAAGCAAGGTACTTGGTGTATCGCGCCTTGGAATCCGACCACTGCTATTTTTCTCTTTCTCCTCGGTCTCCTCGACTATCGGCCCCGATCAAGATGAAAGGTAAGCAGCACTCCCCAAACAGCCACTCCTACTGAAGTTCACAGCTTTCCCAGTCTATGCTTCATCGTCCTTATTTCGACCCTTCTTTTTTTCTGTCTACTTCTCCCTCTATTCATGCTACCCTTAGACTGCAAACCACACAAACTCCTAGCCAGCTACAGAGCAAAGCCAGAAAACGCCCTGAACAAGCCAGAAGCATAGAAATAAAAATAAGAGCTTAATCAGAAAAAAGCACGGTCCATCAAAGTACCCTCGCCGCCGACATCAAGTAAGTTACAGTGTATGCGTAGCTTCGCTTTGTTTTGCCTGTGACTACCTGTTGTCTATCCTATCACCAAAACAAATCCAGTATACTTACCGCCTCGCCCTCACCCTTTTGCCTTCTTTCTTCTAGCCGTAACAGGGGCCAATAACCCTGGAGCCACGGTGACGATCATTCCAAAGCCTGCCATGAACCTATGCAGTGCTTACCGAAATGGGATGAGAGCAGTACTGTAAGTGCAATCCCTTTTAGAGTCTATGTCGTGCTTTCCTGTCCTTTATTGTCTTTGTACTGGGGAGAGCTCTGCTGTGTTCCCAAATATTCTAACCACGTGTTTGTTTGTTTTTTGTCTTCTTTCTTTAGAGGCCTAGCTGCTTAGGACCTAGTCCGCCGGGCCCTCTACTGGGCCCCCTTCCACTCGCCCGCCGACCTCACGCAGTCCCTTGAGGAGAGATCATTGCAGTAGCCCTAGAGGACTTCTAGTCTCTGGGCCTCGCTTTGATCGGAGCGCTCTTGGTACTTTCGCGTAGGAAATATAGGTATAAGTACTTAGTGGTATATCGATGCGCCGAATCACTCCGGATTAGGCCAATTACGACCGTGCTGCGCGTGGTCGTGCAATTGTACTGCCATGTTGTGTAACCCTGTTTCCTGCCGTCTGAACCAAGGGGGCTTTGGTCAAAGCGAGGCTTCATTGACTGATTGTTCGATAGACTACTGCAATGAGACTTCAGCTTGGAGAAGCGAGAGCAAGGCCCAACAGGCACCAGACACCAGACACAAACACACTTACACACAGACAAACACACACAGACACACACAATGAAAGAGAGATGGAGGAGAGAGAAGGAAGGAAGGAGATGAAGGTAGGAAGAGGAAGGAGGAGGAAGAAGAGGAAGAGGAGGAAGAGGAGGAAGAAGAAGAAAAGAAAAGAGGTGAGTGCGCAGTTTGGGCGTGGCAGAATAACAAATAGTTGGCAATAAACATTGTTTGTCTGAAATATTACAAATTGAGTGCCCTTGATCATTGTGAGTTCAGGCTCTTTCTCAAATAGAAATCACTGTTGTTGGTAATATACATCCTACTGTAAATTGTCTATACTCAAGGATGGAAATGGATCTTTGAACCATTGAAATGTAGAACATGACCTGAGATGTAGCTAGTAGCCGGATCTGCACGGAATGTCTCCAATTCGCCCTTAGTGGCGGGAATTCGAGAGTGGCTTCATCAGCTACACCGCCAAGGAGTTTACCTCCGTCATAAATATGGTGCATGGGATAAACCATGGCACGCATACCTGGGAGAGGAGCGCATCATGAGATGGTGGAAAGCTTGATAACAGATTCGATTCGAAAAAAAAAAAAAAAAAAAAAAAAAAAAAAAGACTACTTCTCAATTAACCAGAAGGTAGGGGGGGATTTTCACAAATAAGGGTTTTACCAAAGAAAGGAAAGCACCCTGTGGTATTTCCCAGCCTAGTATTTACTCTGGATTACAAGCGCACATAGAGTAAATTACAAGTATGAATACGATAGGAAAAGAGTATCGAGAACAGATGGAGCTTGTGACATACGAAACAACGTATTTTAAGCAACACACGTTAGTTTTTTTTTCTCATATATTCTTATTGAGAGCACAGACCCGCCAAGACATGAATGGCCTTGTCTACACGTCCTTGCTACTTATCTCTGAAAAAGTGGCGCTTCAGCACATCTATAATTCTTGACGTTCAAGGGTCTTTGGATTTGTCCAGTAGCATCTGCCATAAAAATTTAAATAGGAGCACGTGCAAAATGTTTTCAAGACGCAATTTGAGCAACATTTGTATTGTACCATGCCATTTCGGAGCTAAACAGTCCGAAGCAAGTGGGGTTGTAAAAAGATCTCTTGTATAATTCGGGTTGTGGATTGAATGAATTGTAATCTCTCCACTCCATCACTCCTCTCTATTGACATTTTGCACTAAAACAATAAAGCACCATGAACACAGTCAAGTGCATCAGAGCCTCTCAGGCAGTGGTTGCTGCTAGTGTCCGTAATGTTAACGCTATTGCAATCCGCACACTCTCATCCTCTACAGCCGTTGCTCAAAACATCCGCCACGACCTCAAACAGGCTGTCAATAGAGATACAACTTGGAGCGAGAATCAAGTTGAAAAGAAGATTGCATTCAAAGGCCCCCGCTTTGAACATGTGGATATTGAGGCTCAGGTAAATGCACCAGATTCTTAAAAAAAAAAAAAGAGCAAGCAGATGGATTCACAGAATTTTATTCAGGATTCCGGACAATCCGAAATCCAGGGACATTACAAAAGGATGAAGGAATTCTGGAATGGAACAGTTTCAACCTTCACTAGGATCACACAATAACTGACTCTGTACAACTTTATCTCTCATTTATTATAATGATTACTACCATTGCCATTTTTACTTATTACTTCAAACATCAAGCCTAAACCACGCGCTGCTGTTGAGTTGATTGCTGAGGAGCCTATTCGTTTGGTTGAGGGTCGTCGTGCACGATGCGATGGAGGCGGAGGATCCTTGGGACATCCTGCTGTTTGGATCAATTTGGTAACTATCGATCATCACTATTTCTGATAAGATTTGAAGCACAAAAGGAGATGTCATTGAATACTTTCCTGTATCTAATCGTGTCAACTTTTTTTTTCTTCGCCTTATTTCTATCTGATTCAACTACATAGGATCGTCCTGGCGCTCATGCATGTGGATACTGTACGTTATATTAGTTTATTAAGCGTTTAATATCAATTGATGTATGCTGGTACGAGTGTTATGTAGAGACAGAGTGATTTGACTAAATACCCATTTTTTTTTCCCTTTTCTTTAATCTGATCCAGGCGGCATCCGTTTCGAGCAGAAGCCTCATCATCATTAAAAAAACTATTTGAACTGAACGAACGCAAATCAAATATTTTCTCGTCCACAATTTTTTTCTACCCATATCCGACTTTGGACGGTTATTCACTTAAACACACAGCACGATACACAATATGACGCTCACGATAGAGGGACAAGGAGCGAAAGCAGAAGTATGGAGAGGCTTATTCTTATTCACATATAATATGAAGAAAAACGACTCATCAATAAATTCCTGCGAGCATGCCTTGTCATAGAACTGGAAATAGAACTTTTTTTTTTTTTTATTTACCGGCATTGATTTTATTTATTGATATTATTTGGTTACGTAGGTGTTATCTTATTACTCTTGGCAAAGTTTGGAATAGAATATTGGTTGTTTGTACTTTCTCGCGACGACTCTCCTACATCATAATCATAAGTCACTAACTTTAATAATGGTAAGGATTGTAAGACCTGTTTTTCAAATGCTGTCCTGAAATCCAGATCTAGTAGGGTCGATGGCTCAGGCTCCATCGTTCCTTCAACAATGGGTGCATAAATGGGGGTCGGAGCTGAGTCGGTACTCTTGTTAGAAACACGTTGAGGCTCTACCAATAACCGTAGGTATTCTAACTGTTTTAATGCACAGATTTGATCCGTAATTAACTTCGGAAACACTTCCATTTCAGTTTCTTCGAACCGCAATGTCAATTCTCTCAACCTCAAACAAACCCAATCCACTGTCGCAGAAAAGCTGCGGTTGTTGTTGACTGTAGATTTGGCTTTGTCTTTGGCTCTAGTCTTAGCTTCTTCTTTCATGTCAATCACGCTCAAGATGGGCGATTCATCATTAATAAAGAAATCATTCCGAGCCAATAGAGGCATACCATGGAAACTCACGAGATTTGGACACGATACCAAAATCGCCTGAATATCCCGACCTTGAACTGCAGAGCAACTCGCAAGGCAGATATCTCGTAATGTGAACCCATATCTCGATTGTTGCAATAACAACGTATTGATCGTCTCGATGATAACAACCTATTCATTTTACCCTTGAAGGACTCTATCCCGGTCTGGCAGGCATTGATCACCCTTGCAATTTGTATTGTAGTACGCGAAAAATCTAGTCGGCAAAGTTTCGGTAAATAGTTTGTAATCGTTTCCATCAGAAGCTGAGATTCATTATGATCCAGGAATCGTAGCTCGATTAATTGGGGACACTTTTTCAAAAATGCGACTAGAGTAGGAATGAGGCCCGAAGAAACTACCCTGGCGAAATTCAGGTGTCGAATTGTAGTCTCGGGCATCTCTTCTAACTCCTTCATCTCCTCCTCACTTGAAGTTGTAGGACAATAAGGATAACAAGCTACTTCGAGCGATTCTAACCGATTACAATGCCGAAGCAAGATTTGTAGATCCCTTAAGTGAATGGCTTTTGCTGGTAAGAGTGAAAAGTCCTTTAGGGAACTATGGTGGCAGAGGACTTTACTCAGACGGATGATAAAATGAGATTCATAGACAAAGTGATCAAGCTCAAACGTGTGCAAATGCGGGCAAGCTTCCACAAATGTCAGGATCTGGTACAGATATTCATTGTTGTGCCCAGTACTGAGAAGGTCGCATGGGAACGAGAGACATCGAAGAACCTTCAAGTTCGTCAACACAAGAGGCTCAAAACTGGACACTTGTGCTGGCAGAGGTGGTGCAAATTTGGAGGGCGACAAGTGGAGACGACTAAAGGCGGTCGAATGAATGTTGCCTTGAGCATCCTCGCCGCCTTTGACCTTGCATTGATCCTCGATTTCATTATTCATTTTGATGATATTATTGTTGTGGACATCAACGATGGCGTCAAGGCTAGATTTTTGTCTTTGCACCTGCTGGTGCTGTAGTCTACGCAATCGCTTCCGTTCTCGTTTATTTCTTTGAGGATTCGGTTGCAGCCATGGGAAAAGCTCCCCGCGATATGTTGTTATTGAATGTATCAAAGAAGCCCTGTTTTGGGAAAGCAAAACAGAATGAACTTCTTCAGCTCGAAAGCGTTTTAGGCTACATTTAAGGAAAATGCGAATGTCATGCCAGAGAAATGGGATAAACGCATCATGCCAAGCATGTGAGACGAGAATACATTGCTGAAGGTCTTTTTTTGACAGACTCTCGGAAATGAGCTCAAGAATAAGTGGAATATCAAAGATGGTGACACTTTGGTTTGAAAGCATGGTCAGAAAAACATCAGCCATTAAATGGATGAGAGGATTGAGTCGCATAATCAGAGTCCAACGCGACAGTTCAAGTGTGGCTGTGCACTGTAGACCCGTTCAAAAAATTCAGTGTGCTTCACTGGTTCAAAATCAGGAACTTGTAAGCTAAATCCAACTAAGCTTATCTGTTTTTCCAAAAGGCTGTGGATGGAAGAAAGTGTATATTTCAAGTTAGCGGCTTGGCCCCTGCATCATCGTTTTTACACTCGTGCTTTCCCACATTCATAAGATGCAGACGGTCAGTAATAAGACGAATTATTTAAAAAAAAAATGCCACAATATTTTCAAGCCAATATTGCATGACCAGATAAAGCACTAAGACGATTAAGAAAAGGATGTCTTTGCATCCATTATTTGAACTTGCAACTCTCTCCTGAATTACCAATCCTATATTAGCAGTGAGGCTCTAAACCTTGGCTCATTACTAAATAGTATATGGTACCCACCCAATTTCCCTTTTCGGTGTACTAGAAGAAAGTGAGTGAGACAGAAGGTGATCGCTAGCTCGCGTAAAAGACGTCCTCTGTCGTCTTAATGTCCCATTACACCACCATCCCTCTCCTGTGAACCTTGAAATTAAAGGTATTTGTGATATGAAGAATGAGATAATATGCGAAGGAGGATGCCCTGTAGATTTATACTTGTCATGTGCTCGTTCTTCCTGACTACGATGCATACCAGCTTGATGCCTTTCAGTTTGAAGTGTCACTATGAGCTATATTAAGTGAATAGTCGAAGATTTTAGACAGGGTGGAGGCTTCTTGCCTTTTTTGAAGGATAATAGATATGTGGCTGTTGGATCTAAATAAGATAGTTTTCTCAACTGTATTTTTTTATCATGAAGGCTTTTGCGAAAATGCTTGAAGTGCAATGAAAATTGTCAGGTTGATAATATTTTTTTATTTCCTATTGCGTGCAAGGAATCCTAGGATATCTGAGCAGGAACTCATTCTCTTACCTGAACATCAAAGATGTATATACTTCGTCTTTGCATCGACTGTGTACTGAACAGATTGTTCCATGGAAGGAACGCCTACCTGAGATGTTTTCCTTCTTGCTCATCCGATGCTTGGACTAAAAACACGCCGCACAAAAAGACAAGGTTCAAATAGAGACGTGATTTAATGTATTAAATTAACCCAAAGCGTATAGTGTCCTTGCCCAAATGTCAGAAATGTTTATAAAACTCGATCTCACTCTTTCCTTTCCTTTCCCTTTTCCTTTTTTCCCTTTTTTTTTTCTTCACAACCAGTGCAACAACTCAACAAATCCAATTCAAGGTATATTATACAATCCTCCTTTATTCGTCCACTCCCAACTTCTAGTATCAACTTTCTCAAGCTCGACTAACATCTTATCGTTTCTTCTAGTCCTTTAACATAATATACAACGAAATGGCCAGGGTCAACAATTTCCTTGCAGTACTAGTCTTCTGCTTAATGTTCCTCAACGTAGCCATGGCCTGGAGCTGCTACTGTGTTGATTGTGGATCTTCCTCGTGCGTCCGTCGTGATACCGTCACCCGTACGGTGTACGAAAAGGGCTCCAAACAATGGAGATTGTCGAGCCGCGATGGCAAATATCACGTCTATAATATCGATGGTGCAGACAGGAGCTGGTTCAACACGTTGTGCGACAGGAATGGAGCTATGGGTGGAACCTGTTTCTAAAGAAAGAACGATAATCATCCCAGGATAATTAACCATAGTGGCGATAAGACATAACACAGTAGAGCAGAACAATAAAGGCGCAAGGCAAATAAATTACTCTATGGTCCTTGATGGCTCTTTTGCTTTCTCTTTCATACATATATACAGTCTCGTCTGCATGGTGACTCTACTCTTTTCTTGTCTGTGATTGTTGAAAACCTTGTATTGAAAAAAGGGCAATTATGTTTGACTGCATAAATCAAGGATAACGGTTCTACATGCCAATTAATAAAATGATCAAAAAATTACAAATAAGAGGGAGAGTTTACTGGGAAGCTTCTTTATCATAGAAAAAATAGAAGCTTGAGTTGGGGATCCCAGGTCAAGAATTGCGGGGGCACACAATGTTTTTTCTACGAAAAGAAGAATGAAACTTGTGTCATTGGTTATTCTCGATTATAACCAAAATTGTTCGGCTTTGGAGCTTCAGAATATAGCCGACTGAATAAGAAAAGAGCAGATGGATTCCCTTGTTGTATGAGTTTGGAGGAATAATATTAATGCAAAAGACGCCGCAACGTTCGTTGTGTGTAACATCACGTATTAAACAGTTGTGCATTCTCTCACCGCGCCGATAAACCTTGCTCTTACACGCCGCACAAAAAACTTAATATTCAACATCAGGAACATCTGCAGGAAGCAGAGGGCCCGCGTCATTGTCCCTTGCTTGGAGAAGCGTTTATAAAACTCGATCTTGCCTGGCTCTTTTTTTTTTTTTTTTTTTTTTTTTTTCTTTACTTTTAATTCACCAATAGCTCTAATTAAGGTAAATACTGTTTAAGGCTATATTCTTTCTCCTTCATCTATCCACCTCTCTCACTCTTAACTAAAATCATCTCTCTCTCTAGCTCATCATTAACTGATTATACGACAAAATGGCCAGAACCAACAGCGTGCTTGCAGTTCTCATCTTCTGCTTAATGTTTCTCAATGTAACCATGGCTTGGTCTTGCTACTGTGTCGACTGTGGAGCTTCCAAGTGTGTTCGTCGTGAGGAAGTCACTCGCACTGTATTTAAGAAGGGTTCAAAGCACTGGCGTCAGGGCTACAAGAATGGTGAATACCATGTATGGGCCGTTGAAACCGGCGAGAAGAGCTGGTTCTACGACTTGTGCGATAGAAACGGGGCTCAAGGTGGCACTTGCTTTTAAAAGGGAGTCAAGCATTTGGCTGAAGGAATAAAAGGAAGCGAAAAAACAAAATAAATAAAAAAATATCATTTTATACGACACTTCAGAAATAATTATGGAGCTATACGATGAGAACGCTTAAATCCTTATACTCTTGAGGACGGCTCTGTTCTAAATAGTATAAAGTACCAACCTCGGGGGTCTGGGACGCAGAAGCGTAGAGTGGGTAACAGCTTTTTAAATATCTATTAAGAAGGCAAAATACCGCCGTATTACGAGTCCAATGCAGGATGCGAGGCCACTAGTTTCTACACCCAAGAAAGAGCGAGCTCCTTTGCAGTAATGGACTGCGATGCCGAGGTAAGTACAACAGAGGAATGGGAGGATCGACTTCAACAACAACTGTAGCGGCAGTTTCATCCTATGGAGCGGCGGACATTTTTTTTTTACAAAGCTAAGATTAACGACTATACCTCAGGAAGGATTAAGCTTTCGCCTTAAAGGCTCCAGTCACATCGTCATTATAATCAATTTTGTGAGATTCTGGAGAAATAATTGATTATTAAGCCTTTTATAGGTTTATAAGAGGATATCTTTAAACAAGCAGCTCTAAGGATGCGTTGCAAAAAGGGACACATGGATGGCTGCAAGGGATAGAGGAGCATCTCGTAGCGTTAAATGCCCTTATGAAAAAGTTGGAGTCTAGATCAACACTATTGCACGACTGGTTTGCCAAGTGTTTGAACACGTAGCGGAACGGAGTGCACATGAATGGAAGAAAAGAGCTGAAGTAAATAAAAGAATATGGATATATAATAAATGAATACAATTAATACCCTTATTTAATAATAAAAAGTTAGGAGAAGAATGGGATTGAGGGTATTAGTATTTACTAAGCACTCTTCTTCTCATATCAAATACCAAGTATGCAACTGCTTTCTTCAGATACTATCCTTCCATGTCATGACTTGTTTGAAGTGTTGACATAGAGTGAAGTGCATTTTTTATTTTTACTTTTTATATGACTGGAAGCTTCAGTTCGAAAATAATTGCTATCAAGCCAAGGCGCGAGGATCAACCCAGTCATTGAGAGCTCTGTGCGGCTGAACGCACTAAGTGATAGCTACTAGGTCTTACCGTCTCTATCAGGAATCTGCTATTCATTCGTCTATTTCTTTAAGCAGTCGTTGATCGCGAGTCTTTGAAAAAACAGAACCCTCTAGCAACAAGTTATGGTGAAATTCTTATTTAGTCAGTTGGTAGTGGTCGCAAGGGTGAGTCAACAGGTTAAATCGAGCACAACACTCATGACGGGACAGAAATGTCTTCATCTCAATCTCATTATCCCATCCCAACGGCTACACACGACCATTGCCTGTCGCTCCTTGCACTTAACGTTATATTCCCGACGCTATTCCTTTAAGAGAATTCTGCCTTCCAGACTGCAAACGACATTAGAAAGCAAGGGTTCTTTGTTGACAGAAGTAACGAAACATTTCCCAAACCAAGGGGGATGCCAAGCAGGGTCAGGGATGTGGTCTTTCGATAATTTCCGTTTCTAGGGATTGACCTTGGCTAATATTGTAGGAGTGCATCGTTGGCCGAGAATGAACTATTCCATTGAGCTTTATAAACGATCTCCATCCCCGTTGGATGATTCTATCGAGAATATTGAACGGAGCCTCCCTTCGCTTCGTGACGTCCAAGCTAAGTAGAGAGAGTTGCAGTTCGCTTAGTTAACTTTACAACGAAGATGATGTGACGGCAGCAGAGGGATGCAGAAAATGCCCAGCTAATATCCTAAGAAGCAGAGGGATGAGGAAACTAAAGCGACCAGATAAAGCCAGAGTGTGGTTCGATATCGATATACGAATCATTCGAGACGTTCGTTCTTCGTGCAAAAGGTTCATGATACATAGATCAAATACTGCAAGGATATAACAGATAGTTGCAGAGTGCTAAAGCCTGCGACTATTGTATTAGTTGAACTAGCTATACATCAAGAAGTGCCTAAGGCGCTGGATCAAGATTTTTGTACAAGAACACCTGCATGAGTGATGACGGTCATTCTACCTCGAGCCCGTCAATGAGAATGGTATGCCTCTGTAGAAAAAATAAGACATTAGGGCACTAAAGCAAGAAATTGATGACACGAGCGGAGTAACGGCTAGTCAGACAATAGTCAAAAATGTGGGTGGCTGCGCACCCAAATCTTTATTACGCTTTCGTGGTCCGATTGAAATTTGCTCCTTCTTTTTTCAATCACTTTAAAATGGGTTAGTGCTGAGTACTACGAAATTAAAAAGTTACATCCATCGATCAAGACGATAATAGAGAGACAATTATATGTAATCCATCCATCGATCGACAAATCTTCGTTATTGGGAAAGGCACAAATATCTATTTGTCATACACGTCTCAGACCCTGATAGATATCTACTAGATGCCTGAATGATCATAATGACATGATTTCAAAAAGATTGTCAACAAGATTTCAATATCAAATCCAACATCAAATCCGAAAATCAAGGACTATTAAAGAGGAGAAAAATAACAGAAAGATGGATAATAAGGGGTTTGACAGACCACCAGCGCTTTCTCACAACACACCTCAACAGTTGCTTGCAGGAATCAAGGATTGTTCGCAAAAAAAAAAAAAAAAAAAAAAAAAAAAGAGGATAATGATCAATATAAGAATTGGGGAATTTACACAGGATGCAATTCAGCCAGCATAATCGAAACATGAATCTGTTGTCTTACTCTTACAGCAACAATGACTCGGACAAGTTCTTCCTTGATCAAAGCAATTAATTGTAATGGAAAACTGACGACCAAAAGAAAAACAATTACTTGTTTATTCCTTTGCACTTAATAATAGGTAAGGGAAAACCAAGAGGTCTCCAGGCTGCTCGCAAGCTCCGCACCACTCGTCGTGAGAACCGATGGGCTGATAAGCACTACAAGCGTCAGGCTCTCGGAACTGCTTTCCGTTTCTCACCCTTCGGAGGCTCTTCCCACGCCAAGGGCATTGTTCTTGAGAAGATGTACGTTATTATTTGTTCATACTATGATATATGGAACTATAATGTTTCTATGATGATATATCATGGAGTCAAAAACAAAAAAAAAAAACTAAATGGCATTAGCAAAGGACGTCAACTCTATCTCTTTCCCTCAACAACCAACATGGACATAAGACGTTATACAGGAAGATACAAACAGTCCGAACTGTTACTTTTTGCATCGAATTAGCGGACACGATTGCTTTTTCATATTTAAAGACGACTCGCAATTAAAGGGACAACTTCGTACTTCGTACTTCATACTGACAGGAGCTACAAAAAAAAAAAAAAAGAAAAAAGAGATTGCGGAAGCTGGATTTATTCACATCTATTGTTTTTCCAAAACTTTGTCATTAACGCCGCGTTCCTTCTTCGACTCTACCCTATTAATAGTGGTGTTGAGGCTAAGCAGCCTAATTCTGCCATTCGTAAGTGTGTCCGTGTTCAGCTGATCAAGAACGGCAAGAAGATCACTGCCTTCGTCCCCAACGATGGTTGCTTGAACTTTGTCGATGAGAACGATGAGGTTCTCATTGCTGGTTTCGGTCGTTCCGGCCACGCGTAAGTATCGATTCCCTTATTATTATTATTTTTTTTTTTTTAAAAAAAAAAAAAAAAAAAAAAAAAAAAAAAAAAAATTACTACATTTTAATTAACTCTCTTATTTCTATTATCTTACAAATAAAAAGCGTCGGAGATTTGCCCGGTGTCCGTTTCAAGGTCGTCAAGGTTTCCGGTGTCTCCCTCTTGGCATTGTGGAAGGAGAAGAAGGAGAAGCCTCGCTCTTAAAGGCTGACGGCACTTCCTCTTTATTTTTTTTTTTCTGCAGTCGTCTGCAGCTGTACGAAAATCTTTACAATAAATCGACAGAATCGTGGACAATCTTGTTTTCTTTAGACCCTGAATCAGAAATATTCGTTCTGTCATATATATAATTACGAAGTATGTATACAATGAAGGAATGAAATGCAGTAAGAGCATGAAAAAAAAAAAAAAAAAAAAAAAAAAAAATGGCTCTATATCCATCCATCATTGCCTGCATCCTGAACCTGGTCCTCCATTCATAGTAATAGGGATGTCGGCACGAACGCGATGCACTTTTTTTAAACAACAAGAGAGAAGTGATCTTGATATCTGTTACAGCTAGTCTGTTAGTTTTGTTATATCCCCTGTAGTGTATGATAATGACGAAGCAAGAGCGTCAAAAAAAAAAAAAAAGATCAACTTCAAAAACACCATTAAATATATTGGAGCGTACTCCACATTCTTGTAGGCTTGGTAGTAATGATCTAAGACTGATTAGACACTTTGGTGGCTTTACTATTTTCAAAAAGTGGTGTTCTGGAGAGCTTTGACAAAAATTCTTTTTCTGATCCAAAGCCAACTCTGCCTGTTTATTGTAATATGAATTAAACCGTTATCAAAGGCACAAAGAAAAAAAAAGACTTTAGATCATTATAACTGAATCAAACAGCTTCTTCGCTTGCTAAACTGGATCCTCATTGGATGTTTAAATACACCAATACATGGGCTTTACCTTTGAATGAGATCCGTCCAGCAAAGAATGTGCCTTTAAGCGTCCTTTATTGTCCTGATTTGGAACTACATCCATGATTCAAAATGGCTGCTTAGACGAGAACTCTCTATCTGGTTCAACTTCAAACCGTCACTTTTGGTTGACCATGTAATCAAATCTTTAACGGGAGCAGTAGGACTGCAGCAGAGATGACTTACATGGTTTCTAATAAAGGTCATGCTCCTCTTTTCCCTCAACTGAATATCTGGAATAAGATGAGGAAATCTGGTTACTTAACAACTCCTTCACCAGCGCAGTCCTTCTTACTCTTTTTATGTTATCGTTCTGCTAATTTAGAAGATGTCTTCAGTTGTAATTTTAATATCTTTATTCTTCATTAACTAGCCAGCTATCGATTTGTCTTTGATCCAGTCAAAGACTTGCAACTCGAGTAGAAAAGTTAATTAAATAAAAACTATTTTTCTTTTTTTAAAATACGATGGAAATGCTCCAGGCACCACATCAGATATATACTAACAATATTGGAGAGGGATAAGGATAGAGTATGACAATAAAACCACCTATATGATCTCAGATCATAAAGGGTATACAGCAAAGTCAATTTAGACAGCGCTGTTGAAGACCAAGCGGTTGGGAGAGCCGCGGAGGTTGCCAGTGATGACGTTGGGGGTGGCAGTCTGGCGCAATCTGTCGTACACAGCCTGAGGTGAGGTGAGGGAACCATCAGCGCTCATGATAAGAGCAGCAACACCAGCAACGTGAGGAGAAGCCATCGAAGTTCCAGAGATGGTGTTGGTGGCAGTGCTACCACCGATCCAGGCAGACTTGATGTTGACACCAGGTCCGAAGATGTCAACACATTGTCCCCAGGAAGAGAATGAGGCAATGTTGTCGTTAATGTCAGAGGCAGCAACGGTGAATGAGCCTTGAGCACCAGATGGAGAGCCATTGCAGGCATCAGCGTTGGGGTCGTTACCAGCAGCGACGATTGAGGGGATACCAGCATTGAAGAGGCGAGTCAAAGCAGAGTCAACAGACTGAGACTTGCCACCACCGAGTGACATGTTGACAACAGCCTTGGTGCCACGAGCACGCTGGGCAACCCAGTCCATACCAGCAATGATGCCAGAGAAGGAGCCAGAGCCTCGAGCATCCAAAACCTTGACACCGACCAAGGTGACCCTCTTGGCAACACCATATGAGCCACCGCCGATGGTACCAGCGACGTGGGTACCGTGACCGTTCTCGTCAGTGTTAGCAGAGCCAGAGATGAAGTTGGCACCCATGGTGGCACGACCTTGGAAGTCGACGTGGCCAGTGTTGATACCAGTGTCAATGACATAGGCAGTGACGCCAGCTCCAGCTTGGTCTTGGTAGTAGTAAGGAGCAGCAGAGTTGCGCTGGCGCTGAGAGACGCGAGGAAGACCCCAGGAAGGAGGGTTGGATTGCTGGAGAGTGTTGATGGTAACAACCTGATCCTCCTCAACGTACTCGACATCATCTGAAGCCAAGATCTCCTTCAAGGCAGCAGCATTGACAGTCATGGAGAAACCTTGGATGGCCTTGTACTGGCGGTTGATTGTGGACTTGCGACCACGGCCGTTCTGGCGGCGAGCAATGGCGTTGAACTTGGGGATGAAGTCAGTAACGTTCTTGCCTTCCTTGAGGACAACAATGTAAGAGTCAGGGACTGGCTTGCCACCGTTACCCCTGATCAAAGGAGCAGCTTCAACGCTGAAGAGAGCAACGCAGGATGCGATGAGGAAAATACCAGTGAACTTCATGGTTGGTGTTGTTTTTTTTTTTTTTAGGTAGAGTTAGGAAGAGAGAGGCTTTTTTTGTTAGCTAGTGAGCTGAGAAGGGTTGAGAGATCTGAAGATGTGGATGAGGAGTGAAGAAAAAAAAAGGGAAATGGTGCATTGAGGCCGTTGCTTTTATACTCGTTTTTTTTGTAGAAGCAGCAGCAGTTACTATAGTTGAATGGAAGGTTCAAAGTTGGCACTTGATGAGATGCAGAGATACAATGTGCAACTCTCAATGATGGTGAAAGCACGAAAAGGGCTCATAACAAGGTTTGTAAACATCGTAAACATCCTAACAGTCAAGCCATTCAGGGTTCATCGCCATGTCTCTGTGTCTCTTTCTCTCTCTTTCTCCTGTCCTCCAACTTTGACCTGCAGGAACATTAGAGTACATAGTTTAAAATACATAATACATTGGGGATATTACAAATTAGATGAAAAACAGGGTTCAGCTCACATTGTAGTCAGGGCCTTGACAAGCTGTAGGAAAGAGAGGGCTCTATCAAAGGATCAGAAGAGGCAAAAAGGCCAGACTGTTCAAAACAACAACAGTAATATAAACATTTATTAGCGACATTGGTTAAGAATGTATGAAAAAGTATACAATATCTCTCTGCATAATAAACATGTATTTAATAAGTAATATGAAATAAATACTGGTTTTGTTTGTTTGTTTTGCCCTGCTGATCAGGCTTTAACTTTCGGTTTCTTGCCCTGGGAAATACACAAAGCGCAGAAAATATGCATGTCCTCACATTTGAATAAAAAATGCTAGGCCTTCTTTTGCAGGCAACCTGCATGTGTCTCTTGTTATTATTATTTTAAACATGTTATTGAAGTGATCCATGGCGCATTGGTCCATGTAGCCCATTCCAGCTTGGTTAGATTGAGACCAACCAGAAGTGAATGTCTTTCTTTTATCTGTCTACTCCTCTCTGTCTATTGCATGCTGAAATATATTCTGAGCACAATCAATGTCATCTCGGCGTGTAACAACTGAACGCTTCATTCATGTCTATCCTCTCGGAAAATCTATCACATCCTTAGCCGTTTATTCTATTAGACGGAACCTGTCTCTTTTTATTTTTTTATTTTTTTATTTCATCAGCCGACATGACAAAGAACAGAGAATATGGTTTGGACCCTATTAAATGTTATGCAAGGGAGAAGGAAGTTTGATGAGGTATGACGCGAGAAATGAGATGGAGAAAGACCCTTTCCATTTACAACAATGCACACAAGAGTAACAGAAGATGCAGTATTAATTGCAATGCATTTTTACAAATGAATATTTAATGAGGAATCGGAAGAGGATGTCGGGGACTATCCCGCAAGCCCAAACGAAACAATGTATACAAATTGTAATAAATAAATGTGAGCCAGCTGTTGCAGGGTCAGAGATATGCTCTCTTGACTCTTCTCATTGTCGCGAACAGACATTTGCAACACAGACACATTATACATCTGTATAGTATGGTATGGATGTATCTGTGTTGGCAACAGAGACAATACCACACACGGACAGAGGAGAGATACATCATTAATTATGATCGTGAACCGATCTGAAAATAGCAAGGATAATGAAGATCTCATAAAGTATGTAATATATTTTATTACATATACATTTACATATATATTTCACTCTGCGAAAGAATAGAAAAAAAAGACTATCCCAAATGGAGTTGGAATGACTTTGACGCACGAATGAAAGAGTGCAGTGATAAGCATCCGATGAAGGCAAATCTCTTGTCTGCTGTCTTTCCTTATTGGCATTCCTAACTCATTGTTTGTTATTTGGCATGGACCGATACGTTTTTTTTTCTCTTCCTCGGTTAAAATGATATCGGTTTGTGGTTTATTTAATATCTATTTCATTCATTCGTTAATCCATTAATTGATTTCAAGTCGAGTGTTCTCTATGGCTATTCCAGGGAAAGGCGCGTCCGAACCACAGAACCAATGAGGCAACTCCTTTTTTCTTTATTTGTTGTTTATCTGATATATATACATATTAATATATATATCGGGTTACTGTTTAACGATAGTATATACATTCTTTAACAGCATAAACAATAGGGGATCATCTATTACCTTTATCAATCTATCAGTCATTCAATACTAAAGTGTAAATAAACATGAGAAAAAATGTAAACATGGATGGAATGACAAGTGGGCTATCCAGCTCATTTCTCTCTAAAATATACTCAGTCCCTGTCCCTTCCCATCAGCGCTTTCTTTTTTGTAAACACAGAGCAACTCCTCACCACCTCAGTCACTGTAATAAAAGAGGGTTATTGCGGATGCATAGATGCTATTACAGCGTTTGCATTTTCCTATTTGCTTTCAACATGACGGTATATAGTATTAAATCTCTCTCCTTCCTTGTATGAATGAATATTTGTATGGAATTCTATCCATTCTTTTTATTTTCTTTTTGTTTTTGTTTTTGAAGTCGATGGAAGGGGAAGCTGGTTGTTGTTGCTCATGAAATAGCAAGCAATCATGCATCAGGGTTAGGTATAGCCGACTAAACGGCTGCATGCTTCAATAAAAATGAAGCGTTAAAAAATGAAAATGCAAAACAAACAAATGCGATGCCAACATGGTCTCCTCATCCCTCCACGGAAAATCGATGGCGACATCTGATGGGAATCAAGCTAGTTGAGCCTTATCATTGGCTAGATTCTAAAAAAAAAAAAAAAAACATAACAAGCATACCATGGTCCCAACACAGGACAACAGAAAACAAACAAGCAATAAACAACTGTCAAGCAAACAGAGAAGAACAAAGCTAGGCGACAGGCCTTACTGCTGTTCAGCAACGAGCTTATTTTTTTTATTTTTTATTTTTTTTTCAAACACTTCTCAATTCCACTTTTTATGAGATAGTTTATACGACGAAGAGGTTGACTTCAATTTAGACGACATGGATGAGTATGAACAGTGGGAAGAAAACATGTATGTTACTCCTGTGATTTTTATTGTTCAACCTGCAAGTAGAGATGTGGTGCTTATTTTCTTTGTACAAACCGCTGATTGTACTCTATTTTTCTACCGAAATCCTTGCTTAGTGTGGATGCTGCAGCAGACGTACAGGCATACGATGGGCCAGAGGAGCAGCGTTTGCTTCAAAAGCAGCTGGATGATGAGGCCCCATTCCTTAGGGATACTATGCCTGAAGGCCGTCATATACCTGTCATCGTCAAACATAATTTGAGGCAATGTCGAGAACTCGCCCAGCGAAGCCCTGATTTTTTTGTTGTGTTTGCTGTTGTGTTTGCTGCCGTGTTCTCTACTTTGAGGATGCAATCACAATAAAGATGAAAGCAGGCTCGGCTTTGGATTTGGATGCGACTAAATGGCCTTGTCTGCAGTACGTTCGCACATCAACGATGAAAAACAACATCCCTGTAGCGTGTGCAAGCCATAGACTACTGACAGAGAACACCCTGGAGATGGTAAGCACCCTTAAAAAAAAAATACATTTTTTTTAAAAAAAAAAAAAAAAACTAATGTTATACATTATCTGAGTAGTAGATTGACTTCATCAACATGTACTGGAGTAACTCTCTTCGGCACACAACAGAGGATGACAACGTAATAATCGAGAACCAAGCCCCGCAACCTCTTCGAGCCTTAACTTTGGCAGACTTGCCGTATGTATGTAAGATTATCACCTGGATAAACCAAATTGGGTAAATAATCCAGTCTTTCATTAAGCTCCTCGTCAGATAAAGGATGGGACTCAGCGGACGAAAAGTCCGTTAGACCCGCAAAGGATCTGCCATAGAATAATGAGAATGGTGTAGAGCCATGTAGGCTGACGGCTTTGACATTCAATTGAAGTTGAGTCATGGGTAAATATTTGTCCCATTCTTCCTCATGACCTTCAAGCTGCTTCTGGATGTCATCCTTGAGAGCTCGAACAAACCTTTCTGCTACACCATTCGATCTAGGATGATATGAAGTAGATAGTCTGTGATCTATCTTTAACTTTTCATTCATGAGTTTGGAAAGCCCATTGACGAATTCAGTGCCATTATCGCTTTGGATGATCTTGGGGAACCCAATCATGCAGAATAATGAGAACAATCGTGCAGCAACAGTACTGGGCTCTTTATTCAGTAATGCCTCTAGTATGACGAATCCTGTACAAACGTCTACTAACACTAACGCGAAATTGTTGCCCTTCGTGCTGGTTTTTAAAAGATGCCAAATCAATGGCAATGTGTTCCCCTGGTAGATTCGCATGAATGGCTTTCAGCGGATGATACCCTTTGCGTACAATATTAAAATGCTGGCATTTTCTGCACTGACTGACCCATCTAAGACAATCGTCTCTAAGTTTGGGCCAAGTGGCCCCTTGCTCATGAATTGCTTTGACCATTGCATTTCCTCCTAGATGGCCAAATTCATGTACTTTTTGAAGACATGCCTTGCGTTCTTCAGCATCTAAGATGGTGTGCATGGGAGTATCCTCATTTTGAATAACATGAATATAGGAAGGCTCTGGGCCAGACTGGGATTGGGATATCTCTGCTACGACATCACTTAGATCATGTCTTCTGGCCGCTGCAATCGAAGGAAGATTACTACCACCAAAAGTAATTAATTCAGATTGATTTTGCCATGGTTCCTCAGGGAATGCACGCGACAGGGCATCAGGGATCACATTTAATAGGCCAGGTCGATATACGCACTCAAAATCATAATTGAACAGAGTTTCTTTCCAATTTGTTAATATCTGGGGCAGCTCTTTTTGTTCATGAATATACGTCAAAGGCCTGTGATCTGTATAGAGGGTGAATCTTCTGCCCCAAATATACTGATGAAACTTCATTTAGGCGAACACTATGCCTAGAAGCTCCTTTTTGTATGCGGGGTAATTCTTCTCCGACTTGTGCAACGCTCTTGCCTGAAATGAAATGTAGTTGATTTTAGAATGGGTTGTCCCTGCCCATCGGTAATTATAGAGAACTGCACCAATGCCCACATTGGAGGCATGTGTTGCAACATAGAATGGTGCCTCAAAATCAGGAAATGACAATACTGGTACTGAGACGATGAGATTTCCTATTCTTCTCTGTAAATCATTTAGCTCGAATGTACCTCTTGCATTACGTAGCTGATCAAGAGGAGCGGTGACAGAGCTATAGAGAGGAATGTACTCTCTGAAATAATTGAAGAGACCAAGATATCGTTGGATCATCTTTTTGTTTGTAGGGTATGCCCATGATTGCACATTGGCTATTTTTTCCATGTTGACACTTCTACCATGTTCATTGACGACAAAACCCAACAACACCACTTCTGTACCCAGGAATTTACTCTTTTCTCGATTGATGATGAGCTTTGCTTCAGTCAGCCTATTTAAGACGACCTTGACATGTAGAAGATGCTCATCTACTGTATGTGAGAAAATAATAATATCATCTACATAGACTCCACAATAGTGAAAATCACCTAGTAAATGAGACATTCCTCCTTGGAAGATACTGGTGAGAGGCTTAAGCCCGAAAGGGGCTCTTGCGAACATGTATTGCTTACCATTGTAAGTAAAAGCTGTGAGTGGCTGACTCTGCTTAGCTACAGGCATACGATGATACGCTTGGGAAAGATCAATGGCAGAAAAGAATTTATGACCGGCTACCTTTCGTTGAACCTCAATGACTAAAGGTAGAGGGAAATTGTCAGTATCTAATAGTTGCCTATTCAGCGTTCTTGGATCAAGACATACTCTATACTTCACAATATTGCCTTCTAGATCCCTTCTAGCTGCCATCGTTAGAGAACTATTGTATGGGTTACCCTTTGGAGCAAGTACAATAACTTCTGTATCCCACCATTTCTGCATTGTTTTATCGACCTCATCTTTTTCGATTTGCGCATGAAATGGTCTAGATCTTTCTTGGATAACACAGTCAGATTTCACTTTGAGGACTACCTTCATGGACTCAAGCGTACAGTATGAGCTTGGGTCCACATTGGCATTTGCTTGGAGACATGGCTCAATAGCGTCTATGAATTTTTGTTTGTTATCTAAGAATTCTTGTGTTGTCTCACTGTTAAGTGCTTTGGGGATCACAGTGGGTTTCTCATCACTTGGAACCCAAGGAAAATCCTCTGTGATCGCTTGTGGTTGAGCTATTCCCGTAACAGCAAAACCAAATCGGCTAAAAAGATCCATGCCAATGATAAAATCGTAGTACTCTATATCCATGACATATAACTGACTCTCAATTGATCTGCCATTGCATGATAACTGCACCTTGTCACACGTAATGACACTTGCAGTATCCATACCCTTCCTGATCATGGCGATCTTGGAGTTAGACAATTTACCACATCTGATATTGAGATCGTCTGCTACCTCTAATGCGATAAGAGATATAGTAGCACCCGGGTCTAGCAGGGCTGTACATAGCTGTCCCATGATATAAATAGGAACAGCTATGCGATTGTCACCCTTTGCAGGTCCTTTGAATGCATACACATCATTACTATTAAGTTTGGGAATTAAAGAATACTGTGAAAAGAACATGCTCTCTTTATTATCACCAGCACCAGCTAAATGGACGTCATCTGTAATGCGAGAGAAAGCACCAACTATTTTGTTGAAGCTATTCCCCTCACTCCTGCCCTTGAAGTTGCCATTGCCTGTATTGGGCTGGCTCTTCGAGACGTTCTTCTTTTCGTCCATCTTTTTATACCAGCATTGGCGAGGATCATGCTTTTTCTGCATCTCTTCACAGCGCTTGGTGTAGGTACATGGCCTGAATGACAGCTTTTGCTTCTTGCTGCTGTCATCGTCGCCCCTCGAGTCATGTACTGTACATGACCACGCTTATATTTGGAACTTCGTCTCTCGACTTGTTCCATCTTGCCAAGTTGAAGCATCTTGTCGGCTGCAGGTTTGCCACAGAACCTCTTGATTATTCTCAGGCTGTGGTTGGTTTTTGTGCCTGGCCACGCGCCTGGGACCGACTGGAGGTACTCCAGATACTTCTTGATGGAACCCACGTTCCGGAAGGACTTGTATTTAGATTTGATGGCTTGATAGTCAACATTTGACAAGCAATATGCTATGCGACCTGCAATCAGGGTACACATATCATCCGACAAATCCAGTGATTCAATCAATGGTAGAACTCGTACTGCAAAATCAGGGATAGTTTCACCATCCTTGAGACGTACCTCTAATAACTCGTTTACGAGATCGAGTTCGGTTTTGTCAAACTCTAGAGCCCTGTAGACACAATCCTTGACACGATCCCAGGTCCTCTCAGATTGAGGAAACTTTTGGATACGCTCCTCGTAATCCAACGTTGCCCTGTCCATTTTGCTTAAAGACAAAGACATATATATCCAAGCCATCTTGTCGAACAGAATCCCTGGCAAGCTCCGCTGGTAAAAAGATTGAAAGGTTTTAAGGAAGTACCTGACTTTCCTTGCCAATTCCTTCATTATATCGTCTCGCACGGTCCTTGACAGGTCTAATTCAAGGACTGGATAATCCTTGAACTTCGAGCCGTTAATTTGGCTGTAATCGACCTCCTTGGATTTAGGGTCAAGTGGAATATACTCCAACTTGAAGGTCTGGTAAATTAGGAAATATTCCTTGTTATCGGAACTATTCCATTTAACGTGGAACTCTTGTCCACGCGGCCTTGACAGCGCTGGTGATTCAAGTGACTCTGTTGGTCTAGAACCACCGTCCAAAAGGACCAGATCATGCTTCATGCATTTGATCCCTTCCACTAGTGGAACGGATCGTCCTGGTCTGATTCCATGACTACATCCTCTGACGTTTTATCACAGTCCTGCTCTTGTATGTCGATCATGGCCATGAGCCTGATCAACTCCTGTACTCTGTCCTGCAAATTAGCATTTTTATCAGCGACAGTTTGATCTGCGTTATGCTGAACCGACCGTCGTGGACTTTGTGTTCCCTCCAAGTGAGCATTGGATCCTGAAGAGTTGTCCAAATCCTGCTTCTGGGAGTGGCTGTCCTGGGTGACAACGGATTGCTCCACTGAGGACGAGTCAGTGTCTGGAAAGTTGGACGGATTCATTTCTTGTTGATGGCGATGGATGTACAATGGATGTTCGGATATTTGTTTTTACAACTCCGTGTAGGACCTCAAGGAGATCAAAAGTTGTTTTTATTATTGTTGTCAAACGAGAGCCTTTTATTAAGGACTCTCTATGACCGTCACGTAATACTCTGACCTTATGAATAAAAATGGAAGTGCGCCTGAGGTGCACTCCCAAACCTCGGTACGTAACATTAACCAATCCACGAAATCTCGTACCTTCGTGGAAAGGAGTACTGGTAGAGTTGCCAAGAGTGCAGGCACGGCTGTATGGTGCATGGTATGGTAAACCAACCGACCCTCTCGAGGAGATATACTCCACGCGCCTGAGAAATGAGCTTCATCGCAAGGCCGCTGTCGTGTACCACTCGCAAAAGTGGAACGGCGTCGTTTCCTTTGTCGAGATATGATTTCCCAAATCTGGCGAGTCGAAATAAGTCCCAGTTGGTTTTGGCTTTACAGGTCGCTCTACATGGGCCGGTGATCTCGCCGCACATGATCTCGTGTCCGAACACCTTCAAGAGAATGTCAGGTCGGTCTGGCTTTAGCCCTTGGCGTTTCTGCACTGATGATTCTGTATTGGGGCTGTAGTTCAAAATCAACTTTTAGTGGGCTTGAATAAATGTTATGATTACGAAACAGTGAGCTGCCGGGGATTTTACTTACTATTGCACATCAGTTCTCCCGTTGATTCTGAGGATACTATTCAGGACCGGAGCCACATAGTTGACAGTAAAGGTGACCTCTGAGACAGACCGATCCATCTCGTCGGGAAGCGAATCGGACCTTTGTCAAAGCAATTAAAAAACATGAACACACGCAATAAGCACTTGCAATTCACAATGGCTTGGGGAGTCAAAAAAAAAAAAAAAAAAAAAAAAAAAAAAACGAGACTCACAGATTCTCAAGCAGTAGACGAATCGTTCTCTCTACCTTTCCGATAGCCTCGGAAGCCTCCTCATGCTTGTTGTTCATCCGCAACTAATAAATGAAAATTGACCACTTGTAAGAATAAGGGAGGGTAGTAATCAATCACAACGGTACAATGAAACGTTGCATAGTTTTCCACATACTCGCACAGCTTTGACAATAGCCGCATCATCAAGACAGGGATCAGGCAAATCGGGCAATTTCATCAACTGACTAAGAATCCTTGGTTCGAAGGCCCTTCTCATTCTCTCCCATTATTAAATGCTTTGGTGACATAGAGTAGGTAGATAAACGCGATGTCAACAAGCGCACAGGAGCTACAAGATTGTTCAACGTTGTTCATCCTCTTCATTGACCCAACGTATGGAAATAAGTTGAACATTGCTCAAATAGCTGAGGTGGTTTATACAAAACGCTTCCATGATAAAACATCATAGATGCGAAGGGTGTTAGACATCAGCATGACAACAAGCGCACAAGAGCATAGTGAGTGTAGAGCACTGTGAAATTCAAAGAACTCGTCAGGAAACACGTCATTAGCTGGAGTGGTTTTGACAAGATGCCGAAATTAAAGCGGCATGGGGTGTTGTGATGTGCGTTATATAGAAAGCGCTGGTGTTTGATGTTGGATCTATTACATATTACTTTCAATCACTCAACACTCGATTTTGTGGGAGAATTTGCAAGAGAATATGAGAGAGCAGCCAGGAATGAAGTGATGGGGTTTGAGTGAGAGGAGAAAGTGGGTGTGTGGGGAAAGGAAAGAGAGAGAAAGAGAAAGAGAAAGAGAGAGAGAGAGAGAGAGCAACCTCGTTCAGTCATCAAATACAAGCCACCAGAGCGCAGTATTTCCAAGCAACGAGGAAATAAGTTGATTTGCCATTACCATGCCATTCTCACACCCCGCCACTGACCTCTTTTCCAATCCTTCTCTCAATTTCATCTTTCAAATAACACAATGTTCCGCAAGATGACCAACTGATACTCCTGTTATTTTATTCAGGGAAAACAATGAGGTGTTTCGTGGCCCCTTGGCAATCATAACCTTTAGCAGAAAGAGTAGGTTTTTATCCTTCTTTCCAGGATATAATGGTCATTTCATTTTACAATTATATATTTTATTTTATTTTTTTTATTACTCAGAATAGAACAAAATATACTTTTACCATTCATGACACTTTTTTATGTCATTCTATTGATCCTATTTATCGGCCATTAAGTATTTATAGACTGACATGTTCCTGCATTCTTCTTTGTCAATTTTCCTCACTTTTTTCTTAACACATCTGCACTATGAGCTCCTCTCTAAGTAAAAACAATCCTTCTTCCAACTCTAAAGAAGTCCACACTTCTAAAATTGCCTCCCCGGAGAAAGCGAAACTTTTTCATGTGTTTTGCCTTCTTGACGGGGAGCCTCTTTCATCCCTCTTCCTTGTTAGATAAGTTCAGCTTTTACAGTATGCGATCTAAAGAATTCAATATTGACAACAGCCAAACCCACCTGGAAACAATCGGCTGATCAGGACGACGTGAAGAACAATCATTGATCATCAAAACTGAGGAATGCGCCCGCAAGCTTTATTTCACTTTGGAAAGTTGATTTGAAATGTCATTCGTTTGACTCACCTGTTAAGCTTGATACAATCGAACACAAATCGCCAATCTTTCCGTATCATCTACTTGGCAATATATTTGGTTCAAAGCAGAAAGCCGCACGTATTCATGTCATCATCTCCACGCATCTTGGTATGATCTTTTGCCATTCTTTTCTTATGACATTTATTATTCCCAGTTTTAACTTTATGGTTTTCCTGCCTGGTATGCTTGGTTTTTGTTTCATTCTTTTTTAGATAATGGATCATCCAACAATATCAAGTTTGAAAGACAATTGGTGAGGCTCGAAAAAGGGTTGAAAAAACTTGAACAACTCATTCCCTTGGTCGAAAGGCTCGAGAAAGACTATCCTCCTATAAATCGTAAAAGAAAGTTCTCTGGCCAGATGGATTGTGACAATGAGATTCAGAATGATAATGTAAAAAACATTCGCCGCTCCAAAAGGCTTGCATTAAAACGATCATAATAATTATAATAAATAAACTATCACTACTTTTCTATGTTGCCTATGCTCATGTTGCATGACTATTGATAAGGCCTTTTAAATGCCTTAGTTCTTTTTGTCATGCAGCCGTATCACCTGCTTAATTTGGAAGAAGTGTACTTATTTTGGCAGACCTTGTTCTCACATGGTTTTTTTTTTCTAAATTTGGTGTAACGATTAACCTTATTTTCGACCCTGCATGGATCTTTTTTCAGAAGGACACTCACTGAGCAGTGGTCAAAAAATCTTTTTCTGCTTGCGTGTAACAATATCAGTTTTTTTTTCTTTTTTTGTCAGCCTTTCTGCATGATTGCTTTCCTTAAAACTGTTATAATCAGATTGTTAGCACTCGTCTTGGTTCTAAGAATAAAGGAGAACGATAGAGGATTGTTACATGGTCGTTTTTTAGCACCTTTACTTTACACTTAAGTTTCCACCGATTTTTTTTTTTTTTTTTTTTTTTTTTTTAAATCTCCCGCCTTTTATATTTTCAACACAAGTGTGCCTAGAACTTGTGTTGGTATACATCAATATTGCAAATAGCCTCTACATCCTGAACAGAAACAAGCTACAAGTGTCTTATTTTTACAAACAAATATAATGCGAGCTCATATTGACATGTATCCAAAGTAAAAAGTAAACATTTATAAGGATCACAAAGCTCAGAAACAGATTCAGATCTACAAAGAACAGACCATTTTGCAATGGGATGGAAAAAGACGTGTGGATTTAAAAGGATGTGTAGGTGCAAAAGGAGGCGTAGGCGTAAAAAGGGGTGTTAAAGTCATTTACAACTTAACAGCCGATTTAGCCTAAAAACGAAGGTTTCAAGTTTTTTTCTTTGTGAACTGAATAAAGGTGTGGCGGTGGCCCTCTAACCACTTCCTCAAGGTCATGTATTGTATACACATAACATTATATTTTTTTTCCTTTGCAAATAGGCTCCATATTTATTTTATATTTTAATTTTTTTTTTTTTTCTTCCTATCATACTGAAGCAGAATTCAGTAAGCGTTGGATTGTTCACCCACTAATAGGGAACGTGAGCTGGGTTTAGACCGTCGTTCTTCGTTGGGCAAGAAATTGTATAAAAAGCCCATAATCGCCCTACTACTTCTCTCAAAACTCATCAAAGTCTTCGCGTGAGACAGGTTAGTTTTACCCTGCTGATGAAATGTTGTTGCAATAGTAATTGAACTTAGTACGAGAGGAACCGTTCATTCGGATATTTGGTATTTGGACCTGCCTGAACAGGCAATGGCCCGAAGCTATCATCCGTTGGATTATGGCTGAACGCCTCTAAGTCAGGATCCGTGCTAGAACGCGACAATTACCGCCTTTTCCGATTTTTAGTTGAATACGAATAGAGCTTCGGCTCCTGAATCATGCTACGCGGGGGTTATCTTGTGGAGCGGGAAAGGCGGAAGCAGCCCATATATTGCATCCTTATTTACACACAAATAAAAAGCTCTTTATTGTTTTTTATTGAACATTCATAGTATGGAAAAACAGCTTGTCTGTTTCTGTGCGACCATCCCTTGCATGTCCAATGATGGTGTTTTGCAAACAGGACATCCAGTAGTATGATAAAGATGTACTCGTCATGGGCGCACCAAGATGACAGAGGCCGTTTTCACGCCCATTATTCGAGCTAGTAACTATCCCCTGTCCCACCAATTCCACCCTTACTTCCAAAAAGAAATATGAAGACCAGCCTAGGGCATTTATGTATTGTCAGTTTTGTCCTAGGGCCTCGAGCATTACTAAAAGAATAACGACTGATTAGAGAGAGTTGCTAACACAGGTTGGATAATCACTAGTCAGTCATGTACCGCTTTATTTTATTCTATTTTTTGTATGTACTAGTAGGTATGGACGAGATGCGAACAGTGAACGTACAAGAAACGAAGTGCTCGCTCGATACACTCGACACTCGGCTAGCACTTTCTTCTCTCTTCAGCCCCGGCCCTTTCAATCTCGGCAAGTAATAGAACTAAGTTGGAGTCCCTAATTTTGTAGTTGAGCACTCTTCCTTGTAGATGCTGTCTTCAGTGGTAGGTGAATAGTTCATCGTTCTGGCTTTAGGTCGAATTTTGCTCGCAATCACTCCATGTTTTTTTTTGTGTTCGCCATTATTCTCGTTTATGTATTAGCAATTTTGTTTTGCCTCTCCTCATCATTTGCTATGGGCTAGTAGCTGTATAGTAGCTTACTTCACTCTCCCTGTTTTTCGTGTTTTTTCCTTCCCACCACCGACCAATCCCAAGTTCCTGAAGATTATTCGGTGGTTTGTGATAATTCTTCTTATGGTTGTCCCAATTGTGATAAATTCCTAGGAATGTTCTGAAATGGAAGGGTGCTACTCCTCTCACGCGCCCTTCTAACCAATAATCTGCTTCTCTTCTCCTTTCTTCCTCCAACGTTATATATCCATCACTACTTTTTTTTTTTTTTTTTTTTTTTTGCTTGCTCCTGTCTTTGCGCCTCGTATAAGTAGCCCGTACAGCTGCTCTACCAGTTTTTGGTTTTGGCTTTTAGCTTTACTTTTTCTACTTCCTCACTTTCGATGGTGTTGTTGGTTTACTGCATATTAACTGAAGTGCTCCACTGAGATGTAATATGTATACAAGGTAGGTTGTTGGGCATAGTACTGATTTACTGTAAACTACACACGTTGCAGGGTATTAGAGGCTTTTAGGGGCCACTATGGTGTGCTGTTCCCAGCCCTACTGGGGACGAAATAGTCTAATCAAAGCAGATAGTACGATTATAGGGCCTCACATATCGACTACCAATTTTAAATAAAAGATCTTTGTTTTACCATAAAGCGCACCTCTTCTTTTTCTTTTCTTTTCTTTCTTTTTTTTTAATTAATCTGATGCAAAGTGATATATATTGTCACTTCAACCAGGTTTTGCAACCCAAAGCGGCTTCTAGGCAACTATAGGCAATGAAAGAGGGGTAACTATACCAATACAGGAAGCAGAACAAGTAACCCCAGGAGAACTGCTTGTAGGGCCGCCAGGGGCTTGTGCCTACAAATATTAATATACAAAGGTTAAGCTTACATGGGCCTGTGATGATAAGCCAGTTCAATGCTTATTGTTCTTCAAAATGAACTTCTAGTCGAAACAGGGGGTCAAGATCATGGCGCTTGATCCTATCAAAGTATATGAACTGACTTCAGAAAGGAAAGACCAGTCACGGGCACCTTCCAACATGAAGCTTGGTAATGTCATGGATTTGGCCCTTCACATCGAGATACTTTCGAGAGTATTGGTTCAGATTGGGTGGCCCAAGCTTTATCTGTTATATTATGTATTCACTAGGTGGAAGCCGCTATGCTTCAGCTAGGTATGATGCCTCCGCTCGCGTGCGCTATGTGAGATGCAACCTATTTATTTGACGGACTCCAGATCGAAGTTGGCAGAGATGGCAAGGCGTTACAGCTGTGGGATGCGACAGCAGGGCAGAAGATGATGAAGCTGAAGAAATATAAGTTTGAGCTCAAACAAACTATGTTTTCGTCTAATGGCCATAGAACCGTGTTGCATTGTTCCGCTGATCATCGTCTAGATGCGTCTAATGATGATTGAAACTGGCTTAGGATGCCCAGAGCATTCGATATCCGTCTAACGGGAAAGTCACTAATCTGCTCGCCTCGTAGATGGTATATTAGTTAGTGGGATATGTAAGCAAGGAAAAGCGCCAATGTCCTTCAAGGCATTCCAGTGCAATCGAAGAGCTAAAGTGGATATCAATATGGGTTGCTTCCATAGTAGCGTACTTAGAGAAGCAAAAAAAAAAAAAAAAAAAAAAAAAAATCAAACTCAAGAAGTCAAGAGATAGCAGGGAAGAGGATTGGACACCAATTAAGAAACGCTTCTCTCCTTCCCCTTTCTCCCAAGTCGGGATATATGAGAAGAATACATACAGCCTTCTGACAAAGAGTTCTGGTTGTTTTCATTTGAGGAGCAAGACTTTAATGAAGTCTATGGTTTTACTTTAGAAATAAAAATAAAAATAAAAAACACTTCTTTTTCTCTCGCCTGACAAGAAAAACTGGCTTCTAAAAAAAAAAGGAAAGAACTTTGTCTCCTTTGCCATTTTCATTCAAACACTTCTACTTTTTTTTTATTTTTTTTTATTCATTATTGACTAAACGAAGCAGAGGATTTTTTTATATTGCAAATGAAAAACTTCAAGAGAAAAAAAAAAAAAAACAAAAAAAAAAAAAAAAAAAAAAAAAAGAGTCATTGAATAAGTTTGGTTTGATGGCGTTGCTCCACTCTTTTTGATGGGTTTTAGCAACAGACAAAATAACTCGTTTCCAATACATTCATGGATTACACATTTTCATATCTTATCGAAAGAATATCTTCAGATGTAATTTTGATTTCTTTATTCTTCATTAACTAGCCAGCTATCGATTTTTTCTTTGATCCAGTCAAAGACTTGCAACTCGAGTAGAAAAGTTAACTAAATAAAAACTATTTTTCTTTTTTTAAAATACGATGGAAATGCTCCAGGCACCACATCAGATATATACTAACAATATTGGAGAGGGATAAGGATAGAGTATGACAATAAAACCACCTATATGATCTCAGATCATAAAGGGTATACAGCAAAGTCAATTTAGACAGCGCTGTTGAAGACCAAGCGGTTGGGAGAGCCGCGGAGGTTGCCAGTGATGACGTTGGGGGTGGCAGTCTGGCGCAATCTGTCGTACACAGCCTGAGGTGAGGTGAGGGAGCCGTCAGCGCTCATGATAAGAGCAGCAACACCAGCAACGTGAGGAGAAGCCATCGAGGTTCCAGAGATGGTGTTAGTGGCAGTGCTACCACCGATCCAGGCAGACTTGATGTTGACACCAGGTCCGAAGATGTCAACACATTGTCCCCAGGAAGAGAATGAGGCAATGTTGTCGTTAATGTCAGAGGCAGCAACGGTGAATGAGCCTTGAGCACCAGATGGAGAGCCATTGCAGGCATCAGCGTTGGGGTCGTTACCAGCAGCGACGATTGAGGGGATACCAGCATTGAAGAGGCGAGTCAAAGCAGAGTCAACAGACTGAGACTTGCCACCACCGAGTGACATGTTGACAACAGCCTTGGTGCCACGAGCACGCTGGGCAACCCAGTCCATACCAGCAATGATGCCAGAGAAGGAGCCAGAGCCTCGAGCATCCAAAACCTTGACACCGACCAAGGTGACCCTCTTGGCAACACCATATGAGCCACCACCGATGGTACCAGCGACGTGGGTACCGTGACCGTTCTCGTCAGTGTTAGCAGAGCCAGAGATGAAGTTGGCACCCATGGTGGCACGACCTTGGAAGTCGACGTGGCCAGTGTTGATACCAGTGTCAATGACGTAGGCAGTGACGCCAGCTCCAGCTTGGTCTTGGTAGTAGTAAGGAGCAGCAGAGTTGCGCTGGCGCTGAGAGACGCGAGGAAGACCCCAGGAAGGAGGGTTGCTTTGCTGGAGAGTGTTGATGGTGACAACCTGATCCTCCTCAACGTACTCGACATCATCTGAAGCCAAGATCTCCTTCAAGGCAGCAGCATTGACAGTCATGGAGAAACCTTGGATGGCCTTGTACTGGCGGTTGATTGTGGACTTGCGACCACGGCCGTTCTGGCGGCGAGCAATGGCGTTGAACTTGGGGATGAAGTCAGTAACGTTCTTGCCTTCCTTGAGGACAACAATGTAAGAGTCAGGGACTGGCTTGCCACCGTTACCCCTGATCAAAGGAGCAGCTTCAACGCTGAAGAGAGCAACGCAGGATGCGATGAGGAAAATACCAGTGAACTTCATGGTTGGTGTTGTTTTTTTTTTTTTAGGTAGAGTTGAGAAGAGAGAGGCTTTTTTTGTTAGCTAGTGAGCTGGGAAGGGTTGAGAGATCTGAAGATGTGGATGAGGAGTGAAGAAAAAAAAAGGGAAATGGTGCATTGAGGCCGTTGCTTTTATACTCGTTTTTTTTGTAGAAGCAGCAGCAGTTACTATAGTTGAATGGAAGGTTCAAAGTTGGCACTTGATGAGATGCAGAGATACAATGTGCAACTCTCAATGATGGTGAAAGCACGAAAAGGGCTCATAACAAGGTTTGTAAACATCGTAAACATCCTAACAGTCAAGCCATTCAGGGTTCATCGCCATGTCTCTGTGTCTCTTTCTCTCTCTTTCTCCTGTCCTCCAACTTTGACCTGCAGGAACATTAGAGTACATAGTTTAAAATACATAGTACATTGGGGATATTACAAATTAGATGAAAAACAGGGTTCAGCTCACATTGTAGTCAGGGCCTTGACAAGCTGTAGGAAAGAGAGGGCTCTATCAAAGGATCAGAAGAGGCAAAAAGGCCAGACTGTTCAAAACAACAACAGTATCGCCAATTTTATTTGGTCACGATACCTTATATTTTTAATCTAAAAACGATGATTGAATTGTTCTGGTGGCATCTCACTACGTGACGGACTTGCAACAATACTCGTAACAAGCGAGCTAATTGGCTGCCAATACACTCGAAAGTATTCAAAAAATATAAGGTATCGCGACCAAATGAAACGGGCTATAATATAAACATTTATTAGCGACATTGGTTAAGAATGTATGAAAAAGTATACAATATCTCTCTGCATAATAAACATGTATTTAATAAGTAATATGAAATAAATACTGGTTTTGTTTGTTTGTTTTGCCCTGCTGATCAGGCTTTAACTTTCGGTTTCTTGCCCTGGGAAATACACAAAGCGCAGAAAATATGCATGTCCTCACATTTGAATAAAAAATGCTAGGCCTTCTTTTGCAGGCAACCTGCATGTGTCTCTTGTTATTATTATTTTAAACATGTTATTGAAGTGATCCATGGCGCATTGGTCCATGTAGCCCATTCCAGCTTGGTTAGATTGAGACCAACCAGAAGTGAATGTCTTTCTTTTATCTGTCTACTCCTCTCTGTCTATTGCATGCTGAAATATATTCTGAGCACAATCAATGTCATCTCGGCGTGTAACAACTGAACGCTTCATTCATGTCTATCCTCTCGGAAAATCTATCACATCCTTAGCCGTTTATTCTATTAGACGGAACCTGTCTCTTTTTATTTTTTTATTTTTTTATTTCATCAGCCGACATGACAAAGAACAGAGAATATGGTTTGGACCCTATTAAATGTTATGCAAGGGAGAAGGAAGTTTGATGAGGTATGACGCGAGAAATGAGATGGAGAAAGACCCTTTCCATTTACAACAATGCACACAAGAGTAACAGAAGATGCAGTATTAATTGCAATGCATTTTTACAAATGAATATTTAATGAGGAATCGGAAGAGGATGTCGGGGACTATCCCGCAAGCCCAAACGAAACAATGTATACAAATTGTAATAAATAAATGTGAGCCAGCTGTTGCAGGGTCAGAGATATGCTCTCTTGACTCTTCTCATTGTCGCGAACAGACATTTGCAACACAGACACATTATACATCTGTATAGTATGGTATGGATGTATCTGTGTTGGCAACAGAGACAATACCACACACGGACAGAGGAGAGATACATCATTAATTATGATCGTGAACCGATCTGAAAATAGCAAGGATAATGAAGATCTCATAAAGTATGTAATATATTTTATTACATATACATTTACATATATATTTCACTCTGCGAAAGAATAGAAAAAAAAGACTATCCCAAATGGAGTTGGAATGACTTTGACGCACGAATGAAAGAGTGCAGTGATAAGCATCCGATGAAGGCAAATCTCTTGTCTGCTGTCTTTCCCTATTGGCATTCCCAGCCTATTGTTTGTTGTTTGGCATGGACCGTTACGTTTTTTTCTCTTTCTCAGTTTAAATGATATGGGTTTATGGTTTATTTAATATCTATTTCATTCATTCGTTAATCCATTAATTGATTTCAAGTCGAGTGTTCTCCATGGCTATTCCAGGGAAAGGCGCGTCCGGGTCGCAGAGCCAATGAGGTCAGTTCTTTGTTTGTTGTTTATTGGAAATGAAATTAAAGTATATATATATATATATAACTTGGGAGTCATCTATTACCTTTATCAATCTATCAAGTTATTCAAATACTAAAGTGTAAATAAACATGAGAATAAATGTAAACAGGGATGGAATGGAGAGTGGATTATCCAATTCATTTCTAAAATATATTCTGTTCCTCTATATACCTTCCCATCAGCGCTTTCGTTTATGTGAACACGGAGCAACTTCCC